CCCCCCCCCCTCTCCTGCGCATCCTGGGGTCTGGACCTTGGTAAACATCTTATTTCTGGAGCATTGGTGTGGGCTTTTGTCTTCATTTCTTGGTCTATGTTTGATTTATTCTTATTAACTTCATGTTTTTATTTGTCTTTTTGGAATATCTGGGGGCTGGCACGGCGAGGCAGCAACTTGAGCGTGTTCTCATTAATGGCTGTTTTTTTTTTTTTTTTTTTTATTCCCTGAAGTGTTGGATGTATGATTCTTTTCTTCTCTTTTGATAATGAACATCAACGCTGCTTATGATGGATCTGGTTGCTATCTGCCATAAAAAAAGAGGGCCCGAAACGGCTTTGTTTTGGATATAATCGAAAACAGACGGTGAATGTAATGCTTCTTTTCTTCAGCTATTGCACCGACTCGCTTCTTTCACCTGTATCCTCCGTATCATCCGAGATGTTGTTGGTTATTCCTGTTAGAAACGTCATCTTGGCCATGCAACTGCTGGATCTAAACTCCACCAGGGAAAAACATCTGTCTGCCTCGTTATTTACCCACAAAGCATCATCAACCTGTCCAAACCACCAAACACGCCAGCAATCCAGCACCAGCTATAACTCCCGAACCCGATATCTCAGCGTCGCCATCCTTGCTGCCATTTACGGTTCCTGTCCGCGTGCTCATTCGCCCTAATGGACTCAGATGCTAGTTTCCCCCGCAGTCTAGGATAGCTTTTTCTCCCTGGTGAGCCCGGTTGCTTCGCATAGTCATTTGCTTGAACCCGCCGGCCCTTCGACAAACATCACCGCTGGACTGGAAGAGGGCAGTACAGCCCATCTAAATGCGATGGACCCTGAAGGCCAGGACCATGACCTGGCTCGGGGCCCTTCCGTCAGCGTCACGGCTGCCGAGCACGAGAGCAGTGGTGACGACGGGGTCGAGAAGCCCAGAACGCTACCTCCCGACTTACCAACCTCGCTAGACGACCGGCGCTCATTTCCGAGCTATAATTCTGAGACCGAGATATACGATGGATGGCAGGGTAAGCCGCTCTATTACTCTCTTCTCTATTATACAGCTGTTCCTTGCGCTACCGAGATGAGCTAACGGATTTGGATTCCTCTCTGAACAGGCCAGTCGCAATTTCTCACCACTCCTATGCCTACAAAACCCCTATCATTTAACCTAGCCCTTGATGATATTAACTCCGAAGAAGACTTCTACAATCCTCGACACCCGTCTCAGAGCCTGACGGGTGGTTCTCGACTACGTGACAGACCAAGCGAGTCAAACGATGCCCGGCTGATGGAAATGTTGGCTGCTCAGGCGGCACATCGGGATGGAGACAATGTCGAAGCGGACGAGGACGATATTGTGTCTGATGAGAAGCTATCTGAGCAGGAGAAGAAGGAAATCCTCCAAAGAACCCTGAATATGGCGGCAAGTAACGGGGATGTCGCCCGGGTCAGAAAGCTGGTCACCGGCAAGGCTATGAAATATATCGATATTAATGCGCCGGACGAGGAGGGTACTGCACCATTGATATATGCTAGCTGTTTTGTAAGTACCCATTTTGTGGAATTGCTCTCATTTTGAATTCTTCCCGCTAACGCGTTGTACTGTTTCAGGGTCATCATGAAGTTGTATCTGCTTTGCTTGATGCGGGCGCATTTGTCGACCAGCAGGACCGCAATCAATGGAGCGCTTTAATGTGGGCTATGACGAATCGACATAAAACTATTGCGAAGAATTTATTGGATCATGGCGCGTCACCGGACATCCGATCGTCTTCTGGCGGGACAGCTTTCGATTTCGTTCAGCCTGGAACAGACATCTCCAAATACCTTTACGAAAATGGCTATAAAGTTGGGTCTACAACTGGCGGAGCCGACTTTTACGACTCAGGATTCGCACACAATCGATTTGAAGAGGAAATGGCCGAAAACGAGATGAAGAGAAGGATGATGATGGAAGAGAGTGCTATCAACCTGGAAGTTGATTTGTCGAGCTTGGGTCTTAATGAGAAACACGACGACGTATGATTTCCATCTTAATTGATTGAGATGATAGGTGCTAACATTTTGCTATCATAGTCACCGGACGAATATGAGGAACAGCCCGAATTTGTCTGGGATCGTTGCCTGAATGACCAAATGTTTGTATTTCAGGAGAACGAGTTGGAGCGAATATTGGACATTGTTATAACCAATATGACACCACAACGGTCTCCTTCCCAAAAGCCTGTTCCCGCAAATTTACTCTTCCTTTGCGCACGATACGCGCACTATTATGCCAGCCCTGACCTCCTGCAGACACTTCTTCATTCTGCAACTGATCGTATCAATCGTGTGGTAGAAAAGCACCAGTGGGATATGACCATACTGGCATTCTGGATATCAAACGCCACTTTACTACTGCATTACTTAAAGAAGGATGCCGGACTGGTTGAAGCTACAGTGGAGTTCCAGCTTCACCTCGCAGAGCTGATTAATGAAATATTTATCCTTATTATCCGCGACGCTGAGCGCCGCATAGATAAAATTTTGGACACCGCAATGCTTGACCATGAAACAATACCCGGTTTTGAAGATGTTCAGTTCCAAAACGAATGGAAGCTTTTCAGAACCAAATCAAAGGTAAAACCAGAGCCTATGGAGAAGCGATATCGACCACCCTCGCCTAAGAAACGGGCAGAGATTGCACCCCGGAATGTGACATCTCTATTATCGTCAACACTCTTTGTGCTGGATCTATATGATGTGCACTCCATCATCACAACCCAAATTATAGCACAGCTATTCTACTGGCTTGGATCCGAACTTTTCAACCGTATAATGACTACGAAGCACTATCTTGCGCGCACTAAGGCTATGCAGATCAGGATGAATGTATCCGCCTTGGAGGACTGGGCACGAACAAACAACCGGCAACCTGAGCATTACGAAAACGGATCCGCGACCTGCACTGGAGAAAACACTGTTGAATCCGCTCGTAGGCACCTTGAACCGCTCATCGAACTGTTACAGTGGCTACAATGTTTCTCATCATTGGGTGAAGATATGGACTCACTTATAGAGACACTCGAACAGCTTCAGCGCCTCACGCCAAACCAGCTTCTTCACGCCGTAAAGCTCTATCGATCCGAGGTGGGAGAAAAGGGCCTCTCCAAGAGCGCAATGAAGCTCCTAATCTCACTGCAAAATGACCCAACTCAGTTACGACAGATTCTCGATCAACATCGACAGCACTCCAAGCCCACTGGTTCCCCAGCTACAGACCAAGGGAAGGGTGAGACAAAGCCAACCGAAGAACCACAAACCCCTAGGACACCTAGAGCATCACAACCCCCATCATCACCAAGCGGATCTAACTCGCCCGCGCCACCCCCATCATCACAAATAACCATCCCCAAGAACGCCCCACTCCTTCTTGACCCTTCACTCACATTACCTTTCCAGCTCCCAACCAGCACCGACATGCTAGTCAGTTACGGAGCCGGTTTTGGTGGAGTAAACCGCGAGCGTGCAAGGAAATATATACCTACTGTGCCTACGGAGTTCCTCGTCAAATTCGATCGCGAGTGATCAACTGATAGCGCAGTTATATAGCCTGTGTAACTAAACTATACAAATATTTTCATAAATAAAAGCAAACTTGAACAATCGGGAGCTGTGATCGTTACTCGTTGGTTGTACATACATCACGCATATCCAACCTCGTCAGTCACCGTCAATATTCGAAACAAACGCATGGTTCCGCTGAAAGTGCTAAAGATAAACACATCTGGGCTGAGTCAAGATCTTGCATGGCTTCTATTTTTAGACAAGTGGGCCATAGGAGGGAGGCTCTGCTCTTGAGTTTCGAAACATCTGCATGGAACTTGCATGGATGCTTCGGTTCCCCAACTAGCCCGACCTTTCCGGGAGCAGCGTGAGAATAGCGAGTGGCTTATCTCCTGACATATGTATATGCATCCTACTTAGCATTATTTAACTGGCTTAAGCCCAACTGAACCGAAGATTCAATCCTGGTCTCGATCTTAAGTTCTAGTTCCGATTGCAATCTTCATGCATGAGATGACCCCAAACTTCTTCATACTTTTGTGTAAGAAGCATGCGCTCAAGTACTGCTTACTGAAACAGAAGCTGACTCCTATTAATAGCTCAAATTTATTGGGATTGTATATTTTGTTTTCCTGGTTACTTCTAGAATACTATCGGCTCCAGAAGCATTCATGAGGATGGCTGTGTTTGAAACAATTGTGCATGCCTGATATATATTGGCGCCAAAGAAATGCAATCAACCTCGATTACTTAGGAGTAAATATTTATAGAACTTCTTATAACCACTAGGGAGAGCGTATCGGGGTCAATAGGTGTTAATTAGATATCAAGTGTTGCTAATATACAAGCTTGGAGTGCATTAATAATTAATAATTTCGATGTCAAAATCATGTAACAGTCGTTCCATCCATATCCACCCAAGTTCCCTATATCGCCGTCCCAATTATTAATATGTCATTAGAAATTAACTAGGAGGTATCCTAGATGTATATCTCGTAAATGTAATAAAAGACTGATGTTTCGTACTGTCATCGACCGAGTGATAGTCATTCAGTCGTATAGGTAATAGATGGCTGGCTCAGCTTAACGGTTGGCAAAGTAAGAAGCACGAGCCGCGGAACTTGATCTCTTTTCGGCTGCCTTGCTCATTTTCTGTCGATGAGCTGGAGCGGGAGAAGAAGACCGGGACGAAGATGGTGAAGAGGAGGCTGAATTGTCGTGATGCTCAAAGTCCCTCGAGTTGCGGCGGGATGCATTGTTTGCTTCCATGACCATTGGGGTGTAGTGGAGGGTGAAGTCGGTCAAGTTGGCGGCCATTGTTGTTGTTGTGGTTTTTGTTATTGGCGTCTGGAATAAAGGATTAACTCTTATGGCTGAGTTATCAAGGCTGCGGCTGACGTTGTAGCTTGTGGGTCACGATATGCAGATAGATAGACCCGAATTGATTGAAGAATGATTGTTTTCGTTGTGTTTGATGTTTTGTTTGTTGTAGTTGTTGTTGCTGATGATGATGAGCAGAAAGACGTCCTCTCAGCAGGATTTGAGGCCATATTTATACCCGTAGGCCTCGAGTTGAAGCCGTACTGAAAAAATTCTGATGTTGCATCGTACGGCCTCGCGACATGGGCTGTCCCATGCCCTTGAAGCGACAAGAAACATCGAGATCAATAATCTCGCTTCTCTGTCAGCTTCAACTTACGGTCCATGACGTCACAATCGCTTAAGTAAGCGCAGAATCTTCCCTGTCCGGCATAGTAGCCAATAGAATTAGGCCTTGGCTGCGGCTGAACGGCAGCAGATGTTAGTCAGCAGGTGCTTGGACCATGATCCGCGGAGTCAGATCTTGATTTCTTGATATCTTTTTCTTTCTTTTTGACCAGGGCATCAGGATGATGACGATAGAATGAGAGCGATGGCCTCGTATCCCAACAACAAGTTTCACATGACTGTGATGGAAAAGTTCGCTAAATGCTACGCACACTTTAGAGGCAGTCAGCTGCCTGGTTGTGCACCCTCAGGAGCTCCTGTGCTGGAGCATCCTGACTTACCTATCTGAGGAAAAGGAGATCCCGAGGTAACATATTCATCGTTAATCTTGTAATATACCCACCACATCCAGGTCCATTCCTCCCCCAAAGTACGCATATATAAGCCCATGGCCCTGTTGGTCCGACGGCTTATCCTGCCCTTGTAACTTCAGTCATGGGCTGGCGGATAAGTGGATATATAAATACCTGCTCAAGGTGTAACCTTGAAATGTAGGTGAATCATTATACTCTATATCAAGACCAAAGCTCAGCAGACGTAATTATACGCGACAGCACTCTAGCAGAATCCGAGGATATAGAACTTGTTAATCTTGCCAGTAATGAGTTACTAGACGTTTTGGCGTTCTTTAAGTTCGACTGTTCGATCCATTCTGTTCATTTTTTATTTTTTTTTTTTTTTTTTTTTTTTTTTTTTTGTAGTATCTGTAAAGGGAGTGTTAGGCTAATTAGCTTCGGCTCAACGAATTAATACTTAGGCTAATGTTGTCTATCACATACTACTGATATTCCTGTGCGAATAGACAAGCTATCAAATTCCAACGGGGGACTCTATTCTCCGTCGAGGACCGTGAATCACCTCTTCAACAATGAGAGATCCAGGACCAGGCATCATGAAGGGCGCGAGACAAGTATTAAGCCACCAATATTGGGGGTATCATCAAGGACTAACAGTTGAAGCAGATCTACTCTGCATACACCATGGAATTCTGCTTTCTCCATTATCTCAAATCCAAGACAGCATAGTCGTATATGCGGAGCGAGGCTCTATAGCCCCAACAGGCGAGCCCTGGCCAATTAGTGCATATCGCCTAGAAGAGTAACATCAGTGATTGGACATCCGACGTCTGCTGGAATGGTTTAAATGAAAATCTGAGAGCGAGGAATACGGCCGCGGGAGGGCTTGCATGGTGGACATCGACGCTAGCTAGCAGGATGCCGGGAGAGGGACGATAACAACGAACAGAAGTGAGGGGAAAGAGAGAAGCAGCTAGTCTCAATGGCCATGGCGTCGCCCCTTCTGCCGCCTTATTATTCAGCGTGTTGCGTGCAGGAGGCGATCGTCGCATACGGACGAGATGTGACGGAGGGAGTTAAGCGCCGGCCCTCAGATAGGTCATGTCAGTTGGTCGGGGCTGAACAGCGGGCCAAGTTGATTTATCCTCAAAGCACAGCCAATCAACCGGTCCTATATCTCCGTGGGATAATGGCCTTGTAGAAGGAAATATGCTCCTTTTTGTTTTCTCGCGTAGCGGTTGGTTCCCTTAACTGCGGCCCGCGTCGATTAGGGGTCCAACCTTGTCTCGTCACAGACCCTACATATATTCCCTGAGTTCGGCGGTTAAGTACGAACAGGCTCTTCTGCTTTGCTTCCGTTTGCCTCTTCCGCTCTACTTGTTCGTGGGTGTCGACGCCAATCACGAGCCGGTTTGTGTAGCTGGTTACTCTCAACAGGCAACTCTCACGAACTGCTGGGGATGCACGGTCGAGCGGCCCCCTGCCGCCCCCAACGGTGACTACATCCGGGCTAGAAAAGAGGCCTGCACGTTAATACGACGGCATCTGCTTATCAACAGCACATTGTATTCCCACAAGCGTATAATGGAAGGGGCGTCAACATGGTAACTGGTGATGTGTTTGTGTCTCGAAGTTGAGATAGAGTGTGCGATGAGGCCAGGCGGAAGAGGCTGAGTCAGCTTCTAAATATAGGCGGGGAGATCTGGAGATCAGGGTCCCTAATTTTTTATTTTTTATTTTTATTTTTATTTTTATTTTTTTTTTTTTTTTGGCCCCAGGCCAACGGTCTGCGATCATATGTGAGGTGCAGAAGAGTACCTGCATCTGGGGCGTTCACCGGCTCTCAGCGTCTGTTCTTCTCTGCGGCGAACGATGTCCAGCTTGCTCGCACTATGTACGAAGTATGTGCCTTTCTCTAAATTTAGACGGGGCTCCTTTCTATATGTCTCCTGTGCGCGCTGGCGTTGTTATTATTATTGTTTGTTGCGCTGGCTTTGGGCCTGTCTCTCTCTGGTCTCTGCGTTTTTTTTTTTTTTTTTTTTTTTGTGTTATTGCATCGTGGCTGTGACAAAACTTCCTAAAGCGGCAAGTGGGAAGGGCTGAGCAACCTCGGCTGTACCTTCCACGCCGAAAAAGGAAAGGTGGTGCCAAGAAGGGCCCGGTCCGCCTTCCGCATTTGGACAAATATGGGTCCCTGACAAAGCCCGAGCGCTTGACCTGATTGGGAAGCTTCCCGCGGTCGCCCAAGAATACAGTCCCTTGTTCCCAGCGTATTCTTTTACCGCCATTGCTCTGTAATACTCCATTAATATCTGGCCGGCTGCAGGAGAGCTGGGTGCGGATGCGGCTACGGTAAAATAATTATCTGCCGTTTTTTAGTGATCACACCTACTCTTTTTTCTTCTTCTTTGCTATCCTGAGACTATCACGGTCCTCTGTAGTGTAAAACAAGAACGAAGTCCAGTCAAGGTTTTCCAAAAGAGGAAGTGGAGCCGCGCTGACCAATAGGGTAGCGTCCTGGGCTGCCCCGTGCTGTACCGCCGCCTCGGTGCGTATTCCAAATACGGCGACGCTTGTATGAGGATTTTTGCGTCTGCGAGAGGAAAAACATACGAGCTGGAGCGCAAAAGAAGCAAAAAAAAAGCAACGAAAAAGAAAAGAAAAAACGGAGAGCAAAAAAGCAAAGAGGAGGAGAGAAGACGAGAAGAAGAGATGAGGAAAAAAAAGGTGGACTGAAGAAAGGGAAGGTGAGGGAGGAAGGCAAAACGGCCTGGGATGAGGTGCTGCGACTTGCGGATTATATGGGCAGGGTTCTTTCTGCCCGGCGCAACCTCCGGCTCTCCCATTCCTCCTTGCTATAATTACACCAAAGGGCCCATCACACGCACGAACTGCGGCAAGTCGAATGTTGACCTGAACAACGGTGATGGGCTGGCCTCCTTGTCCTGGGATAGATAACACGACGTCCGCCTCAGACGTTGAAGCACAAAATCTAAGAATCCACCCGTCCGCAAAAAGTACGCTATACACCCCCGGGGAGGGAAAAACTATAAGGGCTCGAAGATAGACCAGAAACAAAACAACGCACACAGGGCAGCACTGTCACGGAAGCAGGTCCATAAGAAGAAGAAGAAGAAGAAGCAAGAGAGACGCAGAGGTAGAGAGAATTGACCCATGACTAGAGCTCTCCATGCTGCTCACCCTCAAGACCTCCTCTCGCAACGGCGCCCTGGCTCTTGACGAGTGCACACGCACAAAGCCAGCATACGCATATCAGAAGCATCCTCACCCGTCTCCGTCGCCGTCGCCGTCGCCGCCTCCATCGCCGTTGTCATCAGCTCCAGCTCGCCGTCAGATGGATTCGCACCGGAGCCTGCCTCCCCCAGCTGCCATGGGCCTCACCGTCACAGATATGACATCCGCGGCCTCTCACGGCGGCTCCAGTAGCTCCAACGGCGGCGCTGGCAGCATGCCTCTGCCTCCACCGCCAACGCACTCGCATCAGCATGTCCCTGGTGGTGGTAACCATGGCCGTGATGGGTGGAGCCGAGACGGCCAGGACGATGCAATGCGCCAATGGCTGCAGGCAAAGGTCGAAGAGGATAAGCGCAAGCAGGAAGAGGAACGCACCCGGCAGGAAGCTCTCAAGCTCGATCAGCGCAAGATCGAGCAGAAGATGCTACAAGATACGCTCAGCTCCAATATCCCGCCTCACATGGTACCTCTGGTGTTTATAGGGCTAGCCGGGCCTCACGCTCAATGGGCTCAGCAATATATCCTACAGATGACCCAAAATAATGGACACAACCCAAGTTCAAGCCCATATCCGGTCCAGCAACAAAGGCATGATCAGTATACCCAGCAGTATCGGCCACCACCACCTCCTCCACCGCCTTCTGCGTTCCAGCAGCCATCACAGCAGCCCCCTCAACCACCACCGCCGCCGCCGCCGCCGCATCCGCAGCAGCAGCAGCAGCAGCCCCTAAATCATATGTCTCAGTTTCCCGAGTTTATACCCCGTCCCAAACAGAGTCCCATAGAAGCATCCGAGAACCGTGAAATAGCGCCTAATCCATATGCCATTTCCGCCCCTAGGCTCTCTATACCTGCTGGCCAGCATCAGCAACACCAGCAGCATCCGCAACAGCATCAACCACAACCACATCATAACCAACAGCATCAGCAGCAGCAGCAGCAACATCCTCCGCCACACCACCATCAACCGCGGCCATCGCATCAACATCATCCGCAACAACCTTCTCCGCCACCATCACATCCGCCAATCACTATATATGCTCCCAATCCAGCGCATCACCAGTCTCAGATGAACACCGAATCTCTTCCACGCCTGTCTACGGCTTCTGACATGCACCACCCCATTCAACAAAGGAACAATTCAGCCCCATCTTCCGGGGTCATGAGCGCGAACACCCAGTCATCCCTCTCACACTCCCATCCATCTTCCTCTCAATCTACCTCCGCAAAGCAAGACTCTACTACGGCTGCTCATCAGGTGCAACAGACCTCCCCTTCTATCTCGTTCCATCATTGGGTTCCTCCGCAATCTCAGCCAACTACCCCTGCAGGTAAAAGCCCCAACAGCTCTCCACACTCCGGCCACCCGGCCTCCGCCTCCTCATCCCAACCTCACCATCTTCGAAATGAATATCAGCAGTCACCTAAGAAGCGGAAAGCGCAAAGTTCTCATGCTCCCATTCCACCTCCCCCATCGCAGCTTTCAGAGGTTGCTACTACGGACGAGACTACTTCTCAGACCGGCCGTACCCCTCGGAATCGCTCACACTCCGGAGCTGGTGCGGAGAGGCGCCGGCAAAGCAGTTCGGCCGCTCAAGCCCGCTCAGCCGGGGAGTATACTTTCAAGATCAACACTAGGAATAATAGCACTGTGCATGCTAATCCCAGCCCTATCTCAAAGCAACAGCAGCAAGGAAGCCAACCTCCAGCCCCCGCCCAGACACAAATGCAAGTCTCTTCTCTAGTGCGCCCATCCGACCCAAACCGGACTCCCACCACCAGTCGATCTCACTCTCACTCGCGTGATGTCTCGCCGTCATCTCGCGATACTCGAGATACTACTAGAGAGATGGAGCCTCCGGCTGTGAACGAGCCAGACAATACTGCTCCTAGGGAAGCCATCGCCTCCACAAACTCTGGTAGTAGTGGAGAAAGCACAGTGTCATACCACACTGCATCAAACTCACTGACCCCTAACGACACAAACGGTCCGGTTCCCAATGGTGACTCCCTCCGCAATTGAATTTAGCCGTATGGTGGCTTGACTCTCTTTATGACTTGCCGACTACCCAACCCGGTAGGGCTTATTGGTAAATTTCTAAATCTCTGATGCCGTATCTTTTTTTTTTTTTTTTGGCCCTCTTCCCTTGCTCATTTCATTTTGTCATGTTTCGCCTTGTGTCTATTTCATGCTTTGCGCATCTTCATATGCAGATGATTACTGCTATGCTTTTGATTATCGCTTTTGATTTATTCACTCCAAGTTCCTATTCAACGTGCTAATCTATATACCATGGGTTTGATTTAATTATACTATCTAACGACTTGAGGTTGGATTCCCCTTTTCATTCTCGTCTGTTTTATTCTTAATGCCCGCTTATGTCCTGCTTTTTTATAATGCCTTGATTAGTCTATTTTACTCGTTCATTATTATTTATTCCTTTTTCTCCCCCTTCGTCATTCTTCTTCTAACTGCCTAGACTGGTGAAGCGGATAAGATCTCTCCTTACGATTCCATTTGTCTCTTATATCCTGTTTAATATCCTTCTCCCACCTCGTCCATCTTTCTCTGCTTGGTTTTCTTAAACCTAGATACCCAGTGTGGCTAAGGTCATGCATAAAAACAGCTCATGGGAGGCAACCTGTGTATTTATCTACTTTATCCCAGGGGATGTGGCTTGCCTGTCTTCCAGGCAGACAAGCGAGAAATAATATATTAAGCCCATAGGGCTACACGTACATTCTGCTCACCTCATATTCCCTTCAATGGCATGGTTCCGCCACATATGATATCACATGTGGCTTGCGGATATCATCTCCCGAGTCAAATAATGCCTGGCGCCCAGGTCTTGGACGAAGAAGACTGTGCGTTGTTAAGAGTAAGTTAGACAACGAGATGCTTCCTTTTGCCGAAGCATATCTTGTTCAATGCTGGGATCTCACTGCCGTGACACCCGGAGTGATCCCCCCGCGAGCGATAAAATACAATTTCTGAGAAATACAGAGCGAATACGGCTCACGAATCCATTGATATTTTAACCTGCTCTTACAGTCGCACAGATTGTGTTCGAGATGGTCCATTTAGTCTGTAAGTTGTTAACTCTCCCCTGCCTAACCCTTGAGTCTGGGCTACCTAGCCTCCATAAATTGGTAGACAGAGTGCACACGAGACGAAATCCAAAATATAGTCATTCAAGCATAGTTAGTTGGTGGCTAGTTACATACGCAGCCAACGAAACGGACAAATGTCGGTGTGCGCTTTTAACTAGCCTTCTCGATATGATAACAAGCTGCCTTCATAGTCCCATCAGGTTCCTTGCAACAGTAGAATTATTATCTACGAGCCGTGTAATAAGCTGGACTGCGAATCCAGGAACGTCATTTAGCGCCGACTTGAACTCGTCCTTTTGAATAAGATTATTGATATTGGCACAAGTCACTTGCACCAGTGTATCCCGAAGAGCCGGATCAGTAGTTGGGATGTCATAAACACCCCTAATGACATCAGGGTAGTCGTCGTCTTTCCAGTCAGAAAGAATGCTTGCGTGAAATTTATCTTTCACGCAGAATTTAAGCCCTTCTACGTCATATTTCTCAGCAACCGCGAAAACTTGGGCATCAAAAATGAAGGAAGCAGCGCTGGCGGCTGGATTGGTGTAATCGAATTTGTACATGAAGCTGAGCATTGCTTTGATTGCTTGGGGGTCGTCGTCTTTGAGCTCAACAACGCCCTCTAGAGTTTCCTGGTCGTCGATTAGCCTCACTTATACCCCAGCTACCAGATATTGATGTCTCAGGACTATCGCTTACCTTCCAGTCGTGTTCTAGCATGCGCGAAAAGAATGTCGAGTGGCTACACAACACCAGTTTGTGCACTTTATATTCCCCGTCAACCGTCCGGACTATGATGTCTGCAAACCGTGAGGAGTCATAATAACTAGCAAAGCTGAGCGTAAGAATAAGTCACCATTGGAAACCCGAACACGGAGATAAACTTACGTTCCAAGATTCCGGAAGAATGCCGTATTTTCTGGCTCGACCAAGTCCATCATCTTGTTTTGCCCTGGGGAATGATATAAATAGGACCTTTAGCTCGCATATTTTGAGGGCTACTCGAAAAATGCCCAGTTATATGTGTGAAGCACAATGTTGGATAAAGGTTTTTTTTTTTTTTTTCCCCTTCTTATTCTTTCGTTCTTTGTAAGCCAAAGCCCTAAGTTAACTAGTTAGAGTGTCAATGTCCAGTGTTGGAATGACAATTATATATATTGCGATCCTCCTTTGAGGTAGGTTGAGGGAGAATGATAAATATGTGTGAATCATAATATGATAAATCATGCTGACCTTTACTTGGTTACATGAGACTTCTGTGAGAGACAAGCTTTGAATAACAGCTGAATCGTTGACTTTGGCGTTAATGGATAGCTAATATCCTTTCCAGTTTGTCATATAATTGGGTGTTTTAGCAAAGATAAAGTGATGCAGCTCCAAGGAACTTCCTGGATATCAAGTAACTAATTATAGGAAGTGTAAGGTGATAGGTCTTTTCGCTTATTGTATCCTGAGGTTTCTGGTAGCTTTGTCGGATGTCCCGTAACTATAACCGACTTTGGGTTAGGGTTCTTCCCGCTCTGCCGCTTTGTATAACCGGCCTTGACTGGACCGAATACTCAACTCCCCTATCTATTTATGTACTGTATTGCTCTAAGCGTCGTTTTTCCTACTTAACCTGTATCAAATGAAATTCATGTTCAAGTGTAAACGTCTAACCTCCCGCTATATAAACTGAACCTTGCATGCATTGGAAGATAACAACACGGAAAATATACCAAAAGCCGTGGTTCATTAATTCTGGAAACATTCTAAAAGCATAATATTAACGTGCTGATAAATAACTTATGTGTTATACATCTGGCAAACATGTCTTTGCCCAATTGATGGGTATCGCGAGCTCAGACATATACCAGGTCGTCGTACCAAAGTGACATACAAAGACATAAGAACACACTCATCTAAGTAAGTCAAGTATCATAATAAAGAAAAAAAGTAGCTTTCCATTTCATCTTCACGTTCTAAGAGCGCAGTTAACGGTTCTCGTTTCCTAGTTCTTGAGGGACTTGACTGACGTGAGAAGGCTTTGAGTCTGGTGGCATTTCATATGGATGTGCGGTCACAGGTTGTGTTTGCTGTTGATACATAGGCTGTTGTACTGCTATAGGTTGTGACGCATAGGTTCTAATTAGACGGAGGCGCTTTCGTCGTTCATAAAGGGCCCAGCCTATGGCACCTATAGCTATGACGCCAAGAGGGACACCAACACCAGCACCAATAGCCACATATGTCTTCGATGCGTTTTCGAGTTCAACTGGAGCACTCATAGCGGAAGCATGTATGATGTCATTGCCAGGAGAGGTTGGATCGAGTCTGGGTACGGTGCAAGAGGCTCTGGCAAGGAGAGCGCTATCTGTGATAACATCGCCCCGATTGATGGTAAAGGGCTCCGTGTCCCCAGCACATGTTGTGGTGCTCGATGAATTGGCGACGATCGAGTTCGCGCAGTATAGAGCCGTATGGTTAACAAAGCTGTGGAGAGGGATTGAGCAGCCCGTTTTTCTTGTACTGGCTACTATTCAAGAAGATGTTAGCAACCGTCTACTTTCAAACAGGGAGACAAGTATTAAGCTGGCAGATGTAGGGGTGTACTTTTTGAGCAAGGGTCAGGACACCCAGACGATGAGCTCCAGTTCTTGTCGGTACACGTTCCACGCGCCAGGGTATATGGTTGGTTTGTTACAAGACAGTAACCGTTGGTCATGCAGATTGAGGACTTTGAGCAGCAATGTGTGTCGCGTATCCCTGAGAAACATGGCACATCGTCTACAGCAAGGGAGCCGTCTGGGAAATAGCAATCTCTTGCAGCGTACGCCGGTGCAGCCAATAGCAAATAGAGGAGTTTCCTTGACAATAACATCTTGATGGACGGGGGAGGGACGGGAGCAGCCTCAGTTGTGATCGAAAAAGGCCATAAAACGCGAAGGATGGGGGAATGAGGATAAATAATATGTGCCAGCTCCCCCTATCTTAAGCGGCCGCAAACTCGGTCGCCAGCCCTTCATGTGCTGATGGAAGCACCACCGCTGCACATCCTCTTCGTAATTGCTGAGGACAATAGCAAAAATTGTCCACTGAAGGGGTAAGGATCATCAGTTCACCCCACCGGCCAAATCCTTCAGGCGGCAGGGATGCCGTATCAAGCAAGGCGGCGGCGTCTCATGATATACCCCAACGGTATTTCGCATCTCAATCTCTGGCTGCATAGATCGCTGGCTTCGTTGGTTCAGCCATCAAAGCGCATGAGACGTTCCTTGACTTGTCCGTTCAAGCAAAGTAAACAAACGGTGGTTCTCGGACGTCGAGAAATAAGGTTGACAACCCGCGCCTGTGGAGCCTTTTCGACTGCCCGAAAGTCAAAATGAAAAAACGTGGGAAGCTTGTCACGGTGAAGGAGAGACGAACACTTAACACTTCCTCGGCGTTGGGGGAATTGGGATCCGAACTCAAAGGCCTACATATACTGTATTTTGCTCGGGAAATTAAGATTTGGCGGCAGCTAAGTCCGCACACAGTACTCCGTATAATCAAGATAGATGAATGGGGAGCTTCGTTAGAGGTGGGGTACATATTTTGTACAAATTAAGCACGAGTTGTCATAAAAGCCAGTCTAACCCAGCGTAGGGAGCAGCTAAAGCAAGAAAGACGAGTAAGAAGGTCAATGAACGAAGTAACAAAAAGGGGTAGGACATAGTAGAGACAGTAAATTTGAAGTGTATTAAATAAGATAGATGGTGAGGGTATCTCAGTAAATCTATATAGTGTAGATTTAGTATCAAAAGAAATAATAGGGAAGAAAAGAAAGAGAAAAGAAGAAATAGGAAAGGCCGCGTAAAGGAAGGCAGGTATTAAATCCATCTGAGATTAAATGGCAAGATGTAGTAAATAAGTAAGGAAAATGGTCAATGGAAAGGCATAACAACATAATACGTCCCATACGGGAGTGTGCATTAAGGGATAGAAGGAGCAACGGGGTGCGGTGATTATGTCTCTTGGAATGGTGGAATGGGAGAAAGTATATATATCAGGGGAAGGGATAGGGATCGACTGATATTAAATAAAGTGGGGAAAAAAGGCGTGTGCCAGAAGTCAGGAAGTGAAGACGAGACAAAAAAAGAAGATTAAACGCGAGCAGGCGGCGGCAGTACTTGGACTATCCTTCTGTGGAAGAATATATTATGAAAGGAATGTAGTAGTTTGGTATTAGAGTCGAGAGGAAGAAGGGTCTGGTGTTTAATGTCCCTTCTTTCGACAGTGAACTTTCCATTCGGTTCTGGCAACTCTCATGAAGAGCTCGATATCATTTATCGGCACCCAGCTGGTGAGAACTTTCATTGCATTCTCAAAGTCGGATTCGAGAATGATGTCCCGCATTCCGTCGATCAAGGCTGCGGAGGTTGCATGTAGAATATCAAGGCTCTTACCAAAGGGGTTGGCCACAGGGTGAGCAGGGCCGGTTCCAGTACTGGTAGCATCGGCGTGGCCGTTGGTACTGGCTGGAACAGGAGGCTGGATTGGTTCCCCGGAATCTCCCAGAAGCATGAATACATCCCATACTCGGAGTTGAGCAGCAAATGGGATGGAATAGTTGAATAGAGTCAAGTACCATCTGGTTCCGTAGGCAGTTGGGGGGATTCCCAGTTCGGTCTAAACAATGGGTATGGCGTTAGCATGCAGCTATGAAAGGATTAGAGAGTAAAGGAAAATCAGTAACTTACCAGTTTCTCAGCTACCTCCCCATTACCTAGCCAGTCTTTCTCAAAGCTATTCAGTGCCTCCATCAGACCAGCAAAACCTTCACGATAAAGTCGATCAAGTCCTCTGTATTGCCAGAGACGGACGAGCATGACAAAGGCGTTCTCCTCGTCATAGTAAGCAAGTAAAGTGGCAGCCAGTGCTGCCATACCCTGCACATAACCGGTTTCTGGGAAATACAGAGACATGGCATGTAGCACACGGAAAAGAAGTCTCTGTCCTCCACGGTATCGACGGCGGAACATGATATGGCTGCTAATGGTACGAGGGACGTCGATATCGATCTGGACGTCATCAGGAGAAGGATAAACCTGCAACTCATTAAACTTTCTAATCAATTCATCCTCGGTAGGGCTGTCAGGACGTTTCTTTGCACTGGCAGCTAAGAAGGCATGCCATGCTGTTGACCGCCAGCTGTCCGGGATTCCCTTCCAGGTACGATCGATGAGCTTGGTACTGGTTACGTCGAATTCAAAAGTCATGCCAGAGCCATCCTTAGCCTTGGAGGTAAGCCTGGCCATTTTACGCCACTTGTCTTCACGCTCAGATTCCTTCTTCCTCATGGCCTTGGAATAGGCTGTTTCATCTTCGGAGAAACTGAAACTATTGGTCTTTTGGGTAGGGCTGGTTAACATGTCACCGGCCTCGTCCAGGAGCTTGCGAGAACGGTTATGAGGGAGCTTGTTGGCTGCATAACGTAGACTGCTGGTGGTACGAGAAAGATGAGGCTGGTATGAACTCTGGGAGGAAGTTGGACGCATTGGTTGGTCACTGGTTCGCTGAGAGGAAGAACGGCCGGCAAAAGAACGGATACTTGCCGCCCCAGCCGTTGAAGGTGGACGTTTGGCCATAGTACGTTTCCGTCTAGGTGTGGCAGAGGCAAGCATCAAACTGGTCGAGACCCGTTGTAACGGCTGCGGTACGTGCGCTTCTGGCTCGCCATCCTCAGGATGAGGAATGATGAAACCATACCTATCGACGTAACCGTTCTCAATATCATTCCAGTCCTCTAAGCCACCAGCAAGCTCATTACTTTCTCGCTCAACCGTATTTGTCCTTCTGGCTGGGCTAATTGTATTCGTTGACACAGTTTCTGATTTCTCACTTGCAGGGTCAGTAGAAGCTGCATTTCCGTTTGCAGGAGAAGAGTCAGCATTTTCAGAGACATCTTTCTCCTCATCCTTGTCCATGAGCATGCTCTCATCTTCATCCAAAGCCTGGTTTAGTTCTGCCTCACTAATAAAATCCTCTCCCTTCTCGTACATCAACCTCACTTTTCGGGATAACATCTCTTCGTCCACCGACAAGGTACGAATGGTACCACCACTACCACTTCCAGATCTCACAACCCTCAACGAATTCGCAGATCGAATGCGTCGCGTGCTGATATTCCGCATAGTCGAGGAACTCACTTTCCTGGTGGGCGAAATTGTGTGTGCCTCATCAGCACTGAGCAGCTTTGGGTTGGTGGCTGTAGGCGGACTCCATTCGTTTATCTCGTCAATCGTAGAGCTGGTGATGTCCCCTAAAGACGCGCTTGGGATGTCCATTTTGATGCCTTGGAAGGGTGGGATGGGGGGAACGGGAGGTATATTACTTGAGCTAAGACTGGATATACCGGACCGTTTCCTTAGAGCTACCTCACCTCTAGTACCGCGCACCGAGCTCCATTTTCTCTCAGATAAAGATCTTCTTGAAGCGGGTCGGCTAGGAGCCTCGTCCACGATAATGCTGGGTATATCACCGTCGGCGCTCTGTTTGCCTCTCACGAGATTCAACGAACGTTTTCCGGCAGAGATAGTCGCGCGACGTTCCCTCGAGGCAAAGGCAGAAGAAGTGATCCGCGACCAAGCAGAAGAAGGGCGGGCGTTGGCATTGAAGCTCCTGAACGAGCCAGAGAAGGACGGTCGACTAAGTGGTTCCGCAGCCGTTTCAGCCTCGACTTCTAGTTTGTCGCGAAGTTTCGGGTCCTCAAGAGTTGCCACAAAGGAGGAAGGTTCGAAATTAACGGACTCCGCGTAGGAGGACACGACCGGAGATGACAGTGTTGGCGGTGATAGCGCTCGCTCTGAAGACGCGGTAGTTGCCATGCTGCGTAACCGGTTCGCCTGGATTGTATCTGCCCGGTTTTTGTTTTCCTACGTATATAGCTGGCCCACACACCAGCTCTTTGCGCCCAACACAGTAGTGGCGCACAAAGAGGGACGCAGAATCAGGAGCTTGCGAGTTGACGGGCAAGGGTAGACGAGGGCTTCGTTGGCGACCCTGTAGGCGGCATTCCCGAAAGCGAGCGGCCGGAGTGTGAACGTACGGGGGGAGGCCAAATATCGTGAACTGCAGGCGAGTCTGAAACGATGTAGCGGTACCACAGGGAAAAAAAGGAGTGACTGGGCGTTTGGGAACTAGTAGTTGCTCGCGTTGGGCTGCGCTGCGGGCAGGCTAGGGCATGTCGCTCGGCGTTTCAGCGGCCTGCGAGTATACCAATTCAGATATACCCCGACGACGACTTCAGCTGTCTGCTGGCGCCAGCATCGAGGGATCGTGGGATGCCCGGGGTGGTTCGTCGTGCGTTGCGCTGATGTCGAATCACTTTTTGCGCTTTTGCATGTTGACTTTCTGGGGAGGAAAAAAAGAAGGAGCGAAAAAAGAAAAACCTCCACTAAAGCAAAAAAAAAGGAGAGATTAGGTAATAATTGCTGACTAAGAGGATGAGCGGGTGGTGGGCATGTGACTCGACGCCGTTTTAGGAAGTGCTTAGTGAGATATAGATTAACTTCTTAGTCATGAATTTGTCAGTGAGAAGGTGCAAACATAAGGTGCAAACAAGCCGGAAAGGGGCGAAAGTCTCAGCCTCAAGCTTCTAATAGTGTAAGAAAGGAGATCAGAACAACGGTTTACGTCTAAGTATACAGGGCTGAAGAATACAGTGTTGATTGCTTGGGTGTAAACCATCGAGACGGTTAAAGCTCTTAAAGTCTATCTATACTCTTAGTCGACTAAGTTAACTAAATTAGTAACCATGACTAACTGGGTGGTTAATTATCTGGGGACTTGTTTGAGAAGAATCGACATACCTGAAATGATAGAACTAAGTCATGGTTTACTTTTGCTAAGTTCCACATTCCCCTTATAGGCAGAGATTGGCTTTCCATCTTGTATTAATAAAGCCTTCCTTGCAGATGACATGCCCGGTAGCCATCCAGTTCCCCGAATATAAACGAGGATAGGTAATCGCTATAGTCTATACGTGAAGCGGCTTGTATTGCGAATAATATATAGAGTCCCGTGTATTTTTCTAAAGAGAGCTAGTTCTGCTACTCCGGTATTTCGTAGGATCTCCCTTACCCTCGCCTTATCGATAGATATTTCTCCCGGGACAAAGTCACCGAGTTCAACTTCGAGCTTGCAAGCCCTTGAGTTCCAATACCTTTGCGTCACGTGATCACTTATCTAAATACTCACGTGATATGCTCTGTTAGGTACATAATGTACCGTTTTACTGATCCATCTTCAATAGATCAGTGATTAGCTCACTACCAATCTATCATATACGTTCTACCATTGATTCGTCTCTAGTCTCGCAGTACCTTTAGCCCACAAGCCTCACACTTACGGAGAATAAACTCCAGCATTGTCAGTGACGCGTAGCATGAGGTCACCCAGACTTCTTTATAGAGCTTGGACTCCATTAGGGAGATTCTGGCTTTGGGATTAGATCAGGCAATAATTGCATATAAAGATCTTGACTTAGAGGCTGAATTAGGGGTAATATGTTTTTTTTTAACCCAGGATATAAAATTTAATCTAGACTACCAGATTAGGCTAGTAATTAATAAATTTAAGATTGGTTGTTGGTGTGCTTTTTCTAGTATTTAGTCAACGTGCTTAATTTTTCAATAAGGGGTATTATTCACTTATTCCATTCTATGCCTATCTATCGCCCTTTTCTGTACTCATATAGTCGCTGAGGCATTGTTTTGCTATTGCGTTCCTTCGAGATTTCTTAGCCTCCCTTTGAAAAGTACCTAGTTAACTAGTTAGCAGGTGCAAGTGCCGCAGCCTTCTCCTTCTCGGCTCGTGCTTTAGCTAGCCTCTCCTCCTTGAGTTTGAGCAAATCAGTCAAGTTCCACGGCGAGTCCATGATATCAAAGAAGATTTCAACGACCTGGATGACGTCTGTCTTAAGAAAAGTCTCATTGTTCAAGATGACGCCGAGCTCCTTGTAAGTGCGCGCAGTGTAGCTTCTGCTGTCCTTGGCGCCGAAGAAGCAGAGCATCTTCTGGTAATCCCACATCTCAGAGATGTCGTTATACTGCTGCTCGGGGCCGTGGATGAGCCGTTCGATGGTGTAGCCCTTGTTGTTGACTACGAAGATGATGGGCTTGAAGCCCTCGCGGACCATGGTGCCGATCTCCTGGACGGTCATATGTAGACTGCCATCGCCGACAAGGAGAATGACGCGGCCTGGGCTGGAGGTCTCGCGACGGGCGAGGAGGACACCCAAAGTGGCAGGGACTGAGAAGCCGATGCAACTGTAGTAGAATTGGGAGAAGTATGTGGTGTTGTCGGGAAGCGTGAGGCCCTGGGAGCCGAACTGTGAGGTTCCCACTTCGGCAATGACAAAGTCGTTGGGCCGTAGGAACTTGGAGAGGCGGTCCCAGAAGCGAGCGTGGTCAAGGGGATCAGTACAGTTGTCATCAGATGGTTTCTATGGGAGATGTTAAAGATAATGGTCATTGCTAAAGGGTGACTGAAGCAGACATACCTCTGAGGTCTTGGGGAGTATCTTGGCAAGGTCTACTTTCCGTTGGATAGGTTCTTTGGCGAGTCTGGCGAGGAGCTTCGTAATAACAGGTCTAAAGTCAAGACCCTTCCAGACCTTTCCTCCCACTGAGCAGAATCCAGGGTGTAGTTCAATGAGCTTATCGGCGGGGAGCTGTGTGCTGAATCCACCCGTGTTTCCACTAACGTTAAACGGACCTAGGTGCAGGACAGCATCATGGGACTCTATCTGGCCCTTGAGGGCAGGGTTACTCGAGGTGATACCGCAGTATAGACCGGCATAGTGAGGATCGGACTCGTTGACAGTAGATTTACCTAGTGGCGTCGTATACCACTATCATATGTTAGAATCACTATTCAGTAAGAAGAACAGGCAGAGAGGGCAGGCTTACTGGAGCAGATAGCAGCTTGATAAGCTCACTTGTTTCCTTGTACAGGTTATGCCTGGACATCAACATGTCAACCAAGACACCGGGATCCTTGGCTTGACTCATACGCTTGACGACTTCCTCGACAACCTCATCCTCCTCCTCCTCTCTACCCTCATTCCTCACAGTAAGGTCAAGGGGTTTCTCCAACGGGGCGGCATCAATCGGACTATCTTGAATATCCAATGGCACGAACAGGTAGACGGGCAGCCTCCTCTTAATAGCTGTTTCAATCACACGGTCCACCTCGGCAGCAACCTTACTCTCGTCATCCAGGAAGGCAGTAGCGGCAGCTACAGGCTCAACCATCTTCTGATACGTTCGGTGGTCCCACTGGTCCATCCACAAGGTATGATGGATACGCGTGTGGTTGCGCTGCATGTCTCTCGACGTGTTTCCCACGATATGGATGACTGGTATGTATTCACTGTACGCGCCCACTATGCCGTTCAGGGCACTCAGCTCTCCAACTCCGTATGTAGTGACGACGACGCCGGGCAGGGAACGAGCACGGGCGTATCCATCCGCCGCGTAGGCAGCGTTCAGCTCATTGCAGGTGCCAACCCAGCGCAAATCCGGCACGCTGTAGACATGGTCGAGCAGGTTCAGGTTGAAGTCACCAGGTACTCCAACGATATTGCGAATGCCGAGCTGGTGTAGACGGCGAAAGATGTACTCGCCAACAGGGATCGTAGACATGGTCACTTCTGTATAGTTGTCTGGTTCCCTGTGTTCCTGACGGTCGTGATGCTAAATGGAGTGCCGGGAGAATGAGCGTGGGGCCGGGTCTGGATCTGCGGCAGAGAGTAAGCGAGGGATGTCTGATATCAAGGGAAGATCGAGATCGAGAAACAGGCTCTTCTCTATATATGTACCTGTAGGGATGCTTCTTCCCCTCCACGCTCGGCTTTTCGCTCCTGCTGGTTCTTTTTTGCCCCGCAAAAAACGCCCTTCGACTTCCATGCTTCGGCCCGACGGAAGCTTAGATAAGCAAGGGTAAACGCCGGGCGCCCTTGCCCTAGCCCTAACCTTGAGCCTTTCCAAAAGGGGACACCCTCCTTAGTATCAGGGGAGCTCTGGAGACAGTTGGAGACAACAAGCAGCAACAAGCGTGGCCTCTTCTGCTTGTCTGCCTCTTTCTCCCTGACTGACTGACTGCTCGTTGTTCCTCCAGATTCACTCTGCTACCTCGGCTAAACTCGGGTGTTTTTCTCCGCCTTCGCCACCGGCTGTAGTGGAGAACATGCAGGAACTAGCAGAATAGTAAAGGAGTAACTTGTTGGTAGATAAGATAGATATACAGGTAAAAAACGACGTCACCTTGGGCGAGAACTAGATCTCTCTGTTGACTGCTTCATTGTATTAGGACTTCTATATCCACACTAAACATCCAAGCATGCCTATTTCCAATATGATACTCCTAACCTCCCTCATCACTGTGCCTGCGCCTGGCTAGGAAGGTTTTCTATCTGCCGTACTAGGAAGCTCTTCTCGTCTGTAAACTGGTCATCGTCTGTTCGGTCTTCCAGAAACTTGGGAAGGAATTTTAGCAGTCTCTCTCGATTATTGATTAGAATCCGCTGGACAGCCACGCTTTTGTTCGGATTGGCCACAAATACCTATGTCATATTAGCTAAAGGTCTGAATACCACTGATAATAGAAGACACATACTTTGAAGATGTGGAAACCCTCATATTGCACCATTTTGCGGTCGTCTCGAAGCAGGTTCATGCATAGTTTGAGGTGATCACCGCTGTCCACGTACGCTGTCATGACATTGTAGTTGGCCCGATCAAGCAGCAGCTCGCCCAAAAGCTTAATGCTCTGTCTCTTGGTCACGTACGAGTCAGACAGCACCAAAATGTTGTTGTATCTGCTGAAAAACAGGTCGAAGTTGGCACTTAGGTAGCCGGCCACCAGTGCCTTATGACGAGTCAAGATATCCTAACCGTGACGTTAGTTACCAGCATAATAACCATGGAAATATATAGAAAAACATACCCTAAACGTGGTAAATGCATCTGCGCTTACTTCAAAACTACTCTGGTTGATCCAGCCCAGAAAACTCCAGAACAGTCCCTCCCCGCTCTGCTTCTTTCCTGGCTGTATCTCGTTAAGTCGTATTGCTCTTTCGCCCTCTCCAGACTCATCGTACAAGATAATACCGGCCACCACCTCGTACTTCAGCGCTTCTCGTAGAATGGAGCCACATGGCATTGCGCTTTTGTTGTTTTCATACCCTCGACATAGCTGTGTCAGGATCTCGGGCCGCTTGTGGACGACGTACGAAATGACGGGCGGGTCACCAGATGTAGACGAGACAGAAGCAGCACCTCCACCGCCCGCGGAATTAGGCATAGTTGAAGACGCGGCCGATGTGTCAGGTCTGAAACGGAGGATATGCGAGAATATGGTCTGGGTGTCCTTGCGAGCTTCAAACGGTAGATTAGGGATAGATCGCGCAAGTTCGTAGAGAAGGTCTTCCTGTAATGATGCGTGGACAAGTTGCTGTACCTGGTCGGGTAATGTATCGACCTCTATTTTCCACCTGGTTAGCAGACATAGTGGCACAAATGAGTATTGAGTACGAGCGCATCCAGACCTTGCGTCCCCTGGACTATCAACTTCATGTGGCCCAGCTGCTTAGCTAGGTCTTCCTCAACCTGCCAGTCTTATTAGTATTTCATCTGAAGTAGTGTCTCTCTGGTACTTGAGGGGTTCACCTTTGCATCTCCTGGGACATCCCGCAGCTTGACCAGCAGGTCTTTGGTTGTCCTCGCAACCTCTGCGGGCTGCCGCTGTCTGCTCCTGTTAAATAGAAATGCCATCACTAGATAAAAAGATAGACTAGGTCTTCTCCTCTTTCTCTACTATTCCCAAGGTCCTGCTCATATAAGACGCGCTTTCAGATCAGGGGAGATAGTAGTGCCGCGCCGCAGTATAGTGCAATGCAATGGATAAAAGGCAGATATCAGTGTAAAGGGCCACTTCCTAGTTCACAGTCATCATTGTCCGCCTAGCTTCCCTTCTGCCTAATTCCTGTCTGTGTAGAAGCTGTGTTTTGGTGGTGAAGGGCAGCAGATGTTGATGTTGATGTCACTAGCTGAGGAGCTCTGTTACGTTAAATAGTTATCGATCGCAAGACTTTTTGCCCCACTCGCGCAGAAAATCATCCTATTTAGTTATCTCGATATTTTTTTTTTTTTTCTTTTAACCTTGACAATAATACAAAAATTCAGACAAACATCTACAGGCTTCCAACTTGGAATACCTACTGGCTACTTGCTAGCTCTGCTTGTTTAGCGATATTTTATCTTGTTCTATCTGCGACAATGAGTCCTCCACCTACGCACGATGACCGGGATAGCGACAGTGACGAATCGGCGCCTGAAGAGCCCCTCGATCTTACCCGCGACGATGGATGGGAAGACGTAGAGCCCGAAGAAGAGAGCGAACCCATTGTTGGCCTTTTCACAGACAAGATATACCCTGACACTCGTTCAATGCTGGAAGAAAGCAAGGAGAAGTTTGGGTTCGACTTTGTTCGCGTGCAACAACAGTTGGGTGTGTACCCAGCCGGTCACTGTCTACGGTATCAACCCGGTTGCTAACCACTTCATATATAGGACTTGACTTCCTTGGGACTATCAGGCTGGTCAATTATATCCGCTCAGAGGTGAAGAACGGCAACACGAAGCCTGACGTCTCCAGCGCCGCCCTATTCGAAGATGAGAAATATCTCAAGCCTGTTCTGGAGGATGATGCACTGCTATACAACTTAGACGATATTGCAGACCTGACTGTTGGAGAACAACAAGAGGTAGCAGACAGACTAGGAAAAATAACTGATTCAGCGCGGATAAAGGATCTTGAGAATGAGCTTAGTAACCTCCGCGACGAATTTGCAGAGTATAAGCAGATGGTGCAGAAGGCCCTGAACCAATCCATAGAGGACGAGGGTGAGAGCAGCAATAACAAGGGAGATTCTTCAAGCTCGCGGTCTTTCCAGGAGGCAGAAAAGGGATACTTCACTTCATATGCCTATAACGGTGCGTATACATAACACGCATCGCTTAGTCTCACTGTCTGGACTAACGACAACAGCAATCCACGAGTCGATGATAAAGGACTCCATTCGGACAGATGCGTACCGTGATTTTATCTATGATAACAAACACTTGTTCAAGAACAAGGTTGTTCTAGATGTTGGCTGTGGAACGGGTATCTTGTCAATGTTCTGCGCCAGAGCCGGCGCAAAGCAAGTGATTGCCGTTGATAACTCAGATATCATCAGCAAGGCACGAGAAATCGTATATGAAAATGGATTCGATAAAGTCATCACGTAAGCATCATCTACCACGGTCATCTTTTGATGGTCCATATCTAATGAGAATTATAGATGCCTGCGTGGTAAGATTGAAGAAGTCATCCTTCCCGTGAAGCATGTCGACATCATAGTCTCCGAATGGATGGGCTACTGTCTCCTCTTTGAGGCTATGTTTGATTCTGTTCTCTGGGCTCGCGACCGTTACCTCGTACCTGGCGGTCTCATGGTCCCTTCGCATGCAACCATTCGCATTGCGCCAGTTGCCTCCGCGGACATCGTCCAGGAGCACATTACCTTCTGGAAATCAATTTATGGCTTTAATATGACAAGCATGCTCGAAGGCGTACATGATGAAGCTATTGTGCGTAGTCTCCAGCCCGATATCATCGCTGCTGAATCAGAGCTCTTCTTTTACATGCCGCTTCATACAATCACGGCCAAGGAGCTTGTATTCACCAAGGAATTTTCTGTCACGCTCTCCCGGGATATTGACTCTCTAGACGGCTGGGCCGTATGGTTCGATATAATATTCATGCCTTCGGCTGATAGCAAATTGACTCCCGAAGAGGCCTTGCCAGAAATAATGAAGAAACGAGATATAGTAGCCTTCACAACTGGCCCCGATGGGAAACAAACGCATTGGCATCAGGGTCTCTTCCTCATTGACCAGAAGAAAAACCCTACTGCTGCAATGAAGAAGGGACAGGTAATTAGTGGCTCTATCGAGTACCAGAAGAAGGATGAGAAGTCACGCTTGTTAGATATCACCATTGGGTGGAACTCGGATGGCAAGTCTGGAAGCCAGAAGTGGTCTTTGACATAGTTCATATGAGGATAGAGAGCGATTAGAGCATTGGGCGGGTTACTTGATGGACATCACCTTTGATCTATGGGTAATGGGTATAGAGAAAAGCGGGTTAAATTATCAGGAGTTTATGGGTATCAATGGGGGTATAAAATAACGAGCTTGTTGTCTCAAGTGCCTGCGAATTGAGCACTGTATCTTTTTCCTGAAGCTTGACTCCAAGCAACAGACACTTTCTCGGGTTTCGGCCCAGTTTTGGATTCATGTCTATCATTGCGCCTTTTCCGGTGTGCCTCGTCATGCCGTGACCTGTCCCTTCCGCTACCTCGATCTCGATCTCGATCTCGAGAACGGCTTCTATGGTGCCTTCTTTTCCTCCTTTCAGCCCCAGCATCTAGCCTGAAACCATCAAGGCTATCATCTGAATCAACATTACCCTGGTGCCTTCGTCTTTGTCGTTTCTCCTTATCCCTATCTTCTCTTTTCAGAGCCTTGAGCTCTCTCTCCCTTTCCTCAGCCCACTTTGTTCTCTCCTTCTCCACCTCCTTTAGCTGCTTCACACCTTTCTTCATCGCCGTCAGCGGATCGTTCGTAGCTATTCTTATTTTTTCCCTCTCTTGTCTTCTGGGGTCTTCGTCTCCCCAAACGTTCTTATTAGGTAGCCCGGCGTTCTGTGTGGATATTTCCGTATTTGAGGAGTACCATGGCGTAGAGGTCAGCTGCTGTTTATAACCCGCAGCATTGGAGAGCCGCATCATATATTGGTCTTCAAACTCTTGGTTCTTTTTTGCAGTTTCGGCTTCAGCTTCTGGGTTCTTGTCTGAACGGCGCGTTCGAGACATTGATTCCTCGGGAAACAAACTGATGTGTCCTGACTTATCGACAATAGGTGCATCGTCAGTACGCCGGCGAGATGCCTTAGATTCAACTCGCTGACGTGCCAGCTCAGCATCTTCTTTTGCGAATCGGATGTCACGATCGGTATCATTTTCTCCAGCCAGCCTTCTCCTTTTCCGGTGTCTCGACTCTACAGGAGGTTTCTCACGGGAGCGAGAATGGCGCTCTTTTTCATCCACAGCATCATTCAAGGGTAACGGTATCTTCCCACGTAAAATGTCTATCCTCCTCTCCGCATCTTCTTCCCGTTGCTTTCTTTCATTTTCCTCCTCCTCAGCCTTTGCGCGAGCTTCATCTCGGCGCACTCTTTCGATGTTGTCCTTGTTGTATACGTTCCATGACTTCTTCCCTAACAAATGTCTATAAATAACATGTCAGCATGGACCCCAGCTTCATGCATATCAATAGTCCCACTTACAACGGCATCGTCCAGTGCTTTTTCTTGCTCTCCTATGATGTTTTCTTGACGTGCGGTCAAAAAGCAAGGAAGGCCAAAAGTGACGACACTGCTGACTAAGACAGACCAGCTCCTCCAGCGCATCGAAGTCGCCTGAAGGCAGCAAGCGAAACAACAAGACGACGAAGAGCAGACTTGACACATTTCAAGTCTGTTTCAGATTTTGAGGGACGCTATCTAGAACATATATACCGATACTATCCACGCAGATATCCCCTTGCTACCTCACGACTATACAATAAGCCGATTTGTTTACGCTAGCAAACCCCCGCAAAACGGTGGATAGCTAGCAGGAACCGCACGCAGCATGTTCAATCCGTTCGGATCAAGCAATCCACCTCGTGGTGATGCCCCTTATCCTCCTCGAGCACCTCAACAACAACGGGGTGGCTATGACGGCGGTTATGGACAGGATCCCCGAATGGGAGGTATGAGCGGAAGGTACGTTTTCGAGTATATACCCTTCTACGTGGCTGGATATACCGTTGTGGCTGACGGATGTAAATGAGAATAGCAGCAGTTATGGGAGTTCGCCAATGGGTAGACCAGGTGAGAGACAGATGCCTCCTAGACCTACCGGAGGTCGAGGTGGCGAGGGGCAAACCTGGTCTTTGCGTCCTGCCAAAAGTCCGGATAATTCATACACCTATGGAAACCTGTACGTCTTGATATTCCCTAATCAATAAGTTACATGGGATGGAGTCTAACGGTAATTTGTTTTGTTATAGTGTTGCAGTTTCTCCCCGTGATATCCCTCGTTCCCGTGACGGCACCGATGTCCCAATTTTGGTCAATGGGCTATACGTGTTTTCTGCTCGCCCCATGGAGGGTTTCCCTCAGGGTCATATCAGTATGTCAGATCCACAGAGGACATGGGCGCAGGTTGCCTTGACCGACATGGTGCAGGTACAGCTGTACGATGCGTTCAGTCAAGGTAGCCAGGCCTACCTTGGGTCTATGGATATTGAAGTGAGCTTTGCTGGAAGAAAGAGGACAGAGGTCCCTTATGACCAAGATCAACTTGCTCAGACATTTATCAAGGTAGGTTTGAGGAGTACGATGATGTTTGTTCGTGGCTAGATATTCAGTGCTAATGCAGCGTAGAACTTCGAGGATCAGATTCTTGCACCTGGTCAGAAGATACTCATGGATGACAAGAGCATCCCTTTGCTATTGACAGTGAAAACGGTTCAGCTTGGTGATTTAACTACAGAGAAACCATCTTCCTCTGCACCAACCTCGTCGGATCCCCACTCCAGAGGCATTCTAACAGGCTATACATTAATCAACTTTTTCAAGGATGCAAAAACCGGAATCAATGTTAAAGCATCTAATCGACGACCAGCAGCAAATTCAATAGTCCAGCCTGATTTCAAATTTGAGAATATGGGAATTGGCGGTTTGGACACAGAGTTTAGCACCATCTTCCGAAGAGCTTTTGCATCCCGTATCTTCCCTCCAGGACTTGTCGAGAAGCTTGGTATCCAGCACGTCAAAGGTATCTTGCTTTATGGACCTCCTGGAACAGGTAAAACTTTGATTGCAAGGCAAATTGGAAAAATGTTGAATGCCAGAGAGCCTAAGGTTATCAACGGCCCCGAAGTGTTGAATAAATTTGTTGGCCAGTCCGAAGAGAACATCAGGAAACTCTTTGCCGATGCCGAGAAGGAGTATAGAGAGAAAGGTGACGAGAGCGGACTACACATTATCATTTTTGATGAATTGGATGCTGTTTGCAAACAGAGAGGCAGCGGTGCCGGTGGTGGAACGGGTGTTGGCGATAGTGTTGTCAACCAACTTCTATCAAAGCTCGACGGTGTTGACCAGCTAAACAATATCCTCCTTATAGGAATGACAAACCGAATGGACATGATTGATGATGCCCTACTGCGTCCAGGTCGACTGGAGGTCCATATGGAAATATCCCTCCCAGATGAACATGGCCGGGCTCAAATATTGAAAATCCATACCCAGAAAATGCGAGAGAACGATGTTATGGACCGAGACGTGGATCTCAAGGAGCTTGCAGCACTTACCAAGAACTTTTCAGGTGCCGAGATTAGCGGATTGGTGAAGTCAGCTTCGTCCTTTGCCTTTAATCGCCACGTTAAAGTGGGAACCATGGCCGGTATAAGTGATGATATTGTTAACATGAAGGTCAACCGAACAGACTTTCACAACGCGTTAGAAGAGGTAAAGCCCGCCTTTGGTGTTTCTGAAGAAGAGCTCGAGACTTGTATCCACGGAGGGATCCATCATTTCTCACGAGCGGTGGGTGAGATTCTGGAAGAGGGTAACCTCTTCGTCAAACAAGTCCGTGACCCAGAATCAACGACATCTCTTTTCTCAGTGCTTCTCCATGGGCCACCTGGCAGTGGAAAGACGGCTCTAGCTGCTAAGATTGCGATTGACTCGGGTTTCCCCTTCGTCAAACTAATTAGCCCAGAAGATATGGTGGGCTATAGCGAGATGGCCAAAGTGCAGCACATGAATAAAGTGTTCACAGATGCCTACAAGAGTCCAACCAGCGTTGTTGTCATGGACAACATTGAGCGAATCATTGACTGGGTGCCCATCGGACCACGATTCAGCAATTCCGTCCTCCAAGCTGTGATGGTGCTGCTCAGGAAACAACCTCCTAAAGGCCGTCGTCTCCTGGTCCTTGCAACCACGACTGAACGATCAATCCTGAAGCAGCTTGACGTGTTCACTTCGTTCAATGCGGACATACCTGTACCAAACATCAACACCTACGAGGAATTAGCCTACATCTTGCAGCAGGAACAGACTCTGTCTACTGACGAGATCAAGTCTGCTTTGTCACGGATTCGAGAATTGACACAGAGTGATAAGATTGGAGTCGGTGTGAAGAAGGTGCTGCTTGGTGTTGGCACTGCAAAGCAAGACACTGACAAGGCCACTCGGTTTGCGTCTGTTATCGCTCGAGCAATGGATGAGCAAAATTATGTATAGAGAGAGGTTAGCACATGCTAAGATGCAGGATTAAACCCTGGCCTTATATATCTGTTTGTTGTCCTTTTGCAGTGTAATTCTATATTCAATTCAAGTACGTCTCCGCTTGAAATGGGTCATATAAATACACTGCTTCCCTATATATCCCGCTGGACTATCTATTGCTTTATTAATAAGACAACTTGTGATATCCCCCCTACCAGTTTCTTACCTCAAAAAGTGTCTCTTTACTGAGAAACCAGGCGTTTATAGACTGGAATATCCCAATATCCTTGTTGAAGCCCCTTAACAACACATCTCTTGCCTGCACGTGATGATTTCCTAAAAGGGAAGAGGACTGATATGACAAAATAAAACTTCGCTTAGGCAAATATCAACCACACTCTTTGTTACTGCAGAGACGCTCTTCACAGCTCTCTTTTTCGGCTGAAGTCTTTCCATTCTATCTTTGATAACGCGTCTCTATACAAGTAGAAGCCATCCTCCTTCTCCCCCTATCTACAAAGCAAAGCGTGATATCAACAAGACAGGACGTTGCCGAACATGGCTGCCAACGATAGCACCAACAATGTTACAGGCACCAATGCTGCTGCTGGGCCTGCTGCACCAGCTGCACCAGCTGTGCCAGCAGGATCTTCCACTCGATTCTATAGCAAACATGCTCAGAATAAGGGACAGTATGGACGCCGCTGGGACTCCTCTGAGAGTAAGCTCGAGACCTCTGGCCCTCCTGGCGCCCCGAACTCCTTTCCTGGACCGCGTCCTGCAGCTCCTGCAGCTCCTCCAGCAGCATCGAGACCAAACCCAGCCCGCCCCCCCGTTTACGCCTGCTCCTAGAAAATGGGGTCCAAGCCCTGCGGCTGGAGCTCCAGGGTCCTCTTCTGCTGGCGCTGACACTGGAAAAGACTACAAGCGTAAGAACCGCAAGTTCAAGCCTAAAAAGGAGAGAAAGGATGGCACGCCAACCAATACGCCCGTGTCTGATGCCCCTGATGGGCTCAAGGATACCACTAACCGCCGTCCTCAGAGACGCAACATGCCTGGGACTCGCAACCCAGGCATGAGACGTCGAAACGAAGAAGGTGGACGCTCTGCAGCCCCAGGAGCCAACCGAGATGAGCCAACAGTTGTCGAAGCCCCTGCAAACGACAAGACTCCTGCTGTCCCTGCACAGGAAGACAATGCTGTCAAGGAACAGCCAGTTGGTACTGAGGAGCCCAAGGCTATGACGCCGCCCAAAGAGGAGGATGCCAAACCGGCCGAAGTTAACCAGGCATCCGATGCTCCTGTCCCCAAAGACGTTGAAGGTACGCATACCCCCTTTATTTGTTTTTGTGCAGGTCAATAACAATGATACTAATGCATGTCGACAGTGTCTCCCCCAAAAGACGCTGAGGATACACCCAAGCCTGCTTCTGAGCCTGCAGAGGAAAAAGCAGAGGCAGTACCTCCTCTCATCAAATGGAGCCCCATCTTCCCTCCAGGTGGTCCTAGTAGGTCATAAACATTCCAAAAATCATGTATCAGGTCCCATACTAACCATGGCTCTAGGACCAACTCCCGCCCTCAACGACGGAGCCTCCGGCGAGCAGCCTAAACGCACCAACTACGTCGACGCGAATGGCAACTACCATGCCCCCAATGGAACGATCATGAGCGCTGAGCTTCTCAAGCTGTTCGCTACCGGAAAGATCCGCAACTCGCTGGGCGATAAGGTGTACTTCATGCCGTCCTTCATTGAGAACCACCCCCCAGAGGGCCAGCAGCCCTATCCTCTTGCCGGTACTCCCTCGCGCATCTTCTATGATCCTAGAGACTTCAAGAAGGCCTCGCAGTGAGCGATGAGTGATATTTTCGTGGTGGTGGTCTGGGTATACTTTAGTCGGAGAGGTACCGTTGGCTAGCTAAAACGGAATAGGAGACAGAACAGCTGACGTGGGAAAAGAAAATGAATTGGAATGAAAAAAGGTGCAACAAAAATTCTCAGTCGCAGCAACTACTGTGATGTATGTACATCTGAAACAAGAAGGGGAAAAGAGGAGGTAGAAAAAAATAAGGATGATAGGTAAAAAAAAAAAAAAAAGGAGAGGTAGCATGCAAGCAGACCAGCTCAATAAAAGAAGTGATATCTCTCCAGGTCAGGGGGCGTACACCACCCACACCCACCACACCCACCACACCCACCACACCACACCAGAGCAGCGGACAGACATAGTACGTACCTTTAAAGGTAGCAAGCAGCAGTAGAGTAGACGTTAACAGGCAGAAAGGGCCTCCTTTATAGTTATCTTATGTGCGATGTTACACCTCAGCAAGATCAGACCCGAGGATATATACCCACCCACACCCACAAACAACACCATCCACGGGACCCCGTCGGAAAGGGTATTATTCGTATTACAGGGCATAAAAAGAGCATAAACTAGTATAACAGCCTCTCTCACGGGGCCAGCTACGGCAGACGTATCAGTATTACGCTTACTGTTACTGTGGGAGGATCAAATAGGTCACTTGCCGGTTCTACGCCACACAGCTGAGCAAGCAGCACCCGAGGGGACCATATACGGCGGATCAGTACTACGGCATACAGGCGTACATAAATTACAAGTCTAGAAGGGATCCATGGGCCCGGCACGCGCTAATAAGGGCCGTTGATAGGTGGAATCGTCTTTTAAGAGTTCCCGATATGCAGGTTCCCTTGCGCCCCTCCCCCCTGGTCCAGCACCCTGAACGTAAGGGGGGGCAGGCAGGGGGTGCAGCGGTACGCTTGGTCCCGCTAGCTGCAGCGGGGCGGGGGGCGGAAACCCCGGGCGGAAAGGGCTGACGGCGGGACGCTACGGGCCAGGGGTGTGGGCGGGAGGTTGGAGGGCGGTTTGCGGGGATGTGCTGGCTGGCCCAGACATTGTGCGGTGGATTTTCTGTTTCTGGCGGGCAGTATCGAGCTGGTTGTGGCATAGTAGCTTGGTATCGTCGTCGCTGGGTCAGCGCTGGTGGTGGTGTTGCGGGAAATGTGATGTATCAGACGAAGTGTGCGGAAAAAAAAGGGGGGGGGGGGGGGGGGGGTAAGCAGGTATAAATCGGTCGAATTCTGATCACACCAATTTTGTATGAACATAAAAAAAGCCATTAACAGCAGAATATATCCTCCCACTCTGTACCCGTGAATAAAAAAAGATGACGAAATATTAAAATAGATCAGCGTGGGGGGGGAAGAGGGGCTGAGACATCCATAACCCGGGGTCCAAAAAAAAAGCAGCGCAAAAATCCAGCCAAACGGAACATTCTGCCTCCCAATTGTTTTTTTTTTTTTAGAAGCAGGGAAAAACTGAAGAAAAAGCAAGGAAACCGGTACTCCTGTGCCTGGGGGAATTCATCAAAAAAAGAAAAGAAAGTCGTTAGCTTTGCAGGGTCGTTAAAAGTGGACGGGATATCGATATCCAGGGGGTGAAGATTAGTAGTCCTCAGGATAAGCGTATTTGCTTGATGCAGAGCGGTATTCCTTTGGAAGCGCCGATTCAGCCTTTGCCTTCATGGCACTGCAGATTCACGTATTAGCAGAAAATTCCAATCGCTGATATAAGGGCGGTTTTGCGAAGGGGGAAAAAAAAGCGGCCACCTGCAAAATTGCCAAGGACGGCGGGGCGGAGAAAACAGAGCAGGGGCGGAGCGGGGCGGAAACCGACATGGTTACCAGGAATGGCAGTGTGTAGAGGGGTGTAAATGCAGCAGAAAATGGGGTTGAAGCGGGTGCAGAGGCTGAAAAAAAGCGACTGCAGGGAGGAAACTCACCCGACCCGTTTTTGGGTCCACTCGAGGTCGGCCTTGGTCTCCTTTGCGGCCTTGATGCCCTCTGCGAAGTTTGCTCTGGCGCCCTTGACGCGGCGTTGCATGAGCGCCTGGAGTTCGAGGAGCTCGCGCTGTTTAGCGTTGAGCTGGCCGGAGCTGCAGAGAGTCAGAACACGATCATGAAACAAGCACTCGCTAGTAAGAATGCTAGGAAAGAAAAGAAAGAAAAGAACAGAAGGGGTTAAAAGAAAAAGGGGGACGAAGAGACGTACAGCTGGGTCTGCTTAGCGATGCCCTGGTCGAGACGGGAGGGATCGAAGACGTTGCTCATGCGGTCGTTGAGGGTGTCGATAACGTCGACGCCCGAGTAGCCGGCCGAGGAGTCGTATTCGCCGCTGGCGCTGCCGGTGGTGGTGCTGACATCTGAAACCTCAGGGGGAGAGCCGGCAATGCGGGAGACGGGGTAGTAGCTGGCGCTCTGGGGGGCCTTGGACGGCATGTTGATGGGAAAGGAGGCATTGTGGGCTCGCATGGCAGTCTCCATTGTGACAGCAGTGTTTTGATGGCGAGGACAGTAAGGATGCAGAGGCAGGAGGGTATAGCTACTGGGTATCAGGGGCAGCAGTGTATGCAATGCAAGGCTACTGTGCTAGTATGAAGACGTAGGAGTATGTATGCAGCAGGACAGGAGGCAAGACGGCAGTCAATGCTAGGCAGGGCAATGCAGACGGGCAAGACGATGGTCGAGAAAATAAGGAAGAAGGAGGAGGAGGACCAGACGAGGACGAGGAGGCCCCTTTTATACCCCTCGAGGCCCTCCTGGCCTGCCCGAAGGGGGATAGTCCCGCTGGCTCCCTCCCCCCGGCTGCGCTGCGACTCCCGCCGGCGCCCCCTTCTGCCCTTGCGGCCCTTCGTCTCGTCCCTTCGTCGTCATCGGAGGAACAAGGGAGAAGACGAGGGAGCAACGGAAAAAGAAAAGAAACGAGAAAAAAGTACAGCGCCCCCCTTTTCCCTGTGGTCGACCCCCCCCCCCCCCCCCGGCCCGTCCGTCTCCAGCGTCCCAGTCCTGATCCCTTCCCGATCCCTTCACCCCCTTCTCGCCCGCTGCCTCTGGCCTCCCTGCCTCCGTCCGCCGATTCGCTGCTGGCGCTGGCTGAACCCCGCCTCGCCCCCCGCGGAGGCCATGCCCAGCTGCTCGCGGATTCGCCAGAGACAGGCGCTAGAGCTGGGGGGGTTGCAAAAGTCGAGTTGAGGAACTGGCAGCACACACGGTAACAAAAGTGTAAAAACGGGATGCGAATTGACGGCCAGCAGCGAGGCCTGGGCTGGGATCCGGCGGCGAGCGGCCAGAGAGCCAGTCCCCCTGCAGTCCTCTCAGCGGCCGGCGACACCCTCCATCAGTGCTGCGGATCGGTCGTTCATCGGGCGTTGGCCGTTGGGCGTAGGGTTGGTCCTCGTCTGTCTCGTCTGTTTAGTCAAGTAACTTGGGCGCAGGCAGACCAGAGACGAGGATGCGGTCGATCGATCGATGGTTCCTTTTTCTTAGCTGCTAGTTAGTTAGCTCGTTAGCTAGACAGTTATAATACTAGCCAACTAGTTATTGGAATTTTTTAGTTAATATTATCAAGTGGTTATTATGATGTAGATGTGACTGTGTTCAAAGGCCGTTGATTTGATACTGCGGCCTTTTTCTCGGGCGGCGGCAGAGGTCGATATAAAGGACGCAGCAGGGCCAGCAGGCAGCCAGTCAGGGCCGTCAGGTCGTCAAGAAGACAGTCGGGTAGCCAGAGAACTAGATAAGCTGGGTCAATCGTCGGGGGACAGGCGGCAGTGACCTGATATATCAAAGTGCTACGAGCTGTCAAGGGCCTTCACCTCCACGTCTCAACGGTCTGGCGGGCTGCATGGAACTAGCTGCCAGTTGCATCTGTCATTGGCTGCCATTGAAACGGGACGAGCTGCTGCTGCCTGACCGTCGCTGCTCGCATTGAAACTTGCGGCCAGACGAGCAGACCAGGTCGAGGAAGTGGACGAAGTGGGCGATGAAGACGGAGTAGACGACGAAGACGACGAAGACGACGAAGACGAAGGAAGACGAGAAGTCCAGATTCAAAGGAACCATGATCATCCTCTCATTCTAACAGCCGGCCGTAACCAAGTCGCCGTCTAGTCAAGATGTCACTGATGTAACTACCAGGGAGTTGGTCCGATGGCGGTTGTATCGACGTCAAGGTTTAGTTACCCAGACGAAGGCCATCCTGCGCTGGAGATTAGCTAGTTAGTTAGAAAAGCAGAAGGACTCGTTTCAGGGAGTTGAAGTAACCAGCGAGCCGCTTGTCTGGTGGAGATTACCTGGCTGGAGTCGATCATGGTGGCCAGGAACCCCTGGACTCAGAGACAAAATGATAGAGTATAAACGACTGGTTCTATATCCTGTCCCTCGACTAGACACTCAATTCCACAGTATATATATATATATATATCCAGGACATCTATGCTATGCATATGCATGCGCGCAGGAGGGATACCAGCTAATAACCTGATGCAGGGGTCGAAAAGGAAGCAAAGAATCAGGGGTAGACAAGGCTATAGAGAGAGAAGCCCCAGAGTCGGCGTAATCGATCATATACAGAGCTGTCAAGTAGAGAGATATACAGGAGAGCAAGAAGAAGTCATACAGAAGGTCCTTGGAAGTAATACTAGCTAATAGTCGTCATAATTTAGTCCCGATATTTCTCTTCTACTCCATTTTGCGTCCATGATTTTGAACAGGAGAATAATAACAGTAAAAAGATATGAAGGAAAGCAAGAATAAAAAAAAAAAAAAGAAAACAGCACAAGGAGATGAAAAAAAGGATCATATATATAATAGTTGAAGCGAAAGGAGACAAAAAAAATAAAAATAAAACAAAAGCAGAACTAGCCACCGGTTCGTAAATTCCTCCTATTTAACCCATGCACCGATTGAAAGCCAGAACAAGCGTGAGGCCAGAGAGGACAGCATGAAGGACGCAGGACGTAGAAGAGGGATAGCAGTTTAGGGAGGAAGAGGACGGAGAACGAGAAGAAGCATAGCAGAAGAACCCGAAGGAAGTCAAATATGTAAGTAATGCATGGATAACGTGGGGGAAAATAAAGATAAAAAAAAGAAACGTAAAAAAGGAAAGGCCATTAAAGAGTCCCATTAGAAAGCCCGGATTGGTTTTTTTTTTTGTTGCCCTCGCGCAGAATGGGCCAAAGAACGGTGAAAACAAGCATTGAATACTTTAAAAAAAGATAAACAAAATGACAGAAAGAAAAAGTGGGAAAGGAGGGCAGGGAGGCGCTGTTGAGGCGGACTTTAAGGTTTGCGATCCTTGAGAAGGACACGCGGAGTGCTGGGGTCGAGCAGCTCCATCATCATCTTACCGAGCTCGTTGTGTTTGATCGGCTTCGTGACGTAGTCGTTGAAGCCAGCGTGGGCGGCATCGTCGATCTGGTCTATCATCGCATTGGCGGAGAGCGCCATAATGGGGATCTGGGGGAAGTGGTTGTGATTCTCCCAGGATCGGATCTCCTTGCAGGTCTCATACCCGTTTTTAACAGGCATTTGAATATCGCACTGCCGACATGTTAGATTCAGACACTTTATAGGATGGAAGGCGGGATAATGCATACAATTATCAGCGAGTAATAGCCCGGTTCTTTGGAGAAGACCATGTCGACGCACTCTTGGCCATTCCCGGCAGTTTCAGAGACAAGCTTGACTTTATCCAGGTATTTTAGCATGACCTAGGTTATTTTAACGTTAGCACTAGCGCCATCACGGCATAAAGGTAAGATAAGAATGTTAGTACATACCGTCCGATTCGTCTCGTCATCTTCAACAAGCAAAACTCTATACCCCTTATTGCCAATGACCTCTTTGACAATCTTGGACATATTTTTGAAGCTGTTGTTAACCTCACGTGCCATATCTTGGTTTCGATCTTTGCTCAGCTCGCGCTCGCTCCTGGGATCGAATATCAAGGAAAACGCGCTTGGCTTGACGGGCTTGGGTACAATAAACACACTCTTCCCGGCTGCTAAGAGTTCCTTGTATACGGCAGTGATGTTGCGCTTGAGGTAGATATCTGCTATTATCACTAGTGTCGGACTAGGAGGGCCGTCAGGATCGGTTTTAAGAAAACTGGACATGATCTCGGTCACCTCAGGGGCTTCTGGGAGACCAAGAACTAGGTGCGTCAGAGGATCATTTTTGTTCAGTCTTAACTCCCTCCAATCTTCCATATCCAGCAGGCAGGTCATCTTGGATTGCACGCCATACGGTACAACTTGCTCGATATGCTGCTTGATTGCTTCTCGAGCATAGTCAAACGGACAGATTAACACTGTGTTGTACGCTTTGTATATAGTGGCAACCTCCATCGATTTAATTGGCGAACAGAGTGCTGGCGGAGCCGCAGTCGAAACATAATATTCAGATTTTGGTTTGGCAATGGGCAGCTGCTTTTCTTCTCCCGTCGATACTGGGGCGGTAGGAGGCCGTGACAGGTGGTCATCGTCTTGGATCTCCATCACTTGACCAGGCGTGGGGGGCTCGACAATCTCCTCCGAAGGTGACTGGGGTGGCGCCCCGGCCATCACATAGAATGAGAACTTGGCTCCCCGCCCTTCTTTGCTAGTAGGTGTCAACCGCCCGCCATGCATCTCTACAAGCTGCTTTGACAAGAACAAGCCTAAACCGCTACCAGCATGCTGTTGCGACCCGTTCGTTTCAATCTGGCTGAACCGTTGCATCAGGCGCTCTGCATCTGTCGAATTGAAACCTTTACCAGTGTCCACGACTTCGAAATTAAGCAGGATCTCAGATGGTTTCGTGTTAACGTTGGGATCGACGAGGATCGAACATCGCGTGCAAATCTCGCCTTGGGTAGTGAACTTGACCGCATTACCCATGAGGTTGATCAAGATCTGACGGATACGGAACCGATCTCCCAGCACGGTCGAAGGGACATCGGTGTCAACCAAATAGTTTAGTTCCAGACCCTTGTCGATCGCCCTGGAGCTAATGGTGTCTATGGCGTCTTCCAGTACCGATCGGACATGGAACCACTGCCTGACAATATTCATCTTCCCTGCTTCCACCTTCGACACGTCAAGGATGTTATCCACCAGCTCACGAAGATTCGTTGAGCTGTTCTGGATCGTATCCAGCATTCTTCTCTGGTCATTGTCAAGTAAGGTATCAAGTACGAACGGAATTGTGCCTAAAATCCCATTAAGCGGCGTCCTAATCTCATGAGACATGTTGCTGAAGAATTTCGTCTTAGACTCCATCTCCCTATTCAACTTCTGCAGGGCAGTATTGAGCTCACGCTCCAATAACTTGCGATCGTTGATATCTGTACATGTACCATACCACGACGCTTCACCGCTGCCAAAGTCGGGTGTCTCAACCTTGACCAACCGCACGAGGTGCCATCGGAAATCTCCTTTTCGGGACCTAAATCTGATTTCAGTCGTATAGGAATCTCGACCGTTCTCATCGCGTTGGATTGTAACGATTTCTCGTCGCACGAGTTCCTGCAATGCAGGCGTTACGCCTTTACCAAACACTCTGAGTGGATTATCATATTGCTGCTGCTCTGCAGATGAAGACGAGGGTGACGCCTGTGTTGAATTCCTTCGACACCTCTCGGCTTCCTTCAGCGTTTCAGCGAGGTTTCCATTAGACATTATACGGGCAAACTCAGGTATATCATTCGACTCTGGAATAACCTGCGGAGGCGATAAGATGCCACATTTCTCCAGATCATCGCGATGAATATACTTTGCAAAGCCCAAAGTCATTGCTTCATCAAGGGACTGGCCTGTGTATAGTTCCCATTGCTCATTTACTGAGATCAACCCACTATACTCTGCGGCCTCGAAGACAACCTGAGGAATTGAATTGGCGAGAGCTCTGTATTTGACATCGGTCGCGAACATTTCTCGCTCCTGCGCCGCCTTGCGCTCAGCGACATGTTGTTCATGAACATCCAGAAATGAGCCGATCCAATACAGAAGCTCACCCGCCCCTGATATGAGCGGATTTGCCCGGAAGATAAACCAACGGTATTCAGATTCATCATTGAAGCGTTTCACGCGCACGCGCTCTGTAAACTGCGATCCAGTACGCAACGCTTTTGTCCAATGCTTAAGTACCTTTTCATATTCACTAGGATGAACGTTCTGCCAAGGGTCCCGAACTCGCGGTTCCATAGGCTGGCTTCGCCGATACGCATCAAACTTTGCATTGGTCCAAATAACCTCGCCGGTATGTGGCTTTGCAAGGAAGAGGTGTAAGGGTATCGAGTTGAGCATCAGCTGCGCAACTGTGTCTGGGAAGGGGCGCGAGGAGACCTCACGATGCCATTGAGCGGTGAAGGAGCCTGTTGACGAATGACGTGAAAATTCGGCGAGCATCTGTGGAGTATTCTGACTTGCTTTTGTCGGAGCTTCGGCAATCGAAGGGGTATGCACTAATCCCGGGTCCCTTGAAGTTAATTCATCGTATGCAGCCTTTTGTTGTGATGGAGGGATTGCAATAGCCAGTCCTTCGGTTGGTGTCCCTTGAACACTGTTATTGGCCATTGCGGACGCTGCAGCCGCAGTGCTATTGCAGTTATTGTTTTCAGTCGAAGACGGGCTCTTAGCTCGAAAATATCCCTCACCAGTAGCGTCACCACCACCCAATTGAGTCAAGGGGCTTGCATAGTTTACATGCCCCGATAGACCATTAATGAGCTCAAGCTCACTGTTAGCGTCTGAAAAGGTACCGCCGAGACCCAAGAGGTGACCATATCGCTCGACAGTAGGGCTCGTGCTTTGTTTTTCTAGCTGGCTGTACTGCTGCGCAAGGCAAAATGAGGTCGTAAGATGAGGAAGCAGTAGTGCTAGAGAGTTTCGGAGATTGGTTGGATATGGGATTATGGGAGCTAGGAGGGATATGACAGCAACAGGAAAGCGGAGCGTATCCGACCTTCCCTGTCGTGACGAGGAAGAATGGATTAGGGGAATGTGGATGACACTCTTTGCGCGATCGATACCAATGGCCTCCAGGGGTGCCGTTTCTGAATAATCGTGCGGCGGTGGACTCGAGGCGAATGCATCTTCGTTCACCTCATTATATGTTTCTGCAAAGAAGGGATTGACGTCCGGTTTTAGGAGAGGAGCGGGAGATGGAGCAGGCGACTGTGACCAAGGAGAAGGCGGAGTCTGTTCATATTCTTCGTACTTTTGGGCTGGAGGTGAAGGGTCAAAGGGAATCGGCTGGTATTCGTGGCCCATGAGTGTGGATTTTGGAATACCCCTGCGTTCTTGGGCCGAAGCTAGGCTAAGAGACAACGGAGTGGATCGATGGGATGGCATGGGTCCTTTCAGCGGTGCTCCTGGTGTCTCCGAGCGTGGGGTACGCTGGATGATGTCCTTGTGCTTGTGAATCGCTGCATTGCTATCAGACGAGACATCTTGCATGGGATCATCAGCGTATTCTCTCGTCAATGCAACGGGAGTTGTGCGGCCAAAAAGTTTCACCACACCTGTCCGCTTAATCAATGGCTCAGGCTCAACTTCCAATGCTCTAGGAGTAGAAAAGACAACAGCAGTTGGGCTCGGTGGCCCGGACGCAGGCCTTGAACCAGGTCCAGACGCGGCCCCGAGTAACTCGCCGCTGGGTCCACGGGACTGGTTCCGGTGCTGGTGCAGTTGTTGAAAGGTCCCACTCAACGGGACAGTGTTGAAATCACATACATCAGCCATGATTTCATCCTCGCGCATGTGCTTACGCGGTTTTCTAAACTCCCCACTGGAACTTTTTCGTCGTGAATGGCGACCCTTTAACGGCGTAGGACCGCCTGATGCATCTTCGTTCCATTTCTCTGAAGGGTAAGAAGCATGACCAGCAAACGAATGACGACCCATCAGCTTTGGACGACGACTACCAGTGACAGATTTTGTATATTTGAAGGTATTGCCGTCCTCTTTGGTAGCTTCGCTGAAGCGGGCCTTAGAGGAGGGCTTTTCACATTCAGCCTTGGGGAGAGGCTGTGGCGACGAGAGGAATGGCGTGGATTCGTTCCCATATATACTATATGTAGCCTTCTGCAGCCATGGGACATTCTCTAGATCAGTAGCGTCGCCTGGAACCGCAAGAGTGAGCCTTTCAGCGCCATAGTGAGTCTTCAGAATCGGTACCACATTGGACCACCACCCATCAAGGCCAGGGTCGGCATTCAAAGAAAGAGTGATATCATAGAGATTTGGGGTCGGGTAGGGAGAGCTGTCGGCGATCGGTGCGGTGCCAGGAGGTAAGAAGTCTGCAGGAGCAGCTGTTATCGAGGCAGCTGGCATCTCGTTCATTCTCTTGAGGGTGTCCGCTGTGTAAGGGTGTCTGATAGACCGCCGCTTTGGTTTTGTCCCTCGAGGGGAGTGAGGAAATGGAGAATGAGGCTGGTGCTGCTGGCCGTGGAATCCCAGTCCATTCGAGGTCGCAGCATTGGCAGCGTTTGTATTCAAATTCAAGGCTGCCGAAGACGCCAGATGACCGTCCTTTTCGGCATTGGTTTTGGCTGAATGAGTGTCAAACGGCGACAGAGGAGTTACTAGTGACCGTTGTGGCAGGCTCGATGGCCGCATTGATCGCGAGGATGGAGACCTGGGGACCGACGGCTGGGATGATTGAGTAACCTTTTCATCGGATGTGTTTGGTGTCATGTTGGTATCCGAGTCAGTGAATCCAGAGTCGGTAGAAACAGATTCCTGGGCATAGTAGTACTGTGCCGCCTTCTGCTGCTGCTGCTGTTGCTGCTGCTGCTGTTGATTCATGATGGTCTCACCCATGCGTTTCCGCAGCTCTTCAAGAACGGAGCCGCTTGACTTCTTGCTATTCTGAGACGATTGATGAAGTCCAGCGTCTGTCAAGTCGAGATCTGGTGCTGTCGCATCATTGCTGTTGTTTCTGATAGTGTTTCCGCAAGTAGCAAACTCGGAATGGCGCGAGAAAGGTCTGGGGGTGGTGTTGGTATCACGACTCGGACGCGGTGCCGGCTGCGTCAGGTCAGAAACGAGAATTGATGAGCCCTGGCTCTCCTGGTACTGGTACTGCTGGCTCTGCGGAAGTCCTTCCTGCTGGTAGTCCTGCTGGCAGAGGTTGAGGCTGTCCTCTGGCTGCGAGCAAGAGAGACGGCGGCGCTGGTGGTGCTGGTGCTGGCCGGGAGAAGTCATAGAAGCGAGAGGTCCAACAGGCGAAGGTAACGGCGGAGTCCGCATGCTGACATGCCTCCCTCGCTGGCCAGTGAAGTCGTCCTCTGTCTGGCCTGGCTGTCTATCTCTGTCTATCTCGCTGTCGTGTCCTGTCTGGCTGCTTCACCCCCCCGTTGGCGGCGGCGGAGGTGGCTCTTGGGAGGCGGAGAAGAGGCTTACAACGACGACTTTACAGGCGAGCGACAGGCGGGTAGGGGCAGAAGCAAGCCATGCATCTCTCGGGGATCAGGAAGACGCAGACGACAGCCAAAAGAAAAGAAAGCTGGCTGACAAGAGCTCGCTGCCGTCGGCGCTGGCGCTATCGTGGATGGATGTCGGATTTGTGTCTTCTTCAGCGACGTCGAGGAGGTGAGGTCGAGGTTGAGTGTTGGAGTCTTCCGCTTTCGGCAGTATCTTCGCCGTCTTTAACTCGACTTCAAGAAAGTAAGTGAAAAAGGAAAAACAGCGACGAAAATCTTCACGGGTCAGTCAGTCAGTCAGCAAACGAGGTCGACTACGGCGAGCAATCCAACAGCCAACAGCTGCGCTAGGAAGAGATCCCGTACTTTTTGCTCTTCTTCCTCTCCGTTCTTCTTTTTCTTCTTCTTCCCCCTGGTCCCTTGGCGGGTCTCTACTCTCTTTTCTTCTATTCTTGCTTCGACTAGCTACGTCATCGCGCTGCCCCCATACAATTTCCCCCCCTACCCCCCGGTTACAAACAAAACCTGCCATCTGCTGGGTTCAACGAACTAATAATAATACCAACTAACCACTGGGACTAGCAGGATGGAGTACTTGGAGTGTTTGGGACAGACGCCAAAGCTTCTCCTAGTCGCCCTTTCATCCCCTGCGCCGTTACAGACTCGGATTCCGACAGAGAGGTTCGCCAGCTGAGCGACAGATGGACAAACAGACGGGCAGCCTGATAACTAGGGGGGAAAAAAAAAAAAAGAGAGAGAGACCGCACCCCGGGACCCTGCCTATATGCTGATTACTTTTTTCCCGTCACAGTACATATGTGGTAAAGCCTTGCATTGGCCAGGACTGGACAGGAACACGACGGAACGCAAAATAAAAAACGATATGACATATAATGGGGGGGGAGGGGGACACAGGGACGAGAGAAAAGGGGAAAGACAGAGAATTTCCTATCAGGCGCACTCTCCGCTGGGCCAGTCGTGGCAGCAGCCTCTCTCACACTTCCTCGTCCTACCAATCCAATTATTTACTTTGAGATGTTGTTCGATAGTTGCTCGAACTTCAAACGGCCGTCCAAAAATAATTGGAAGAAAAAGGAAGCAGACAACTAACTACGGGGTACGGAGTACATAGTTACGGAGTACGGAGAGAGTGTACGTTAAGTGGCTGCTCGACATCGTCACTTGGGCAGTCAGACATCTCTCCGGTAGTTGCTTCTTTTCTTTTCCACCCTAAAGTTGCACCGGCTGCACCATATACGTAACTGAGAGACGATGGGACAGTGCAATCCCTCGACTTGTACGACTCCTCATGTTGATTTATCGACCAGACCATCTCTCGATTTCCACGACGGATATTCTCAGATGTCGATTAGTTATTTTATCTGCGTCGGGCTTTCTTTACACCCTTCATTTATTATTCGACCCACAGCAAGGGGGAAAGAGAAGAGCAGGTGAAGGGGGTAGGATCCACCGCCGCCGTTTAAAAAAAAAAAAAAGGTGTTGAGTATACATATATGTGAACCGTTGGCGTCTTACAAGAACAGCATGCAACACGCATCACACTATATCCATACGGAGGAAGAGGGAAACCCCGTACTAGTCCACGGAGAAAAATCACAAACATGGAACGATTTTCCTGCGAGAAAGAGAGGGCACACACACCTGCACTTGGGGGAAATGAGTAAGAAGAATTCAGATAAGGCTGAGATCGGCGGCTTCAATAAGCCATCAGCATGCAAAGTGACATAACAGAGTGGCAGCAAATTAGAGCTCAACAGGCCGGGATCATATTCTGGAGTGCAGCACCAATGCTAATCGCCGACTCTATCCCTTGCTCGAGATTGTTGCTTCTGATCATGCATGATGATATATATGGAGTATATATTTATTTTTATATATATTTTCATCTAATCGCGGTATCGTTTAATATGCACCAACGACCTTCGCTTCACATTAAGCGGCCGTCGAGCGGTGAGCACAAGGCATGAGGTCACTGAATACGAATCGTTGAGGATAATGCCTGTTACCCATGAGATATGGGTAGCGCCTGAGATTTGCAATGATTTGCATTTTTGCCTTTTGGCTTTTCAGCCGTGTGGGATAATTTAAATAACGGTGAGCAACTCCATACTGATGACGATAGGATGGGGACGGTTCGATGACGGTGATGCCGATGCTTCTCCGTCCGTACCTAGCAGTATGTAAGCAACATAACATTGACATACATGCGCCTGTTGCGTACTCGTATAAGGCATGCATCCATCCTTCTCCTGCCTTCTTCCCACCCCCCCTTAATCACCATATCTTCCTTCACTTGCTTCATCCCCAGCAAAAGGGGGTGTTGATCGATTTCAATAGTCTGCACTCCTCGCACCTCCTGTGCTCTCTACCTGCTCTACCAGTCAGAAATATCGACCACTGCACCTTTCGTCAACTCCTCCTCCCTGTTGTGTCGGCCACATGCAGTCTTGTTCATGTGCAGACAGGGCAAATGGGAACCCATCCCGAGGAATCCGCTGAACACGTTTTTAGCGCCTTACCCGGCACCATGGACTGACAAGAGGAGACATCAGATCATTCATTGGGACGTGGCTTTTGGTGATGACAGAGGTGTTACTACTACTGGTGGTGCTGGTTCAGGCCATCACAAGTCCCTCACGGTGCTCTTCGGACGGAGCACGGAGTAGGGTTACAGAGTACGCTGAGCACTCGCCTAGGAAGTATGACGTGTAACTTGCTGGCCTGTCTTGGTTACTGGAACACTGGCGCTGTCATCGGTCAGACCACACAGCCTTGGAGTACGCCGGCTGATTGCTCTGCTGACGAGGTTGGATCAATGGAATAGGCTATCGGCGCCGGACGGGGCGGTCGGTCTCGTAGGTAACTAGTTAAGGTTGTTGGTTGGATCTCACACTAACAACGGCCTAACACCTGCCAGACAGGAAACTGTTGAGAAGAGATTTTTGTGACAAATTGTTAGCTCTCGTTAGTTCGTTCCTTTTCGTTCCCTTTCATCCTTAGAGAGGACTCCTGCATCCTCTGACATCATAGGGTCGTCCGTTTACCCTAAACGGAATACTTCCAAGACCACAGTTCTCAGGGGTAGATCATGATGGAAAACCATAGACAAAGAATAAGGGAGGCTTGTCTCAAAAGCACTTGGTCGACAGCAACGAGGTTCAATGGAAATAACAAACGAGACGACCTTGTCGACTTGTCGGGTATTTCGTAAGAAGAAAGGCAGAGAAGGCTTGATAATTTCTTCTTCTAGCCACGAGTCGTGCTCTGGTGGGTAGAGCGACGCTGTGCAAAATAGCCTTGAAGGAAACGCACAGATGACTATTGTTATTTTGTTGGTCTCACTGTTTGCTGTATTGACGGACTAATAACGAGTGTCTTCGAGAGGTTTCTTGTCCGGGTACACACACCCCTGCTAGGGAGGCCGGAGTGATATACCTGGATTAACATTGATATACAGGGCACAGGTCTATAAATACATGCGTGGTTCAAGATACCTGGTGTCAAACGGAAAGGATAGGAATATGGATAATGAAAACTGGGCATCCGGGGAGTCTGCTAGTTATCCGTGAATTGGCTTTCGATATATCAACTTCGCCCATGCACATCGACTATACGACACAGCACGAGAGCACAGAGTACTCCGTACAGATACAGCATTGACTCCAGCATAGAGTATGATAGGTAGAGATAGAGATATGGATAAAATGTGAGCTGAGGGGCCCTCGAAACCTGTAGCCGGGAGGAGCTAACCTCCCGGCTAACCGATGTCCAGTAACAATACGCCATACCTCGTCTTGATACTTATTGTAGCATCCAACCGATTCCCACGATGCCATGGCATGCATATGGATTGCGATCAGGGACACATCGTGTTTGGCTCCTTTTTTGGGAACCATGGGCCCCTGCTTTGGCTTTAGGTAGCTTGCCGTTTCAATCCATGGCCCCGAAGGCTACCCATAACTATCGTCATTGCGGGCCCCGGGGGGTGTCATCAAGAGAGGCATTTGCTTCTTCCTCCCCTGACCACGGAAAAAAAAAAAAAAACCTGGTTAAGTTTTGCCTCCGCATCGTAACTTCTATATTCTCAAACTTATGAAGTCACCACCAGATCTGAGGAATAATGATCTTCTGCGAGGATCCCGAAGGCGTCTCACAAGCTGGTTCCTCATTGCTTTCATGCATCCAGCTTGTGCTGCCATCCGCTTGATCACGAATTACATCGTTGTTCTTCACCACGCCGTGTGTCAGCTGGGAGGCGGAAAGGGAGGAACCAAGTGCTGCAATTCGGCCAGGTGCATACGAGCATCGGGAAGGGCGGCTTTCAACCACAATAAATCTCTGTTTGTTTGCATGTCTCGATATCTCTGGGCCGTCGATCCAACATGATTCGCAGCCAGGCAACTTCGACCAATTGGAGCAGGCGGGGCGCTTTTGACGAAGGGAAAACGGTCTGATTGGTGCCCGGATGCACAGTCACGTGTGGAAATGAAAGACTAATCATCCAATCAGTTCCCGTGAACTGTCTAATAACATATTATACACCCAATAGTGATAATTTTATATTTAAAACACTAGTAAAACTATTTTTTATTGGTCGAAATATATGATGCACCATGTAATGGACTTCCTAAAATGGCATCGCCTTCTGCCTGCAAGGATCGCAAGTTGGGCTTTTTGATAGAAGAAAGAGATAAAGAGAGAAAGGGAGAGAGAGAAGCAGAAGAAAAGGAGGAGAAAGATGGCAGAGTACGGAGCTCACTAGTGACAAAAAAATAACAAAGATATAAGATAAAAAAGGTGGGAAAAAAGGCTGGTGCAGGACTGGTTTGCAGCGAAGTCAGTCCGTCTGCCAGGGCCGATGTAGCTAGGTATAATCTCATATCTCGTCCCATGGATTCCCTTACGAAGTTGCTGTATCCAGCCCTGCTCTCTTGGGAACTCTAGTTATCTCAAAGGGAGCTGGGACGGTTCGCGGAGCACTTGAACGCTATATGTGTTAAGAATAGTCACCCAACAACTAATACCCTGGAATATACGGAGTACACCCCAAGGTATCAGAGGATCGTAATGAATTACTGCCGTATAAGATTCTATCTGATCCCCTCCAGCCCGTCAATATTCCGCGGGGTCGTCTCAAATAGTTATTCGTTGTCATACAAGTGCCAGGGGCCCTTTCACCCCCTGAGTCTGCATTGATATTGATATCAAAGCCCACAAGACCTGTGATAACCAACCTTAGAGCTGCCGTAGCCCGTTTTAACTCTCCCTATTCATGCATTGGCAGCCTTCTATGGAAAGCCATGCAGATGCCAGGGACATCCCCCTGACCGAGGTTGGCCAACTACTCGTGATCTTTGTCTCTGCGCACCACATACCAGCATCGTATGGCGAACCCATAACTATCCGCCATCTTCGGCACAGAGTCTAACGAAGTCCGCCAGCCAGGTCAGTCAGAGTGTCAACCAACCCAAAGACTCGCCTTCAGAGGCCCTCTCGAACAACTAGGCTCGGCGCATAAACCATATGCGTAGCCGGCCCCCTCTGCTAACCTTGATAAAAAACCATCTCCTGCAGACTTAGCTACTGAGCGCTCTGGCTAGCTCAACGCATAAAAAAGGGGGCTCAGCCAGGCCTTTTAAGCCGCAGCAGCAGCAGCAGCAGCGGCAGCTCAGCGAGACTGAAGGGCTGTCGACCAAGCCAGTGACAGCCTGCCAGACCTGGTCGTGTGCCCTGTCGTCGCTGGGCCATCCGGCACCTCAGCAGCAAAGCCACATCAACTGACACTGCTGCCGATGTTTTCTCTCCAGACAGCGAGGCCTGCTGCCTGTCCTCGACCTTGTCCAACCGTCTAAACCTTCCCGCAAGAGGTGCGTCTGACTAGCTGGACTAGCGCTGGTGCGAGAGCCACAAGGCGACTTGCGTCAGTGACCCCAGCAGTTAGTTAGTGGACTCGTGGCTGGAGGTTTTGATAGGCCTAGGCTCGATCCCCCGGTGTCATCGCTGAGACAGAAAGCGAAGAAATCAAGTTGGAAGTTGAAGCGAGAACAGCAACAAGGGCTTCTTTCTGGTCCTTTCCATGCACTCTGGCTTCTTCTTCGTCCTTTTCCTTTCCTGCTCTTTGAGTTACCAGAGCCAGCGGGAAGCACATGATTGCCTTTCCTTTGGCCTTCTTCCCTTTTTGTCGCCGGCCAACCAACCGCAAGGCAAAAAAATAAAAACATCCCAACTCAACAACGACCAACTTCCTCCTCCTCCCCACATTTCTCAGGTTAATATATATAAAAAATTCACCCTATATATACGCTCTTCTCCCAGTGACAACCATGAGATTTCGGTAATCGGTGACCTCTGACCACGGACATGACCCTCCTCTCGCTGTCGCTGTCGTTGCCGCCGCCGCCGCTCTGTTGCACCGCTTGCCCTCCAGGGACCTCGGGGAAGTCTTCGCTCCCCGCAACCACATAAGAAGAAAAAGTTATTAAGATATTCAAGAGAGATAAGAAAATAAGGATAATAAATACAGAAATCAAGAGGACAAGGAAAGATGGAGGAGAGCAGGATTCTGGGGGAGGACCTCCATGCGCTTCCAGAGCGTCTGCTAGAGCGTCTTTCGCAGATTCCGGGATACTCATGGGACCAGAACGTCACCCCTTTTCAGTCCTCCTACGACCACTGGCAGTTCACTGGAATCAAATACTCCGCAGACTCCGAAAGCATTTCGACGCATACCGCGGCCTCCTCCTCGTCTCGTTCCAAGGCCTCCGCATCGTCGCATAACTCGCCGGAGCTGGAGCCAAGGTCCTTTTTTCCGTCGCAGTGGCGAAAGGCCCCCAGTGAAGCTGGGAGTGAGATCACATCCCCACGCGAAGAAGTCGAGAGGCCATGGCTTCCCGTCATAGCCCGTGTGTCCGGCCATGTTGTCCGCCTTGAGCGTGAGTTTCACATCTTGCGGACGATCGTTGAGACCTCCGATCCAGAATGCAAGCACACCGTTCGCCCCATCGATATCATACACCTTGCTCGCGAGCCAGAGGACAGAGGGCTGCTCCTCGTCACGATTTATGAATACGTATCGCCTAACTATCTAAGACGCTTGATTCTGGGTGGGCCGCACTCCTTCCAAATGGATTGCAGTGTCCCGCCATCGACCAATCCAGATATTGAAGAGGTTTCACTGCAGGCGTTTTTTGATTTTGCCATTGGAGCTTGCGAGTGTCTCGAGTTGCTGCATTATGGTCTAAAGACCATCCATGGTGAAATACGTGGTGACGCTTTCCACTTCTCCGAGGAAACTAGGGTCGTTAGGCTGATGAATACCGGTAATGGTCCTAGGTCATTCGACAATGCTCTAGGCGACGGTTGGGCCGTCTTGTCAAAGGAAATCGGCGTCAGGAACAAGCTACAGTTTATCGCGCCAGAACAGACCGGAAGATTACCAACAGAGCCTGACAGCAGAACAGATATATATGCTCTTGGTATTCTACTATGGATTATGCTAGCTCGGAAGCCCGCTTTCGAGGGAAAAGACCTTGTTGAAGTAGTGCAGAATGTCCTGAGCAAGAAACTATCTCCCATATCGACCTTACGCCTTGATATGCCTGATGCATGCTCCGCCGTTATTCAAAAGATGACCAAAAAACAAATCAATGAGAGGTATCATACCATCTCAGCAGTCAAATGGGATTTCCAGCAGATCTCCAAGCTGCTCGGCGATGGGAACTCAGAGGCACTGAGAGACTTCCAGGTAGCCCAGCGGGATGTTTCCTCTTTCTTCACGCTACCTTCCGGCATGTTTGGAAGGAAAGTCGAATTCGACCGGATTATGAGCGTCATAAACAAGGCCAGCAAGCGACGGCAAGCTGCCACCACCCCTAACAAGCCAAGTCTCTACGCAAGGAGCTCGGCTTCGTCGATTTCGGGCGACAGACTAGATGCTGTTGAAGTTGATGCCTCCAGTGATTCTGGTTCCTACGCAGCCCCTATTTCAGCATTCAGACCTAACTCGATTTCTCACGCTTCGACCTCTCATGGCTTGATGCCTTCCCACGATTCGATGTTCAGTGGTGATCATGGCACTACTAGCGGTAAATCCACGCTTCTTTCAAACCGCATGAAAAGCCCTACGGATTCGCGAATGTCATGGGAATTTATCGATCGTGACTCCCCCAGCGTCGCATTCGACTCGACCTCTCTAGCTCGGCGAAAAGCAGCACATACAAAATATAGACATGGTGGTCGATGTGAAGTGATAACGGTGTCTGGACCAACCGGAATGGGCAAATCAGACCTGCTCCAGCGTCTGCTACCCGAAATACGCAAACTCGGTTACGTTGCCGTTGCAAAGGTCGACCGACAGTCTAAATTGCCGTTTGATCCTTTCCTCAAAGCACTAGCCAGCCTATTACGACAGATATTTTCTGAGCGTGATATTTCGACAGAATACCACAATTCCATCCGCAATAGCCTGCAGCCCATCTGGCCGTCCCTCCACCAATTCCTCGACCTTCCCTACCAGCTACTCTTCCAAGATAATGTCGACTACGAACCACCGGTACACCAGAGATCCTTTCACCCACTAAAGGGCCTAAAGGAGGGTATAGAAGAATCGTTCAGTGTCAGTGCCCCCGAATTTACAAGTCTCAGACATGGCCAAACCTCACAAGATTTCATTCAGGGACCGTCCGCTTCAGGAATGAACTTTGTGGAAATCGTGATCGACGTGCTGAGGGTTATGTCCTTATACGAGGTCATCTGCATATGTATCGACAATGCACACTTCGTGGACGATGAGTCTGCCGGCCTATTGCTTGAGATCATAAAGAACAAAGTCAGATGCGTGGTCATCCTCACTGGACGCACCGATGACATTGTCTCGCCTATCATGAAATCCATTTTCGCAGGCGAGGGATCAAGTATTACAAATGTGGTACTGGAACCTCTGACCGAAGATGATATTCTTGAATTCGTCGCCGCGACAATGCACCAAACTTCAAACAACTCTCTGGTCCCCCTAGCCGCTGTCGTTCAGGAGAAGAGCCGTGGAAACCCCTTTTACATTCGCATGATTCTTGAAACATGTTATCGGAAGAACTGCATCTGGTACTCCTGGAGAGACGCTGCGTGGGAGTTCGACCTTGATCGAGTATTCTCGGAATTTGTTGTCCCTGGGTACGGCGAAGGCATTGGAACCAACTTCGTTGTCAAACGATTGCAAGAAATGCCTTCTGCCGCACGTTCTATTGTCCTATGGGCTGCGTTGCTAGGCACTACCTTTTCATTCTCGCTTGTGCAAAAGCTACTTTCTGGAGAATTCCTGTTTGAGGTTGGTGGCGAGGAAGAAGATGATGTGACTTGTCCCGCTCAGACCAAGTGGAAACAAAACAGTAGTGACATTGTTGCTGGGCTTCAATTCCTACTTCAGGCATACATCATAATTCCTGGAGAAACTGATGATGAGTTCAGGTGAGTATATTCATTCTGATTTTTATGTTTTGGGATAAGGATTTGACCGGCTAATACGAGATAGATTTTCTTCTGATCATTATGCCCAAGCAGTGGCCTCTATGCGGCAGTGCCATAATGTGGAGAAAATGCATTTCATCATAACGCAAACTATGATGAAGTATTTACCTGACAACGAAGCGACCATGCACCTTAAATCTCGCCACATTGGTCTTTCTGCCAAGCTAATCAAGGAAAGGGTCCCGATACGTACTGCATATCGTGATGTTTTGTACAGGGCAGGGCTATCGAGCTACAAGTCGGGAGCCAAAGCAATGGCCCTTAAACATTATCAACTATGTGTCTTCCTTCTACAGGACAGCCCTTGGGCCCCAGATACCCCAGACGCCTACTACGACGAGACTAGGGAGCTTTACATTCAAGTCGCAGAAATGCACCTTGCCTTGGGTCAAACAGAGGAAACGTTGAATGCTCTCAAGCCTGTTTTTGAAAATGCACGCACAGCACCCTGTAAGGCCAGAGCTTGGACGTTGCGAAGTCGAGTTCATTCCGTTTCAGGGGACGTATGTTCTGCCCTTGGTGACCTATTCACCTGCTTGGAGGAGCTCGGCGTGAAAATCAACCGCGTAGCAACGTGGGAAGAAAGCGACAAGGCATACAGAAAAATTGCAAAGTATCTTCAAACGATTGACTTCGATACTCTGTTAACGCGACCTCTTAGCAATGACCGAGCCTTAATCGCGGCCGGCTCAGTGTTGAACGAAGCCATATCCATTTGCCTCTGGCTTGACCCTATGATGTACTTCCATCTTACCGTCGAAATGATGCGGCTACATCTTGAGTATGGGGCGATGGCGCAGGTAGTATACTTGTACAGCCAGTTATCGACAATTGCATTGAGCCGATTTAAGGATATGCAACTCGGCTTGAAGCTTAGTGACGCTGCATTGTCGATTCTGCGCATTACTAGTGACCCAGCAGCGATCGCGCGTGGCATTACCATTCATAATTTCTTCATTAACCATATGCGGGACCCAGTTTCTGCGATTCTACCCCTACTGGAAACGTCAACAGAGGCTGCGTTCTTCCTTGGTGACCGTTATTACATCCTTCTCAATGTATCCTCGATGGTTATCACTCGGCTTGTTCTCGGCCACGACTTAGGGGAGATAGAAGATCTTTGCAATGATGCGACTGAAGGGATCGATGACTGGGTTCATGATATTCGTGGAGGGCTCGGTATTGTAGCGACTCGGTAAGTGCAGTATTCCCCACCTATCCTTAAGTTATGGCGCAGTACATGTATTAATTCTTTAACAGACAAGCCGCACGCGCACTTCAAGGGAAAACACTGGCTAGTTCACCAGAACTTGCCCTATCTGATGCATATCATGACGATCAAAGATTGCAGGCGGAAGTTTTGGAGCGTTTCCCTGGCAAACCCCATGTTCTAGTTACATACCGCAGTATCATTCTCATTCCACTGTATGCGTTTGGCCACTACTCAAGGATAGTGGAAATGGGTACCGAGATGGTCGGTCAGTTGCGTGGTATCTTTTCGTCAAGACTGGCCACTCAGGTTTACTTTTATCTCTCGTTGGCTACTTTATCCCTGCATTTCGAAGACCCTTTGAGACCTGATTTAGAGGAAAACCTTAAGACGGTTGAACGATACAAGGAAGAAATTGATTATATGCGGGACGCCTGTGATGCAAATTATGGAATGTGGTCGTTACTAGTCAAAGGTCTACTGTCTGAACTGAAGAGAGACTTCCAAGGTGCATTGGTAGCATTTGAGGTAAGTGTCGAGCTTACCCCTTTAAGCGGCATTGTTCAAATCTAACCACTTGGAATCACAGGAGGCGTTAGATCATGCTCAAATCCACAACTGGCCAATTGAAGAGGCCATCGCTTACGAACTTCAAGGTAAAGATAATCTCGCTGCATGATGCTGTACAACCATATAAAAAAAGCTCATTGCTAACCATTTCTTGTGCAGTTGATTTTCTTGTTCGACGTGGGGCTAAACGTGCAGCGCAAATGATGCTGCAGCCAGCTATTTCTGTGTGGAATAGAATTGGAGCGTCTAGAAAGGCACGACAGCTAACTGAGAAATTCGAATGGCTGATGAGGATCGGCACAGTGTCAAGAACAAACGACGTTGGCTGCCAAACGATCGACTCACTTCTTGGTGTTCAAAAGTCCAACGTTACTGAGTCTACGTCTGAAAACCGTGGCCTTAATTCTCTCGAGAGCGGCCATAATCAGAAATGGCTGGAACAAAATCAAGGGAACGAAGGCCCTTCTGACATAACTGGGGTTGGTCTGGATATAATCGACCTGTCTACCATTATCGAATTCAGCCATATCATGTCATCTGAACTCGAGGTCAACAAGCTATTAACGAAGATGGTCGGCATTATATTGGAATCATGCAGCGGCTCGGAACTTGCCCTTGTGATCACCGAATTCGAATCCCAGGGTTGGTGTGTTGCTGCCTCTGGAGACAACGAAAGCGACCCTATTGCATACGAAAACGGTCTGCCTTTCTCTGAAGTGGAAGATAAAATGGCCCAGCAAATCAGCAACTATACTCTTCGTACCAGGGAGGCAGTCTTGGTGCACAACGTCTTGGAAGACGACCGATTTACAAATCTCAGCGAATCCTACGCATCCCGTCATCCCCACGGTCGGTCAATAATTGTTCTGCCGATTATTCAGGCAAAGAAGTTCCTTGGAGTGGTACATATCGAAGGAAAACCGAATTCCTTTACTCAACGCAATCTGGTATTGTTGCGCCTTGTTTGCAACCAAATGGGTATCTCGCTTGCAAATGCCTTCCTTTTCCAAGAGGTGCGGAAAGTGAGGTAAGTTTTATCATATTAGTACAGTCTTGCCACGGAAATACATGAACTAACTTCTGCTCTAGTGCTGCTAATGCTGCCATGGTTGAAGCCCAAAAGCGTGCCTTAGTCCAAGCCCGGGAAGCGGAGCATAAAGCTAAAATTGCCGAAGTTGAGGCCAACCATAACGTTAAGCTCAAGGAAGATGCGGCAAAGGCTAAGTCAATTTTCCTTGCAAACATCTCGCACGATTTACGCACACCTATGACTGGAGTCATTGGATTATCGGAATTGCTTAAAGCTACTAAGCTGGATCCTAAGCAAGATGTTTACGTTGAATCAATACGTGTTTGTGCCGACACTCTACTTACATTGATTAACGATATCTTGGACTTTTCTAAACTTGAGGCTGGAAAGATGAAGGTTTCCATTGTCCCGATAAACCTTCGCCAGACAATTGCTGAAGTCGTCCGGGCCCTTCGATATACTCATCGAGAGAAGGGACTGAACACGATTGAAGACCTTGATAGCATCGATCCCGACCTTCTTGTCATGGGAGATCCCGTTCGTTTGCACCAGATATTTATGAACTTGTTGAGTAATAGCTACAAGTTCACACCAGCAGGGTCAGTGACAGTTCGAGCAATTGTCGAAGAAGATACTCCAGAGAAAATACGGGTAACATGCAAAGTTGCCGACACTGGAATTGGTATTTCAGAGGAGCAACTAGTTCGCTTGTTCAGACCGTTCTCTCAGGCTGACAGCTCTACTGCAAGATCTTATGGTGGTAGTGGGTTGGGGCTAAGTATTTGCAAGGCTATCATCGAGGACGTTCTTGGTGGACGAATATGGCTACAGTCCAAGGAAGGTGAAGGAACTACAGTGACCTTCACGCTCGTCTTCAAAAAGGCTGGCAAGGATGCAGTTCCAAAGGCCCCATGGACACAGGAGCCGGGACATAAGCAGCCACATGCCCACAGATTACGGGATATTTCCCATATACCCCGCGACGATGTCAGGATTTGCATTGCCGAAGACAATCCAATTAACCAAAAGATAGCTGTGAGCTTCGTCCACCACCTAGGTCTGTCGAGTGAGGTGTATAGTGATGGTGAGCAAGCTGTTGAGGCCCTTCGACAGAGATCTAGGGATGGCAAGCCCTTCCATGTTGTTTTGATGGATGTCCAAATGCCAGTGCTCGACGGGTGCGATGCCACACGCAGGATCCGCGAAGATCCAGACCCAAATGTCAACGAGGTGCTGGTCATCGCCATGACAGCAAGTGCCATTGAGGGAGACCGTGAAAAGTGCATTGACGCCGGCATGAACAATTACTTAGCCAAACCTGTGCGATCTGATGTGCTAAAGGGTATGCTGGACCGGTACCTGGCACCGCAGACGAAGGCACTGCCGAAGAGGTCAAAGTCATCGGCTGCTGCCTCTCGTTTGATAGAATTACAGGCTACTACTCCGCCTAAACCCCCGCAGCCTGCTCCATCAATAGATGAACTCATTGCTGAAGAGAAACGGACTAAAGCTACAATAGACGCTGCGATTGTTGCGGCAACCAAAAGGCGCGAAGATACTCCAAATGGTGATTCTATACCTGAGGAATACACCGAGGGAAGCACCGAGGGAAACACTGAGGACAACACCGAGGAAAACACCGAGGAAAAGAGTCAACCTGTGGAGGAGTCGAGAGTAGAAGAACTTAACGATGACGATGCCACGCCAACGCCCCCGAGCAATGATCCCTCTGTCGACAAGACGCCGACCTTGAACGCTGATACCCACTAGCTCGACTCTTCAACGCTCCATCAATGACAACAATATGCCCTGGGTTTATCACCACTTTACAAATTTTTTTAATTATAAGCAGTACGGCCTCTCTCGCGCCTATATTGCTTTTCCATATTCATTTGTTTATCAGATAATAACGACATTTAATACCTTTTTTTTTTTTTTTCAATTTTGGGATATGTGGCAGAGGACCATTCCTCTTTTACCTACTTTCTCACGGCAATGCGAACATGTATATATGGGAACGGGAACATTTGGGACGGTTTTCTTTACTCTTCACTTATGATCAAGAACAGGTAATGGCTTTCTTTTTATTTCTTTCTCATGCTGGTTGGAAAAGACTACGCTCGGCTTGGGAGTGCTGGCTGGCTCAATTGGGATTTGTCCGCAAACATGGTGATCAAAAAAACGAAAAAAGAAGAGAAAAGGAAAAAAAATATCTGGGTTCTGTCATGCTGTACACTCTACTTTCTCTGTTTTCTCTCATGAATGTCGTTCTTCATCAGTTATAGTCTGTGTTTATATGCCTGAATAAATAAATATATTGTATGAATATGGCAGTTCTTCCTCCTCGTGTAGACTATGATCTATGGCCAAAGATGCGGAATCTCTTGACTCCCCCGTCTGGGATCATAGTGAGCTTTGCGTGAGTTGCATGCTGGCCGGCTACCAGGGCGTCTCCCTCGAATACGTGCTCCGTATCAGCTTTGCACGGCTGCTCGCCCTTGACCAGCTCAGCCCAGCCGTCATGGTCGAACGGCGGCTCACTGTCTCCCTCGCCCTTCCAGTCAATCGTCTCGACACGCACTGCCCGCGGGAAGTTCCCCCTGAAGTCCTTGGTATCAACGACCACCTTGACGGCCGATCCAGGCAGGCCCAACTTCACGATGACCCAGTCGACATGGCCTCGTTGGCGGGAGCGTGCAGTCTCCCACCCATCGCCCATGTCCTTCCCTCGCCCGGGCAGCAGAAGGTTAGATGCCGGCGTAAAGTGCTGGTTGCTTGCAGCCAGAGCCAGTCCACCCATCAGCGCCGAGGAGAGCTCTTCCACGGGGGGAGCCTGGCCCTGAGCCGATGCTAGAGACGGCGGCAAGGCGTGGCCGTAGAGTCTGAGCCTGGAGAATCCGCCGTCAGGATACATGCGCACTCTGATATGCGTCAACGGGCCGGTTGGCTTGGGCAGCTTCCAGGCCTGACGCATCGAGGGGCCACATGGCTGCTGTGGCAGGATGGTCTCCCACCGTGAGAAGCTGTCACTGATCATCTCTTGCTCGCTCGCGGCCGATGCAGGGTCAGCGGCGGGCAGATACGCTGCCTCAACGAGGACATGCTCGCCGTAGTTGCCGACGAAGTAAGCGGTATCGATCTCGATTCCCTCGATGATCCCACTGCCTACCCCGAGCTTGATGAGTGCCCAGTCGTACTCGGCGGGGTTATGGCGTCTGGTCTCCCATCCGTCGTACCAGGCCCCTGTGTGGACGAAGACGCCTGGCTTGTGGATAGGGGCACCGGGAGTGAGCAGGTTCGATGCGGCGGCGAAGTACTCGTCGCTACAGGCCAGGACAGTCGAGTTCAGGGCAGAGGATGCTAGATTGGTCGTCTTGGAGAAGCACTTGTCTATCTCCTCACGGGGAACGCTGGTGGCCATGGTCGATTATACAGGGAGAGTAAGTATATATACAGCTTGCTCGTTGGTGTTGCTACTTACCTTGAACAGGGACAGTCTTCTCCCTCTTATACTTACTTGAACTTGCTATACCGAGGGCAAGACAAGACGGCAGCCCCCGCGAGATCTGCTAACTAACGCTCAGTTGCTCGGATGCCGCCGTAACTAAGCAGTTATCCACCTGTCTAGCCATTAGTTATTCTTATACGACTGGGTTGAAGCTACCGCCACCTTCAACGGCAAGGGGACTCTAGCCCCAACTTACTCGAGGTCATATTAAAATATATCACTTGATGCATATACTATACTTGATTATATGGTTTATTTTATGCTATCTGGTTAAGCCTACGGGGATGAAGGATTAGGGTTATTATAAGGACCTCCCAGGGGATAGACACTCTTGTGGCTATCTTTGGTAGAAAGGTGAAGGAAGGTTGATTCTATCTAATATGGGATTGCCCCTTTTTAGTTACATGATCACTGCTTGCTGATAGCATGGACCACGGTGCTCTGTGGTTGAGGTGATCTCCCAATGTAATGGATAGGTATTCTATATCAGAATATACAGCGACTCTTTCTGCAGCCATTTAGGGGCTTCCCCCTTTTCGACCCAGCGGTTTGATTCTTCCTCTAAGGCTGAGAACCAGAGCTGTGGATGTCATGAATGGCTATGCTCCCTTTAATCCACAAATTTCCTCACCCTCACCTCTAGATAGGAGTTTTCCAGGCCATGGAATCAACGGTTATGCCATCTGAATTTCGTGCTGCCCGATGATATCGCTGGAGATCCTGAAACGAGAGATTTCCCTGAAAGCTGTCTGCAACAAATATTGAGAATGATGTGCATAGTCCATCTCCATGTTCCCACAATGGAGTAAACTCTGAAGTCTGTGTTTTATCGAGTTCTCCTTTGGTAGTCAGTTATAGTCGTAGTCAATATATGCGTCACGTAAAGAATCCGTCCATCCTCGATGTGCTGGTTCAAGTAGCAATTCCATCATGAAAAGAGACGGGTATATGGGCATTTTCCAGGTATTCCAGCAAGTAGACTCTGGTTGCTCCATCAACCTTGCCTGCTTCGATGGGCTTATGCTGTTGGAGGCTGTGGCTCTGTGGCCGGTATTTGGGGTATGATAAAGCGGGACTTGAAGGGTTAACAGCTATATATGAGCTGTCTGCTTGAACTGGAGCTCTCCACGGAGTATCTGAAGAAGAAGAAAAAGCGGGAGAGATGGCCTCAGGGACAGATACTTATACCTCGAGCTGCCGGGTGAATATCTGGCTAGTTAGTTAATGCGAAGGAGTGACAGCCCCTGAGCCGTCACTACCAGACAGCGGCTTGCAGTGACTCGCCTCTTCACTCGGCCAGCAGCCAGCCAGCAGTTAGGTAGCTAGCTAGCTAGTTACCTGTTAGTTAGCACCTGGTCAGTCCGACTCTGGGTGCTGGTGCTGGATTTGAATACGGCGACGCTGACTGGCTGCTCCAGGGATGACAAGACGGACCAAAAACTGTGAAACGGCGCAAGGAATGATGCAATAATGCTTGCGATGCTGCTTGTCCGGTCCTCCTCCTCCTCTCAAGCTTGCCAACACCAGGAAACAGCGGGCATACAGGCCAATTAGACCGAGATAACGCTGCGATGGCCTCTGCAACTGGCATTCCGGAAGAGCGGGCGTCCGCCCTGCCAGGCGGCGTCGAGAACGAGCCGCTGCTCGGGGAGCCGGGCACAGTGACCCAGCGCGAGGACCAGAGCATCTTCACCAACCTGATTACCGGTAGGTCTGCGGGCAGCGGTGGACGGGGATCGACGGCCGGTGGTGGATGGGACGCTGACTCTGCGCTTCTAGGGACTGCGAGCCTGGCGCAGGTTGGGATTCTGATCGTAAGTCGCATCGCCATCTAGTTACATCCGGCTGGCCGTGTGTTTGTATAACTACGAGAAGACTGACAACAGACTGACCAGAATGTCGCCCTCGTCTGGTCCGGGATCTTCACTCACGACCTCATCTTCTTCTCGCCGCACCCGGTAAGCTGGCCGTCGCCATCCATTATATTATATTTCAGCCTATATACGGAGTACTGACTGCGATGACAGCTCCTCAACTCCGTCGGAATCCTGCTCACCGTGCAGGCAATCCTCGTCGTACAGCCAACCAGGACCCCCCAGCAGAAGCAAACCGGTGCTCTCACGCACTTTGGGTTCCTCGCCGTCGCAAACCTGGCCTTCATCTCGGCCCTCATCATCATCGAGATCAACAAGCAGAGCCATCCGGAAACCCGTTTCTCCTCTGTCCATGGAGTCCTCGGCCTGATAACCTACATCATCATCTTCCTGCAGTCGGCCGTCGGTGTTGCGCAGTACTTCTTCCCAGAGACCATCTTTGGCAGCGTTGAGAACGGAAAGAAGATATACAAATGGCACCGTGTGAGCGGATACGTGCTCTTTGTCCTGGAATTGGCAGTAGTTATAGCTGCTACCAAGACGGATTATAACGTCAAGACCCTGCATATTGGATTCTGGCCGGTCATCATTTCAGCGTTTCTCACCTTTGCCGGTGTCGTGGCGAGAGTCAAGAGGTACAAGCTGCCGGCTTTCTTACGAGGATCGACTTCTGCACCAAGCATATAAGCAGCTCGCTCTACTCGTCTCTCTGCTGTCCTCTCTGCCGTCCTTTCTGGTATATCCTCTCGGTATTACTCTATGATTGATGCTCTTCTCCTGTTCGTCCAGCCATCCGTTTCGGTGTTTGTGTATACCTCCTATTCTTACTGTCTATTTCAACACATAGCTCTTCTCTCGTTAGCTTTTATTAGCACCCGAGAGACAATAAATGAATACTTTACTTATGCATATATATAATATTAATATCGGTTACCTTGTGCGAATGGAAGTAATTTTTGCTTGTAGATATCATCCAGTGTTATCCTCCTACTTCTCAAACTTACTAGGCGCATTTCCAACTTCAAAGTTCGAAAAAACATCCAACTTTCCAGCACCAAAGAAACTTCGAATGACAGGAATTGTCACCGCAGCCGATCCCGATGAGGCCCTCCTCGCTATACATATGCCTCAATTGCAGGTTATCGCTTAGGCCTCCCACGCGGAATGTCGCCTTCCCTCGTCGCGTTATCAGTACAGCGTCGTCTCGACCGCCAACAGCTCCGAAACCAGTCCCAAACGTCCGCCACATCCGCGAAAATGCAGAATTATACTCGAAGAACTGCTTCGATCGCAATTATAAGCCGGTCGCAGACTACCCGCCGAGAATACAGTCTCTAGCCAAAGAAGCCTCGGATTTGCAGCATGCCTTGAAGCATCCTCGAGCTCGAATAAAGCAGGTTGAAAAAGAGATAGGCAAGCTCGCTACTGTTGCTGTGCGCCAGCAGCTAGAGCCGGAACAAAATGGAGCCCTGGATGCGCTTCGACAAGAAGCAAAGGAGCTCAAGGATGCCTCGCAGCAGATGATGGATCGGAGAGAAGAGTGTATGGAGGAAATACAGCAGTTGGCATTGTCGCTACCAAATCTTACGTCGAAGGACACCCCAATTGGAGACATTCCTCGCATCGTCACATACATCAATTTCGACCCCGAATCCCCTCCCTTGTATGCATCGCCGACTTCATCGGCGGCTGCTATCCCACGATCCCACGTCTCAATTGGTACTGAGCTGGGACTACTGGATTTCACCAGCTCAGCAACATCAACTGGCTGGGGATGGTACTTCCTCACCAACGAAGGCTGTCTCCTCGAACATGCTCTTGTCCAGTACGCCCTAACCACAGCTCGTAAGAAGGGCTGGAAACCGGTCTCTCCGCCGAGTGTTGTATACTCTCATATTGCGGAAGCTTGCGGCTTCCAGCCCCGAGATGCGAACAACGAGCAGCAAATTTGGTCTATTCAGCAGACAGAGAGAGACAAGGCTGCACATAAACCACAGCGCAGCCTGACAGGAACTGCCGAGATACCACTTGCTGCTATGTACGCGGGCCAGGAAATTCGGGCTGAACAGCTTCCCCTAAAGTTCGTGGGAGCAAGTAGATGCTATAGAGCTGAGGCTGGTGCAAGAGGTGTCGATACCAAGGGACTATACCGTGTGCACGAATTTACTAAGGTCGAGTTATTTGGCTGGGCAGACAACATTGAGCAGGACGGTACGGGTGCGAATACCAATGGAATAACGTCGACCTCTCTCTTTGAAGAAATGCTTTCTATCCAAACAGATATTCTCTCTTCTCTCAATCTGCCATGCCGAGTATTAGAAATGTCGTCTTCAGACCTTGGCGCGAGTGCAATTCGAAAAAGAGATATTGAAGTCCTATTCCCGTCCAGAATACCAAACAAATCAGACAGCTCATCTGTGCTGGACCCTGATTACAGCGGTTGGGGCGAAGTCACTTCGACTTCCATATGTACGGACTACCAGAGCAGACGGTTAGGAACAAGGGTGCGTGACAGTTCAGGGGTGTCAAGGTTCCCGCATACCGTCAACGGAACCGCTATGGCTGTCCCGAGAGTACTGGCAGCAATACTAGAGCACGGATGGGATGAAGCCCTAGGTGGCGTCGTTGTCCCTGAGGTGCTGAGGCCATGGATGGGTGGACTAGAAGTTATCCAGAGAAATAAATAAATCTAGAATAGCGAATCTCCTGTAACATATTTGTACGATAATGGCAACTAGAGCATTACTATACCACCATTTGACTAACGCATGAGAAATAAGTCAGCTACAAGTAAGTATAGGTAAGTGCCCATCCATTTATCACCTTGCATGTGATTTCTAGTCCATCGTTAATTGAGTTGCGTGGCTAGAAAGGGATAGTTCCACGCAGTCAATAATAGTAGAGGTATTTTAAATAGTACCTACTTAGATATATGGATAAATACTTTACACACCTTACCCTTTCCCTTAAGGGCACATTCTTCCTTTTTCTTTAGCCCACAGCCTGGCTTATCTCTTTATGCTGGCTCTCTCTTAAGTCTGCCCCTAGTTAGTCTAAGCGCGGCTGCTTGCCGCTAAGTTTGAGCCAATTGCCGCCAAGGTTTTTCCATAGGCGCGTTGTCAACGACGACCAACTTCTTTCTGTCATACCGACAGTCTCAAGCCACCCAAATTTGGTAAAGACCTCGATGCCTGTGCTTTTACACTCAGATTTACACATGGGGAATATCTTTACCACAGAGGAAGGTAAGGATACCATAAACATCACCAGTATTATTGACTGGCATTCAATTTCGATTGCACCGAAATTTTTACAAGCGCGATGGCCGGTATTCCTTGAACCTTTAGACGGTTACACCCCTGGCTTGATAGAAAAACCTGAGCCGCTATCTGGGCTTGAAGACATGGATGCTGCGGATAGAGCAGTGGCCAAAGTCACTTATGAGCAGAACTACCTCGCGAAGGCCTATGAGGTGTGTACAGGTGCCTTCAATACCCATTTGCATACTGCGTTACTGGTCCCATCGGCACTGAAGGAAATATATATACGCTGCGGAGAGACATCTGTTGATGGGATTTTCCCCCTTCGCTCCTGCTTAGCTGAGTTATATAAATACTGGTCGGATCTAAGATTTATGGAGCCTTGCCCCATACATTTTACTGAAGTTGAGCTTTCACAGTACGAGGAAGAACTTGCAAAATACGAGGAATGGAATGATCTTAAAGTTCTGGTTAAAAGAGCGTTAGACACTGATTCAGAGGGCTGGGTATCTCCTGCATTTGACTGGAATGAAAAGAAAACGCAACATGAAGAGCTATACCAGATGTTCGCGAAAAAAATGCTGGCCGAAAATAAAACCATCGATGAAATCAAGCAAATATGGCCCTTCCCAATTAGCTCATAGGGAGCTGCAATCAGATAAACCGACAAGGTACAAACACGCTTGAAATTAGTCCTTAACCACCTGGAACCATGAATGATTTAAAGCTTCTTGAGCAGTGAGCCTCTTTTTGGGATCAATGTCTGTTAAACCGGCAATTAAATCTTTGAAGACCGGGTCCACACCCTTCCACAACGCAAATGGTTCACGAGGAGTAGTCTCGTCGAATCCATTCCAAAGTACATTTATAACAGTGCACCAAGGACCTTCATCACCAATGTGCTTTAAGAATGCGGCGATAGAGTCATCGTTCCCGAAATATGAGAGCTGACGCTGGAGAACAATCGCTTGAACGTCCACACCTTCAGGAAGTTCCTTTGCATCTACAGCTAAGATAACATGCTTTAAGACTGCACAGATGCACTTTTTTATGTCTATTAGCGACCTTACTTATACCAACGACTTTAGATAGATAGGGATAATGAAATTACTCACCACAATTCCAAAGGAGAATATGTCGGAGGGCTTATTCACACGGGCCTCTACATGGGCTTCTGGGCTGCGCCACATCCAGTTTCCTACAGCCTTCCCGAGGATATCACAATTAGGGGGTATAATTGCGCTATCCTCGATATCAGCCAGTTGTACCCGCTTGATGGTTAGTTCCCCATTCTCTTCTTTCCAGTCAATCAGGATGTTGTTCGCCTTGATGTCTATAGCACTAATATGAGTAATGGGTTCCAAGACGGAACATAGCAAATATAAATTATCAAGACCTCTACCTGTATGGACGATATTGTGATCATGTAGCCCTTTGAGTCCACATAAAGCATCTCTAAGGATTCGTTTTGTGACCATGATAGGTATATCTTTTTTCGCCATATTGAGAAGATGGTCGGTAAGGTATTCGTAGACGAATATTGACTGGTCTGGCACAGTATCATGCAACAAGCGGAGACAAGGAGAGCTAGAGATGCGACGGTAGATATCGTGGTAGTAATCGAAATCGTGGACATGTTTTATTATGAACTTCTCCGTTCCATTGCTAAGATTACCAGTACCTAGTTAAACATATTGAGAGATGCCCACGGTAGAGGGATGACAAACTTTGCCAGGTAAATGCGAATATCTAGGGTTTTCTTTTCCTGCAGAAGCCGTTCAATAACGTATCGACTGCCAAATTTGCCGACAATTCTAGTTCCTACGGATGCCATTTCTGCTGTTTTGTGCTCAGGGACATCTGTCAAGGTTTTTTGCGTATCCGTATGAATGGGTACCGAGTAGGTAGTAGGGCATGTAAGTTTTCGAGCAAAGAGTACTGGATGCAAGGTGTGTCCAATATGCCTTATGATAGAAAGACGTAATAAAACTGGGGGAAATGCAGCTCTAGACATCGTAGCAGCCTGACTCCAAAGATGGCTTGCGGATAGCTTAACCAACTTCCATAACTAGAGATAACTGACGGGACCTGCAGGGCTGGCACTGGAGCCCGTGGCATAATTGACACATCCTTAATCTTATCTACTACCAGCCTCCTTAGTTTATTCACATTGGTATATTTGATCCGGGATGTTCCTTCTCGTGTGATCAGAGTAGTTCTCCCTCCATAGCCGAGATTCAAACAAGTCCAGAACGTTAGCATCTTGAAGTTCCTTAATCCTCTAGTAGAGCTGGTATTGCGTTGGAGGCTAGGACTGGTTGAAGGTACTCAGGGCTAGCTCGACAAGCTGATGAACCTGTCGTAGGGAAGTTCATCTGGCCACACGGCTCACCAGCGAGTTCTAGGTTGAAAGAGCTGGGATCCCAATCACCCTCTTGTGGTGTTTTTCTGTTTTAGGAGGATACGTTGACATATATTTATTGCATCAAAAAGCACCCCGTCATTTTAGCTGTCCTGCTGAGGTGTTGTCAGCATAGCTTGCGATCTATTGACCCATCCCGTAGATGATGGAATGACGGGACCTACCTACTGGCCAGGTAGTTACTATGGCAGACTATTTGTAGGCTCAAAACTCATTTTCATGAGCTGGAGTCGTTGGGGCTGGAGCTTGAGTTCCCGTGGCTGGAGCTGGGGGTTCTCCCCCCATTTTTATATCTTGTGCTCTATTCCTTATAACTATAAATTAGCCTAGATCTTATAGTCGTTTATAACTTGAATTATTTACCTCCTTCCCATAGTGAATTCACAAGATGTGCCGTCTTGCCTCTCCACTGAGAATTTTGTGCCGTGACATTGTCTATAATAAAATAGTAAGTATTAACTCTTTATATAATAGTGACCTTTCCTCACTTGTATGTATGTTTAGAAATTTTGTAAAGGGCTAACAGGATGACCGAAATTGTTCCCATCCAATTGAGTACTTCTGGGACTGGTATCATCTTGACAGTAGCCGTAGTAGTAAGCTAGAGCAATCGTTGTTCCATGGCCGAGGCCCCAGTTAGTCAACTTAGTTAACAAGTTGTGATGAGCATCCGGCTCTTCGACTTTTCGCCAGCATCTAACTACCTCGTCTATCGATACTGTTAGTTGACGAAGCACGGCTAACTGAATGGATGGTTATGACCAGGCCCAAGGTTATCTTCGAACCGGCGTGCTATCAGTCAACCGGCTAACTAGTAGTTATGTTACCCCAGCGTGGATGACCCTGTCGCCAACTCTTGGAGATATCCCGTCTTTCGAACTCCGAATGCAGCCTCTATGCGCGATGCCAGGCAGCTTGATATTACCTCGCATGGTGCCCAGCAGCACTGCCGGGATAGCATCTGTCTATCATTGGGCGAAGCGGCTTCTCTGGCACTTGCAACTCGGAGTCGGAGCAACCATCAGAGAGCCCCCAGGATGTTATATAGCCAGTTGGGCGGTGCCTCGTTGACCAAGGAGTCTCTGGAATACCGACCTTCACTGCCATTTCACGGTCACTCTTCCTGTCGAACCTGTGCTAGTGAATAACTTTGGCCAGCCAGGCTCTCCTTCTCATTCACCATGCCGGCCAACGAGATTGATCAAGGGGCCATGGGATCTGGCTTCAAGAGCTACAGACGCATCTTCCGCTATGCTGACCGAAAGGCCTGGTTCCTTTACTCTATATCCTTCCTTGCCGCTATTATAGGTGGTTCAGCGCTTCCATTAATGGACCTGGTCTTTGGCAAGTTTGTAACGACCTTCAACAACTTTGCTAACGGCTCCATCAGCTCTGAAAGCTATATACAGGAGGTGTCAAAATACTCGTAGGTTCATCAACAACAGCCCAATTGCAACACGGATATCAAAGTGGCCTAACAGGAGTTACAGTCTTTACCTGGTTTATCTATTTCTCGCCAAGTTCTTTCTGGTCTACATCCACACTCTTGCCGCCTCAGTAGCGGCCATTCGGGCTACCAAGGCGTTGCGATTGGAGTTTATGCAAAGCCTCCTACGCCAGGATGCCAGCTATTTCGATTCAAACAAAGACGGGTCGCCATCCGTCAAGGTTACTATGAATGGTAATATCATAACTAACGGCATTTCAGAGAAGCTATCAGTGTTTATTCAAAGCTGCGCCACTTTTGTAGCAGCTTTTGCCGTTGCGTTTGGAGTGCAGTGGAAGCTGACGCTTATCACCATCTGCATTGTTCCAGCTATCCTTATTATCACTGGGGTTTGCATGAGCATCGATGTCAAGAGTGAGGATAAGCTGATGGCTATCCTTTCGCGCTCTAGTCTAGTCGCAGAGGAAACCTTTCTCGTCTATATCAACTGTTCATGCCTTCTGGTTACAGCCATTGATGGCACAGCGCTACGAAGAGTTTCTTGCTGAATTGGAAAGTGTGGGCAGAAAGAAATCACCGAATTATGGTGCTTTATTTTCTACTGAATTCTTCTGCGTTTATTCGGGCTATGGTCTTGCTTTCTGGCAGGGCATCAATATGTTTGCTCGTGGTGATATCCAAGAGTCTGGCGACGTCGTAACGTATGGTTAATCTCCATAAAATGTTCTATGGCCTTTTTTTTTGCTAATCCTCTCCACAGTGTGATATTCGCTGTCGTTGTTGCGGCCACATCTCTGACCCATATTGCCCCCCAAATCATCACAATCACCAAAGCCGCTGCCGCTGCCGAAGAACTATTTCGCATTATCGATAAGGAGTCGGCTATTGACTCTTTCTCAACCTCAGGATTGGCACCCGAGGAATGTGTTGGGGAGCTCAAGCTGGAAGGCCTGGAGTTTGCCTACCCATCTCGCCCGGATACCAAAGTCCTTAACGGCGTGGACTTGAATGTGCCTGCTGGTAAGACTCCGGCTCTGGTTGGTGCTAGTGGCTCGGGGAAGAGCACAATAATCGGGCTGTTGGAACGTTGGTACGACCATACCGCCGGTAGCATCCTTCTTGATGGCATTAAGATACAAGAACTCAATATTGCATGGCTACGTACCCAAATTCGTCTTGTACAGCAGGAACCAGTTCTCTTCAGCGGCACAATCTTCGATAACGTCGCCTTTGGCCTTGTGGGGACGCAGCATGAAGACGCCCCTTATGAACAGAAACTTGCATTGGTGAAAGAAGCCTGCAAAGAGGCTTATGCGGACGTCTTCATTGATCACTTGCCTAAGCAATATGATACACAAGTTGGCGAGCGAGCACGCATGCTATCCGGTGGTCAAAAACAACGTATAGCAATTGCGCGCAGCATAATTTCACACCCCTCAGTTCTACTGCTAGATGAAGCGACGAGTGCCCTTGATCCTAAGGCTGAGAGGATAGTTCAAAGCGCCCTAGATAACATTTCTATTGACCGAACTACCATTATCATCGCGCATAAGCTCTCTACGGTACAGAAGGCAGACAATATCGCCGTCATGTCTGCTGGCAAAATCATTGAACAAGGAACTCACCATGGACTCATGGCCAACGATGGTGTCTATGCAAGGCTTGTCCGTACACAGGTTCTAGAACAAAAAAGCCGTGGGATGACAGAGAATGATCTGGCTACTGACATAGTTGAGCAGGGTGACTGGGACGAAGGGAAATATAACCTAGATGAAAAGGAAACTAGGAAGGAGAGGGGTGATGAGAAGCAAATCACATATCTTACAACACAGCATGCAAGGAGCATAGCTTCTGACACCTTGGAACCAAATTTCAACGCACAAGCAAAGGAAACCATGGGATACAACCTAATCCAGTGCCTATGGCTTCTGATAAAGGAGCAGCGGAATCTTTGGGGCTCATACTCGATCTTTGCATTTGCCTGTATTCTTGGGGGTGAGTGTTTCTTCCACACGGTAATAATGTAACCATCATATTCTGATCAGTTGCAGGTGCTACTTTTCCAACTCAAGCTGTCATTCTTGCACGGACGCTTGAAGTTTTTCAGCTCCGCGGCAGCGAAGCCGTTCGCCGTGGGAACTTCTGGGCACTGATGTTCTTCGCTGTAGCCCTTGCTAATTTCCTTATTTACTTCTTTGTGGGATGGGTAGCCAATATCATCATTCAGGTGAGTTTCCTTTTTCTATACTCCAAAGTTGGTGCACTGGGATTAACTACTGAAAACAACCTTAACCTTACAGGAAGTTAGCCGGAGGTATAGGAGAGAACTCTTCAGAAACACCCTTAAGCAAGATATCTCTTTCTTCAATCTGGAGCATAATGCTACTGGCTCAATCTGTGCTAGGTTATTGATTCATGCGTCAAATTTGAATGAGCTCTTAGGTATCAATTCGGGCTTAATTCTCATCAACGTCGTCACAATTATCTCTGTTTCTATCTTGGGCATTGCTTATGGATGGAAACTTGGCCTCGTGTGTGTCTTTGCTGCTCTACCATTACTGCTATTAAGCGGCTACTTCCGTATCCATCTTGAGAGCAAGCTGGAGGAAGATACTTCTACACGCTTCGCCAGCAGCGCTGCAATTGCAACGGAAGCAGTCTTAGCTATAAGGACAGTATCATCCCTTACTCTGGAGAAGAGGATTCTTCAAAAATACCAAGAAAGATTCGACGTCGTTGCGCATCAGTCTGTAAAAGCCCTGACTTTTACAATGTTTTGGTACGCCTTGACCCAATCTATTACCTTCCTAGCCATGGCCTTGGGCTTCTGGTATGGCGGGAAACTGGTATCTACACACGAGTATAGCAACGAGCAATTCTTTGTCGTCTTCACTGCGGTTGTGGTTGGCGGTGAGAATGCAGCAGCTCTTTTCCAATACACCACTGGCATCACGAAAGCAACGAGCTCTACCAACTACATCTTTTGGCTACGCCAGCGAGTCCCTGCCATGGATAACGACTTTTCGAATGAACCCCTCGCGAATGGCTCCTTCGAGAATAATGAAACTATTGCTATTGAATGTCAAACTGTCAGCTTTGCCTACCCTTCTCGTGGGGGATCAAAAAATGTCATTTCTGACATCAATATCAGAATTCCTCCAGGAAAATTTGTTGCGTTTGTTGGCCCATCAGGCTGTGGAAAGTCAACCATGATCAATCTCCTCTGCCGCTTCTATGATCCAACCACCGGCTTCATTACCTTTAATAACCAAGCAATCCATGAAACCGACCTTCATGACCATCGCCGGCGTCTAGCCCTTGTTCAGCAAGAACCTGTACTATTTCAGGGCAGTATCAGGGAGAATATTGCCATGGGCTTGATTGATTCCAGTGAGGCAACAGAAGCACAGATAGAGCAAGCCTGTAAAGATGCAAATATCTACGAATTTGTCTTGTCTTTACCTGACGGGCTGGGGAGTGAAGTCGGTCTTCGTGGCTCTAAACTCTCTGGTGGCCAATGCCAGCGTATTGCTATTGCCCGAGCTCTTGTTCGAGACCCCAAAGTTCTGCTTCTTGATGAAGCAACAAGTGCGTTGGATACAGAAAGTGAAAAGATGGTCCAGGACGCTATAAACGAGGCAGCCAAGGGGGGTAAAAGGAGTATAGTTGCAGTGGCCCACAGGTTGAGTACTATTCAAAGCGCTGATACCATCTATGTCTTTCAGGCAGGGAGAATTGCCGAGGCTGGTACTCATATCGAACTGCTGGGCAAAAAGGGTGATTATTATGAGATGTGCCAGGGACAGGCATTGGATACGGCTCTAGGCTGAGGGGGACTCAGGGGGCAGTGGAAGAGAGGTTTCATACCTGCAGTACAATTCTACGAGTTCATGCATGAAGTCTGAAAGTGCATTTCTAACATCGCTTGCTTAGTTATTCTAGTGTCGACCACATCCCGCAGCGATATGAGCGGATGAGATGAAATCTGTCAGCCTAATATCTTGCTTCCGGTGATAATTACATTACAACAACCCGGGAGTCCAGAGTAAAGCTGGGCGCCTCTCGATCCTTGCGCATCATAATTGGCAATGTTGGCATTGCTCCGCCTGCAGCAAACATGATTGATAGCGGCACAAAATGTCACGATGTCAAGAGGGGCAGAACGCCCTGTGAGCCAACATGTTATTGCAAAAATGGCCAGATTTACATCTAGGCGTACATGATAACAATAAAGAAAAGATGCGCTTTTTGGACGCATGGAGCAAGGGGACAGGGCAGGGGGTGTTGACTTGGGCCTGGGTATTAACAGCGCAGCAGGGAACTTGTGGACTGTATTGGCAGGGTTATTATCCCCCCCTGCCTGCGAGCTTCGAATGCCGGAAGAGCCGCTTCGTCTTTCAGCCTCCCTGTCCTCAGAGCGATTGCTGCTGCCTGGCCCTCTTGGTAGCGTTGTATGACCAATCTCTCCCTCCCGCCTCTCAGGTCGACAGTTCAACTTCTCAATCATATACACATTAAAGCATGGACTGTCCTGAAGGCAACTGCGTAATCCCAAGCCTTACGCGGGAAGAAAAACGCAAGAGATTTGGCCATGACCCTGCCAATTCGCAAGAAACCTGGGAGGGCCTTCGCAACAATATATACAGCATTGGTAGAAGCTACATTGACAACCACTGTACCGCCGCCGAAACTGAGAGCCGGCTGCATGACCTTTGGGATGAACTCATCCATGTCGCAAAGGTGACTCCAGCCCATAGTCCAGAACATGACCGACTCGTCATTCTGATCCTCGAAGCTCGAGAACTCGGCTCGTTTCCTATCAACCAGAAAGATAGAGATGCGCTGCCAGGCACCAGGGTGTGCGAAGTGGCTACCATGCCCAACGGACAGCGTCTGTGGGTCGATTTACCATACCTTGTGCAGGCAATTTATGCTGTCTGGACAAAAGAGTCAATGAAGTTTTCATCTCAGGAACGGCAAAGCCTGGCGGTGCTGACTGCTAAGCTGTGTGCCGTTGGCGTCTGTCCGGATCAACTCAGCCGTTGTGCTCTTTGGCTGTTTAGGGAGTCTCTAGAGACAGCAAGGGACGGTGTTCCGCTTCCTTCTAAACCAGAAGATGGCTCAAATACTATTGTTGAGCTCCTACCTGCCTGTCTAGAATGGCTTAAACAAAGCAGTCATAAGCTTGTAAAGCTATCGTTGGCAGATTATGATCCAGCTACGGGTTTGGCAGCTGATCTAAATGATTCTCTAACGGCCCCAGGAGAACTTGCAGTCAAATCAAATATCAAGCAGCCTGGTTTCAGCCTCCCTCGGTGGCTATTTTGGAGACAACGCTTCAAAGACTTGTATCGTTGTAGACACGAACCCCTTGTTAGCATGGCAAGGGCTTGCTTTGACGCATCGATTTTCAGCGGCCTTAACACTGGGCTGACTGTTCCGGGTGAGCAGATATACCTAGATCGGCTCTTCCAGGCACTTGACAAGGAACTCGCTGCTAGAGGGAATAAAGACTCTGTTGATGCGAGTGAGATAGAAATCGATATGGATTGGGATAAGGAGTAGAAGATGCTTAACCTCGGCAAGATTTTTTTTTTTTTTTTTATGATGCATAAATAGTTCTGTATGTCTCCAAAGTTGAAAATATAGTAATTTTCATAGCTATATAACCGTGCTTCCAATTCTCATGACATATTGACGCAGGAGGTATGTCTTAAGCCTTGGCAAGTGTCTGTATGCAGAATATGCCATGGCACAGAACATATTTCATCAGATTTAGTCCTGGGCAGCAGCCCAGTCCCACAACCCCGTTGACTCGGCATTTTTGTCATTCTTCAAATCCCAAACAAGCACTTCCTTGGGCAGATCCTCTACCTTGCAATCGGCAGACTGAGGGAAGAAAGTCTGTATAACTTTCTTTCGAATCACCTTGTCGGTCGTCGTCCGTGGAATAATATCGTCGTCTTTAAGAATGCGGAGAAGAGTTGGCAGCTTGTATTGCGCAACCTTCAGTTCTGTAAGATCTCGCCTTACTTTAAAGAGCATGTTTGATGTAGGCTTTCCATCCGGGCCTAAGATGTTGGCGTCTTCTTCTTTGAACGAGGGCTTGAGACGGGCAATGACAGCTACCCTGTGCAGGATCTCCATGTCCGGAACAGCAACGACGTATGCTTCTGACAGGTAAGGAAGCTCTGACAACTTATCTTCGAGCTCAAGGGTTCCCACTTTGAGGGTTCTCGAACGGACGACTATTGGGGGGATTAGTATGACCTTTTTTTCTTTGATAGAGGATATATTGGCGCGATAGGGATGAAGGTGCACTCACAATCTTCGTTGACTCGGCCATCAATAATGTAGTTCCCATCTTCCTCAATGTGCGCCAAGTCACCTGTCTTGTAGAACCCGTTTTCGTCCAATGCCGCCTTTGTAGCAGCCTCGTTATTAAGGTATCTACGAAGGAATTAGTATAGCCCCAGTAAAACTAGCAAGGCCAATGAACTCACCCAAGGAACAGGTCGCTACTTTTCAACAGAATCTCCCCATGGTCACCTTCGGAAAGTTTGACCTCAACACCAGGCATGGGCTTGCCTATCACACGCTATCCACAACGATATGTTAGAATAAAGCGGAATTGAGAAGCATTGATGACCTGGGAGAAATAATAGCGGGCATACCTTCGTGACATCATAGCCTTCAGGGGTTGTGCTTGTCCCTCCACCACCCTCGGTCGTGCCATAAAGAATGGTGATGGGGATACCGCCACGCATGTCTTTCCAGAATTGTCCGACAGAGGGCATGGGAACTGCACCACCACAACCGATATATTTAATTTTCTTCATTCCTTCACTGTATTCCTTTACCTTTTCAGGTTCGAGCACGGCCAGATGCTCTTTGTAATACTGCATCAGACGAAGCAAGGTCAAATTCGTGGCATAAGCCATTGTTATTTTCTGCTGGCGGATAACCTCCCATATTTGCTCTGGGCTGGGGTCCGGATCAACAATGTAAATGGCTAACCCATTCGAGATCGAAGCTACCGGAGGATATATTCCAAATCCCCAGTGGACAGCACGGTGGCACAGCGCGAGGTCTTCGTTCGCAGCACCGGCCACAGTACGGAGGTCGTACGCAGGCATTGTGCGAATAACTCCTTTGGGTGGGCCAGTGGTGCCAGATGTGTGGAGGAGAATTAATGGCCGGCGTGGGGAAAAGACGATATTCTCGTCGATATGGTACTGGCGTTTTGTTGACGGAACTGGAACCGTGAGATCTACGCCAATGACTTTGATAGCGTGTCCAGTCTCGTTTTTGATGTAACTCTGGATTGCGGCAGCTGCATCGCGCTGACTCGCGCTGGCTATCAGGAGCACAGCTTTGTTCCTTTGGATGAGAAACGAGACCTCCTGTGGTGTAAGGCCAGTTGCTATACAAGGTAATCGTTAATATCCACGCGGTATCCCAAAAAAAAACGACGGAAAATAACACATACCCAGCGGGGACACCGCCGCTCCCACTGCCCATACGGCAAAGGTAGCTACGAAAATCTCATAACTTGCCGGTGCGAGAGTGCAGATATATACACCTTCATCACGGATTATCCCGTTGGAGTCGAGGAGATCCGGAATCTGCTCACGGATGGTGCGTCGCAGTTCGACAACATCGTTCATGAAACGATCAAAGGTGGCAGTGATATCATTGTTAGGGTCATGAACGATAACCCCCTCGTTCAAGGGGATAGACTTGATGAGCTGTTGGAAAACAGGGTGATTTGGGAAGCCTTCGGTTGCCATGCTGAAATGCTTCCTTTTACTGAGAGAGGAAGAGTTAATCAAATGTGCTTTCTAGGCCAAATATATTCGATGAAGTCTTTCTAGGCTGAACCGAACGAAGTGGGATGTCGTTCGTGCTTATAGTGTCATGTCCTGTGCACCCCGGACTGGCCAACTACCCGAGCTTTTTGCCCGGGTAGCAGCAACGCAGACGTCATGCAAGGCTATGCATCACATTAACAAGGGTGAGCCAGAGCAAATATGCCGTTTAGCCCGTGGATTGGAGGCATGGCTCGAACTCGGTTGGGCCTTTCAGCTGGTCGCAAAGGACCATTTCTTTATCCCTGGTACATGGACTAGCCAGACGCACTGATCGACAGTTTGTTGGTATGTTGCAGCCTAGCGTGCTTATCGTGTATAAAACGAGCACATCTCCTGCATAACTCGGGTATCGCGATGTATAAACATCCAGCAGCCTCCAGGGATGGCGCAGTCCAGGGCATCTGATGTCGCGATGTCGTTGGCCGGGAGTCGTTAAAAGTGTTATTGCACCAAAGCCAACCGTCTTAGTCAGCATAGATGTTGACGAGAAGGGCAAAAAGAACGACGCCGCAAAGTCTCGAGATGGACGCAGCAACGACATCGCCAGCCCAAAAGACGTCTTATATTCTGTCGTTCGTCCAGAGAACCCGCTGTTGGACGGCATAAAAAGGACGCCAGGCCAGGGTTGTACAGCTGCGAGTCTGAGAACGCCCAACCCCGGTATTTTTATCTGCAGCAGCGATTGGACGTCGCCAGCCAACGGGACTTCCGCTCCCCCGTCGACTAATCAATCGGGGCTCTGCCAGGTTGCTTCTGTCTTGCAGGCCGGCCAAGGAGCTAGACATTCGACAGAATCAGCCAGGGACTTGTCCGGAAGATCCCCCTTGCCAGTCAAGAGCCAGTAAGATCGTATTTCCCGCACTGACATTCTAAAAAAAACCAATAACCTACGGAGTATCCTTCGAGAAGTTTTCTTCACTCAAGGCTGACGTATGAGTAGACCGTTCAACCGTCTCCTCGAACGACTTGACAGGCTTCTTTGCCTGGGAATTGGCTAGTTAGCGGGCCGAGGAATCCCCATCACTTATCAGCTTCCCCATATTTTCTGTTGCAGTTGATGAACAATGGAGAGCCACTGGCCTAAGGACGGGGATTCAGGGTCTAGCGGACCAAAAGAGCAGAGAGAACCCGAGTTCACCGGATACAACGAAGCAGACGACGAGACGTTGGATCGCATATACCGCAAATTGGACATACGTATCATACCGCCGTTATGGACGCTCTACTTCCTCTGTTCTGCCATCCGATCCAACGTCGGGCTGGCCCAGACGATGAATCTCAAGGAAAAACATGACCTGGGCCATGTGCTACATCTGACGCCCCGGCAGATCTCGACGAGTTTGGCACTGTTCTATGTATGCTATATTATATTCGATCTACCGTCGAACCTGATTATGACCAGACTAAGCCCTCATGTCTGGATGAGCCGGATAGTCATCAGTGTTGGCGTGATAGGGGCGTTGATGGCAGCTGTCAAAGCCGCGTGGTCGTTATAGTACGTATATACCCTGACCAATCCATGGATTCAACTGCTTTCTATATCTAACCAAATTATGGAAACTCTAGTCTCCTCCGCCTGCTGCTTGGAATCGTGATAGCCGGCATGTGGCCTGGCATGGCATACTATCTATCACTTTTCTACCCTCCCGCCCGGACCGGCCAGCGTATAGGCTTCTACTTCACAGCCGCCCAAGTATCCGCTGCAGTCGTTGGACTAGTATCAGCTGGATTCCAGAAAATGGACGGCCTGCAGGGCCTCGTGGGCTTCCAATGGATGTTCCTCATCTGGGGTCTGGTCGGTACTGTGATGGGCATAACGTTGCTATGGTGGCTACCAGATCGACCAGTACCACCAGGCGAATCCCGCCCGCCTCGCTCGGCCTGGCTTCGATGGATACCCAACACCACACCAGCCCTATCCGGCCGCGACGAGGAGCTACACTATGCCGATGTACAGCGTGTTTACAAGAAGGTCCAATGGGGCTGGTCGGATGTTCTTCGCATACTGTGCGACTGGCGTCTCTGGCCAGTGACGATAATGTACTTTGGCGTCGTGGGCGTTGGCATCGGAGTCCAAAGTTACGGCACGGTCATCATCCGGGCTGCCATCCCTTCGCTGACGGGCGTGCAGCTGTCGTTGCTCTTTGCGCCGATTTGGGTGATGGACCTGATAGCCATACTGATCATGACCCCGATATCCGATGCGTTCCATCACCACAGACCGGCAATATTCATATTCTCGTGTCTGATATTGCTTACTGGCTTGCTGCTTACGACCTTCACGCACACCTGGACTGCATACGGTGGCCTGTTGATCGTAGGCTTCGGTCTGGGCCCGACGGTGCCTATCACCATGTCTCTGACCGCCGAGCTGTTTGGAGCAAGGTACGGTGACGTCGGCGTTGCTGCTTCGACGGCTATAGTGAGTGGACTGGGCAACCTGGGCAGCATTGTGAGTACGTATGCGCTGTACACGGGCTGGGAAGGGGACGTGAAGAGGGGGTATAGAGGCAGCAACGGGGTGATGTGCGGGATTGTTGGCGGGAGTATTCTCGCCGCTGTGGTTGTGGGGATGATAGTCTGGGGCAAGCAGAAGGAGGAGCAGCGTGGATGGAGAGGCGTCTGGTGGGCGAAATGGCTGATTAGATGAAAAGCAATTGATTTCTGTATGATATTTGGGGAATACTGGATAAAAGGATAGTAGTCATTTAGCAATTAATAGTTGGACGGTTTCATCTTTGTAGAAGTATCCCATGTTCCCTCCATCGGCATTCATAGTCCGATCTCCCTACTTCTACCTGCAACCATCATCCACCGGCATCTTCCGAGCATCCAATCGGTCCTTGACTGCCTGCATGGCCATAACGACCCTGTAATAAGTCTCTCTCGGTTGGGCGTTGCCGTTGTAGCCAACAGGGACGTAGCCAAGTAAACAGGCGAGCGATGAAACGCTTCAAGGATCGGAGATTAACCACGCACCCACAGCCTCAAACGCCTCAACTGTTGGTTGATACGAACTACGAAACAAGCTAACTACGCACGCTGAAACGCGTGGTGGGAGACAATTTGGGTTAAATGAGTGTGATTTCTCTCAGCTCGAAAAGGGCGCTCTTGTCTGTTGTACAGCAGTGGTAAAAAGAAAAGGACCGGGGGCTATCTACCGCATAACGCAGGCAGGCAAGATACGCAAACAGACACACGATGGATAGAAGTCAAGGAAGCAATGGTGAAGGGAGCAAGTTGGTAGTCGTAACGCTGACGAAACAGCAGGCAAGCAGACATTGATAGCTGGTTTGCCGGGTTGATATAGATTAATGTAAGGATATATAAAAAGTAGAGCAGTAACGGTAATAATAGTTAGTTTAGTCGGTCTTCGTCTTTTTTTTTTTTTTTTTTCGTTTCGTTTTGTATAGGATGGGGAAGAAAGAAGTAAACGACGATAGAGCCGAACTGAACTGAACTGAACCTGATAGAACGCGATCCCACGGTTTCAGTGGGAGCAATATGCAGTATTTGTGTGTGCAACTGACATATTGCAAGGAGTGATAAATGGATGGACAAGAAAATAGCAGACATGATGAGAGAGAAAAACAACATGAGCTAGGCATGAACAGGCTAGGAAAAGAAGAACAGTAAAAAGGGGCATCGAAGCGTGGAAGATCTAATTAAAAGGCATTAGGTGTGTTTTGATTCTTGAAGAGACGGAAAGGAAACGGTAAGGAAATGCATTTCGACGTAGGTATCTCGTTGAGAGTTTAATCACTTCCGCAGAGCTGGAGAGACTTGTTAGTATAATGGACTATGATGATAGAATGTAAGATGGAATGTAAGGAAGGCTTACAGTTTCAACGATGATACCAGTGATCTGGTAGGGATCCGCGTTACTGGCGGGTCTTCGGTCTTCGAAATAGCCCTTTCCGTCCTTTGCACACTGTCTGGGGATACGGATACTGCCACCACGGTCGGCGACACCCCAGCTGAACTTGTCGATGCTTCCGGTCTCGTGGCGGCCGGTGAGACGGTCCTCGTTACCCTCGCCGTAGACAGCGATGTGCTCTGGGTGACGGGCCTCGAGCTTCTTCATGGCGGCCTCGATGACCTTCATACCACCCTCAGCACGCATGGCAGCGGTGGAAACGTTGGAATGGAGGCCAGCGCCGTTCCAGTCACCGGGGATGGGCTTGGGAGCAAAGCTGATGACGACACCGAAGTCTTCGGCGACACGGTTGAGGAGGAAACGGGACATCCAGAGCTGGTCACCAACTGTAATGTTTGTTAGTTAAGTCCTAAGAAAAATATGATAGAGAGGACAACTTACGGGTGATGCCCTCGCAAGGACCGACTTGGTACTCCCACTGAGAAGGCATGACCTCAGCGTTGATACCGGATATGCTGATGCCGGCGTAGAGACAGGCCTTGTAGTGAGCATCGACGATGTCACGGCACTGGGCCTTGCCGGTACCGACACCGCAGTAGTAAGGGCCCTGGGCACCGGGGTAACCACCCTTGGGCCATCCGAAGGGCCAGCCATCAGCGTCAAGGAGTGTGTATTCTTGTTCTAGGCCGAACCAGAACTGTTCCTTCTCGTGGGTGCGCATGAGACGAGCAGCCTCGTGGCGGTAGTTGTACTTGTTGGGGGAGCCATCGGAGTCCCAGGTCTCGCAGAGGACGAGGATGTTGTCACCGCCACGGAAGGGGTCGGGGAAGATGGCGCAGGGACGGAGGTAGACATCTGAGTCGTGGCCGGGAGCCTGTCCTGTCGATGAGCCGTCGAAGTTCCACTCTGGAAGCTCGTCGGCCGAGGTGACTGGGCGACTGAGAGTCTACAGCAGTATGAGTCAGTATCAACTGTATATACTCAAGCAAACGACAAAACTCATCACTCAAAGTGTCTGGCCCGTGTAGATCACCGTTCACACCCCAGCCAGCAGTGAGCGTTGTCTGTATGGAGGGGTTGACTGGGGGCTAATGCAGGAACCAGGCGAGTTCGAGCAAGGGTCGACACCACAGCAAAAAAAATATACCAAAAAAGAAGCAAAAATGGAAAAAATAAAAAATAAAGACGAACCTTTGTTTTTGAGCGAACACCGCCGTGAGCATCTACCCAGACGTATTCAGCGAGGACCTTTCCACGCTGGTCGAGGCCCATGTATTTTTGGAGCTGGAGGCGTTGTTAGTTATGGTTGTCCGGGATGTGGACTCGACGACAGGGGAGCAAGCGAGGGCACACACATTAGCAGCATCAGATCGACGAGTATTCGCCTGTAGGATTATCGTTAGTAGATTGTTCTTCTAATTGATGTTGTTGATGTTGTTGTTGCTGCTGTGATGAACCCACCATGATGAGAGATAACAGCGAGATAAGTCCTGCTTGGACGGGTAGATAGAGGCGATAAGCAGAAGCGAGAGTCGGCTGGAGACAAGAGCAGCTGCAGCTAAGGCAAGCAAGCAAGCGACAGAACCGAGCAGGAGAAACAGCGAACAAACAGCGTGCTGCTGGAAGAGAAGCAGGAGAAGCAGAAGAAGATAAGAATAAACAGAAGAGATAATAAAAGAGGAGGAGGAGGAGAGAAAGAGAAGGAGAAGAAGAAGACGAAGCGAAAAGCGGGTTTTGCGTGCGCTTAAAAAGAAGGCAAAGTTTTCCTGCGCTTTTCCTGCTGCGGCCGGCGTGGATGACGTAAGGCAAGTCTCAGGGCGCTTAAGTAAGCAGTTCCCTGTCGCCCAAAATAGAAAAAGGCCGGAAGAAGGCCGGAAGAAGGCCGGGAGAAGACGGCGGGCGGACCCATTTTTTTCTTGCTCCTTCTTGGTTGGGCCTCTTCCTTTTTGGTGGCGGTGCGAGATCGCCCGATAAGGCAGGGAGAGGCGGGGGAAGCGCCGAGATAAGACTAAGGGCGCGCGATAAGGAAATCCCTCATACATAGTCGAGCCGGCGGTTGAGATAAGAAGGGCAGGCGGTGAGACCTGAGACCTGAGACCTGAGACCGTGACTGAAGCTGAGCTGAGGCTGCGCTGATCGGCTGTTTCACTGCGGGCAGAAGATTTACAGGAGGATTTGCAGCGAACAGAAGTACTGACGGAGTACATACTCTACAGTCTACAGAGGTGCATAGATGGATGAGGTACCTACGGGGCATCCGTCGTGCTGCCGTGGTTACCGCCGTTGCGTTGCTGCAGCTACTTGCGCTGCGCCTGGTGGCTGGCTGTTGGCGCTGGCTGGCCAGACGGCTTGGCCGCCCGGAGATAAGACGGCGGCGTCTGGTTGGTTGGGCAACAAGAGACAGCAAGAGCCAAAAAGAGGGCGATGAGTAATACGATGACATAAGACGCTGCCGAGGTTCCCGCGCGCATGAAGCTTATGTAATATAACACTAAACCAGCAGCCATACAACTGCCTCCGTCGCTCCGTACATATATACTCACAGCAGGTCGACAAGCCTCTACTATCTACCTACTTAGTTGGGAGATCTTCGGAAGGATGGGAATATGGAATCTTGGGACGGACGGGGACTGCGTGGGACTAATAATGGGACTAGGACTAGGGCTAGACTAGCTGCGATGCCGGCGGACGGCGTACTTGCAGGCGGACTCGACCAGCAACCCCAGATCCTCGCATGTCTCCAGGACACGACCCAGCAAGCCACACAGCTTCTTCTCCTCGGCAGCTCGCGTGGGCGTGTTGGCGGGCCCAGAGGGAGAGGGCTCGACCTCGACGATCCCGCGGGTGCAGGGCACTTGCAGCCGGCCGTCGGCGAGCACCTCGACTGTGACGCTGGCTGTCCGGGAAGAGGGAGGAGAAGACGGAGAGGGAGAGGAAGAGGAAGAGGAAGAGGAAGAGGCTGCCAGGGGGAAGACAACCAGCAGGGTCGGCGGTGATGAGACAGGCGTCCGCAGGCTGATCGAGATGCGTTTCGTCTCGTCACTCTGGTCGGTAGATGAGAGAAGGCTGTTCAGCCGAGTCTCTGCTGCATCGACATTGTCCATTCGATGGCCCTCTTGCGTGTACCCTTCATCGTCCGACTCTTGATCTTCATCATCCTCGTTCTTACCCTTGGAATTATTGCTTGTGCCCATCTGAAATACGCTGAGTAGCTTGCCGAGTAGAGCATACTGTCGAAGCAGGGGGATGACCTCCTCTATCTGTCGAGGATGCGAAAAGGGAAGCTCCCTCACCGTATAGCCAGGCACATGCTCCAGGGCATGGAAGCTGTACACATGCTTCTTCCTCGTCACCTCGTCTTCTCCTCCTTCTGTTTGGCCAAAGATAGGTACCGTCCTCACATGCTCTTCTTCTTCCTGCTCGTCCCCGCCTTCCCCCTTTACTGTTCGCGATGGCCGCCGCTCAACAGGTACCACAAGCGCGTCATAGGCGGCTGGCGCCCTCGTCTCCTGCTGCATCGCTATCCCGACCAGGCGATACACCTCTGCTGCCACGACGATAGGCACATGTATCGCTGGCTCCAAGCGTGCCACGAAGCGCACATTCGGTGGGCTCGACGGCAGCAGAGGATCGGTCGAGACGAGCGTTGGGTCGGGCTCTAGCCAGTTCGTTCGCGTCTTGCCAACCTTGCCGTTCGTATCCTCGGCGCCATTATTGCCCTCGTTATCATTATTGTTGCTCTTTTCATTATTGGTGATATTGATATCGTTTTCGTTATTGTTTTCGTTGTTGTTCTCGTCCTGCGTCGGTAGCACCGTAGGATCGCCCACCCAGCCCTTAGATATGCGTAGTGACGGGTAGCCAGCCTCACACTCTATCACAGCACTGTATACCTGCCGTCTGCTGCTCCCCTTGGACCGCTTCAGGGACGGGGACAGCTCAGCTTGCAGTACCTCTTCAAGCGAAGTGCGTTGAGCATCCAGTAGCCGCCGTTGGTCAGCCCAGTAGTGTATCGCCAGGCCAACGTTCTCGCCCCGGTGCATGGTGGGACAGCCCACACTGCTGCTCCTACACAGCCGCTCCCAGAACCTGCTTTCGGGCCCAGACGTGGTTTTTTTCGTGTCTGTGTCTGTGTCTGTGTCTGTGTTCAGCTTCAGGTCCGGGTCCGTGCCCTTGCCCGTGCTGTCCCAAACCTTCTGCAGGCTCTCATGTACCCCTTCCACCGCCTCGAAGCAGTTGACCTCTCTGCATAACCCATCCATTCTCGCCAGCCGCGTCAGGTTCGCGTGGAATACATCGACTGGCTTCCACTCTCCTGCAGCTACTCGTTCCTCAGCATCACCATCACCATCATCGCCAAATGTCAACACCCTCTTCAGCACCGCTGATGCAGCTTCCCTCTTCTCTCCTTCAGCCATATCCTGCGTAGCATATCGGAGCGTCACATCCTTCACCACATCAGCTTCTGTCCCGTCCCGGCCAAACTCAATCTCCAAATCAACGCTGTTCCCCGCGATACTTAGATTATTATCCTGCCACATACACTCGAATCCTTCCAGCGTGCCAAGTCGTTCAACGGCCTCTCGACACACGCCGCGTCCCGCCACCCGTGACCGTAGCATAGCTAGCACCTCAGACATGTTTCGTCGTTTCTCTGCTTCCGTATCTTTCGCTGTTGCGCCTGGCAGCGAGTGCATGGGTAGGTCAAGGGGCATTCCCATCCCCATCCCCATCGCGTCAGACATGCTTAGTCCCATGCCGATGCCCATACTCAGTCCGCCTGTCATCGCGACTCCCCCGGGGCCGGGAGAAGGTGTTATGCCAGATAGACCCAGCGCTAGCAGTGCAGAAGGTGAGCTAAACCCTGCGGCATCATCAAGCATAGGCGTGTACTGGTGTGCCGGTGCCTGTGAGTGCGATGAAGCAGGCGGCTGCTGCTGCTGCTGTCCCGGGTGAGATTGTTGCTGATGCTGGTGTTGTTGCTGTTGATGGTGGTGTGAAGGGGTTCGTGTTGCTGATGGTGAAATATGCGATAGCGGGCGTCCCATGGGCACCGCCGAGGGAGCTGGATAGGGTGAGGAAGTGATCTGGGTTGGGGTAACGCCGGGGTTGGCGCTGGCCGTGTTGTTTTTGGCAGGAGTCGCCATGGTTTGATGGTATCAAAAAGCAACAACAAATGCTATAATTTCCAAGGTAAGATAGTGTGTAGATGGAGATTCTATTGACAGCGAATGCCCATGGGTATCATATTATGCATAGTCTCGTTCAAATAAGCCGCTTCTCAGCCCTCCGCCTCCGCTGGTTGCCACAGCTCAAAGGAAGAGGGATCCCCCGTAGTAGCAGCACTTTGGTATCCAGAATCGTAGTTCAAAATGTCCCATCGCGCGTCGCTCCCTTCTCTCGTTTTAGCGTAACTATCATCAGCTCCCGCATCCAATCTGCATTCCCAGCTCTGAGGCTGTGGCTTTGCTTTGCCCTTCGTCTTTGAAGTCGGACGTTGGACCGCAAAACGAGCTACGGATTTAAGATTGGTCACGTGAGGACAGCGAAGAGCCCTTCTTTACTTGATAGCGACAGAGCTTCAGGAGTATCTTTAACTACCTAGCTATCTACACTACTCACAGTCTCACGACGATAGCATCATGCTCGCTGTTCCTCCTCTCTCTGCCTCTCCCCCCCCTCTCTCGCTTTGCTCCATTCTATTTCCGCCTCCCTCTTCCGCCCCCTTTTCCACTCCTTTCGCCTCTCTTTCTCCATAGCTTTCTCCCTCTTTATTTCTGCTTCCCGCTCCTTGCGTCTCGCCTTCTCTCTCTTCTTTACCTCCCACTCTGCTCTCGCCCACGCAGACATCTCGGCTCTTAGCTGGTCTAGTTTCGCCCTATGCGCCTTGATTTGTGCAGCCTCTTCCTGTGGGTTCCTAGTACTCATTAACTAATGGTTATATGGTGGGTTGGGGGGACTTGCTAGTATACTTAGATATACTCCTTATAAGCAAAGCTACTTACCGTCCCTTTGGCCTAATATGGAGTTTCATACTGCTAATAGATTTAATATAAAAATAGTCATTATCTGATGCTGTCATGAATATACTATAAGTAAGAAAGATAGTTAATATATATATATTTCCTTCTGTTAAGGAGTAGTAGTACTTACATTCCGGCACCTTCGGGTAGTTTGACTGTGGGTATATTCTCTGCAGTAGAGTAGGGTGGTGGAGGACTTGTCTTCTCCATATTTAAGGGCTTTAACTAAGCGCCGTTGCGAAATTCGAGCGCAGCTACTTGAGATAAAAAGTTTTGAGGCGTCTATTGAAGAATAGTAATGAGAGAAGACGAGTAAGACAGATTAAGAAGCAGAAGAAAAGAATATACGAGAGTTGTGCCTATTAATATTTATATATGTGTGTGGTGTGTGCGTGTTTGGTGTGGCAAGCCATAGTAGCATCATCGTCGACTGTCAACCACGATTTAACTAGTTACATACATCGCCTTTTGAGTTGAGGTTTTGCTCTAGCCACTTAACTAACACATCTCCTTGCCTTCCACCGAGAGGAACACAAATGATGGGCCTAGCTGCCAAAATAGCAACCCAAGCAAGACCAATGGCTTCTCTCACGGGAGCTTTTCGCCCTATCATGGGCTCGAGCCGGCCTTTGTCTAGGCAGCTATCAACACTGTCGAATAATCCTCACATCGTACGGCCAGCACACCCCGTCCCATATCCATCCAAAGCCATCTGCATAAACTAACGCCAACATATAGTACGTTTTCCCGAATGCAACAGGCACGAGCCATACGCTATCACTCCTACCGACCTCTCCTCCAACTCCAGACGTCGCAATCGGGTCAACAACTACTTCTGCCCTCCCTCCAACACCAACCACATTCTCCCCAAACCCGCGCTTCATATCAATCCTAGACTCCGTGCTAGCAGATCATGCGTACCAGGACCCAGATACCGTGTCCGCAGCACAAGTAATGGCATCAACTGCCGGTGCGAACCTCTTCTCACGCATGCATGGACGGGCAGAAGGGGCAGGGTCAGCTGGTCGAGGTGGATTCATACATATAGCTGATTCGAGAGAGCCGCCGGAATACGGCAGGATACCTTCGTATGTTTGACCCATTGGGCTTTACGGTTGTGTTGGTGGGAAAACTAACATATAACTACAGGCCTGAGGATATATTTGGCTCTATTGAAGTTGATGGACAGGGTAACATTGAAGGGAAAGGAAACTATCAAAGCAGCGGTATGATACATTCTTTTTTCCTTCGTGAATGAATGTATTGCATTACTAACTACATTTCTATCCAGGAACATATCGTATTGTGACGAGGAGTGGAATGTAAGTGTTCCTCGCGTTCGTTATGGATTTGTCTCACATTGCTAACGACGTACAGCCTTGGACTAAGTCCATTTCTTAGAGAAAAATTGGTCGAGAGACTAAAGGCTGAGGAGCAGAAGATACGGCAGTAAAGGTGTCAACTCCCAGTGAAGTGATATTAACGTTATTCACGACGAAGTGTAAGATAAGTATACTTGTATAATAGACATTGCATGTTGGACAGCGAACCCAGTCAAAAGAGGGATGAATATCGTACATAGATAGATCAAACATAAATCGCAACTAAATCACTTCTTGAAGAAATTGGTAATTCGCTGGTTTCCACCACTTGGTTTAGCACTGGATTTCGGTTTCGTGTTATTGCTTGTTGCACTTCGCATCTTCCTCGTAGGACTGCTTCCTTTAAGGGGTTCCATCTTCTCTTGGGCAAATTCTTTTTGTGGGCTTTCAATCTTCACCCTCTTGTTGCTGTCTGCAGAAGTTTTCTCCGATTTATCATCTGGAGTGTGTTCTCTCTTTAGACTGCTGGAATATCCCTCCGGTTTTTCGAGTTTAGTTTCCGGCACTTCTGTTTTCCCCTTCTTTTGCCCCTTTCCTTGGAAAAAATTGGCGATGTTTGACTTATTTTCCTTGCTATCAAGCGGTACGATGAAGCTCGGGGAGTTATTGCCGACTTTCCCTACATCTTTACTAACAGGGTATGTCTCCAGTTCACCTTCATAGGGCTTCAAGAGTGATTGAAGCTCCTTGGTCCATGTAGTAGTATGCGGGTCTAGCCAAGCTGCCATTGCCTTACTACCTGGATCAAGAATGACCGGCATACGGTCGTGGAGGAATTTCAGTTGTGGGTTGGACGAAGTGGTGATAACCGTGTAGGTATACAACTTCTCACCCGAATCTATTATGGGTCAGTCACACACCCAAAATATATTATCCAATGCCAATCCTACTTGCCTTCATACTTGACACAATCCCACAAGCCAGCGAAACACATCAGATCGCCATCCTTTCGACGGGTATAATACGGTAGCCTGGTTTTACCTCCAGGGCCAGTTTTAAGCCATTCGTAAAAGCCTTGGCATATAACTATGCAACGCTTTTTCCTCTTCATCGAAGTCCACATGCCTCGGTCCTCTATTAACGAGTCATCCCGACAGTTGATAGTCTTCATCAGTGAGCCATAGTCTGGAGAACGTTTGGTCCAAAAGGGTATAAGCCCCCATTTCATGGCTTGAATCTTATACTTGATGCCTTTCTCTTCTGCCTCGGCTTGCTCAGCATCCTGCTGCTCTTCGGGAGCTTCTCCTTCAGCGGCTTCATGACTCACGCCACCGTGGTCAGGGGTGTCCGCTCTGAGGACAGCACCGTAGTTTCCCGGTGCAAAATTATACGTCTCCCTCACTTCATCGTCATCCGCTATCTCATCAACCTGCTGTCCTCTCTCTTGTAGCTGATGTCGAATGAACGCTAGGCGCTGTCCCAAAAGATATCAGACTAGTGGTCTCCTTGTATTAGAGCATAGGATCATGCATACAATTCCCATAGCATAACGCCCACACATTTTGCCGCCGTGACCAATTCTTTGGTGTATACAACTTGGTTATAAACCTTGCATATGTTAGAAAGAGCTGGACATCAAAGACTGGTATATATCTAATGGATAACTTGCTGCCTTCGAGGTTGTAATTAACTTGCTGGATGTATTTAGTCTAGACCTTGGCTAGTCGGACCTGGTACACGTGACCGTCTAACGCGACCACAGCTAGGGACCCTCATATTAATTATGTTGAATATTACTACCTCGTCTTACATAGAGCGCCATAAATAGCTATCAATATACACGGTGTGCTATGTATCTTTATCTTAAGGGAAAAGAAATAATCAATGTATGGCCGTTAGAACTCATGGTTGAGTCCGATAAAAAGCCCACGCTAAAAATGTCTAAGCAACCTTAAATTTACCACCTGCTATCACAACCACCGGCCGGGAGTGAAGTCGTTATTATCTCGATTGTGTTCTAACTAGGCATCAGTGACCAGGCTTGCAGTTACTTGCTTCAGTCCTAACAAATTATTAGATATGACCTAGAAAGATGCTGCCGAAACTAGGATGGCGCGTCAGCGCTCTCTCACGACCGATATGCAGTCCGATTTTCTCGCAATCGATGACGAGATCAATTTCTTCATGCAGAACGGCCCATCGACCAAGAATACAACTCCTCTCTCGCAGCCCGTCGATCTCCCAATTCCGATCATACACATACTACCAGCGCTTCAGGGACAATTTCCGGGTTGCTGCACGAAATGTCCATCGCAAACACCCCATCGGATTTCCTCTTACACTGCTTTTCGCCGTGGGAAATACCGCCCTCTTAGTATACATTGTCTACGACTTTATGACTCGAGTGAATCCGGAATTCACAAAGTTCCCTAAGGAAATAGCTACGCCTCTTCGAAAGGCAGTATATTATACTGAAATGGACCTCAAACCACCGTCAGCATTGGCCTATTACAAACAGGCATTAGCCGCTGGATATCAATTGGGACTACATCCATTTTCAGATGAAATGCTGGGCATACGATTAGCGGTAGCTGCTATGCTGGAGAAGGCAAAATTGTTTGATGCAGCGATTGAAGTTCTCACGACAATTAAGCATGATTGCGAGACTTGGATAGAGAATGGAAGGAGACGAAAACTGATAATGGATCGGGAAAATCAGAGTGGGAAAAATACCCGACCTGACCCCTCTGATTTGGATGCTGTAGCTGAGTACGAAACTGATCTGAAAAAGGAGCAGGAAGAGGAGGAACTGCGCGACAAGGTGGTGAAGAAGATACCAGGCATTAGCCTAAAACTAGCCGATATATACTCCGAACAATACCCTGATGATACCGCGAAGGCAGAGAAATTCCTTACCTCTGCCTTCGAAACTAGCAGAGCAGAGCTTCAGCGAAGAAGAGACTTGAAGCTGCCTATTACATCGGATGAGGAAAATCCAGCATACCTTACTCTTTCCGAAGTGGGCAATGCATGTAGTGAGTTGGCTGACCACTACGTAAATAAAGGCAGAAGCGACCTAGCAACCATTCTGTACATGCAAGCAATATCCTTATTCAAGGAAGACGAAGGAGATGGACGACACAAATGCATCCAGGCCGTTCTCCTAAATAATATTGCTAGTCAGATGGCAGAACAGGCTGGAAAGGTGCCTTTGGGCGCCCCGTTGCCCTCTTCTGCGTCTTCAAACCCTGTTTCACGCGATCAGCTGCTATCCGCAGCGGGAGAATGGGCCAAAAAAGCATTGGACGTTGCTAGCAATGTTGAGGAATCATATAAGAATGAGCAATGTGACCAAGCCTGTGTTGTTGCTCTGTTCAACTTGGGAGAGATAGCTGAGATGCAAGAAAATTCTCAGCAGGCAGAGGACTTCTATCGGAAAGCCAAAGCAGCGGCTGTGAAAGTTCAATTCGCGGAAGGAATTGAACAGGCGGAAGATGCACTGAAGAGGCTGCGACGCAAGAAGTGAGATAAAGTAACATCCATGTATAATACCTCTCAAACGGGCAAGATAGTTACGAACATAGAAACCCCATGTACAACATTTTGACAAAATTTAGGTTCCATATTGAGAATCTGTTGAACTACGGCGAACGAGAAAGGTATAATCATGATGTAGAATCTCCATTAAAGTCGTGAAAGACGTACATAGCATAACCTTTCTAGCCAATACGATAGGTCACTCGCCAACTTAAATGTCCATGAAGAAAATGCCATCGGCTTTGAAGATAGGGTAGCAGTGGGCAGGTTATGCTTTTGAACTTTTTTTTTTGCTTCCATTTAGATAGATCCGTTGTAAATAACTCCAGGGAACTATCAAACACCACAGCTCATGTTGTCCACGGGGGTAGCCCTTTTTTGCCCTTCCTTTTTGATCAGGTGTGCGCATTGCTTCATCCGAATGATCCCCAACCAGTCATATTGTTTCATTGGACATTATCTAGTAAACAACTCACTCCGGTATTAAAGATGTGACAAAAGGGGAATAAAAAGTGGTACTCTTATACCCTTGACATGACACCCCAGGCGCGAATCTTGTTATCAGTGTATCCAGAGAACAGAGTCTGGCCATCAGCGCTCCAAGCCAAGCTTATGCACTCAGGGTCACGGCTCTTCTTGCCCTTGTCCTCGAATTCAGGCTTGAGCTCATCAATCTTGCTCTTCTTCTCCAAGTCGAAGATGCTGATGCTGCTGGCAGTGGCAGCGCAAAGCCAGTAGCGGTTAGGAGAGAAGACAAGAGCGTGGATTTCATCACCAGCGTTGAGAGAGTAGAGGTGTTTCGATTCGTTCAAATCCCAGAGCATGACAACGCCGTCCTTGCCACCAGAGGCGCAAAGAGAGCCATCAGGGGAGATGGTGACAGTGTTGATGTAGCCGCTGTGGCCAATGTGGTCAGTCTGGATGCGGCAGGTGGAGAGTTCCCAGACCTATTGTTCCTCGATTGTTAGCAAATGCGCCCAAAGAAGTGCAACAATACTCCTAGAAAAGTTTTCTGTGGGCAGTATATAATAATAATCAAGGGGGGTAATTTCCATCAGGGCAAAGGTGAATAATGGTCTCATGGCCCGCAACGGAGCTCTGAAGTAGCAAATACGTAATTGCAAAACATCATTTGGAAAACAAGGCGACATAGAAAACGAGGAGGTTGCTGGTAGTCAGGTGATTCGTACCTTGACGAGCTTGTCCCAACCAGCAGAGACGATGACGGGGTTCTGGGGGTTAGGGCTGAAGCGGACGCAGGAGACCCATTCGGTGTGGCCCTTGTCGGTGATGGTGAACTTGCAGTCACCAAGAGTGTTCCACAGCTTGATGGTTCTGTCACGGGAACCAGAGACAATTTGACGGTTGTCAGCAGAGAAGGAAACGGACAGAACGTCGTTGTTGTGGCCGACGAAAGTGCGGGTGGTGTTTCCGGTAGCCAATTCCCACAGACGGAGGGTCTTATCCCAGGAGCTGGAGAGAGCGTAGGCACCATCGGAGGAGATGACCTATTATATCAATAATTAGCCATGCAAAAAAGAAAATCCCCATGGCTTATGCCCCTCTTCAATGGTTTTTTTCCCTCCATATCTCGTCACCCTGCGCAAACATATCAACTGGACCCGGGGGGAATATCATACACAGTCAGAAACGATGTGAGAGTGGCCGTGGAGGGATCGCTTTGGGTATCCGTATGCGGTGTCATCGCGGGTCAAGTTCCAGACGATCAGGGTCTTGTCGCGGGAGGCGGACAAGAGCATGTTTGGGCTAAACCGGCCTGTCAGCATCATCCTCCATCCGCCTGAAGCTCATCGTCTTTGCTTCTCTTCTCAATCACAGGAATCATCATGGAATGGTCCTTACTTCTCCAAAGTCGTGGCCAAGCTGGTAACCCAGCCATTGTGGCCCTGGAGGGTTCCACGGAGGACTAGCTGCTCAGCCATGATGTGCGGACTCGAGCTCGACTGCGTGATGCTCTCGTAAATCCTCGAGGGGTGGTGGTGGACGGAGAGGGATGAAGGGCGAGCAGTTGAAGTTGTTGTCTCTCTTCGATCTTTTTTTCACACAAATCGCAGAAAGGAGTTAGGCGTGTTCCGCATCCAGGCAAACCCTAAACGCCAGTGTGCGCGCTAAACCCTAACCGGCATTAAGCGAGCGCCTTTTCAACGTCTCGCGATACAACTATAGAGATGAAGCCAGCATCATGATGATGGTGATGATGACGATGATTCTATGGTCGACACAGATGAGATGGCTTGGTGATACATAATGTACAGACAGGTATACGCTACGACTTGAAGGGCTCGATGTTGGGCATGCGGCCCAGGCCACCGCCGCTTCCCTTGCTGCTGCCGTCTCCAGCTTTCTTGCTCTGGACGTGCTGTCGCAGCAGAGCGAGAATCTCCGAGTCAGCCCAGCGCTGAGGGACAGGCCGGTATGCTGGCTTGAAAGCTCCCACGGTCTGCGCCCACTCTCCGCTCTTCGCTGCGCCGCTCTTCCACGTATCCGTCAGCTCGTCTTTGGCCTTCAAGGCACCCTCAGCTGCCTCGGACTCAGACGGTGGTTCCTGAGTCGCCCAGTAGTAGATGTCCCAGTCGTTTTCATCCAGGAACCGGTCGTATTCATCCAGTTGGCTTCCCGTCATCTTTGCCAGATATGTAGATGCGAACGTTGACAGGAGCAGGTCCGACTCTAGAGTTCCCCGTTTGCGGCTCTGGTCTATCTTGACGTTAGTCCCCCTAGACGAAAGATGTAGCTTCTATGGCATCCGGTATGGCACTCACATAGTAACCTAGCTCTCTTTGTGCTGTTATCCTCTCCCTTTCTCTTCAATGGCTCGACTTTGAACGTAATGCCTTCCATCTCTCCGACCGCAAGTTCACCCTTTGTTTGCCCCGGAGCTAGCTGCTCTTCCGCCTTGCTACCCTTGTTTCCTGCGCTTCCATTACTACCCAGGTGGGAAGAATAACTTAGACATCGCAACCCCAGGGACGAGGAAGGGTATATGCTGGCATTGTGTTGTTGATATGAGATGGATGCGCCGGATGCTGGTGATGGCCTAAACGAGAGAACTGGAGAGCGGCATCTGCACGAGGCCAGTCCTCGGCTTAACGATCGAGATATACTATGCGCCGTAGACATGGGAGTAAATGAGAGACCGAATTGATATGCTTCTGCGTCGAGGTCCAGCGGCCAACAGTTGCTGGTTTCTTTTGATGAAACCTGAAGATTTGACATCATCCGAGCTCTGTTTGCACTGTTTGCATCACCTGGACCATCAGAATTCACAACTCCAACTACTCGTTTGGGAGCCTTTCTAACAGTTGATACTTTAGTAACTGAATAAATTAAGATAATTATTTTTACGTTCATCCATGTATAAACCCTGTAGCTTTTCGCAGATGCTAATTGAATAGTGATCATAGTTACAATTCGTATTCCCTCATAATGAGACGTGATAGATATCGAAAAAGAGGAAGTATAAATGAAGCCGAGCAAGCAGAAAGGCCGCCCAAAAGTACCTGAGCAGACATAGAAACGGATCATAGCCTTCGGTAGGAAAGGGCAACTTTCACCATTCGCCAAAAGAAATCTCTTTATGGATGCTTTAGATAAGGTGCTTCGATCTAATCGTAGAAAGAAATCATTTAGCAAGCGAAACCAGATGAAGGGGTCAATACTGCAATTGAAGAAAAAAACTTACCGGAAGTAGGCTCTCAAATAGACCACCTGCCAGACACCAAGGCCAATCAGCATACCCATGGTGCCGAAAGCAAACCACTTGACTCGCTCATTGGTACTTTCGTTGGTGTCTCGGAGCTTCTGCTCTCGTGCGCGCATAAAGTCCATCTCCGCAACGATTTCAGTGATCATGGCCTCCAAACGGCGGAGGTCAGCCTCCACTGGCTTGAGCTTCTCCTGGACCTTGATAGCATCCCAGTCACGAGCATCAGCACCGATATCAATGCTCAGCTCAACCTGACGAGAAGGGTTGGGGCCCGCATCTATAATGGGGAAGAAAAAAAATTAGCCAAAATTCCACTGTTTGTAATGCCAATGAAGAAATCCGCCAGGGTAAGACTTACGTCGCCCAGAAAGGACGTTGGAGAAGCAAACGTCAAAGGAGGAGTCGGCGCTGGCAGTAAACATCTGTCTGATCTCGCCGGCGATATCTTTTGGTTTGGCGTAATCGTCGCCTAGAGAACTCTTGATCTATTCCATCCAACACAAATACAATTAGCAGGCATTCGAGTATATCGTGCAATTCGCAATTGCAGTCTGCTTGTCTTAAAAATGATGAGAATAGCCCACCACGTACGTGCATGTTGACAACCTGTCCATCTCCCTTCGAGCCGCTCACGGTGGCAGTGACGACAACAAGCTGGTCACGCGCAACGAAATTCCTTATGCATCTTTCGTGCTTTCCTGAGTGTGTATTTGGGATGAGATCGAATCGTACGGCGGAGGTAAGAGGCACAAGGAGGGTGAAGAGGAGGAAGAGAAGTTCGAAAGGAGACCGCAGTCCCATGGCTGAGCCCCGTCGCATACTGGTCTCTGCCGTGAATAAGATGGAGAAATAGAGAGAGCGAGGAGGTCGAGGGAGGAGGATCACCACCAAGGGAGCTTGTGGAGAGAAGGGCGGTTGATCTGGATGCGCCTGGTCGCCTGCACTGCTATCTCGATGTCCAACTTTAGGGTTACGTATATTTGTCCCTGGCGCTGCCCGGGCGGTTGCAGGCCAAGGAAAATAGAAACTCCGGCAAGCTACATCGACACCCGACGACGGGACCTCCATGGAAGGCACCGGCTGGCCCTGAGCTTCTACATTCAATACTACCAACTATTTACTGATACAGTATACGGCAGCCGGGCAATTATCTGACTACTAAGCCGTCCATGTGCATACTGGTTGTGCTTCTGTAACTTGAACTTAGCTCACAGCTAGATACTGCAAGCCAATTCTTCCTCCCTGAGGAAGCCAACTCCTGCCCGTGGCTACGATGATACGCAGATACTCAGAAGGTTGATATCTCTCCTAGATATTACTTTCTGCTCTAAGGCCGGAGGAATGTCCAGCTGGGTATCATTCATAATGCTAGATATCAAAGACCGTCCAATATACCCACCTCAAATACTGCGCCGGAGTGCCATCTATTTATAAACATAAAATCGATTAATCACTGTACATCTCAAACAAGGAGACAGACTGAGACTGGATATACCATAAAGGGGTGGAGTTTGTTCTAAAGGCACATCTCCACTGATGAGAACAGCGGTATATATGTTGGAGATAGGTCACATTCAATTTGGGCTGCAATATCAACTATCGTTTCAAGGGCCGTGGATGATGTCGCCTCATCATCAATTTCGACTACAGAACAGCCTCCCCTAGAGTATCCATATCGAAAGATGTCCACAGATATCCCTAGCTTTATAGGTCTAAACTGGCTGCGTCTCAAAACCCATTCGTCTGAAAACGCTGGTATCGAGACCCCATCTACAATTTCGTGCCTTGGTGGCAACAACAAGACCATTGACAATGACGCTTCTACAAGATAATCATCGAAAAAAATATATAAATAAATATGAAACGGAGAGTTCATTTTCTTGTGTGGTTTAACTAACCCCTTGCCATGTGTTGGCAAAGAGTGAGATATGGTGTCTATGGAGATATCAAACTAGACATCACCAACTTGTATCATAACATCAACAGATATGACTCGTCTATGGTAGGAAGAGCCGACATCAAAGGATCAAAAAGCAACATCGCTATGAACAGGCCAATTATTGAATAAGTAAAAAAAAATAATAAAGGTACCTAGGTAGTGGTATTTTACCGGCGCCGAAGCTCCTACTTATCCTACACCTAATATGTCTTTTCACCATGTTAAACTAAAGTCAAGCTCAATAGGGTCTTCTTTCCCTACTAATTCCACTAAGCCCGTTCCCCTGGCTGTAGTTTCACTAGATAGTAGATAGTAGATAGATACATAGCTAGGTACTCCGTACCTTAAGAGTCATAGTTACTCCTGCTGTTTACCCGCACTTGGTTAAATTTCTTCACTTTAACATTCAGAGCACTAGGCAGAAATCACATTACATCAACACCACTTTCTGGTCATCGCAACACTATGTTTTAACTAGACAGTCAGATTCCCCTTGTCCGTACCAGTTCTAAGCTGGTCGTTAAGCGCGTGCCGGACGGTCAGAGGCCTGCCGAGGGCGTCCGCGCCCCGAACGAACTCAGATCAGATGTACCTATACATCTTCGAATCAACACCACCTGTCCTTGCTCTGCAGACCTGCATAACGTCAATGCTATTGCATGTATCAGCTCTCGCTCGAGAAGAGGCAAAGAACACATCACAACCCGCAACAACAACGCATAACGCAAAGGGATATCTCATCGACAAGGTTCCGCGTCCATCACACGCAACCGTTCGAAAGCCAGGGTGGCCTCGGAAACCGGGGCCCCAACGGGCCCATAACCCTCCCGAACTATCGACCGGGTCAGGCCATACACGTATCTGGACGATCTGGCGGGGGAACAGAGGTTCCGTTCGTCTGTTGAAACTAAAGTATACCCGGGGAAGATGTGCGATGTGCGGGTGTTCACAGGGTGAAACGCATGCAAGTCAAAATGATCTGCTGCCGGCTAGCGTGGACAGGGGGTGATGCAAAACAAGACTGCAGAACTGCAACCGCAAGCATGTTCGAGAGTTGATCTTGTGACGTGCAAAACGCTTTGCTTTGACGGGTATACGTGGGTATTTTTTTGATCTATGTTGTCATCGGTATATCGACGTGGCATGTGGCATGGCCATGACACAGCGTAGTGTAGGGAGTTGAAAGATTTGGTCATGGAGAAGTAAGAGTAAGATAGCGAGGAAGAAAAAAGAGTATTTTCATGACTTGCATCTCACCGTAATGGCTATGAAGTGGGGGAAAGTATTATATGACAAAAATGAGACCCAAAGGGAAGTTAAGAAAGAGGACGGAAAGGTGGTATATAGAAGGAAGAAGGAAGAAGGAGAAAGGGGTACAACACATTCTGTATGCGTTCAGCGAGCGTAGCGTAGAATAGACCAAGGAAAACGGGCGGGATGAAGGCGGAAATAAGGGAAATAGGAGAAAGCTGGAGCAGAATCTGTGTATATACGTGGGGAAGGTCTTTTTCGCCAAAGAAGAACGAGTGAGGAACCAAGGCTGGATCTTGTCTTGATTTGAATGGGAAAGGAAAAGGAAATATATATACTGCCACCCTTGTACCAAGAAAGATGAAGATGAAAAGAGGGAGATGAAAAAAAAGAAGAAGAAACAACGAGGCGGGACGAAGGAAAAGGTATAATGTAACAAGGGCCGAAAGTCATATTCATTAATTAAAAAATATGGTAGAACATTTCGAAAGCGTGAATGTTTTTCCCAGGAGAAAAAGGGCAAGAAAAGGGGCGAGGTTTTGTGAACGAGGAGAAAAGGGGGGTGGAAAGGGAGAGGGAGAGGGAGAGGAGGAGGATATGATGATAAAACTATGCCACTTGTTTCTTCTTTCGTAGGAAAGTCTTGAATGTCCAGCTAGCTGATGTTCCGGTCTTCATGGACTGCAGGGAGCTGACGCTAGGGGAAGACGGAGGACCGGTGTTCTTCAGGAAATCTGCTAGAGCAGCGGTATCAGACTTGTTGGATCGGTAAAGACTGTCTGCATCGACGCCCTTGATCACGCCCTTGGGCAGTCTTCCGCCCGAATGCCACTGGTTATCAGGCTGGTCTGCATGGATGGTAGCGACAAACGAAGAGCCCGAAGTAAGCGAGGCCTGTGGTCTGCCGGCATGGCCGTGGTAGTTGTACTTGGGTGGCAGGTCGACGAGTCTGGGAGGAGCAGGCGACCCGGCCTCGGATGTGGAGTCTAGCGTTACGCTTCGCGAGATGGGCGGCCTCATGGCCTTTTGGCGATGCAGCTCGTTAGCCTTTTGGATGTTGATGGTGAACGGCTGTGGCTTTGGAGGAGGAGGGGGAGGGGGCCCGTTTTTCAGGAACTCGGCCAGACTCTCTTCCTTGGGCTTAGCCACATCGCGAACGTCGTCGTATTCATCCTCGCTATCCGAATCAATGGCGTACGGGTCTCTGACTCGCCGGCGTGTTTTAGCGGGCGTTGCCGAACCATCGCCTCGAATGTTTGGGGTTGGAGAGAGCCGGTACTGGAGCGTTCGGCTGTTAGGCCGGGTGCTACTGTCGATTAGCGCCGTGTGGGAGTTGACGGAGGCAACTGATGCGGCGACCATGGAGCCGTCCTGGGTGCCGGGTATTGAGCTATCGCCAATGGTGAAGTCACGCTCACTGCGGATTGTTTGGCTGAAGGAGCTGAAATCGTCTGAGTTCATGGTATTCCTGAATGGGGCGACGGTTTTCTGCTGCAGACGACGAGCTTGAGGATCAGGGGGCCCCTGACGGATGAAGTCGATCAGTTCGGAGGTCTTGTTATCTCTGACAAAGACTGCCGGACGAGCTTCGAGACGAGGCCGGTTCGGGTTGGTTGCTCGCGGGGTGGAAGTGATGTTGGAGGTATTATTATTATTATCCTTCGTCGAGGCCTTTGGCGTGGCGAGGGGGCTGGTTGAGTAGGTTCCTGTCGTTGCAGGAGAGTTGGGAATGGAATTGTTGCCAGCGCGAGCAATGCTATTAAATTGGGCGGCGGGTGGGTGTAACCCCTTATCAGGTCCTGTGGAACGAATGAAGTTGGCGAAGTCTCTCACGGATGCGTTTTCGACTCTAGCATCGCGAGCTTGTGGAGCGGGCATCTTAGGCTTTGGCGGCGGCGGACTAGGGGGGTTTCGAGCAAGCGGAGACTGAGGCACAGGGGATGAGATCGAAGGGGAGCGGAAGGTCGGCGACAGGATCCTGCGGCTCTGCTTTCCGCTCTTGACGGAGCTCGTATCGGCAGGGTCTGCAGCCAGGTCTGCTGGGCGAGTAGCAGCCCATCGAGGTGAGCCGACCTCTTCCATCTCACGCATGTTTCGTGGAGTCAGGGTATAGTGGATTGTTTCGTCACTCATGAGAAGCTCCTCCAGGGCTGTAGATCCAGATCCGCTGCCGTCTGACGAGCAGATGACGGAGACGGACAGGTCTGATGGCTGTCTACTGATCAAGCCCCTGATTCTGTTGGAGCCCTGGGAGACGCCGGAGCCAGAGGTGATGGGTCGACCGTCACGCCTGCTGCCTGCACTCTCTGACCTGCGTAGTTTGCTGGAGTCTCGAGAGATGCTGGACGGCGGAGGTGTGACTCGTTGAACGGCAGCGCGTTCTGACCCCGGAGACACAGGCAAGTTCTGTCTTGTGGAACAGTTGGTGTTGATTTTTGTGAGCCATGCTCTGCTCCGTGGAGTGACGGAGGGTTCACTGTCCCCGGAGTTGATAGAGGCCTGGTCTGGCGACGAACGCTCATTCTGCACAGGGGTGTTGTCTGCCACCTCGGTCAGGGGGGTAAGGCGAGCTCCGCGGCTGGGAGAGCGAGGAGAGCGAGAGACGAAAGAAGTCTCCACGATGTTGTCTCCGAACGGGTTGCTGGTAGGGGGTAAGGGGGCGGTTGCTTTACGGCGAGCAGCCTTGCGGGCGGCCCGGTCGTCGTCTGTGAGGGATGAAGAGGAGTAGTATGCAGGGTTACCGTCTGCAATGTCCTCGCAGGTGGTAATGCGAGCAGAGCTGCTGTCTGCAGTCTGCGAAGTTGTAGATTCAGCGGACTCCTTGGAAGACACCCTAGAGGCTTCGGGAATGGTATAGATAGACGAGACAACGCTGTTGTTATCGCCCGTCTCGCTGCTGGGCGGAGAGACGGCCTCTTGCTCCATTGATGAGTCCTGGCAGCGAGGAGAGGATATAGAAGCCGGGTGATAGGGGCTGTAGATGGACGCCGAGTCAGGACCAGCCTGCTCCAGCTCTGATTCTGCCGATGCCGGTGCTGCTGTTGTTGTTGTTGCTGCTGCTGCTGCTACTGTTGCCGCTGCCGCTGCTGCCGCCGCTGCTGCCGATGCTGATGCTGATTCTCCGGCCTTGGTGTCAGTCTCTGGCTCTTCAGCCTCTGGCATGCTCTCGAGGTGTTCGTCTTCCTTGCGAGTATCTGCTGCGGACGAAGCTGACCGTTTGACCCGGGTCGGCGAAGAGGCCAGGGGCGACGTTATATACATCGACTGGGGCAGCGACTGGGAGCGGATATGCGCCCGCCTGGTGCTGGAACGAGCGGGCTGCAACGACGATGACGCCGATGCCGATGCCATGACGACCCGGGGCGAGATGGCGCTGATGCTCCTGGCCAGGACCGGCCGGCCTGCGACTTCCGGGCTCGAGATGAACAGGCTCCGGGGCCGCAGGGAGCGCGCGGGCAGGGCGACGGCGAGCTGGGCGCTGAAACCGGGGATCTCAATCTCGTCAATGTCATACTCGCTAATCGGCAGGGGGATGTCAGCCGGGTTGATGTTCACGCAGGTGCTGACGCTGGCGGTGTCTGAAACATGCTGATCGGCGCTCGAGATCTTGCGGCCAAAGGAGAAGCCGTTGAAGGTATCAAAGGTTTCAAAGGTGCCGACGCTGCTGTGCGTGCTCGTCCGCGATGAGCATCCGCGGCGCACCAGCGACTCTCTCGACAGCGTCCGCGACAGGGCCGGCGCCCGCAGGTTCTTGCGCCAGGTGCGCCAGAGGCGGCCCAGGGTCGGGTTGAGGGCGACCTTCTCGACGTCGACGTCGTCCACGACCAGCGTGCCGCCCTGGTACTTGCGCTCGTCGTTCTCGTCGGAGAAGCCCAGGCGGGCGCTGGAGTTCTCGCCGGCGATGATCAGGATGTTCTCGGCGATGTACTCGAGGATGGAGGTCAGGAAGATGGCGGCCGCGGGCGAGAGCATGCCGCCGTGGTTCATAAAGTACGGCCGGCCGTTGGTCTCGCTCAGCCCTTCACGCTGCAGGTATTCTTCCTCGTCGTCCTCTTCCATGTCGCCGAGCCGGGCGTAGACCATGCAGCGCAGCCGGGTCAGCTTCCACGAGCGCTCGAGCTCGAAGTGGCCCTGGCCGGCGGCCTCCTGGGAGTAGCCGTAGCCCGTCAGCTCTTCTTCGTCGCTGGTGCCCATGTACTCGCTCAGCTCCTCGTCGGCGACAGAGACGACGGCGCGGGCCAGCCGGGGCTTGAGGACGTCTGAGACGGCCGGGCGGATGGCGGCCAGCTTGGTCGATTTGGCGGCCAGCAGGATGTTGAACAGGATGTGGTCGAGGAAGCCGTTGACCAGGACGAGCGACGGCGGCGTCACGATGGCATTTCCAGGGCGCCCTTCCTTGGGCTGGAGCGGGTTGACGCCGTGCGAGGCCGATATCAACTGTGTGGCCGCCGAGATGGCGACGTACTGCGGTGCCGGGTTGACCAGCGGCGGCGAGGGCGCGCTGGCCCTGCTGCTGATGCTGGCGCTGCGTTCGAAGGAGAGGCTGGTGCTTCTCACGCGGCCGCCCATGAAGGCCGGCGAGACGTCTCCCGGCATCATCTGTGTCGGTCTTCTTCTCTTCTTCGTCTTCTCCGTGTGATTAGTATATTATATTATTGTATTGTATTGCTGGTGGTGGTGAGGCCGGACGACTGAGGCCGCCGTCACGCAACCATTCGTATGGCTTTTATATCTATACCACAGCAGTCAGCAATCAGCAATCAGTATCAGTAACGCTCAATTAACAAGTAATCAAGAGATATCAGTAAGAATAAGGCAGTGGAAATGGCGGTTGTGGTTTGTTTGATAGATATGAGAGGAAAAAAAGGGGGCATATCCAGACTGGCCGGCCGCGCGGGAGCAACGGGAGCATCCAGGACGGGAGAAAGGGAACCTACAGGGACAGTTCCGGTAGCGAGCGACTGGCTGAGCAGCGGGAGGGATAAAGAGCCGTCTCTCTGTCTCTCCTGTCTCTCTCCTGTCTCTGTCTGATGGCTCTGTCTTCTGTCTTTCTATCAAGTTTCTCAGTGCTCAGTACAAAGAGAGAGACAGACAGCGTCGGTTGCCGTCCGGATGCAAATTCTCGAAGGGACGGAAGACGAATATCAATTAGAGTACGATATTCCTTTTTCTTCTTCCTCTCTTCTTCTCGTCTTCTTTTCTTGCTTGCTTGCTTTTTCTTCGTTCTCGTTGCTTCTTCCTGGGGTGGCTGAATGTTCGTATATATCTTCGTCTCGTCCAGCGCTGAGTCTATCTCGCCGCCATCTCGCGGGGGTGGGCAGGCGATGTGCGAAGGCTTTCTTTTCGTAGCAGGCTCAAGCCTCTGTCTCCCTTGGTCGCCGAAGCTGGTGTCTGTCTGTTGGTGTCGAGGTTGGTGATGTTGATAGAGGTCGGCTCAGGGGCTAACGGGGGATGTATTTTTTTTATATATATAGATGTATGTATATGTACCAGCAACCCAACCGACCAACAGCCGCAGCCAGACAGATCGATGGAGAGCGAGCGAGCGAGCGATAGAAGAACCAGCGATTGAGGGTGCCCCAGTGGAGTCCGATCGAGTCAGGATGTCCCCTGGCCGGGCAGTCCCCCCTTTTGGCTGTGCGGGCGATGATATCGAAGTGATCAGCGGCCGACGCGGCAACGCAGAAGAAGCAAAAGCACGGCAAAAGGAAGAGAAGCAACAGCAAAAGGAGCAAAAGTACGGAGTGTACACACAGAGGCAAAGCCAGCGAGAGAGAGGGGGGGGGGTAAGGAGAGAGAGAGAGATAGTCCCTTCGCCGGAGCAGGCTGCCGGGTCTATTAAAGCAGAGATGGGCTTCAAAAGAAAAGAAACATGGTACCACTGCTGGCCGCTGCGACTCTGCCAGAGGATACGACCAGATCTGCTCCATCGCGGGCGTCCATCGCACTGCCGTGATCCATGGGACGACTCCATCGGAACCCCATCTGGCTGCCTGGTCCCCCTTCGATGCGTCTGCGCTGCCTTCCTCCAGCCTATATGGATCGGGACCCCTGAGCCAGATCCGCACTGCTGCTGCTCGGCCAGAGAAAACGCTACGGGGATGGAGTCGGAACCCTGTCGAGGAGCAGGGGAACAGGTACAGGTACCTGGTACTGGTACCTTCATCGTCGCTGGCGGACCTTTACTTACTACGGTGAATAAAATATATCTCGACTAGCCGTCTGTGAATTACACGCCATGGGGGCGGGTTCAGCGATGGCGGCCACTAGCTCTGCACGATGCGAATAGTCTGTCGATGATGGCCCTCTCTCTTTCTCGAATCCTGCTGGCAGGATGGAGAACAAGAGTCAATCCCCTGGGGAACCGTCGGTGCCTACAGCTCGGTGCTAGGGATGAGAGGAGGAGGAGGAGGGGAGGCCGTTCAATCGAGACAGACAGCCAGCAACACCCACACAGAATAAACAAGGCAGCCGTTACGGAGTCGTTTATCATTGCCTCGCTACGGAGGAGTCCTTCAAATCCTCTCTGTGCAACATGCACGGCTAGCAAACGGCTGCTACGGCTGCTGAAGACCGTCACAGAAATTGATTGCTGGCTTGTGAGAGGCATACTATACTCACTTAGTCCCATCGACGGCCATGCAGGGCAGACGACGACCAACTTGGACTTTCAACTTCGACTTTTCTTCTCCTTGCTTTTTCCAGCTGAGCAGCTTATATTTGCTTCTTCCTCTTCTTCGTCTTTTTCCTCCCCTTGGGGACCCAGAAATTGACTTCCTTGTCGCCGTGGTTGCTTTTTAAAGATCGGCATCCAGTCCTAAGCAGCGCCCCTGGTCAGACCCAATCATGCTTATATCCTGCATCGCTGAGACGCAAGAGCTAGCAGGACCAGCAAAGAGAGTAAGACGGACAGAGAGACACCGTCAAAGACCAGAGCCTTGTCTTGTCGTCTTGTCGTCTTGACAGACAGAAAAGATAGACAGCGCCAGATGCTTGCCAACCGTGTGTCTGACAGGCACGTCTGCTGATGGTGCGCCGGCCATCTTCCACGCCATCAGAACGTTGCAGCGTTACAGCCAGGGCAAGGCAGCCACCCACGGCCCTTACGGCTTTCTGTGCGATGATGCTATCTCTGGAGTAGTACTCCGTATACTTACGTACAGTCGGAGTGACTGCAAGGCCCGGCTTTTCGTCGCTTGGAAGCATGGACATGGACATGGACATGGACGTGGACGTGGACGTGGACGTGGACGGCATATCCGCACTCCGTACTATATATTTTCCTTTTATCAACAACCTCCCGGGTAGAGGTCCCGTCGGCTTTGACCTCTGGATTCCGTTTCTCGAAGCTCGTTTCTTCTTCTTTTCTCCGTTGGACAGCTCGCGGTATCCAACTTAACAGCCCAAAATCCTGCTGGCTGGAGAGGGCCACCCTTCTGCCATGTACCGGCCCGAGACAGCTGGGTGGATGCCCATCAGCATGTTTTCTTTCTCCCTCCCTTGTTTCTCTTACATATGTATAGTTGACCAGGGGCATGGGAAAAAAAACCTGGAGAAGAACTCAAAGGCAGGCCGCAAAGTACTCCGTACACCGCCAACGAGTAGTTGCTTCTATATACTTAGAAATATACGGTTACTTCGAGGGAGTTGCTTTACTGCAAGGCTATCGAGCCGTCGATCTCCCCGGTCGTACGCAATCAAAGGAGCCTTGTCTCTCCCTGCCTGCAAATAAATACGGCAGCAAACAGAAGCAAACAGAGCAAGCAGAAGCAAGCCAGAGCAGCAAGGTCAGACAGAGTATGTAGAGAGCATCCTCCCCCGGGCTCTCTCTCGCACTGGCAGGCTATCTTGACTTTACCTGCCCGTCCGTGGTCCGGTCTTTGCCTGGACGCAGATGGGGCACTCCTCTTCCCAGCTGCTGCACCAGGACGGAGTCGGAGTCTGGATAATTAAAACGGCTCCTCCCATTCAGCAGCGCAGCCGACCACCCGGGTTTCCCTTGTGCTATTAAGTATGGCACTGCCTTGTGCTATATGGCTGGTCTCTGGCATCCGTGGCACTGCCTGCCTGCTCCCGTGCTCGATATTAATGCACTAATGCACAAGAGAGGCCATTTTTCCTTTTGGACATCCACTGCTGCTGCTTAACTGCCTGCCATCCAGGGACAAGTCTCTCCAGATCGGCTTGGTGAATGGGCGCCTTCTTATGCACCTCCAAGCATCTCCAAGCACCGCCAGCAACGGCCACAGCAGCTCTCGAAACCCCTCGCATCTCCATGCCATATTGGGTGGTCTGACACACGCCCTCTTGCATGGATGGGCGGGCTGGGAGGGCCCCATGGTTCTTCTCCGTCGAGCCGTCTCAGCGGCGGTCCTGGGCTCTAATTATAGCTCGTCGCGTCGTTTGTATAGAGGCCATCTACTTCGATACGAGATATCTACATACATGTTAAAACCGTTGCATGTAGTAGCAATATAGATGCATAGACGCATAGATGTCAGGAGTATAGATGTATGTTTGAATGCAGGAGTCGTTAGGTCTACGGGCTGCCTATAGTATGCGCACTATCAACATGGAGCAAGTATATCAACACCAAATATCGGGGCTCCGTAAATAATAAACAACAGCGTCAAATATATTGGTTAGTATCAAGGTACCCTTTGGGCAGTCAGAGGAAATGCTCCAGTCGGTATGTATCATCATCCCTCTTTCGCAGCCTGCCTGCTTATCCAGCCAGCCCAGCCAGCCAGCAAGCCAGCAAGCTCCTTACGCCCTTCCCTCCCCTTCCCGCCCTCATGTTTCAATATCAGCCCAACTATTCCAGCTTGCTGTTGACACTTCACATCGCCTAGCGGGCTCGGTTCCATCTCTCCATCGTCCGTCCACCCGCCTATCCGGCTCGCCTGCCTTCTAGCCCCCTCCACCGTCCCAATCCTCAATGGCGGATAACTGTCTTATTACCCCAGCTAAGGCCAGGGATGGGAAATGACCGTCCACCTGCTAATATTACCCATCGCGGAGCTCCCATTGGCTTCCGCATGACTGGTTGGGTCGGACGCCGGGCAGTCAAGAAACGGTTAAGACGCAGGGCCGGGCTGGTGAGTCCCTGGCTACGGAGACGCCCGTTGAAAAAGAATTCTTATCTCCCGCTGGGCTCTTTGAGTGGCCGAGATGCTCCTGGTAGGGTGGCATATTGCTGATTGCTGTAGGAGGCCAGTGGCAGGCCAGTGACGCCAGAGATGCTCCGCCGCCCCTTGGGACTAGTTAAACACTTTGGTCAATCAGTCAAGTAAGTCATCATGCAGGCAAGCCGATGACGAACAAAGGGTCGAGGTGATCGCTTGAGGGACTGGATTACCTGCTTTAGTTCAGGGTCGAAGGGATGAAGGGCATCCAATGCTTGCGCAGATCATATGCGATCATCAGCTATTGTCCAGTCGAGACTAGTTCCTATTATAGTTAAATGGCAGGCCCTCCTTTGACGTTATAATAGTTTGCTTGCATATAGTAGTTCGTTCCGAGAAGACTATCGCCAGGGGGGGCAAACTAGCTGGCTGGCCTGGCCCAGTGTGGGAGCGCCACCGGAGAAAGAGGCAGAAAGAGAAGAAATAATTGATGCACTCCGTAGAAGCAGATAGCTTGACTAGAACGCGTAGCTATTTAACTAAGTACACCGGCTTTATCGTTTCAGAGTGTCTTTTTCTTGTCGTCTTGTCGTCTTGATCTTCATCGTGAGCGTGTCATTGAACTTAAAGGGGGAGGGAAAACCGAAGCAGAACCGGGGATGCAGAGGCAGGGCGGATGAAGCAAATAATGAAGCAAATAATGAAGCAAATAACGAGGTCAACCGGGGGAGGGAGAAAGGAAGAAGAAGAAGAAAAGGGGAGGAGAAAAGGGAGAAACAAGAAATAAACAAGACGGCCCTGCGAAGTTGCTTTTCATGATGCATGCAAAGAGGGAAACAGAAAAACGCCGTAAACATGTCCGAACTGCTGGAAAGAAAAGGAAGGTCATAAAGGACATGATGGTTAAATCAGAGGCACATGAGAAGGAAGACCTTTGTTTGATGTTAATGTGCTGTGTGATGCTTGAGTGAGGATCTGATCAGTTCCTCTCGAGCCTCACGGCTCGCAGACCAAGGGGCTCGATCAGTTCGCTGGCCAGCCACTTGGTGACCTCGTCGGCCATGTACATGTCGTCCACGTCGAGCGTCTCTTCCAGTGCAGACTGGATCATCTTGCGGGCATCGGTGAAGCCAGGACGGTAGGTCACATTCTCCTCGTCGTCAAACGAGACAGCCATGGTCGTGGACTCGAGTATGTCGTCGAACTTGTCCTCGTCGACCAAGTTGGGAAAGAAATTCTGCAACAGCAGCGAGATCCTGTCAAGGTACTCGTTGACGTATGTCCTGGTGTCAGGCTCGACGCCGTCACTTGCCCTGGGGTCGCGGGGGAGAGTGCGCGAACGTATGACGATCCTGCAGACATGAGCTGAGATGGTGCGTAGACCGTTGATGTAGGCGGTCAGGAGCTGCTTGTCGAGGTCGAGATGGTCCCTGGAGTGCTCGTCTGGCTCGTCGTGCTCGTCATTGCTAAAGTTTGCCGGGTCAAGAGACCTTGCCTGTGCAGCGAGAGCAATCTGGATTTTCTCGTGGATAGTCATCTCGGGAAGTGGCTCCGTGGGTGGTTCCATCTCCGAGTCGTAGGTCTTGTCGGGGATCACAGTCTCCAGCGTGGGCGCAAAGTGCACAGAGCGTGAAAATGAAATGTATGAAAACTCATCGTCGAGACCTAGGTCTGTGGAAGTTAGCAGTCGGTATATACAAAGATTTTTAGAGACGGACAAACTCACCATCTACATGGTCGTCACCATTGACAGAGACGTCGTTATCATCGTCAGAGGCATCATCAGAGTCAGAATCAAACATTTCAACATCTTCGTCTTCTTCATCATCCTCCTCATCCTCTTCTTCCTCATCATCGTCTTCTTCTTCCTCAGTTTCCTCGTCATCACCTTCATCATCCTCTTCATCATCATCATCGTTGTCGCCTACCCAATTGACTTGTTCATGACAGTCAGTGGCCAGCAATGGGCGATCAACATGTACTTCAGTAGAGACAGGTAAATGACAGATTTCTACTCCTCCAGTAGATTGGTCATCAACAGAAGTCAAGGAGGCAATATCAGTTCCCTCACTGTACTCATCATCGCCGTTCTCTCCGTCTGATTGCAGCAGCTCCTGTGGCTGGTGTTCCTGGGCAGGCTGCGGTAGCCGCTCCGTCTGTGTCTCCGTTGCCGTCTCTCTCAGCATGCGCTGGACCTCAGTCTTCAAGTCGCCGCCGCCTAGACTTGACACTGACGAGTCCGAGAATGAGAGGGTAGATGAGCGCACCAGAGGCGTATGGGTGAACTGCGGAGGTAGGATTGCAGTCTCTGCATCCTTGGGCTCGTCGGACAAGTAGGGTCGTTCGTAGGCATCGAGGGCACCCAGGCGGCGCCTCCCGGCCAGGTCGAGGTGATGGTGGAAAGCAGACATGATGGCGCAGTACTGGGGACTGGGCTGGTCCTTGAATCCTGTACCCGTGCCCGTGCCCGTGCCTGTGCCTGTGTTGAAATTGACGATGGTCGAGTATGCGTTAGTCTGAGGACTGAGGCCGTAGAAGAGTCCGCAGCGGAATGACATTTCCTGCGGTTGTTTTGTGTGCACCCGGCGATATCAAGTTCGCCTCTTTTATAGCAACGCACAAATAACAAAACCAGCAGCAAGAAATGTAGCAAAAGAGGGGGGGTCTTCTCCTCTTCAGATGTCCTCCCAGCCTCCTGATTAGTTTCACGGAACTCAGGTTCTGCAGAAGAGGGGAAGTGAAGTTTTTTTTTTCTCTCTCCTCGTCCTGCTTCAGTGATAGCTGGAGGGTGGCTGGGGTGTTGTTTGCGGTGGTGAGAGGGCGGAGAGGTCACTTGGTGGTATTTACTCGGTACAGGGAGTTTGATATGGAGAAAACAGCAGCAGGGGAGGCAGAAGAGCAGTAACTATGGAAAGGTGGTCTTCTCAGGAGTAGTTTTTGTCTTTCAGGTATCCTGGATATGCTGTCTGGAGGGTAAGTGTTTGCAGGATATATCACTTGCGAGTCGAGATCGAGGCAGAGCAGAGTCAGATCGGTTGTCCACAGCGAATACACACGGGGAGGTCCCCCAGATGGGCTCCTGGGAGGGAACCATGGTTGGTGGGAAAAGTATGGCCCTAGTAGGCCATGCTGACGGCGTGTAGTAGACAGACAAACAGAGATATAAAAAGTGTGCAAAAGAGACAAAATAGCAAGCGGATATATCACTACGGGACCGAATGGTATATTATTTAATATCTTCACTTCCACCAGCAAATGACGTCAATGAGCTTGAGGCAGTTTGGAATAACGGTAAAAGGCGAGCCGACTTGGAAGATGAGCTGTTGTTTCTGGCTGCTGAACATTCCTGATATTGGGCTGTGGGAGGCGCGCGAGAGCGAGTTCGGGGTCCTGCTTGCTGCACAGGGGGATATCGAGCTGAGTCTTGATCTGGACACCGGTCTTGAGGCCTGAGAGCATTTGGGTATGCGAGAAGAAGCTGGGGAAGTGGTCGAAGTGGTCGTAGAGGGGAGGGAGGCAAAGAGTATAGCCTGCTGGGGTGGGAGGGATCTCGATCAGGAGGACGAGAGGGCGCGCGTGAGTCCGACCTGGCTCCTGGAGCAGGTTGAGAAGTTGGCGAAGGGGGAGTTCAGAGCTGGACAGCCGTCGTCAGGGACAGCTAGAGATCGTTGATGCTGGCTGGCGGGTGGTGGTGGGCGTTTTTGCGAAGAAGCTGGAGGTTTTTCGTCGCTGTGACGTCGTCGTGAAAATGAGGTTGGAGCGAGGAAAAAGTCAGGGAAGAGAGTTAGAGGTCGGCTGTGGCCGGCGCCATCGCTGACAAAACCGCGGAGGGTCGCCGGTACTTCTAGAACCGCGGGGCGCTGCACCAAACTGAAGGTCACTCGCGACCGCCGGCAGTTTCGACAGCGATGCACCGCCGCATCGCAGGTCTCTCTGGCTCTGCTGGCAGATTCCTCGTCCTCGTCTACGGCGTATTTTCTACTGTCTGATACTCTGCTGTCTGCTGTCTACTACTATCTATGTCTTGAGGGGTGCAGAGTACATTGAGTTGCAGCTGCAGGAGCTGCTGGCGGGCTGAGTCTGATATCTGATGAGTCTTCCTTCAGGCTCAGGCTCAGTCTTCATCCCAGCCTGTCTCAGCCAGCCGCAAGTCGTATCAAGGTCAGCTCAGCATCAGCATAGCATCAGCAGAAGACTCATCTCGTCTTCTCTCTCGTCCCTTTACTCTCCGTCAGCATCTGTTTGCCCCAGAAAAGCCCTAAAGCGCCTCGGGAAAGTCTCCGTCCTCCTGCGTCATAGCAAGGATGCTCCATCTCGCCGCAGCTCCAGTCATTGGCTGGCTCGCTTTTTACGTTGAAATTCACACAAGTCGATGATGAGAACCGGCGATGATCTAGGACGGTACTACTAGGACAGTGGTACTAGGACTAGGACTCACTGTCGACGGCCGGCCATGTCAGCGCCGTGCAACCGGCCAGCGTGTCAACCTGCCTCGCCTTCTGGAATGCAACAGCGAACCCGCTCGTTATATTAAGGAGCAGCAGGCCGGCGATGGTGATACTTCAAAGTCTGACCAGGAGAAAAAACGAGAAGGAAAAAGAACCCGCCGAACCCACGGCCAGGCGACCCAGAGAGGGTTCGAGGACGACGGTGATACACCCACTCAGCGGACAGGCCTTCCCCCGTCGACCGGGCCTTATGTACGCTCTGTTAAACAAAGGACAAAGGGATCTCTCTCTCTCTGTGTGTGTGTCTGTCTCTGTCTCTCTCTTGGTTTCTTTGGACGGGGATAGAGTTCGTCTCAAAGTCTGGTTAGACTAAGGCATTAGAAATTATATTCATCATCTTTTGCTGCTTGCTGGGCCCGGCGCCCTTTGTTTGGCTGTGGCCCCCCCCCCAGACATGATCATAACCACGGGTCCACGGGATGGAATGGGGGGAGGAAGGCAAAGAAACACTCCAACTCAACTCTTCAGGGCCTTGTCCCATTGTTCTCTGCGCGGCTCAAGGGACCCCCCCGAGGTACATCGTATCTTCATTCCTCATCGTCATCGTCATCACGATCACGGGGGGGACTTTGCTGTCCTCTCGCTGGCTGAGGAATCATCCACCTCCCACCCCCCGTCTGGCCGTCTGGCCAAGGGGCTAACTCAAGGGGAAGCACAAAGGTGAACAACCCAGACGGCTCAATTGACTATCGAACGGTCTCCTGCTGGGCAAGACGAGCGTATCAACGTTACTCTCACTGTCCCGGCGCCATGGGTCGTCTTTCTCAACTGCCTAGGGGGGCAAAGGGAGTGCTCGACTTGAAGCACCAGATTTGGATATTATACACCCAGCCAGCCAGCCAGCAGCTACTTAACGTCTACACACTAACTAACTAGTTAGCCAGGTTAGCCAGTTACCCATCCTCCGGGAAGAAGCACTGCTTGGTCCCGCCAGTCAGGACAACAAGAGAAGCCACTCCACTGCCCGCTGCATTAATTTACACCATTCTTCGATGGTGACAGGGTCGACCGACCGCCAGGTTGCGTCTCTCTGACTTGGTGTGTCTCCGCATGTCGATGTACACTGTAGCTCAAGCTGTCTGCCCACTGGGGGGGATGGATGGATGGCACAAGAGTCGATCTGCCTGGCTGCACCAAGCCCTCCTGCTGTGCTCTTATCGGGCATTTAGCACCGAACTTCTGCTTCTCTCCCCACAGGCTATTATACTGGCGCTGGCCTGGGTTTCTTTTTTTATCTCTCCTCCTCCCCCTCGGACGGACCGTTGCTTGTCGTTTTGTGGCAGCTAAGGGGGGCGCGCGAGGGGACGGGGGCCCGTGGTTCTGCGTCTTGTATATGATCCCCTGATATCATATCATATAGACAACCACCAACACCTACCAGCACCCGCGCCAGCAAAGGAGAAACACAGGGACATGACATTGGTGAATCCACCAGCCGTGGAAGTTAACTCATGTCTATTTCTATTCCTATTTCTTTTTCTTTTTTTTTTTTTTTTTAGACACACGAGAGCCTCGAAGACTTTGCGGTCTTTGTCCTCCAATAACCAACTTTAAAGCGTTGTCATTCTGCTTCTCCGTCTTTCTGTCTCTTCTTCTCCTGCTGCTACTTCGTGCTCTTTGTTCCTGCAAAGGCCCGCATGGGAGGATAGCCCAACGGCTTCTTCGATTCCATGGGATGTTCCGTCTCGGCCACTGCTGTGTTTCTTCGTCTTCCTCTTCTTCTGCTTCTGCTGCTGCTGCTACTGCTGCGGCGGCGGCTTCGTCCTGCTCGTCTCTTTTTTTATATACCTGGGGCCTCCCATGGTAGCCCGCCCGCCTGTCCCAAATATACCTCACCGGCCAAAGAGACCAAGAAAGATACACAGCACACATAGATGGAGTGACTGGCTGCAGCCTGAGCTATTATTATAAGCGCCCTGACCCTGCATATCAGAAAAGAGGATTTCCTTTCTTCCCTCTTCTGCTTCTTCTTCTTCTTCTTCACGCTGCCTGCCCTGTCTCACTCAGAATAGAAACAAAAACCAACCTCCTTTGCTCGACATCCACTGGCTCAGCCCCAGCATAAAACAGCCATCTTGAGATAGAGACCGGTCTTCTTTATCCCTCGTTTTTTTTAGCTATCTCGTTTTCTCTCGTTATTTTCTGGCTTTCGTCTCTTTCTCTGTGTGTGTGTCTGTCTGGGTTGTCTCTTTCACCATCTATCTGCTTTACGACTAGATATCCTACAGGTCTCAATATCCCTGAATCATCCGGCTGCAGGGCCTGCAGGAGACCAAGATTAACGGTTGCGCCCAATTAGAATATACAGATATATCTCTCGACCATGGCCTTACCCAGAAACCTGGGTTCGAGGACGCAAGCGGAAAACAAAGGTCATAGTCTGCCAGGCCCGATAGATGATTCGTTCCGTAACACGTTGGGCCTCCATGGTGAGATGCAGCCTCCCAGTTGTACGGCCAACAAAGGCCCTGCATTTTCATACGCTGTCGATGGCGATACCCTCTTTCATGCAGGCCTATCCCACATGAAGCCTGGCAGTCTGCCTGTCCGCCGCTGGACAGACGCCGACCTTTCATCTCTCCAGTCGGGCCCAGCCCTGACCCCAGACCTGGTGCTGCATCACCAGCAGCATCAACTCCAACAACATGACCATGCCTTTGATGCCCACGCGAGCGGGCAGCTATTAACAGCAGCAACAACACCTGCAGCAGCAGGGCCAGGGCCAGGAGGAGGAGGAGAAGGAGGGGACCAATTTTATGTCGATTCCGGGGTGCTGTTTCAGGATCCAAAGGAGCAGCTTGTTGGGCCTCCCTCCTCGCGGCCCACTGCCGGCAACTGGATGGAACGGCAGATTTTCAAGTATAACCATAGCCAGCAGCCGTCTGCAACAAGGAGACAACGCCGCCAGCATAAATCAATTGACCAGCCTGCCACGTTGACAGCAAGAAAGGGAGATCTTCTGTTCTCAGGCAATCATCCAGCGCTCTCGTCTCCTCCTTCGTCATCATCGTCTTCGCCTTCTCCCGGTACCATGGCTTCTTCCTATCAAGACAACAATAACAGCAACAACTGGTTTCAGCAGCGTCTGGAAAGCTACGGCCTTCAGCAGGTCGTTCAGTCTCCGGAGTGTCTTGAGCCAACTACGACGCCTGCATCCTACTCGCAGTCTCCCCTCGATAGACGTGAGAGTACGTCCCATTTATCTACCGCCAGCGGAGGGTCAAGCCAGTCACCTCTCAACAGCAGCACACCCATGTCGACGCCACGGTACGGCCCGAGTATTATGAGCCACCCAATACACAGCTCACCGGTACTAGCGACCAACGACATCTCGGAGACCACCCCTTGTCAGCCTTATCAAGATCCATCGACCGTTACGTCGGTACCGGATCACACATCACCGCCTCCTCCGCATCAGATACTACGTTCTCAACCCTGTGACGGATCGCCAGCCAGTTCCTGGCATTCAGAGCCCATGGGTGTCTCTGCCTTCCAATGTGCCCAGCCCAACCTCCAATCTCATGAGACTGAGCATTGGTGGACCACATCTTCGGCTCATACCATCCCCAACAGAAGCCTGCAACCTCCTTTCCCTCACGCAAGCTACTCTCCAGCAATGACATCTGCTTCCTTGCCCTTCCGCAATCAGCACCAACGGTTCGCACATATTCCAGAATCAATCCAAAACTCAGGCCTCATGATTGGCATGGACACATCTTCCCCTGAAATCAGCTCTTCTATCCAGCAGGACCCCATTGCAATGTCCTCCCCCCAACTATCTGGGGCTGAAGTCGCATTACCACTAGCCTTCTCTCTTCCATATTTCCCACAACACCATCAACGCTCCCACCAGCATCCTCAACCCCCTCCTATCCAGACGGCTCATAATAATACCCCAGTTTCTCTATCCGGCTCGGCATCAACTATATCCGCAGCTCCCCGCTCAGCCCCCGTAATAAGCAGGAGATTTCCACACGGCTCAGCTCCTCAACAGTCACCTAAGGCAAGATACCACATCCCACCACACCAACGACGAGCTCATGCCCGCAAAGCAGCCAGTTTCTCCGGGCAAACAAGTAAATGCATCAAATCAACATCTTCCAACGGGTCTACACACAGCGGGATCAGTAACAATAGTTCCAGCAGCAGCAGCAACAACAATAGCAACAATAACAGCTACAACACCGTCATCAATAGAGCTGTAAAGAGTGTCTCGTTCGTCAACTTCACCCCCGAAGATAGCCACAAACTACTCACCGGCGTTGCACCCAGCGGAAGCTCCAAGACCAAAGCCAGGCGCGAGCAAGAAGCCCGTGACAAGAGACGAAAGCTATCAGAAGCTGCCTTGCTAGCTGTCCGACGAGCAGGGGGCGATGTTGAAGCTCTCGAGGCCGTTCTATGCTAAACTCCTTGCTTCTTTTTTCTAATAGTTACCAATATAATATCCACTGATACTCTTTTTAACTTCAGCCCCTGGCTTCTGCTTTCAACACCATTTGACCCTGTATATAGGAATCGTTTTAATACCTCTCCAAGCAAACACTGGCGTTCTACTGTTTCTTTTCTTCCTTGCTCTATTCCTACTTTAACTTCTATGTACCTCTCTTATTCATTTCCTATGTTGTTTACCGTACCATGACCCCTTTCTTCCTGTTGGCTAACTAACTCCCCTGGGCGGCTCTCTGCTGTGCTTTAAGAACCAAGACGATTTAAACTAGATTCCAACCATAGCGGCTACATGAATGATACTCAACTACGATTCAAAGATAGAAATCCTCCTTTGACAATTGTATGAAACGTGGGCATATGCATGCGAATACGACTTTGGCTTTGATATTTGGACGCTGCTGTGGCTATCAAAGCACCGTAGTAAGCCGTTGAGACATCCCACTTTCTTGACAATGCCGAATCTAACTGGCATGTCTTAGAAGCTATGTAGACCCATGAATGCATTGCCGTCTGCATGTAAGTCAAAACTATATATAACATCTGCCCCTTAATATGTATAAAGGCGGATACCTACCATGCAAAGAAGTAAACTCGCATGCGTCCAGTGGAGGTATCTGTCCCTTTGATCGGCCGGAAGGCGTTAACAACGAATTGAAGAAAGACAATATCACCCTTCTACCGGTAACAGGGTGATGAAGGCCCAAGCCGTAAATTGATAAATGTCCCTTGAATAGCCTATTTATACAGACAGTCTATAGCTCATTTAAGAACGGTTGCAATGGATATTTTCATCCATTCAATAAAATCCGGAATGCAAATAAATAGATGCCAAAGAGATGAAACAGGCCAAGCCCATTCCGCTTTAATATTCAGAAAGATCACGCGCTTGAAAAAGGGTATGCATATTGTACAAGTTGGTAAAGAAGAAACCAATGGTGAGAATAGTGGGTATAATGTGTTGAAGTCTCATCTGCCTGATGGGGGCTGTGATAGGCTGAGTAGGAAAGCAGGCTGCGGCGGCTGTCTTTCTCCTCCGTCCTGCTGCTGCAGGATGGTGTCGCGCGTCTGTTCCAGTCTCATCGAGGCATGGAGACGGCAGAGAAAGAAATGGTACAAGTCAAATCATCTCTTCGAGACGTTGGGGGTCCATGACTCAGGCTGCCAGTTCTCGCTGGGCCCGCCTGCGGCCCTGTCCCATGGATTTTTGACCTTCTTGCCTCCCTTTGCATCCGGCTGTTGTTCCTGCAGTACCTCTGCTGTGCCGGCGCCAGTATCCTGTCTTGTAGTGTGGTAGGACGGCTGCTGTGATTGGAGAGCTGGAGCACCCTGCTGTGCCGGTTTATCGAGGACGGACGGCTTGCTTGCCCACCGTTCGTCCGCCTGCTGCGCAAGGTATTTGATCCGCTGCTGCCGAAGGAGTTCATTCTGCTGTTCTTCAATGCTCGGCGGCTCAGGCCGGACGTATCGAAGCCACTGATGCCATTGTGCTGTCCATCCATCCACAACTGTCAGCTACGGTCTGTGTTCTGTGTTGGTCGTCTATAAGTAGATGCCAGACTTACGCGGGACTTTGACGTCGGCGTAGTGTATCTTCGGACTGGCCTTCACAATGCGCCGCAACCGACCGGGCTTGAGCGAATCCTTGAACTCCCAATAGGTGTTTCCTGCGAGATCGTTCCCTGTGATAGATTATCTCCATGTCAGTGTGTCGATTTTTCCATCGAGCCGAAGCGAGTGTTATGCGTACCGACGAGGAACATCCTTCGCCAGGGGAGTTTAAGGCTCTTCCATTTGAACCAGAGACTGTTTATCGGACTCATGTCTGGCTGTTCCCTCAACCCGCGTCACCGTCTCATGGCCGGTAATATAGATGGGTGATCCTGATGAATTCTGTTCCTGTCGAGCGAGGACTGTGGCTGAGGAAGAAGGTTGCGTGGCGGACGTTCAGCCTTAGTTAGCGGGCGTAGAGTTAGTTTTAGTTAGGCCGTCGCATCTAGATAATAATAACCAAGAGGGCGACGACGTCACCGTCAACACTTCTACACATCCAACACCACCGACGCTGGTTGACAGCCATCTTCTCGCAGTTGTCTGGCGACAGGGAGCAGTTCGACGATTTCCTCTACCGTCGAGAGCCAAAGGGCGATGCTCGCGGCCTCGCAGACTGCCCCGCTGATATAGATACATCCCGCCTCCTGACGGTCACCCCAGACTCAGCAGTCGAATCAGAAACGATGGCGTCGGTTACATCGCTAGACAAGGACCTGCGCAATATGCGACTGTCCAAATATACGCCCCAGGCCGCTAACGAGGTCCGAGACTGGATCGAAGAGACGCTGCAGGAGAAGCTGCCCAAAGGCGACCTCCTGGAAGCCTTGCGCGACGGAGTAGCATTATGCAGGTACCTAGGTCTATCCCCTTTTGTACCCTTGCATTACTTTGTTAATTTTACTGCTGTTATTCAATAGCTAAAATGGACTTTGGCAGACTGGTAAATCTTGCCGTGGGCCCTCCAGGGGTCAAGTTCAAGCAGTCGAGCATGCCGTTCGTTCAGATGGAGAATATATCCCATTTCCTACACGCCTGCCAGAAGGCTCCTCTCAGCTTACCTCCCCACGATGTTTTCCTCACGGTTGACCTCTACGAGTCCAAGGACCCAGCCCAGGTTCTACAGTGTCTTGGAGCGTTCAGTCGCAAAGCATACGCTCTCCAACCAAGCAAGTTCCCGCGTGCCATCGGGAAAAGCAAGACCGGCGCGTTGAGTCCCCAAATGAGTGGATCTAGTCAGGGTGGGCGGTTCGGTTCCCCATACTCTCGACCCCGAGGCCAGAGCAATGTCAGTGATGTAGGACGAGCCAGTCCTACGATGCCATCCGGCCGGAGCAGCACTGCTTCACCACCAACAAAGACGAGCGCATGGAGCAGTAAGGCCGACGAGGCAACCACAGCTCCGGCTTGGAACATTCACCAGTATGGCTACATAGGCGGTGCAAGTCAAGGGAGCCTCGGTGTAACATTTGGTGCGCGACGGCAGATCACCACTCCTGGCCCCTCGGTGCCCAGCCTTGGAGAGAAAGAGAAACGTCGGCGAGAGGAAGAAGAACAACAGGCTAAACGAGAGGCGGAGGAAGCGGAGCGCCAGCGAGCAGCCCGGGAAGCCGAAGAAGAACGCGCAAAGGAAGAAGAACAACTACGCTGGGAGGAGGAAGAGAGGAAACTTAGAGAACAAGAACGGCAGAAGGTTGAAGAAGAAAAGAAACGATGGCAAGAAGAACAGCGTCAGTGGGAGCAGGAAGAGGCTCGCCGACAACAAGAGGAAAAGGAACTGGAAGAGAGATTGGAAAAGGAGAGGCTTCACAAGCGTGAAGCTGCAGACGCAAGGTTAAACGGACAGTTCTTGAGCCAATATCAAACTGCCCAGAAACCCGTACGAGGAATAGCATCTCCACTGCTAGAGCAAAAGGCTGCTGCGTCTAGTGAAAGTGAACGTATCAAGGCACTGGAGCGTGAACTGGAGAGGGCAAAAGAACGAGAGAAACAGTATGAGCTTGAACGCCAGGAACTTGTTGCACTACGCGGATCCCCCCAGCCAGATGCCAGCCCCCGAGTTCGTTCACCAAATCCAGATGGGAACAGGCCAACTCCGACTCCCCAGAAACCCAGTTATGATCTCGCCTCCCAAGAACAGGAGCGTCGAATGCTCAGGGGTGAATGGAATGCACGCAACAAGGAGCAAAGACCAACAACTCCAACTCCAGCTCCTCCGTCACTACCACCTCGAGAGCTCCCTACTCCTCCCGCAATGCCACCAAGGGATACTAATCCTCCAACTTCGCCCCGCCCTCTTCCAGACCCAACAAACTATGCCAACAAGAATCAGCCTCAGAATCGCACTGATCGCTTCTTGAAAGAGAACCCAGCTCCCATTCCTAGAAAGCCAGTTGCTTTCCGACCACCGGAATTCTCATCTACAGCTGAAAAGGACGAAGAGGATAGACGACGCGTTGAATCTACTCAAAAGACTCGGGCCGGCGGATGGGCCTCGAAGTCACTGCTTGAAAGGGAGATGGAACGAGAACGTGAGCGGCAGCGTGAATGGGAGGAGAATCAGGCTCAGACGAAAGACGCTGTTAAAAGGGGTGTGAAGACTGCTGGTACTGGGCCTGGTGAGGGAGGATGGGATGTACATCAGTACGGTTACCTAGGAGGAGATAACCAGAATAATGCAGCACCAGGAATCGGGTTCGGTGCACGACGACAGATCATTGGTCCTCGTCCACCACCCTAAATAAAAAGTGACGATATGGAGTGGCTGGTATATAAGATAGTGTTGGAAAGGGAGAAACGAAGATACGTATTTGTAACTGTTCTTACTTGAATGATTTAAGGTACCCTTGTCTATTCTATATCCCTCGTTCAATAGACTTTCCATATCTGGCTGGCGAGCAAAGACATCATTATGCTATTCTCTCGATCACGATGTAGATTCTGCGTCATTGCGACCCAATAACGATGTAGTCTGGTTCTGGTTCGTTGGGTAGAAGGTTGTTAACAAAGTGCACCATCCTATCTCCGCTCTCAATGAGCCACACCCATCCAAACTCCTCGGTCAGCTTCTTGTTCTGTCCTCTTTTGACGTCAATCCGCGCCTTTTTGGACCGAGCCTCAATCCCCTTCGCAACAGCATCTGACAACCGTGGCCTAGAGAATATCAGCCCACTGATTGCAAGGAGGCGTATCAAAGACTCCAGCAAGATCGACACCCTCGCGTTATCAATCACGCTGTTCGTCTTTGCAGTGAAAGGGAGGAAACACCGCTCAAGCTTAGACTGGCTCAGAAAATTCTCTGTTGAGGCCGGTGCAGCATTCTCTAAGATGCTAAATAATAGCATTTCGCAGAGAGTAGTTTGGCAGGCAGGAGGGAAATGGGTAAGTACGGATGGGGAGGCGAAGAGCTGAAATGTAGGAAGTGGGAGATGTCGGATGAACTCAACGTAGAAGGAGTACAGCCTGGGCAGCGTCATGAAATGCTCTGGTATACTGTTGGAAACGCAAGAGAGCAAATATAGAAGCCGCTGGCGGATGGTCAGAGACTCTAGACTGCCCAGGTGGTCTAGTTTGTCGTACTGAGCACTCAATGGGCCATCGTCTCCATGGTCAGAAGGGATATCATCTTTTCCAGATTTTTTCCTGGTAGATCGTCGCTGACGCTTGACTCGGGCCTCAACCCTTTCGGAGCCCCCCGAAGTCTTCTGGATAGGGTCATCTTGATCCTCTTCATCTTCCTCTTCCTGGTCGGGGTTGTCAAGGTAATCTCCGTAGATTTCCTCGTCGATGTTGATGTCGCCTTTTCTTCGTGAGGCTTGAGCCTTTTCCTTTGAGACCTCTTGCAGTTCGTTGCGGAAAATCTCTCTGAATTCGTTTGTAGATGATTGCGAACCATCAGCAAAAATCGCCCTGAGGATTCTCCTATCACTGCCTACATGGTTTGAAGTCGTTGATATATAGTTGAATATTAGACTTTCAGTGAGGATTGAACAGTCTCTCTTGGATTTTGAATCGGCAGGAGGCATTTCTTTGAACTCCTTTTCTCTTGCCTTCCAGTCATCTTCCAGGACATTGCACATGAATTGTAAGAAGAGGTGCCAACGGGCCCATCTCTTAGGATGTAGTATTGAGCAGTTAAGCGCCCACCCCACGACGTGCCAGAAGTCCTCTGCACGCGACCATAGTGAGTTTCCTTGCGCAAGGTCCAGATTCAAGGGTTCAACGCGTGTGCCATCCGCGCCACTCAAAGTCGATTCACCGTCAGTTGTATACTTCCTTTCATTCCTCGAATTGGCAAAGCGGTCAAAGACAAAGGTATCCCTAAATCGGCCACCAATGGGTCCTAAGATCTTGTTGGCCAAATTAAGCAAATGTAGAGCAGAGTTGGATGCTGTGAGGTATTCGTCTGACTTTGACCGCGTAGTCGTAGTGGGGTGTACAGTCAATGTTGCTGCTAAGGCGAGGTACTGCGACGGGGGAGCAAATACCTTCCCGGAAGCAGTAGACCGGGAAGATATAACGCTTGATAAAAGGTTAAAGGCCTGTGTGTCTATATAGAGTCAGTTATGGTGGGGGAGGTTCTATATCCATGTGTGCTAGGGGCGGGGCCTACAGAGTCTTTCTTCCAGATAAGCACTGCAGTAATGGCGTAGTTCAGATGGCAGAGCCTGCACCGGGGGATAGCCAGTCTCCGAAGCCATGGAGTGGAAGCAGCTGGCCTTCTGCGCTATTAGACGTCTTTGGTGGAGGAAGCTCCGGCGCGCAAGAGGCTCTTTCATGCTGTCATGATAAGCTTCTGATTATATAATAACTTAATTGTCCTCCTGGCTCATGCTCGATGAGATCATTCATCCACAGCCCTACCAAGAGCAACTCTGCCACTGGAGATGCTGCATATTGCCTGATCACGGTCGTGCTATGCTAAGTTATTATTATCGACTGTATTCACCCTCTTAATTCTCTCAAGTCAACAGGACAAAATTTAGACCAACACTCTTTTTGTGTGTTCCCCACTCTATACTTTTCTAAACGTGCATCACTTGTGTTCTTGTTGCCCTATATAAACAACTACACCTAGCTATTTGAATTCTTTTTTTTTTTTTTTTTTTTTTTTTTGATAAGTCCATCTCGCTAGTATCAGAAAAATTGTTTCAGTTACGCCTCTTCTTTTGCACCCTGCTTCGAAATCGATTGCTGCCTGCATTTCTTGAGCTCCTTTTCCGCAGAGGTTGAAGCCCGTTAAAGATGCATCCATCAGTTCCATTTCAACGAGCATTACCAATATTACCTTATATCTACCGTCATTCCAGTGCCCACCTGCGAAGTAAGTTGACTATGTCGTCTAGTACGAGAAGAATACCCCGATTCCCCGAAATTCCCAATGTCAACAGCTGCATGTTATCCAGCGACGTAGCCGACCGTCAAGGTGCCATTCCGATCTTCTCGACAGGGAAAGAGAGAGATGGCACATTTACTCCTAAAATCTCGAGGCTCAATGAGCACCAGCTTGGTGAACTATTACGGGGAAGATATCCATCTGACTATCGATTTGAAGTTATCCATCTAAGTAATGCAGCTCCCGAAACCAGCCTGATATATGATGCCCTGAGTGATCACAAGAGGTTTGTGTTCCCAAATTTCTTACGCCAGCTGCGAGTACTAATTTCTTTACATCTGAAGAATTAGGGTAGTTAGCGAAAGAGCTTTTTCAATGACGACTGTTCGAAACGCCCCTACTCCCTTACATCAGTGGGTTTTATCTGGTGTTGCAGACTTGCTTACATCTCAAATGCCTGCTGGTACAAAAGTCTTGTCTGATTCTCCCATTCAAGGTATCACCTCTTTGAAAGAAGACAAGCTCATTCCAGACCTACAACTCCTCTATAAAGAACACGGAGCTCTTAGATCAAAGGCTGTTCTTTCAGTAGAGACAGGATTTTCGCAGCAATACGAGAGTCTTCAGCACGCCGTCCGCAGAGCTATCGATGCTACTCAGAACGTCAATGTCTCCTTAATGATCAACTTGAAAGAAAAGCCAGCCTTTCGCGCTCCGTTTTCGCCAACTTCTTCCGGTCTATATCAGCATCCGATCACCAAGGAGTATGTGGACACAGCGACAATGCTGACGTACCTTGAGTCTTCAAGCCACACAGAACCATTGCCTAAGAATCCTAATGACCTAGAAAGCCCGTTGTTCTTCCTTGGGACCCGTTGGGTTGGCCGGGTTGAAGGCACCTTAGAAGTCTGGGTGCGTGACAAAGTTACCCAGAAAGCTGTCCGAAAACTTGGTCCAATCGTAGGTGTCCTACAAATCCCTCCAAGTTAACTTAGCTAACTTATCTCTCAATTTAGCTATTTTACGGCTCGAAGCTACGGGTTGATAAGGACACACCCTACATCGACGCTAGAAATGAGGATGTTCAACTGGGCCTTAATCTCTCTGACATAATCATCTCTGCTAACGACGATCTGAAGAAGCCGTTCGTCATTGATTGGGTGAAGCTAAGAGAATGCATCAATGAGGGCCGGATGGCGTTGGCTATGAGTCGGTGCTGGACAACTATGAACCATATTGCAGAGTTGAACGGGAAGAAAAAGTGAAGGGAATGTTACGTTTGATTTTCACAGCAGTTTCAGTAATAACGTTGAACCTCATAATGAATTAAGCTCCACAAAAATCTAGAATTTGTTTATCTCATTGGATCAACCATTACTAGACTTTTTCAGGTCCACCAATTGGCCCGTGGATAGTCACGTGCCAGATGACCATACAAGCATGTTTTCTCTTACGCGCCAAGCTGGATATCAGGGCGATCATTAAGCCACCAGGAGCAAGGTGGTACGTAAGTCTGCTTTCCTGGTTTATTTCTTTGGTGATGAATACTTTTTAATTATGTTAATACACGCAGAAGCAGCAATGAATTAATTAGTTAGCTAAGCATATCTGTACAGACTATTGCTAGGAATTAAACACATGCGGGAATCGATAGTAAAACAAAAGCCCAATTTACGCTGGGAGTCCGGCTGTTCTTTGGGGGAAAGAAAGAAAGAGATTGGTACAAGTAGCAGCTTCAAAAATTGATTCTAAATTGATCCTACAAAGGCCCTCTAAAACCCATGATGCTAACCCATTAGTCTTCCGGATCATCCGCCAACCATCCTATTCGCATGCGATGTGACTGTTAAAACCCGGGTTAGAAACCATGTCCCTACTATAGAGGAAAGCAGAGTGGGAAAACGAGGTGCAACTTACTATAGGTAGCTTTGGGATGACAACTCCGAGAACAGCTAGGAAGTTGATGATGAAATATGTCAAATCATAGTGGGTGTAATGCGTACTCAGAAGGAAGAGGATGATGGGAACGCTTAAAAGGAATTTCTTGGCCGGCGTATACTGGTCGCCATTGTCGATTTGTTCCCACATATTGAGGTTATCGTAAGCTCCGCCGTTGAATTCAAAGGGTACGCCTCTCACCCAATGGAACATGAGGAACGAGCCGAACATATAGGAGATATTGGTGAGTGTCCATGACGTCTCCTGCGAAACACCTGGTATGATATCATAGAATATTTTCAATGCAATGATCAGAACAAAATGGATAGTCCATGCTCCTAAATTGTGTTTGTCAGTTTATGAAGCTTCCCAAATTTTATAACAGGGGGGGTGGTAAGGAGTTATACTGCTTACCTTTTGCGTTGACCCAGTTCGCATTCAGGTTCGGTAGGGCTGCCTGGTCGCTGGTGTGTTCTATAGACTCAGGAGGCTCCTGGTATATGATACTGCTAGACCTCCTCCTCCGTCCAGCCCTGGTCTGACTCATCCCCGTATCTGGTGATAGATGAGAGGAAGCTTGTGTGGCTCGTGGTTCCAGCGTGGACGAGAAGGAGGTCCTCGGTACGATAAGGGGAGACAGTTTGGCGGTATTGAGGGCTTATGTAGCTACAGTCGATTCAACGTAGAAATGGGGAGGGAAAAAAGAGCAGGCAGCCGTGGTATACGAGGCGTTCCGTGTTATATCGACTTATCGAAAGCCGTTAAGCTGGTCAGTCACTTTAGGGAGTCGACGGGGGGCGTATAAGGCTGGAGTGAGCTGTCAGGCGGGGGAGCAGAGGGCCGACCCGAGGGATGACAGGGAGCAGGGCGTGTTGCAGGATACACAAGCGAGTGGCCCGTAGTCCTTTCGGGGGCAGGAATACTCCGTAAGCTGGCAGCGAAGATGACGGGCAGGATATCGGACGAGCGATGCAAGGGTTGAGCAGGAGAAAAACCCAGCCAGAAACTGAGCCAGAGCAGGCCGGCCTGGAATTTATAATGCAGCAGAAGAAACGAATAACCCTGGCCAGATGCTATGCGACTGTCTGGCGCGTGTCTGTTGGAGTCGAGCTTGCTTGCTTGCTTTGCCTGCTGGTTGGTTTCTTCTTCTGCGTTTTGCGTGGTGGTTTCTTCGAGCTCCGAGACATGCAACTGCTGACTAAGACGGGGCCGCTCCCATGGCTCGCCTTTTTTTCTTTTCAGTTTCGACGGCTCTTTTTTTTTTGGATCAAGAGACAAACAAGACCAACAGCGATAAAGGGACTGTCCATCCACAACGCCTGGCGTCGAGTACCGGGCTACAGGTAAGCCCTGTCTGGCTGTCGCGTCCTGCTGGGGACATAGCTGAAACTGGCGCTGACATTTGAAAATCAATAGGAGAGAAAAAGGCCTTGCCGGAGATGTCAGGCGCTGCGGAAGATGCAGCTTGCGACTCGCGTACCGCGTCTGTCGGCCTTGCGCCAGCCAAAGGAGCCCAACGAGTGACTGCGCAGAGTGAAGGCGCCGGGCAGCCGCCGTCTGTCAACTGGAATAATGTGCGGAAGGGGAAAGTGCGGACTGCCCTTAGACGGCCTGCGTCGAAGCCCGTAACCGCGTCCAACTCGTTCAACAAGGTCAATGGGCAGTACTGGCGCAGCGGGAGTGCTTCTGAAGACGAGTCTGAGGCTGGAACCCGCGCAGAGGAGAGCAATGCTGTGGTAAAAGATGGAAGTGATGGCGATGGCGATCGTTCCAGTGATGATTCAACCGATCCTTCGGATGTCGACGACAACGACAGTTCCATCCTGTTAAATATGGACCAGCCGAGCACGGAAAACCCGCAGCTAGAACCACAGCCTGTACATACAAACGAGGAACAGCCACCAATGCCGCTTGACACAACCACCACTGTTGAAATTAAAGATGAAACTGGACAATTGGAAGCCGAACAACCTGCTATCAAAGATGAAGATATAGACACAACTGCTCAGACGGCCTATACGTCGAAGTACAGCGTGCCCCCTCAGACCATTGCAGAGTTGAATGCGGAAGATTTCAAGAAGCAGTTAAAATACATACTGTATAACAGCAGTGGCAATCCCGATCCTTCGACACCTGCTAGATGTATAGAGTGTTTCAGAGAAGGGCATCTATCAGACATCTGTCCCAATAAAAAGGTAAGTACAGTCCTCCTACCACTACCTGTCTGTGTGCCCTAACTCCTACAAACATAGTGCGAACATTGCGGTGCATGGGAAGCGCATGAGTCTAGATTCTGCCCAACTTGGCGTAGGTGCCAGAAATGCAGAGAGCGCGGCCATGACAAGGATTCATGTTCGGCACCACTTCAGGGGTCTGCTGCAGAGGTTCCTTGCGACTTGTGTGGCTCCGACCGGCACATCGAATCCCAGTGTGATTTAATGTGGAAGCAACCACATCCTACATATACCACTGGGAAGCTGTTCATTTCAATATCATGTGCACAGTGCGCCAGTTCTCAACATCTTATCGGAGACTGTCCGTCAATGCGTGCTCCATCACACTCTACATCTTGGAGCCTAAAGGCGTTTGACCCTTCTATTATCTCCAACACGAGTCTGTCGTCTACCGGTGTACCAAATGGGAGAACAAATGGTGCCATTCCCCAGTTGAAAATCAAAGGACGTGCACAAAGGGAACCAACCCCAGAAGAGCATGAGCTTCATATAAGATCTCGTCCCCAGCCGCCTTCAGCGCCTCGCTCAAACATTAAGTTTGCTGAGGGCCTTGGGCGTGGGCGGAACCTGAGCTCAAACCAACCTCGCTCCAACGATAGTGGAAGTGATCGCTACACGCCTCGAGACTCTCAACGTGATTACCGGGAACGAGACCAGTACTTTAACCCCAATTCTCGTCCGCGATCCCGCTCTCCAGAGTCACGGTACGGTGGAAATCACCGTAGACCACCCCTTCCACCAAGCCGTGGAAGAGGTCCACCACCTCCTTCTCGCAACCCTGGAAGGGACCGAGGAAAGGGCAGAGGTGGTGGTGGTGGTGGTGGTGGTGGTGGTGGCAGCCAGCGTGCTGGGAAAGAGTCCTCGAGGCCTATACCTGGTCGAGGTAAACGGAAAGGCAATCGAAACACTTGAAAACCCGGCGTTATGAATTGCCCCAGATGATGATTAGAGACTTTGGATACCTACATTATCCCTAGTATTTGACTGGATCGAAGACCAGCATTAATGGACTGTGGATTTATGTCTGTCCGCCATATCAAGAGGGAACCACAGTCCAGAATGACTACCCGCGGCACCAAACATGTGCGCTCATCAGATTTGCTGGATTTTCCAGACTATCTTGTTAAGAGTCTCGGTGCCCTGTGACCTATTTTTCCAACCTTTTTGTGAATGCCACTTCCAATGTCGAGCAGGACTGGAAGTTTAAACATGCTAGCACAGATGCTACGTGGAGAGTGTACGCACCGATCAAGGCACAGTTTCCACAGGAGATGCCATACCAATGCTGCAGCTCCAGCCAATACTGGAATTGGCAGCCGCTTGTGCATGTGCTTCATAACAGCACCGAAAATACAGAAAGTTACAGTGCCAGAGTCAACAGTCGAGGGGGGTTTCAGTGCATCCTCCTGTGAGACTTCCCTCATATCATTATCACAAATGCAAGGTAAAAGCTCATTGTCTTTTGCATACTCCGTAGTTCTACTTCGTAAATCTAGCATCTATGTACTTACTAGGGGTATGTCGCTTACCTAACCTCAAGGCCGTTCTCTGGTTCCGCAGAACCCGGTCTCAAGCACGTTGATCAATTCATCCAGACGTTCAATACAAAGGTCGGTATGTTCATGGTCCTTGAGGTCTCGGTTCCGCTCATTCAAGAGAAGCACAGTGGCGGCTCCGGCTTTATGTCCAGCTGTCATATCATCCAAGCTATCACCAACCTGCAAGGCTTATTAGCTATTTCCACAGCCATAACCAAGCCAGCAATTATACGCACCATGATCAAACCACTAGCATCCTCTAGCTCCCATGCTCGTGCAATGTGCAGTATCCCAGCCGGGTCGGGCTTAGGCATGATATTCGGTGTATCCCGAGTTATAATTGGTGCAAATACATGAGTAGCCAGGTGAGACTTGATAAGATGGTTTACCGGGCCACTTTAATCATTCAAACCGGCGTCAGTAAGTCATTGTATAGACGACTGTTGTAGGTGAGGGGTATATGAGGGGCGGGGCATTAAGCAACATACTCAAAGTTGCGTGTACACAGCGCCCGTCTGACACCCTTAGAATTGAGATAGTCCATAAGCTCGACAAGTCCTGGCTGAGGAACTTGTTTTACCATTGCCTTGCGCTCAATGTCACGAACAATCGCGATGGCGTCTGTCCTGGCCGTGAAGGTGGGCAGGCCTCGGATATGGTGAATTATATCGACCCCTTTCTCTATTCCGAGGGCATCTCTATAGCATAGTACATCAGTATGACATTGAACTAAATTATAGATGTACCATTCGTCTTATCTGTCGCCTTACCGCATCTCTTGGAACATGTAATGCTGTGGCAGGCTGGATCCGGATCCCTCATCAGCTACCCGTTAGCTTATCCGTACACTGGTTCTCAAAGGCCATATTTCAATGCCATGTAAGCGGTTACTTGCCATAGTGTCCCATCGACATCGAATACGATTCCCTTCAGTGCGGGTACATCTCCTCCATCGGCGTCCAAGGGTGCGAACCTGCGTTGGGCCATTGCCAGTGGCCGTAATGCCGATGCAGATGCCGATGCTACTGCTGTGGACAGTGGGCGTGATGTGTAGCCAGAGAACAGTGCTCGAGTTGATCTATTGAGAATCATAGGAATCTATAGCTTGTAGGTATACGTGAAATGGAAGTGAAAGCAAACTCGAAGTTGTCCATCCTCTAGAGAAGCTTTGATATTAGCTAACCAACCGCTCAAAATGCCAAGAGGGTGGAATTCGTTCAACCAACGCTTGACCATCAAACCATCTAACCAGCGGCTGCCTATACACATCCATGGCTTTTTGATAGCCGGCAAGTTCTCCCATGTCATCTATAAGTGCCGATCAACAAGGCGTAAAGGGTAACCACTCTATCCTAACCGGCAGACAATCGCTTAAATAACTACCAGTCAGTTAACTAGCGCCGCGATGACGGCGGACGCGAGGGTTCTCATCCTCGATAAGCCCAATGCGGCGCAGATGAACCAAGACCTGATGCAGGCTTTCACCGAAGCCATCCAAAAGAATCCTGCTGCTGATCTACTATCGGTTATCGGGAGAGCGTATGTACGCGCTCACCGAGTGGTTCAATATCGAGAGCTCTCGGATGCAGGCCAGTTAAATCTACAGACCGCAAATGATCTCTATGACGCCGTTATAGCTAATCCTGATATCAACCTGCGTGATCGTTTCCCATCGGACTATGACCGCAAATACAGATGGGCGAAACCAAAGCCGGTTGTTGCCGAGCCACCGAAGCCTGTGAAGCCGCGCGACTGGTTCAAGGAGAGGTTGGATAACATCCACTCTGCCAGTATTGTTTACCCGCTCTCTGACCAAGCCTCAGCGCTTCTACAAACCCATTCCAAGTCCAGAGACTATTCTGATGAAGAAGCTCTTGCAACTTCATTGAAAAGTCTGGTACTGAACTCTGAAAGGCTGTTTGACAATATCATTAGAGGAGCTGTCGTCAAAGCCAACGACGATATTGCGATCAAGGTCTTTCCCGACAGCCGAGATCTTACTGAATATCATAACCTTCAATACCTTGCCAGCCATGCTCCAGATCTTCCAGTCCCAAGGGTTCATGGCTTAATCATTCTTGGGCATTATCGTGTTATGTTTATGTCCTATATCCGTGGCGTCACTATTGATAAAGTGTGGTCGGGTTTATCCCATGAAGGAAAGGTCTCCCTAAAGGAGCAGCTGGGGAACATATTCTCAAGACTCAGATGCCTCCGTCAGGATGATGGACAAGAACTGGGCGGTTTGGGTGGTGAAGGAGTAAAGGATTACCGTATCATGGAAGTCTTTGCGTACAAGGGAATCACTACAGCGAAAGCGTTTAATGACTTGCAATTCTCTGCGAAACATCGTGCCAGCCCTTGTTATGCCAAGTTACTTCATTCTTTTTTAGAGATACCAAACAAATCGTTACGAGGGGCAGTGTTTACTCATGGTGATTTGAAGAAGTCAAATATCATGGTAAAACAAACCTCAGAGGATCCTAATCAGTATACAATTACTGGGATAATAGATTGGGAAGACAGTGGATTCTACCCTGAATATTATGAAAGCACCACGATATCAAATGGACAGAGTATCATGAACGACGATGACTGGTACCTCTACATGCCGGATTGCCTTTCCCCTCTACAATTCCCCATATATTGGCTGGTGGATCGTCTGTGGGGTAATCTGCTCTGGAATTGGAGAACGGACATAGTTCGGTGAAGCGCTTCCCATACCTTCACTCCCTCCAGAATCAAAGCAACCCACAATCTTGAGTGTCAAAGGTCTCATTGCCATGCTTCACGTTTCGCCTTTGCAATGCCCTTGTTGCGCTGGTAGTCGGGATTTCCCGCACTGATAATGTCTGCCCGCTCCAACCCTTCCAAAACATCGAGGACGAAGTCCTGGCAACTATAGTCCAGCTCTTCGTTGCGTACAGGGGTTCCCCAAGCAATATTCTTGACAGCTTCAGTCTTGTCCGCGTCGATCTCACACAAAGGACAAAGTTCAACAACAGAACCCGAGTTACGCGCATCGGATGGGGTTGGGGTCCTCACGTCACGAAAATATCTTTGACGAGCACCGAGAAGATGAATGATGGTTTTTGCCGGCTTCTCCTCAGCATCAATGAATAGGCTCCAGTGTTTAATACCTGGGTTATCGTAGATTACAATCATGAGTGGAACAGTGGGAGCCATCTTGGTTTTGGGCCGTCTAAGCAAGAGACACAACTTCGTTTCTTGAGGTTATTAAACTCCGAGCTTTCTGTCTAACATATTTAATTCCGTTGTGAGCTTGGGAGATTTCTTGAGTGTAAATGCAGGCGCATCCTTGTTCTCACACATTGTTAGTAGTTATTAAATACGAGGGAACTCGAACCAGAATAAGGGCGAGAAGAAAGCATGGATGTTCATTATCTAGGCTGCTGCCTAGCCTCGGTCTCATATTGGTGATCCCTGTACCGTTGAACATCGAGGAATAACAGATGGAGTTCAAATATTGGGTTTATCTCTTGAGTCTATATCACATGTCTAGGTGCCATCAAGGCAAGGAGTTGTATTCAAAGCCTAGAATGTATAGGATCTAATAAAGAGCTACTGATGAAGAAAGGCGTGACGTCGTGGAATCTAGACAGCTACTTAACCACTATAGCTTGAAGCAGAAGAATTCCAAGGATATATGTATCAAGACCCCCGTTTCCCAAAGCCCAAGTAGAAACTAAAAGAAAAGAAGCTGGCTATAAATAAAATAGGATAAACCGAATGATCAATAAAAAAGGGAAGAAACCATATACATGCATCCGATCGTACGTATCAACTGGTACAAAACGAAACTGGAGGACGTGGCCGAGGAACGAACAACAATTAAACGCGCTAGTTTAGAAAGAAAAGAGTAAAAAAAAAAAGAATCATAGCTGCATGACAGGGAAAAAAGAACAAAATCAGGAAATGAAATCATGAATTGTTCTTCTCATTATTTTGAATTTTGGAGGGAAGTTGTTTTTTCTGTGTTTCTTTTTTGCGGTGGGGAGTAGTAAAGAACATGATTTTTTTTGGTATAGCGGAAGCTTTGCGTGGCGGGCGGGAAGGGTAATTGACGTGCTTGCTTGCTTGCTTGCTTGCTGTGCTGAACGCTATTTATCAAAAGGCAAAAGTGAAGTGTGTCGGGAGGAAGAAGGTTGGTACAATGTTCAAATAACGGAGTCAATATCAACGCCCATGAAGAAGAAAAAGGGAGATAGGGGGGGAGGGGAATTAAGGCTTGATCAAATATTCAAGCGTAGGTAAGGTAAGGTAGGGGGTAACATCAAGAAATAAAAGAAGATAAAGCAATAGGATGGAAAAAATTGCAGAACTTGAAATCAGTAGTCGTCATAATCGTACTGGGATCGCTGAGAGCCCAGGGTGCCATTATTTTTGCCGGAGCTTGTCAGTGGTCGGGGACCGGTTGGTTTTCGTTGTGGGACGCCTCTTCCTGGAGAAGATCTGGACGGGGAGCTATTGTTCTACGGAACGTTAGTATACGAATGCATTGGAGTTTAGGCGGTTAGGGTTAGGGTTGGAACTCACAACATGGTCAACCATGCGAGCTGTGCCTTCTCGCATCGCCATGCGCTCTGCATAGCTCGGGTTCGGGTCATCGCTTAACTTGGATGAACGCTGTGGTATCAAGGGACCATCGTCTCTGATCTTAGGTGGTCGGGCAGGACCGGATTGGCTCATTATTGATGATCCGACTGAATATGCGCCGGCGGACATGGGGCGGTGGTTATCCGCCGCGCTGGATGGGCGGTCGCGGTTAAGTGCCCCGAGAGTCGGGTTTGATGCCCATGCGTCGGAATTAGGGGAAGTGGGGACGCCGTAGTGCTGGGCCTGGGATTCCAGCTGTGTCTGGTACCGAGATGTAGGGCCCTGGCGGGGTTGCGGGTGTTGAAGGTTCAAGCTGTCCCGATGAGCTCTGTATTTGGGAATTTCAGAGACCTGGGAGGGCACGAGAGGAGAAGGAGGACGGTTCTCTGTGCCCGCGGCATCCTTGTTGACGCTCGTGGTGGAGCGGAGCCGGTCGTCACCGCGGTGGTCGTAGTATTCGGCGGTGGTGTAGTTTGCGTTTTCCAGATCGGAGTTTGATCTCGATGCGTCGGAAGATAAGCGTTCTTTGCGATTTGGCTGGATGCTGTTGCGGATGTTTTCTCCCATGGAAGATGCGGTTGTTCTGGACCAGCGGGATATCTTGGGGAAGAAGGACGAGCTGCTTGATTTTGTCTTGCGGGATTTCTCATTGGACATCTTGGGCGTGGTGTCTGCACTTGGCGGCGAGGCAACGGGGACTCGCTCGGGGGTTGCAAGGGGCACTGAAGCGCCTCGCTTATGCCGGCCAACAAAGCGGGAGCCAGGAGGAGTTGGGTTCTCGAGAATCTCCTGCTCGTCGCGGGTTAGAGGCTCCTCTTCGTTTTCTTCCATGACGGGACTGATATTGCGCTGGGAAGACTGAACGCGGACGTCTGCACGGAGTGGTGAGGAGTTATATGGCGATTGTTCGGCTGTGGTAGCACCACTGCGATCGTGATCGTCATATCCATCTGCATTGCCCTGTCCGTGGCCGTTGATATTCTCAGCAGAAGTACCCATGACAGGAGCTCGTCCCTCCTGGGCCGCGCGCAGAGCCTCAACTTCTGTCAACAAATGAAGAAGCATTTCCTCGATATTAGTCAGATCGCCGGAGCTCTTCAAACTGAGTGTTTTCAAAGCCCGCTTGAACACATTCTTCTTCTTCGAACGCATCTCCTCCTCAAATTCGCTGGACATCTTGCTGTGGGTGCGAGGGGTGATCATGGGTCGAGGACCGCCGATGGCCTTCTGGGTACGGTCATGGCCCTTGGAGTTTGCATCAAGAAGCATCTCGTCCTGCTGGGCGATGTATTTCTTCATATCCTCGAAGGAATTGCGCATTTCCGCAGCGCTGCGGACAAGAGTGATCAGGATCTCGGTGTCTCTTGCATTTCGCTGGGCATCACGAACCGTCAACTGGATAACATGTTAGTACAGGCTGATGTTTACTTATTACGTTTGATGACAAGTAATTAAAAAGGTAAGATCTTACATGGTCCATGAGGGCGACGATATCCTTGGACTGAATCCTGTCGATACCTCGACCGGTCGAGCTATCGTACAGCGGCGAAGGCATTCCATGAGAATAGCCGCTCAAGTGCCGCTTATGTTTATCGTTAAACGGATCATCGACCTCCATCGGACTCCCAAGGCCACCGACGATATCATTCGACAGGTCGAATCCTTTACCCTTTGGCTCTGGCGTAGCACTGCTGTTCGACCTATGATTTGCACCAGATATGTACCCTTCATCCCGTGGATTGGGAGAAGCCATATCGAAGTGGTCGTTTCCATAGGGATTAGGACCAAGACCTTTGTCCAAATCAAAACGGTCACGACCGGGCTCTTCCGAGATCACACCCAGACCACCCGCAGCACCGTAACCGGCGCCAGGTAGATCGGCATCGTTGAGCTCGCGTTCGGGGGAGAGGAGCTGTCTGCCCGATTGGGGCGGGCTGGGCTCGTAGGGCCAATGGTCGCGACCTTCGTGCGGGACGCCGCCAATAGGGCCCTGAATAATGGAAGGGTTGGTGTTGATGTCTGATTCGGTGTCGACCATGTGGCCTATTTCAGGGATCGGGCTACCGGAGTTGGGCAGTGCATTGGCACCAAGGATAGGCCGGTCTTCTTCCTCGTCTTCCTCGTCCTCTTCAGACTGCGCAGTGCTGTGTGGTGGAGACGTCACGCCCATGCGTTCGTGGAATGGACGTTCGTCAACACTTGGTGGTCCCGCGGGTTCATCATCAACCGCTCGGTCGTCCTCGTGTTGGTGGTCAACGTCAGCATCTTCCTCCTCATCTTCATAGGGCTCCTCTTCTTCCTCTACATGGTCATGCTCGTGCTGGTCCTCTTCTGCCTCATGTTCATCTTCTTCATTGAGATCCAGGTGTCTGCTTGGGCCCTCGCCCTCGCCTTCCCCTTCATCGCCTTCCATGCCAGGGGTATAGCTCCTTGACGAGCGATTGACAAGTGGATGCGGCGAACGAGTCGAAACCTGTGAAGGATCCAAGAGAGACGCAACTGCCGACTCAACTCCAACGGGAGTATGCACGTACTGCACATTCGTAGCACGGCAACCAACAATCTGCTGTCCCTGGTCAAGAGGATCCGTAAAAGTGTCGTCGGTATAATTAGTCATGTGTTTGGAATCGATGTCAATGTCACGGTCATGGTCAAGGTCGTGGTCATGGTCATGGTCATGGTCATGCTCGTCATGGTCCCAGTAACTAGGTGAGTTCCTCTGTGATTCACCGATATCCAGCTTGGAGCCCAGCTCTTCGTCCGGAATGGTGGGAGGATGGCGGTGGCTGTAGTCTGCCGTCCGGGTTGATCTGGCCAGATCGGTGCTTGCGGCCGAGGAGAGAGACTCAATTGAGAGTCTTTGCGGTTGTTTGGAAGCTTCGTCGCCTTCCTGGCCGGGAGTCAAGCTGCGATTGTGGTGTTCGTCAGCCTGATAGCTAGCCACGCTCTGGATGGGGCTGAGAGCGCGGTTATTAGAGAAGTCGAGGTCGAGGTCATGATGATGTTGTGGCTCGAGGGCCTTTGGAGTTGGAGACTCGTTGTATTCACGGGTGATCTCCTCTGAGAGCCCACTGCCCAGGTCCCTGGCATGCTGGTTTCTGCTGTCATCAGGGGTCATGCGGCCAATGGGAGAGGCGAGTGCTCGAGGAGAGCCCCTGGACACTTCACCTTCGAGGGCGGTAGCAGTCTGGGCCGACTGCTGCGAAAGGATGGACTGTCTGGTCATATCGGAGTCGATACCGCTGCGGAAAGGCATGGGAGCAACATCGTGCTTTTGGAAGATGAGTTCAGTATCATTGTATCCGGGAGCTGTTCCGGCTCCGGCTCCACGACTACCGCTAGCAAGAGAGCTCTTGCTACGTTTGTGAACCCTGTCCCGGCGGCCCAGGCTTGAGTTTGAATCATGGTGCTTCAGGGCTGCGGTGGTCAAGGCGGTTCCAACAATCTTAGCCGCCTCAGCATCGCGTAGGCCCTTGCTCTTCTTCCGGCTGACCCCTGGCGCTTCTACCGAGAGATGATCCTGACGTGAGGAGCTCCGTTCACGACCGGGACTGGCTCGCTTCTCATGTCTTCGTTCCTTGGACCTCGAGGAGGAGTGGGATTCAGGAGACCGGACGGGCGAGTTTGTATTATTACGCTCAGCATCCAGGCCGAGGCTTCTAGAGACATCTGGAGCACTGAACCGCTTTGCCAGCTTTGAGGAGGCAGCAACATCCTCCTTGGAGGACTTGTGGGCGGCGGTGCCGGCACCAGCAGCACCACGACCAGCCTTGATTCGGGCCAAAGGGTCATCCTTCTGGTCCTTCTTGAGCTCCTTGAGTTCAGGCAGAATGAGTCGACGAATGGCATCCTCGACAGTCTCGAGCAGTTTAGGGTTATTGAGGGATGATCGAGAGGTACCTGATCTGAAGGAGTACTGATCACCGTTCCCGGTCTTACCGTTGTTTCCAGATGCAAGGGAAGTGCTGAGATAGCTCGACTCGGGACTAACCATCTCTCGTTCTCTATTCTTTCCAGACCGTTTGGAGCTGTAGTCCAGGCCACCCGAGGAGCTTCCTTCTCCATAACGGTGTTTTGAACGAGTGCGGTCCCGAGAGCCAGAGCCAGCACCAGCACCAGCACCACCACTGATCTTCTCAGCGGCCTTTTGAGCAATCCTCTCACGGCTGAGACTTCGACTGCGTCTTCTGGAAGGTGTCTTGAGCAAGTCACGCGAGTCGGAGGCTGGTTCGGTCTCATCTCCACTGAGACTGTGGCTTCGATGGCGATTTGTATGAGTTTCCGAGAGTACCAGGGGCCGGTCGAGCATGCTGTCCGCGGGCATGGATGAAATGTCCGAGGTGGGCTGGATGTACCTTGACGAGACCTCGCTGTCTCTGTTGACGATCTCGATCTCTACCGGATGGCCCCGCGAGGCACCTATATCATCTGCTCCATCGGTCAGGGAGCTCAGACTGCCATCATCATCAGCTCCGGCTCCGGCAGCACCAGCTCTGCCGCCGGCATCCTTCGAGGACCTGGTGGGCGTGCTGAGCGAGATGCGTCTGGTATACGACGGTCTTCTCCCTCCGCTGTTTTCACTAATGTGTATGCGGTCTCTATCTCTATCTCTATCCCTGTCCCTGTCTCTGGTCTTCCTACTGGACGAAGGGGTGACTCTGACCCTGACGCTTGGCCGAGAGCTGATGCCACCGCTGCCGGACCCTTTCTTGCCGCCCTCGAAGTACTCTATGAGCAAGGAGGTCTGGGAGTGATGGGAGGAGCGGGACATCTTCCCTCCTCCTCCGCCTCCTCCGCCCTCTTCGCGGTCCCTGTCCCTGTCCCGCGGCCGCGAAGAACGACGGCGGGTGGAGATGGTGATGGGGCTGCCATCTTCGGGGATGGAGTAGGACGTCTTGTCAGTCCGGCGGGAGAGATCAGTGGCAAGGTCGGTGGCAGTGCCCGTGGTGCTGGCGACTGTGGTATCGAGGACGGACTCTGTTGGGGCCGGGAGGATGGGTCTGCGGGTGTCGACGCCCATGGTTCTTCTCTGTCCCTTTCTTTTTCTGGTCTCCTCTTTTCTTCAGCAGACCACTATCATAGTCAGGTCGATGGCAGGCAACGGGGTATAGCTCTTGTATATATCTCGCAAGGCTCAGGGATTTTTATTCTTTTTTTATTTTATTTTGTTGTTGGTGTTGGTGGATGGTTTTGTTTGTCGGTGTACGGAGTAAAAAAACACAAGACGACCACGACGAAAAAGGAGCTGTTTCTTCTGACTAGTAAAAGCGAAGAAAGAAAAGAAAAAAAAAAAAAAAAAGGTACTTCTTTATCCCTGGGAGATCTCTAATTCTCTTGCTGGCCCTTCGTCTTTTCTGGTGAGGCGAGAGTGACTTGGAGGCTGCGGGTGACGGGGTGGTTGGTGGTTAGTTAGTTGGCGATGCTTTGTTGTCAGCAGCGGCGGGAGAGGAAAAAGGCGAGAGAAGACGAAGGAAGCCCTGCTGGTCCCTGTAGACTGACGAGCAAGAAATTGAAGAGAAGAACCAGAAGGAAAGGCAAGGATACAATTACAAGAAGAGCGAGGGACCTTGAAGAGTGAAAAGGAAGAAGAAGAAGAAGATGTCTGTTCTGTCTGTCTGGTCTGTCCATCCCTCCTCCACCCCCAGCCATCAACGTCTCTTTGACTAGCGCCAGTGGACCAGCCACTCTTATTATTTACCTCCGGCCATTTTTCTTCCTTACCAGCCTCAAGATCATGACATTCTGCCCTTAACTACCTTAACTAAGCTACGGCTGGGGTCCGGCGACATGGCATGACAGCGAGAGTGACGGCGAGAGTCGTGATGATAGAGAGACAGAGACAGAGACCCCCCCGAGAGCGCCGTTGGACTGGCCTTCACCCGACAGATAACCGCCATCTCCAGTCTCTTCTCTTCCACTTCTTCTTCAAGTCTCTGCTTCTACTTCTCTTCTTCTCTTCGTCTTCTCCATCCTTCCGTCCCCCGGTCAACCAGCGTCCTGGCCCTCGTCGCCCATCCCTGCCCTTCTCCATCTGCCCCCAGGCCGCGGCACCCCCTGATTGGCCTCTGCTCCCTCTTGCTCGTCTGTGGTCTGTTGGTGGCCTTGTCTGTGGCCTGCCTCTGCGCTCCTCTTTGGCCAGTCTCTGCTCGTTCGCTCGCTCGCTGTCGTGCCAACGCATCAACCTCCCCCTTCTTCTTCTTGCAGGGTCGCACTAAGGCAAACTCTCTGGCCGTCGCTTGATGATCCCCGTAGCCGACTCCATCGTGTGTTAGTCGCCGTAGAGACGAGCAGTAGAAGTAGAAGTAGTAGAAGTAGTAGAAGTAGCTGTCTATAGCTGTTAGCTGTCAGTAGCTGTCGGTAGCAACCATCCCGGCGTCTCTCTTCACTGCTTCTCCTACTTCACATGAAACCAGCAGACAAACAAACTGAGAGGCGCACCATCACCATCACCATCACCAGCCACACTCCTTTCTCTCTCTCTCGCTGTCTCTCTCTCTCGCAGTCCTCCTCTTTCTCTTCTCTTCCTCTTCTCTTCCTCTCCCTCTCCCTCTCCTACTTCCTTACTCTTCAGCGTCTTCCTTCCGACGCGTGTCTTCTCGTCCTGCCGGGCTGTGCAAGTCTTAAACGACCTCTCGGCGGTTAAATAGGGGGCCTCTCCTTTGGCCCGTGACGCCCTCGATACGCTGTAATACAGTCCTCCTTTGCAGTGGCTTGGCGTCTTGTTACAGCTTCAATACGAAATTTACCCCGCCTGAGACAAGCGCCAAGCCTGAAGACGCAGCAAAAAAGAGAAGAAAAGAGAAAAACGAACGTCGAGCTTTTTGACGGACATTCAAGACTTCAAAGACTTCAACGATCTCGACTTCAGCTTCATCTCCAACTTCACCTTCTTCCTCACTCTTATTACTCTTCCTCCATATTACTTCTCTTCTCTCTCCTCTTCCTCCTCCCCGTCGCCTCGACCTCTCCCGCCGACCACTCTCGACTGCACGGAGACGCTCACTCGCTCGCTAGTCTCCTGCGCTCCCCGGCTGACGACGCATCTCTCGGCCGCCCCCAGACTCCACGATAGTCCAGACAGGAAGACAGCCAGACACAAAAGACATTGAGAAAGAAGACACAGACGGACGACAGCGATAGACACGGACAGACAGACAGAGATACACAGTCGCAGACACAGACACCAACACGGACACCAGATTGAAGTCTCGCTGGCCGACTTCGCAGGGGATGACGACGCCCAGCTGCTAAGACATCATCATCATCACCAGCCACACCACCGTCCAGACCTCAACCTCAAACCTCCAGCAAAGACAGGACACCCTCACACGACACACCAACACTCACGACAGACACCTGCCAAAATGCATCTAACGCCGTTACTCTCGTTCCTCTTCGCGCTGCTCTCCTTCTCCCGTCTCGCGGCGGGCCTCAAGCTCATCGAGTCCAAGTCCCTCACGCCCTGCACCAACACCGCTACCCAGAACAACGCCGACTTCACCGCATCCGAGTTCAACATCGCCTTCACCCCGGAGAACCGCACCCTGCGTGTCAACTTCCATGGCGTCTCCTCCATCAAGGGCTTCGTCAACGCCCGCATCGAGCTCTTCGCCTATGGCTACCCGGCCCTCGACCAGCGCTTTGATCCGTGCAAGTCCGGACTCGACCTCCAGGGCCTCTGTCCCATGACGGCCGGGCCCATCGACCTCATGACCGACTTTGTCGACGTCTCAGACGAGGTCATCAACAAAGTCCCTGGTTAGTCTTTTCTCAGCCTCTTCTTTTTTGTCCATCTGCTTCGTTCTAACAGACTGGCTACTAGGAATTGCGTATAATGTGCCCGATATCGACGCCAAGTTCCGGGCGTACATCTATGCTGCCGATTCTGGATCAACCATCGCCTGCTTCGAGGGACAGCTCTCCAACGCCAAAACAGTCTACCACAGAACTGTAGGATGGATCGTCGCCGTCATTGCTGGCATCGGCCTCATTGCCTCTGCCATCACCTCGGGTCTCGGCCACTCCAACACGGCCGCCCACGTAGCTGCCAATGCCCTCTCGCTCTTCAGCTTCCTCCAGGCTCAGGCCATGATCGGTCTCACCTCCGTCACCTTACCACCCGTCGTCCAGGCTTGGACCCAGAACTTCCAGTGGAGCATGGGCATCATCCACGTCACCTTCATCCAGAACATCTGCACCTGGTACCAGCGCGCAACGGGCGGAACCCCAACTAACGTCCTCAACTCTCCCTCCACCACCTCTATCCAGATCAAGAAACGCTCAATGGAGTACATGCGGAATGTTGTCTTTACTTATCCCAATGGCCTGACCAAGCGTGTCAACAACGAACCCACCGTCGGAGAAACTATCAACAACATCGTCCTGCGTGGCATCGAGAGAGTAGCCTACCGAGCCAAGATGGAGACCACAAACGTCTTCATGACCGGCCTGCTCTTCTTTGTCATCTTCGTCACCTTTGTCGTGCTCCTCGTTACCGCCTTCAAGGGCTTTTGTGAAATCGCCGCCAAGAAGGGCTGGATGAAGAGTGACAAGTTCCAGGACTTTAGGAACGGATGGAAGATTGTCATGCGCGGAATCCTCTTCAGACTGGTGCGTTCTTCTCTCGCTTTTCTTTGACATCTTTCCCCCAGATTTTGTTGCTTGAATTGCATCTAACATGTATACAGACCTTGATTGGCTTCCCTCAAATGGCAATTCTCTGTCTCTGGGAGTTCACCCAGGTCGACTCACCAGCCATTGTCGTCCTGGCTGTCGTCATGTTGCTCTCCATCATCGGATCGCTCGGCTGGGCCGCCTTCAAAGTCATCAACCTCGCAAAGAAGTCCGTCCAGATGCACAAGAACCCAGCCTACATCCTCTACTCTGATCCATCCGCCCTCAACAAGTGGGGGTTCCTCTACGTCCAGTACCGCGCTACTGCTTACTACTGCGTCGTCCCGCTGCTCGCCTACATCCTCATCAAGTCCATGTTCATCGGTCTTGCCCAGAAGGCCCCCTACGTCCAGGCCATCTCCCTCCTCATCATCGAACTAGGCGTCCTTGTTGGTGTCTCCATCTTGCGGCCATGGATGGACAAGAAGACCAACATCTTCAACATCTCCATTGCCGCCGTCAACTTCTTCAACGTCATCCTCCTTCTCTTCTTCAGTGAAATCTTCAAGCTCCCAGTAAGTCAATTCTACCCTATAACCAAATCAATATAGTCACTAACGTCCCCAGGGCCTTGTCGTCGGAGTAATGGGCGTAGCCTTCTTCGTCATCAACGCAGTCTTCGCCCTCATCCTTCTCATTCTCGTCCTCATTGCGTCCGGATACGCCATTCTCTCCAAGAACCCCGATACCCGCTACCAACCCATGCGCGACGACCGCGGCTCTTTCATCAAATCCCACACCCAACTCACCACCGAACTCGACGCCCTCGGCGCCACCGCCCGCGGAGAAGGCAAGTTCAACGAGTTCGAGGACGACTCAACCTCCCTCTCAGGCCAATCCAACACCCGCACTCCCATCGACACCCACCACCCTGCAAACGACTCACACCGTCCAGGCCAGGGATACCCGAACCGCCCGGTTCACTCCCCCGTGGACCCATCAGTCCCTCTATTCCCATCAAGTGCATCAACGCACTCCGGACACTCACAAAGAACAAACATGCCCCCCGGATACCAACAGCCTGCCTTCCAGGATTCGGCATCCACACATTCCTCACCGTACCGCCACCATCCTTCTCCCGCTCCAGGCGGGTATAATGCCTCTCCATACCCTCGCACAGGCTCAGCGAACCCCCACGCAGCCAGATCACAAAACAATGCTAGCCCATGGCAAAGGGGCGCCGGTTACGACTAAACGTTGCTTTTCATAGTTCTTTTCCTTTCCTTTTTTTTTTACTCCTTGTTTCTGCTACTTGCTCTTTTCCACCATCCCACAGCTTACCAAGGCCTGGATTCTGTTTCATTCCCTCCCACTGCGTTCCATTTCATTCACCCCCTTTACCATTCAGTGTACAAATATTTCATTTCTCCCCTTTTACTGCCCCCCTGCACACAACAACGGCCGGCAAATTACTCATGGAAACTATGGACTGGATTCATGGAGTTATCTTGTTTTTTTCTTTTTTTTCTGTACTCTTTTCTTCTCTTCTGGTCTGATACTACATAACCAAACCACAACCCCTTAGTTAGTCATCCTTCCCTTGCCTCTGCCTTCTATTGAACGGCCTTGCTATTTTCCTTGCGTTTTTCATTCCTCAAGTACTACGGGATATTACCTTGCCTGGTTCTGCTTTTTTTCCCCACCTCTTGTCTGTCTTCCTATCTGTTTCATATGGGTCTCACTCACACTCACACTCTGCTTTGCTCATTTCCTTGCTGTTTTACTCATCGTCTGTTCTTTTAACATCGCATAGAGAATGATAAAAGACTACTTGATGTCTGTACACATATGTTACAGACACAGATGTTAAACTTTCTCACGGGTCTTTAGATGTAATCATCATGCATTTCTATTTCAAGTATATACATAGTTGCTTTTGACTGAAATCAAACTACTATACCACTTTAGTAATCAAAGTATCCATGCTTTGGAATCATTGTGTAATCTCTACCATTATTCAAACTACACTTGAAAAACACCAAAGCACAATTCCTACTAAAACAAAACGCTATAAACTACAAAATTACAAACAAGGAAAAACGCCAAGTCAATATCATTTCATTCACTTCGACTCGCCCATCCCCGGCGGGAACCCTCCTGGCTGCTGCTGCTGCTGCTGCCCCATCCCAGGAGGCGGAGGCGGACTAGCGCTAGAACCAGGTGCTTGACCTGGGGCCTGGCCCGGGAAAGGTGGTAAGGGAGGCACACCGCCAGGCGCCCCTGGAGGCGGAAACTGGAAATTCGGCGGGAACCCACCTGGTGGAGGAGGTGGGAAGGGCAAACTACCAGGAGGCATATTCGGTAGGGGCATAGGAAGTGGGATTGGTTTGTCGTTGGGTCCCGGGGTGCCGGTTGGTGGGAAGGGGGGAGGGAAAGGCATGCCGCGGCCTCCTGGGGCTGTTTGAGAGCAATTGGTTAGTTATTCTAGCCTGGCTGTAGCTATAGCGTGCGGGCGTGGGCGGAGGATGCTTACGTGGTATCATTCCGCCAGGTGGTGGAGGTGCGCCTGGAGCTCCTTGCATGCCTGGTACGCCGAATGGTGGAGGAGGTAATGAGCCTGGCTGGCCTGTGGGGGGGAGTGAGTTAAGTCAGTGTGTTCGTTTGCTGGTGTAAGAAGTTACTTAAGATGTAGGGATTCTTACCTGGGAATCCAAACGGGAGAGGAGGGTATCCCGGTTGTCCGGCTGCGTGTTGCAGCATTGGATTGGAACTTGCCTGGCCCTCTGCGGCGTATGACGAGGTGATAGAATCTATCACCGATTGGGCCTTTTCATGTCCGATTTCTAAACGCAGACAGTCAGTATCGATGGGTTTGCACAGGGTACGGCGCCATATAGAGTATATTTCTAACACGGGGTGACCTACCCTGGTAATATTGGACGACGTTTTTCAAGTGGTTTTTGCCTGAGTTGTGAGCTTTTCGCACGCTCATCGAGTCGTGTGTGAGGTATACATCACAGTAATCGCCTGAGAGTCAAGGGAACCACAAGTTAGCATAAATCCATGCCACATCTTCTCCTCCACCAGTCAACATATATATATATATATATATGGGTATAATGTCGTTGGTGAGAATGGTTTGCGCAAAGAAGTTGACCTACAAAAGAGTGCATAGGAGGTTAGCTTTGGTATTCAAAACAGAGGAATGGTCCAAGGGGAACTTATATTTCGGCATGATGATGGCTAGACAACACACTTCTCCTTGTTTATCTTCCCCGCGCTTAGCACTGCCTCTCAGTATGTGGAGGTAGCTCTCCCGTCAAGTTTCGACCTTCGTCGTTCAATTGGCTTTGGGCTCAAATTTGGCAAGTCGCTACTTGGTTTGCGTGTGCGTCCGCGTCCGTGTAATCAAGCAGTAGCTGAATCTGTATCAAGCTATGGAATCGTCAAGCTCATAATGTTTCTGGCCCTCTTCGCAACCAGGACTTCGTTATCATAAAATTGTTCGAAATATCCAGAACTTATCGCGCTCTCTGAACGCCCGTTCGGGACTAGCGCCTGAAAGCTTATTCATGTTTGCACTGTTTATTTTTAATCGCTTAGTCATGATTTTATGTCACGTGATGCTTCCGAAATACAAAGGTCAAAAGTCTCCTCCGAAATTAATACTCCAATCACCACCTCTAGATCATTTATCTATCCCCCGTTTATAAGCAGATCCCAAAAAATGAAATCACGTTGCTGATGCTGTTAGATCCCTTTGTACTTTCACTTGGATCTTATTATACCCAGGTTTTGTCTGTCCGTTAAAACAATCTCGAACGATTGTCACGTTTTCTTCTGTCGTCTCGAATAGTGAAACGTCAAATCGTCGGATAATGGTAGCCAGTCCGATGTAACACCATGCGTAGGCCATACTACTCGTTGAATTAGCAGAGATGTCATTATTAGGAGAAAATCAAACTTTCAGAGAAAGGCTCATACTTTGGACCCAGGCATCCTTGACTACCCTTCGAGAAAGGCACATAGCATTCATCCATCTCTGACCGTTTAGGCCCGTGCTGCATCCATCGCTCAGGAGAAAATGATAATGGCTCTGGGAAGACAGACGGGTCTCTCAGTGTAAGATATATAGACATGCTAATCGGTGTCTATTTCATTGGTTATATCGTCAGCTTCAGAATCAAGCGAGGAAAAGGACAAAAGATGGGGGGACTATACCCCTGCTGGTATCTTCCAGTTGCCGTACTCCAGAATCTTGTCTGGACTAATGCGTGGCAGCCGAGAAGTGACAAGTGCAGTTATGCGAAGTCCTTCTTTTATGACTGCTGTCTATACCCTCTTGCGTGAGAAATGAAATCCTGTGTCACCAGAGACTGGACGGAAGATGCTAACTCACCAAGTACGGAATATTCTCAAGCATAGCTAAAGAAGGGTCAGACCGCGCATCGGGAAGAGCGTACACAAGTTCTTCACGCAGTTTCTCATGTACTCTACGATTGTTCAGTATATGATACAATATGATAGCGAGGGCCTGCGAAGGAGCATCCGTTCCAGCTACCATAAGGAACAAAGCATCGTCTGTTAATCTCTTAAGAGTTCGTTCCGCGACTGGGTGCTTTTCATTATGCATAAGCTCGGAGAAAATACATGGTTCTGTGATTCCGTGTCGATTCGTCTCATAAACGTGCTTTAAACGCTGCTTTACTGCCTAAAGGTTCAACCGTTAGCAAAGTCCGGGCCAAATAAACATTTGATATTGCAGCAGGTCGTACGCTTTCCATAAATTCTATATGCCGGGTTGTTGGTACCACAAGTGAAGTTATCCGAACAGGGAGAGTGCGGAAAACGCGAATTAGAATGGGGAAGTGTCTGGTGAGAAGGAGCTTTCCAAACGCTCCAGTAACTCCATCTTTCCACTTGTCGTCCAGAACCTTCTCTTGAAGCACGTTAAAACAGTTCGACTTTCCAAATGCGTACTGGGAAACAATATCCACTGCAAGAGATATGAAACATCGATGTAGTTCTAAAGGCTCGTCATTCATCAATGCTTCCCTCATATGCCTGCAAAGCAAGTTTACTTTCTCTTGAATGACGGGCTCGAGGATTCGAATAGCCGGTTTGGACAGATACGGACTGAGCATCCCCCTTCTCAATCGATGGTGGTTGTACCCAGCCGTTGAGAAGAGTGAGTTTGGAGCTCCCGCAGACAGGAACCAAATGTATTTATCCCGTTTCATAGTCGGTCCGGTGTAAATAGTGTTGTAGTAAATGGGATCTTTAACGTGAAGCTCATAAGGGTTGATTCGGACAATGGGCCCGTACTTTTCGTGCATTCTATCAATCTCCCACATGAACTGGCCGCCACGGATCACATCGAAGTACATTTCATACCATCGAGTCATGGCGGCCAGCTTGGGTCCTGGGAAATGGGATAGGGGAGAAAAATAAAGGCGGTACGTAACCAGGCATATTCCGTAAATAGCTGAAAAAAGGAGGAGAACAAGGAAATAGTTAAGTGTTGTCATATGAACCAGCTCGGGGTATCTGGAATCCATCATCTTGGGTGTTTCGTTGTCTGATAGATTAATTGGAAGGTAAGAACAATTGGGGATTGACGTTAAGCAGGTTCAAGTAGTTACTGCAGGGTACTTATTCAAGATGTACTGATTGAATCGAAATTTTCAGTTAAAGTAGTCCGTAGCCATGCGGACTACCTAGCAGCCGTGATGCCCAATCGTTGTCTATTTCTGTACAGCACGATAGAGGATAATGGGCTTTTGATTCGCCGAGATATTGACTGGGTAAGGCGATATGATGGTGGCAAGGAGTTCAACTACTATACTAAGATAACCGTAATTCTTTACGAAAATCAATTATGCATGAGTCGTGTACTGAACCCCATCTACGTGAGGATGACCGTGAAGATCAAGATACGGCGTAGTGATCAATGGTCCTCGGTTCCAAGGATAAAAAGCTCCTCCATCCACTGCATGTACTACAGAGCTCGGTATTTGCTCCAGTAGCCATGAGACAAGCCACCTGGCACCTGGCACCCCCGCTCCTCAACTGTTTATTATTGACAAATCAGATAGAATGGAAATTTTCTTTAAGAGTTGGTATAATCGATGTTAATATTAATAACAGTCATGATTTAGCAAGAGGCTCCCTCAAAGCTGAGCCATCAAAGCGTCAAACTTCTTGTCAAACTCGTCCATTGCATCCTTAAACTGACCGAACCCTTCAGCTGAGCATTTCTTTTGGAGACTGGACTCGAATCCTGTTTTCTCCTCGTTAACCCGGCCGGCCACACGTTTAGCAACTAGAGTACCACCAGGAACTGCCTTGATGAGGGGAACCTATGAACCGTTAGTTATAATCTATAGCAATAGCGTAGTTCACAGAGAGCTTACCTTAGTAGAAGTAGCATCCATAGCAGACGTCAGGCCAATAACCAGTCGTTCAATATGAGGTCTTCCTTCAAGCTCCTCTTGCTTGGAAAAAGGAGCCATGCCATCAAATCTAGCCCGTCCCTTTTTGGCCATGTCACAGACATCATAAATATCGTTGGTAATGGACATGAGCTCGGTAATACCTCCTGGCGACTGGGCAATCCTCTGCGAAAGACCTTCAATAGAAGTGCTGATAGGGTCGAGGTCACCGAGGGCCTCAGGGACAGAAGAGAAAGTAGAAGGAAGGGCAGTGACTTGGGCTGCAAGGGCGGCAGCCGCCAATGTGAAATATTTCGCGAACAACATGGTTTTGAGAGTGGGCTATTGCCGTAGCACTTTGTTGAAACGAATTTCCGATGACTGAGAAATATAAGGGCCAAATGTAAAAATCATGCTGATTACAGAGGGTATATGGGTGCATTTATAGACATGGCTGACGCCAGAAGCGCCAAACAAGGGGCTATTACTGTGGCCCAAACAATCAGGAGAAGGCTTGATCCGTGCCACTTCACTGGCCAGTTGGTAGTCGGGTATTCATTTTGGGCTGGCTGGATGGAAATTTCGTAGATCCTCATAACATTTGGCTTCTGCAGGAGTTGTGTGAAAACATCCACAGAGGCCACATCATTAAGCTTCAACTCAGAATATGCGCACCAGTGCTGCCTCAAAGATCTGCAGGACGTGACTGCTGTAGATGGCCTTCCTCACAGATGGCGCCTTAGTAGACGGGGATCCTCTCAAGCCTGGCTTGCAGATTAGTTGGTTGTTAAACCGACTATTTGCACGACAAGGAGCTTTCCTTCTTGCTGTGAAGGTCAAGGTGCGGTAAGATTTAACTAGCTGGCTCGCTGTAGACGAATCCCTGGCACGGGGTTGGCGGGACGGGACGCATCCTAAAGCCGCGCGCTAACCGGATGCGGCTAAGTCAACACATCACTTAAAAATCTGCACTCGAACTTCATCTTCTCAATTTTGGGTCTTCCAGTGGTTGGCTGGGCTTCTTCCTTTGCTTCTCCAGAAGGAGATTACATGGTCCATGTCGGGTTTGTGCATAGAATACAAAATCAAAGGACAAGAATAACTAGTTTCGCGGCCTCGTTACTAAGTCCATCTCACACCTTCCCTGGACTGTCTGTCCCAATAGCGGGTGTGCACCCAAGCTAACGGAGAACGATAACCAGACTTACGGATATGGGAGAGGATGAACAATTTACTAAGCAAGCAGAAGATACCTAGGAGAGCAGTAAAAATTGGCCAGGAAATTTTAATACCCTCTGGTATACTCCGTACAGAGTACGGAGTACGAAGCATGAAATCTTTCCGTCAGTTTGATCTCCTCCTACACCACGACTAGAATCGATACCCCGTGGTAGTTTTGCAGAATATTGCGGAGTACTCCGTACTATGTGAAATATCTCAGCCTACAGTTAAAGATGATCATATATGGGACATCAAGGAGTTCTGGTCAAGTTTCACAGGTATTATAACGGCGCAAGATCTTCCAAATGAGGATATTCTGGACTATTGAGATGACAAAAAATGGAATAATGAGAGAGAAGGAGACTGAGCCGGTTACTACCCTTCTAGGTATGAGGATGCACCGGTGGTATTATGAGGAAGCTTATGGGACTTACATGGCAAACTATAGTTGCTTCGAGAACATAGTCCATATTCTTACCTGTTTTTTGACTTCACATCAAACGTAAAGATAGAAGTAGTAAAGCACAGTCTCCAAGAAACGCAACCGCCGAGCTTACTTCCGACCTGGTAGCATTGTAAAACTATAATGACTAATGATAACCGTATTAAGCAATGAAGAAACAGAATGTAGACGGGTTATTTACCCCAGATCTTATAAAGACCGCATAGCTATATCCTTTACTAACCCAATGAGTGGGGTTGTGGGGGCGGCGGTTCTCGCGCCGTGTGGCATAAAAGTTTCTCTAAAGTACCTAAAACTCACTGTAATCGCCATTGATTCCGCCTGGTCATAAGACTGACCCAAGCTGTATCTGTTTCAGTTATAAAAATTGGAAGCGCAGAACATCATACGGAGTACCTAGACGACTATAGATTATTCTTACTCTTGGTTTCTAGTTTTGTTGGACTTCACACCTAGGCATTGATGGATAAATAACTACAGCAAGGAATTGGAACCTTGGAAGCAACTAGTTATGTCAAAGGCATACGTTTTACACCAAACCCATAATCCGGAGGTACGCAACAAAGAGCAGCATCGACACTATACTAAACTACAAGGTATTCGACGGATTATAGAGACCACAGGCGGAAGACCTGGGATCTGGATAGCAATGAGTGTAAATCAGACATAATACTCAGCAGTCTCTGCATATATTCGGCTTATTCACCTACCGGGAAATAGCTAGAAGCGACTGGACGGATAAAGTGCACGACCACTACATGGCGCTGGAAGTTCTGCACACAGAGTCCATTAAGGTTACATCGTCGGCATTGGATATGGGCCCGATGGAAGATGCATGTCGGGCCGGCCGCGATGGAAATAGGCATGAACCAAAGAGCTCATCATATTGCATGTCGTTATGTACAAGACTATATAGAATGGTACCCTATGTCTCTCTATTACATCTCTCCGTGGGGTATCGTAACCCCCACGTACGGACTTAACTGGCACGTTTTGAGTTGGGAGGATTTTTTTCCGTAGGCCTCCTTTAAATACCGATTTCGACTAGCACTAATTACTGAGGTTCAGTCCTTTCGTGTACCGAGATCCAACACGTTGTAGAAGACTTCTGAGAACCCCAAATTTCAAGAAACGCGAGGATCCTATAGTGGCTCCAGCCCTATCAATTGTTGACCGAGAGTGAACATGATAGCCTCCACCATGCAACTGTGTATTATTCATCGTAGTTAAAATAAAGTTGGCTTGGCTGGTCATATTTCAGAGCTCAGCTCCCTCTTTTCGCACGAGGTTGAAGAGGATATCAGACCAGTACTAAACCTAGCTGAGACGGTATGAATCGGAACGTTCAGCACTTCTTTCATGCGCAAGAAAGCGGTCCGCTACCTTAATAAGGCTTGATAGGCTCCTTTCGGGTAGCTTGATTAGCACGGGACACCTTTGGGGGAGGGGGCTGCTTGACGAGGGAATCGAAGGATGGAGGCCAAAGTTAGTTTTCATGGGTATTATGTCTTGAATCACATTCCTAACTCGTTGGATCTTGCGTCACGATAATTGAAGCAAGCGAATACGTATTATTCAATCGTGAGTCTCCAAATCTCGTCTCATCATGTTGCAATAATGACACGAGAACTCCGTACGCCTATAAAGTCGTTTCTCTTCATTTTGCTATCAGACGAGGAATGAAAATAAATGCCACGCTAAACCTCTCCAAGTTAGGTATCACGTGATCCATTAACAGCCCTGGAGCCCTGGAGACTTAAAACTATCGCGACAACAAAACGACAACCGTTTCAACACGGCGTTTGATGCGAGTAAGAACCCAGGGAAAGCTCTCTAGCTGTCGTGTCACCAGTTGTGGCCCATCTTGCAAGGGCCCCCCAATACTGAAGGGTTCCCCTTGTTGCATCACTCGCCAAATCTGGGGCTGGAGAAGAGACACTGGGGAGGGATGTCGGTTTCAAGCCGAACCCCAGGCCTTCCCCGCTGAAGCAGACGATGATGAAGAAGCAACATCATCCTCGCAGTCTGTGAGAGTGCACCTTGTGAGCATTCTTTCTTTTCTCTCAAGCCGCGTAATTAGCTGGTGCTGGCACTTCTCGGTTCAGAAATTGACGAATTAATTCTCAACGTCTGCTTTTCGTGATCCTACATGACCATTCAGCAGGTACGCGAGGTAGACTTCCAGCTCTGACCCAAAGACTGACGATCAGCTAGGGGAGGTCTGATTATTTCTCTCACCGTAGCATAGTGTTGCCGTCAAGGTGCTCAAGCCTCTTACTCCGTCCAGTGTCTATTAATCAAACAACGCAACATCACGGGCGGCGATGGGCTAAATATACTATCATAATCACGTATACTGAGCATGGAGTATATACATGGATCGATTTACAGAATCAACGCACCTACGGAGGATTTTTGGGATGTAGAGGAAGCACGTATGTCAAAGAGGTCAGCTGCATATATGGAAGTTATTCTTGACAGTGAGAGTTAAGATTTCTTTGAATCGGATTCGGAGCATTTTGTGTGGCTCTTCGGGTGATGGGATTTTTCCACTCTGCAGCCAGTCAGAAAAAAATGTGACAAGAAAACCTTTCTTGTAACTGCAAGAGGGCGGGTATTCGATAATCCAGAAAAAGGAATGGCTTCGAATATGAGCAAGTTGTTGGAAGTTTCTGGTAGCCACCGTGGAGCAGCGATTCGAAGACACTGGATGCGGTGGAGTCACAAGGAGGCGCTGTCCTGGTCACCCAGCTGTATCAGGTGATGGAGAAAAATACAACCCCTAAAGGAGCCAGAGCCCTAGCCTGATCAAGCGACTCCAAGCCTTTTGGGCTTTCTTGAAGAAGGCATGAAAAGCACTGTTACCGGCATACTCGGAGGCAAGAGCCGTGAGCTGGCTCAGCGGTATTAGCGCCTAGGAGCTGCAGCCCACTCACCGAAGGCCTCTCAGCCAGCTTGGGCCATGGCCTTATGCGTGTACGGAGCCGTGGAGGAAAAGACAGCAACGATGCCCGCTTGCTGCTTTACACTGGACACTCGCCCCGCAGGTGACCCCCTTGCAATGCTCGTCGCTGCGCCGCGAGTGGCCGAACTAGTGTCAGGTTGGCGATGGCCTAATCCACTCACGATCGCCAGAAAACGCCTCTGACGAAAGGAATCTTGCTGCCCAGGACCGGAATGTTGGGGGAATGCAAATGCAACAGCAGTTCTCAATCTGTGCACACACTCCGAATCGTGAGAGTAACAAGACTTTTTTAAATGAAGCCTCACTTCCACCTGTGGCTACAGGGCCTGGTAATTCGCGAGTACAGGGATCAAGTTGTCAATTCCATGCGATGAAGGAACGTCAGGCATTCGATCCATGAATGTCTCCATTTCTCCAACCATAAGTGCTTGCAAGCTAGCCGCAGGAGCAGCCCGAAGGGTCCAGGCCCTCCCCTCCCATGCCAGGAAATGGGAAAGTCAAAGAAAAAAGAATATATGGAAAAAAAGACGTGACTGACAGGGGCCTTGTTCACTCCTTTCCTGGACTTACTCCGGAGCAATTTCAGGAACATAGTTGCGGATACGGATACATAAGTTGCTGGAACCGCTCCATCCCATTCCATCCGGGACCTCGCCTGAGAGTTACCATCGTCATTCCCCAACCAACGACCGTCATCAAAACAACTTTCTTGTTTGCCGTTGTGACGCAGCACAACAAACTTTACCTCCTTTCTGGCCGTTCTTGTCTCGCAATTCGAGTCTCATCATCCTTGCCTTCAGAAACCCAAATGGCTTACTTATAATCCACAGGCTGCTGCACACCTTGGTGGCGGGTAATTGCACAATTATTGTCGAACTCAACACATTTTTGTTGTTGTTTTTTTGGCAATTAATTTTGTGCTTTATATTTCTATAAAAAAACTGCTTTCCACTTTACTTCTCTCGTTTGCCCGCACATATATCAGGAAGCTGTTCCTGCTGGATTCTACACGATCGTGCTCAACCAATTTCTCCCAACAAGCCTTTCCAAGGTTTCACAATGCCAGCATATCGGATGCTTGATCTCAATCCCTTATCAGCCCAAGAAAATACCATGTACTCTGGACGCGGGGGAGCAGGGAATTTCCACCCCCTCAAAAACAGCGCCATAACGCCCTCCAGCTCGATATCAAGCACTCGCACGCTCTCCTCCCGTCTAGGATTTAATGCACGACAATTGCTCCCAGGTGGTCGAGGAGGGCTTGGCAACTTCCACAGCTCATCAGAGTACGCGATCTTTAGCTTCGATGAGGAGCTCGAACAGCAACTGAAGCGCGAGAAGGACGTCGCTCCCGTCTTCCATATCGGCCGAGGAGGCGCTGGCAACATGGCAGCCGCTGCTGTCCCAGACGCTCCCATCATGAACCTCTCCAAGAAGCGGTGTGGCACAGGAAGCGTGGGAAGCTCATCAGATGGCAGCTCGTCTAGCGGAAAGGTCAAAGATTGGCCAAGAAGGAATTTAGATTCATGGCGCGGAGCCTTGAAAGGGATGCCATCGTGATCTATGTGACCCGGGGACGGCTTCTGCCTACATATCCCCGCTACCGCCGGCTGTCGTTCCCGCCCTTGGCGACCTAACTCCAGTCAAGGTCGATGTCGACATGGGCTTCTCCAGCTTCTCCTCTTTCTTTCATTTCCTTCGATCATATGCATCCCCACCGATTTGCCATCGTTGTATATCATAGCGCCATCTGAGCCTTTTTTTTTTCCCTTTCTCTCTTTCCTAACCCTCTACTTTCCTTTACAATTATTTTAACGACCGATACGACATTCACGATCCACCCTGCCTTGTCTTGAGGAGAGGGCAACAAAACAAAAACAACAACTGCTTATTGGATTGAAAGCAGTCTTCAACCGCCTCGCAACATCCAGCAACTGGCTTTCCTTTTTTACTTCTCTCCCTTCGGGGACGCAAGTCTTTCCTTTTTATATTTTACAACCTACTCCGCCAATGACGATATACAATTATCTGGCCGATGAACTGACTATCCTTCCACTATTCCGATATTTTTGGCATGCTCCGAACAACCAACGCGTCCACCCAAACGAATCAACTCACACTTTACACTTCTGTACACCTGATTCATGTCATACATTGCGCCTCCTGGATGGGCAGCGACTTATGACAAACTACCTCCTGATAATATGACCTGGGTCGAGCATGTTTCATCGAGCCACTTGGGAAAGATTAAAAAGCGTCCATTACTATTTTAGAATATATATATTCGATCTCCGACCGACCGACTGCCATGTCCGGTAGGAGACTATGGGAAAGACCAATTAATTAGACTTGATGTTCTTTCTAGACACTTTGAAATCAAACCTCAAGTTGTATAGCGCTGGTATAAAGCTAATCCAGGCCATTATTTGCCGTAGGGGTCTCTAAACCAATAATGTCTCTGCTAGGATGTGTACATATAAATATATGTGTGTATGCGTGATTTCATTCCCATGCTCCCACTGTCTTACCATCGGAGCCACAATCTTACACAGGATCGACCAGACGGATTCATAATGTCAAAAAGGAATAAGAAACAGACAATAGCCATCTATGGTTAGTAAAAAGGTATAGGTATCTTTAAGAAAAGAATAGAAGCAACATATAACACACTAGAAATGCAGTTAAAACCAGGCTTAAACGAACTGCGATAATAGAGAGTGTGTACGTGCGAGGATGAATTGACGCAGGGATATCATTAAATTGAGAAATAAAACTGCTCCAAACACATTCCTAGGTTTCACGAAAACAGCAGCAAGATCAACATATCAAGTGAATTTCGTATGGATTATATCTGGGTTTTCATGCCAGTCATCAATGCTGACCCACATCTGTCGGATAAGAGAATAAGCATCAGCCATTACGTGGTGACATATGGTGTGCTGGCAAGGGAGAAAAGGCGACATAGCATGGGACATACCTTTCTGAACGTGCTTAGGCCAGCCAAAATACTCCCGCCAATCCAGGTACTGTACTTTCTCTCAGGGGGCGCAAAGATCTTAATCCTCATGTCTTTGACTGCTAACCGCTGCACCTCGTGGAGAAGACGGTCGCCAAATCCTTTACATAGTGTAGATCCGCCAGACAGCACTATGTTGGCAAATAGGGACTTACGAAGGTCCATGTCTGTCCTGTTTATGGCATCTACGACAATCTGGTGCACACCAGGATACTCGAGGCCAATTATCTCGGGGTCGAAGAGGATTTCAGGAGCTCGGAATCGTTCGACGCCGATCTTTACGTGAGTCGGTCGGTCAGCCATTAAGTCCTATAAACACACGACGGCGAAAACAACGAAACAATGTAAAGGAGATGAATTACCTTCAGCTTATGCCCGTCTGGCAGAACATATTCCGCCATCTTTGAGTCCGCCTTTCCGCCATTCGTTGACCATTCCTTTTCTTCTTTGCGGGGGTCCATGGCTACATATCCGGTCTTTTCTTTAATCATGCGCACCACCTCCTTTTCGGCACTTGTATGAAAGACATATCCGCTCTTTCGCAAAAGCAACTGTAGATATTCGGTTACATCACGGCCAGCAACGTCTATCCTTCGTATACTGCTCGGCATGGCAAATCCTTCATACACGGGGACCGCATGGGACACTCCATCTCCCGAATCAAGCACAATTCCCGTTGTTCGTCCCGAAGCATATAGCGACAGCACAGCCTGGATTGATGTATATAGGGCGGGGATGTTGAACTGCTCAAAAAGGATCTGTGCAGCGGTATCTCGGTTCGTTCGAGGGTTTAATGGCGGCTCCGTCAAAAGCACCGGGTGCTCTTCACTTAACGTCTTCAATTCCCCTTCGTACACCCATTGCCATATTTTTTCCATGTCATCCCAATCAGTGACAATGCCGTGTTCGAGGGGGTATCTGATCTTCAGCAGTCCGCGTAGCTCCTGTGCTCTCTGCCCGATAAACACGTCTCCTTCTAGAGCTCCGGCGAGTACTCGGGGGTGTTTTGGCCGGCCGACGAACGATGGGAAGTAGCATTTAGGGAGGTCTTCGCCCGCAAATCCGGCGCGAATCGTACCACTGCCATTGTCTAACACTATCGGGGCATTGTGCAGAGCCGTGTCTGCCATGGTAGAGGAGGGAGGAAGGGAGACTGCTGGTCGCGATTATTTATTGTTGTCTGCAGCTGGGCTTTGGGTTCGCGTCTGGTTTAGGATATCGACTATCTCGGGGAACGAAAAGAGCTGTTGGTATCGTACTATCACGTCTAGAAAGATGCAAGTAATCTAGAATACCAGTGGACGAGGGACTATAATTCAGCAGATGTTGGTGGTCAAGTGTCAAAAATTAAGCCAAACTGCTGGAGTCGTAAACATTTCGTTTTTCTGGCACCAGGGGGAGCTCGACCTTAGGGCTTTTCTTGGCTTCGGCGCCCGCCAGCTGGATGCGGCTTTCCGGGGCCCTTTTTCTAACTGCAGACTACACTGTCGATATGATGAACAGCGGCTTTAGAGAACTCGAGCCTGTTGTTTACACCGTGTATATCACATGGGGTACGAGAAAATGCGGCATTGAGGGATGAATCCGGAGTATATAATGCAAAAAGGATCAAGATGCCAGCCGATTCAGGGGCATCAGGATCTGACTCGATAATATTAAAATATTTCTCCATGGGCAGTTTTTGAAGATAACTAGCCCATCCAAATCAATGAAGGGAGACTTCCAACAGATCACTCTTAATCGAGGAATCCAAGCTCATCTTCCATCACCCAAGCTAACCCCTTAGAATCTGTGCCTGCGCGCTTGGGAGGCCATGAATGGATCTTTTCGCGGAGCTTCTCTGCTTCGTGGAGAGCAGGGACAAGACTCCTATGTACAATGTTAGAGCTGCCAATTCAAGGCCAATTTTCAAGGAGTGTTAATACCCAAGCTTCCCGTGGACTACATAGTTTGCGGAAGCTAACTCCGTTGCTAGCTCTGCCTGATGGTTGTGCATCAATGCTGGATTTGGCACCACGATGAGAGGCAGACCAAGCCTCAGCGCCTCCAATATAGTCCCAGACCCTACAGTATTCAGGAAAATAATCAGTCTTTACATATTCGGACAGCTAATAACCGATGTCACAGCTGGTCTAGTTTACCTGCATGGCTGATGACAAGACCCTCGGCCGTATTTCTGCTTGGATTTGCTTTGGCTGCACACATCTCATCCTTGAGGCCATTTATATTGAAGTCGAAGCCCGTCAGGGTCAGCCCATAATTATGAAGTACTTCATTTTCATTCTCCTTGACGAACGAGCGGAATAGTTCGTCTCCATGCCGGCCGTACTGGATGGTTAGAGTGGTGTAATTGTTTGCCTTGAGAGCCGCTAGAAAATCCTGATGCAGGATCTCTCGAATCATGGCGTTAAAGGATGCCGTAGCACCTACTGTGACGAAACATGTCTTCTTTGGCCGGCTCCCTGGCTGTTCTTCTCTCCTCTGTGCCATGTTGGTATTCAATCAATAATATAAGCTGTTCATGTAGTTGTTTCTCAGCAGGCTAGCTAGAAGAGCGAGGATGGCATCTTCCGCCGCAGACCAAAAGCCTTTGAGAAAAAAGCATCCAACACTGCTTCTCTCTATAACCCTTCACCTCAAAGCCACCCTCTGTCTGCTTGTCATTACCGTCCTCATCGCCATTCATCATCATCGTCGAAGTCACAGCCGCCTTCAACTTCCACTGGCTTACCTAATCAGTACCTAGTTCGGAATCCGGATAAATAATATTTCCGAGTATCAAACTTTCCTGTCGCGGCAAGCAAAAAAAGTTGAACTTTGAAGATGCGAGCAAAGTGAACAGAGAGCGAGAGAGAGCGCAGAAGACCCAACAGCCTGCACGACCGCCTAATTTCCTTCGTGTACGTGTCCAATTGCTGCTGGAAATGGCTCCAGTGGCGAGATCTTTCAGCCGATTAGCATTGTCGTGCCCCAGACAAGCTGCCTCGAGGCGCACTACATTCCTACAGACGCACCAGTCATGCTCGACATTCAACCAACAGAGACAACAGCCGTTTTCTGCTGCTTCTACACAGCTAGCTCCGGCGAGTGAAACTCAAGGACCTGGCAGTGCGGCACTTGATACCGCAATTCCACCTGACCTGCAACGGGAAATCAAACAAGAAATCCGCAGTAGCATCCGGGAACTGCGAAAGCAGGTACGAGATGTTGTCCCTACGCCACCGAGGTATAGGAACGGCTTCTGGAGTGAGGGTGAGAAGGACGACCTCATGACGCAGGTAGAGGACGGTGATGATGTGTTTGGCGAGGATGATATGACATCCATGGCGCATACAGAGCTAGAGGAACACCGTGAGCTCAGAGAATATGCGCGTATCGCAGCCTGGGATATGCCTTCCTTGAGTGGTATGCTATGTCTCTCTTTATGCCTGATGTTCTTGGAAATTCACGGGATAATGAAACTAACAAACTTCAGCTCTTGCAAAACCCTTCACACTTCCGCCACAAACTCATATTCTCCGTTTCCGACAAACTACCTACTTGGGTGAAACGCATCCTGCGGAAACAAAAGTAGTCGTTGAACTATGCTCCAAAGACCTTACACCGAAATACCTCACCGAAGGGCAAAGAATTACCCTTCTAAAACTTGTTGGACCACGCTACAACCCAGACTCAGACATCATCCATATGTCTTGCGAGAAATTCCCTACCCGTGCCCAGAATAAGCGATATCTCGGCGACCTAGTTAACACACTTATTAAGGAGGCCAAGGAAGGCGACTCATTCGCTGATATCCCATTGACATTCCCCCATCACAAACCCAAGAAGAGATACATATTCCCAGAAGCATGGAAAGTGAGCGAGAAAAACCAGAAGCAGATAGAGGAAGCAAGGCATCAGATTGAGGATATAATGGCCAAAAAGGGTATTGTGGATGGGAACGAAGTTATTGCGCAGGCCGCGAAGACGATTCCTGCCCTAGGCTCGATGGGCCAGCTTGCCGCACAGACAATTACGGTAAAGAAAGGGCCAAAAGCCCGTGGGCCGAAGGGGAGAAATTGAAGCCTGATTGCGTGTGACCAATGAAAAAATTTATCGTTATTTGGCAACAGGCTGCTTCATGAACTTAGTATATACACTTCCTCTACGTGTATTGTATTTTATATTAACATGTATTACACCACTATTTATTTCTCCCTTGTTTAATAGACAGGTCATTCATATAACTCCTTGGGACCTGGTGGGTTCTGGTTTTTGTATTGGTACAGGATGGGGTTGCCCCCTACACTCTTTGAAGCAATCAATCGTAAAAAGAAAAAGACTGAAGGGGAGACAAACAGCAAGCCAGGGATGAGAAAACAAAGTCCCAAGATTATCTGACAAACAGAGAGCATGGAGGGATTCGTCAGTACCATTGCTCTTATATCTTGAGGTGAAGTGTCAGTCAAGGGATTAAAGGGGGGAAGGTAGGAAAGTAGAAAAGCAAGCAAACAACCAAATTTTACAGCAAACTAATTCAAACTGCAGCAGAATTCCATCTTCCAACGTGAAAGGTATACTCTTTGTTTCGCTTATCCAGCACAGTTTCCTATTGCCGTTGGACGTGAGTTCATATTCCTTAGACCAATAAGGAAAAAGGCTGCGGAGTAACTTTGGCGCTGGAGAGGGTAATCATATATAATCCAATGTATGAACGTTGTTCAGTACACGAATTATACGATCAGAAAGGTGGATTGGGCCAATTTCTGTATGAAGGCATAAATGAAAAGAAGGGAAGCAAGGGGGGGGGGGGGGGGGGGGGGGGAACGATAGAGCAGAATCAAATGAATGGGCAAAGGCATTGGGTTTGAAGGAAAAGAAAAAAGAAGAAATGGAAAAGATGCTGAAGGCCAAAAGCATTGCCAACGACCTTTTTGAGATGCCATGTGTTTGCTGCCGTCAAATATATGAAACATATGAAACAAATGTATAGGGTGGGATGGCCTTAGATGTGTTTGGCAGTAAGGGTAATTGGGTTGTTTAGCCCAAGATCAAACAAATCATAATTGATTCCTCGGTTGGTCTGGGTCGATTGGGTGGAGTTTGGAGATCCACGGCTCCCGTATCTGTGATTGCCATTTCCACGAAATTCGAAATTGTCAGGGAAACGGGTGGTAGTCAGTCCAGAACGGGGCGAGCAAGGGGAAGAAGCATAGCTGCCAGACTGGGGATGGGAGGAAAAGCAAGGCGAGATTGCCCTTGATACAGGGCCCTTGAAGTCCAGGTTAGTTATGGCAGTGTTGATTGGGGGAATGTTTGTTGCTCGCAAGTGCTTTTCCTCATCAGTTCCATCGTTACCATCGATAGATGGTCTGCGCTGGTAGAGTCGACGAGAGCGCTGGGGCTTTTTCTTGATCTGAGTTCCCTGGCCGATGGACTGCTGGTTAACAGGAGGAGCCCCTGTAACAGGCAAGAAGGGTGTAAGGGGCAGCAAGTTCCAGTTATCCCCTTCATTCCCGGTTATGGTCCAAAGAGATGTTGACCCTGGAAGTGGCAGAGAACCAGGGGCATAGCTGTGAGAAAGCATCAGATTGTTGTTGTGAGGTACAGTATTCTGTCCTTGTACGTTGTTTGAGTTCGTGGCTGGGACAGTTGGTAGTAGTCCTGGACCAGTGGGGAATGGCTGGTCCATAAGGTCAATTTTAACATGAGACTGATTGCCATTGCCAGAGAATTTTCCAAGCGAAGGTTTACCTTTGTCCTGCACCGTGTGGTCAGGGGTAGGTGTTTTCCGGAAGTCATCGATGGAAATAAGATCACATCGATTGGGAAATTTCGGACCCTCAAGAGGCGGGTTGTTTGCTGGCATGTTCATGTTCAAACCTACCGGGGTAGATAAACCCATAGGAGGCCCATGGATAGTGCCGGGTATGTTGTTGTACATGGTTGGGTGACCATGAGGCAGGGCAGAAAGGTTAGGCTGCTGTGGGGGTGTAGGGGTAGCTCTGGGCCTTTCCGCCTGAGCCTCTGTAGTCATAACCCGGTGACCATTAACGTCGCGTCTATCGGCTGGGTTTGCAGCAGCGGCTGGGAGGTGATGATGGCTATGATGATGGTTTTCAGCACGCCAGTTGCGTCCGTTTCCTTCATGACGATTTCGCCCACCAGCGCCCCCGAGCCCCTTGACTCCATGTTTCTCACGGTACCAGCGAGGGATGTCTCTGAGCCCGAGCTTATCAAGCGTGGGCTTATCCGTAGGCATTTCGTGTTTGAAAATGCATCCTGTGCTAACATGTCAGAACTTTCTGGTATCATAATTGCAACTCCCACCAAACTGGACATACCCTGCTGCTGATAATCACACTCTCCATGACGAAGCCAGAAAGAGCAGTATTCTTTTTTGGCAGAATTACCATTTTGGCCACCTTTGCCGTGGCGATGACCGGAGCTCTGGATGGTTTGATTTCGCGTTAGCCTGACAAGGTACGCAAGGGAGCGCCATTTACTGTAGGAATATAGAAACCAACGTACATGCTTTGTAGAGGTCTGAGTACCACCTGTGGTAACGGGAGTCCAGTCTGGGTGCTGGGCTGCAGATGCATCTGTCGTGGAGTTTTGGGGGGCGGTCGCCAGCTGGTCGAAGTCTTCGAACCCGCGTGCTGCTGCTGTGACCACCTGGCGGCCAGGATTGTTTGTCTTTTCTCCCACGGACTTGGACGCGTTCTGGATAGCACTGTCGATAAGGTAGAACTGCCCACGAGACTTGACGGTTCCAAGGCTGGTCATACCCTGGGTGTCGCTGTGGTTCAAAGTGCGAGGGACGCCTCTGATAGAGACGTAATGGGGCAGTTCATCAACGGCAACCAGGGCCGTAAGGGTGCCATCTTCGCGAGACAGGAAGTGTAGAGGTCGAAGAGGCATTGCCATGATGGACTGGGCAGTATATGGAATTCCTGCAAAGTAAGACCCAATTTGAATGGTAGGTGAGTGAATCGTGATAGACTACCAAATTTGGTCAGATATAGAGAGAGCGAGAGGGTAACGTATGAAGAGGCAGCTCGGGATAGCAGTAGAAGAGGGAAAGGGATATCTATCTCAAGCAGCTGGCAATGAGGGTGAATATCAGAGGAAAAAAGGCACCAGAGCGATGAAGAAGAAGAAGGAGAGTATATGTGGATGTGCAAGTGTGGTTGTGTGTTGTGTGTGTGTGTGTGTGTGAAAGGACAAAAGCCCTCGCGAAAAAGGGAGGCTGGGAGGAAGAAGAGAGAAGAGAGAGCCTGATAGTTCCAAAAGGGGTAAAGCGGCTCTCCAGGCTGTGTTGTTGGATGAGAGAGAGAGAGAGGAGAGAAAGAGGAGCAAGTGAATGACTTTGCATCAGAATGCCATTCACTAGGGGGCCTTTCTTCCCTTCTTCTTCTTCTTTTTGTGGAGAAGAGACAGTATATAGATCAACAGTGGAGCTAGATAAAGGCTTCTTCTTCACTCTGAGAGAGGCAGCAACATAGTGAGACAGAAAGTGATATGTAAGGGGAGGCCAGGCATTTTAAGAAACACTTGTTGTGTGTGGGAGAGAGAAGAGAAGAGACGGATCTAATCTACTGGCGATAAGCGATCGGTGTTTGCCAGGAGATCTTTGTTCCTTAGCCTCAGACAGTCTGACAGTTTGTACTGGCAAGAAGGCCAAAAGTGCATCCGTGCTGGCGGCTTAACTGTGGGTTTAACGGGACTTTGCATCCGCTAGGCAGAGAGCAGAGGAGCTTGATATCAGCCAGCTTGCTAGAGCAAAGAGGCCTAGATTCAATAGCAACCGGAGAAATAAAATAAGACATAAACTAAACCAACAGTGTAGCTGTCAGGATTAGGTGGTATAAGTCCTCAAGAGCAACAGGGGGTGGAGGTCTCTCCTATGTTGACATTCAACCAAACAAATCAACAAACTTGCATTAAAGAAGACGGAAGATGCCATCTCGGAGGGATACACTGCCACGCCCCCGCTCCCCGTATTAAAATGCAGGTGGCAGTCTTGAGGCTTTGGCAAGATGCCTGTAAATTTTCTTAGATCTGATAGTTCTATGGCGCATACTACAGCACTGCTGTGTAGTATGTTGATATCTCGACTGGGGTGGGAGCATTCTTCCGCCCGGAGCGACGTATTGGTCACCAGCAAAGGAAGCAGATGCGTGGAATGTAAGTTCCTAGGCAGCATAAACACGTATCTATACGTTCTCTATCAAATAATCCCTTGCTTGCTGCTTGCTCTCCCGTCTATCATTTTCTTCTCAACGACGTTTGAAGTTGGCTTAAGGTTCGTGTTGCAGGGGTTGGTCACGTGATAGGAACTTGGCCCCTGAAGGGTTGGTTGGAGTAAGGAGACGACGACGGCAAAGAGCGAATCTTAGTATGAAGTTGAAATTGTTTCAGCTGTCTAATTCTACATATGCTTTATAAACATGGCATCAAGGACCGTGAAAATCCATAATGTACATGAAGGGTAATTTTGGTTTAAGAGGTAACCACTGAGAGTTTGATGGTTCGGAGTAGGTAAAGGCATCAAGGAGGCCATTTTACCGAACAAAGGCCATTGCAATCCTTATTCTGTTTAGCTAGGGCTAGCCTTGAAATGTGTAGGAATTAGAGTATGAGTTCCGACTTGGGGCATAGGGCGAACTGTACCCTTGAGGTGCAGCAAAAGAATGGGGGAGGCTGGGTTGGTGCTGGACATGTGGCTTCCCTGGTCGCGGGGGAGCTACAGGGTAACTAGGGTCAGGGAAGGAATTCAACAATTGTGGTGGATTGGGTGCTTGTACGGTATAGGAATATTCGGGATGATTTTGCGGATGGGGGTTTTGGGTATAAGGAGGAACTGGAGGAGGATTCGTAGTCATCGTGTATTGTGTTTGCTCTTGAGAAGCGGCTTTCTTACGCGCTGCGACAAGGTGTCCACGGATTCCTCTTAGATATTTAGTAGCTGCTTCAACAAGGTCGCTTGATTCCGTACTTTGTCGTAATGAGCCAAGCATTGATGCGACTTGTAGCTCAGATTGAAGGTGTGGACATGTTCGCAGGTGGCCAAGGTGGGCGATTCCGCAGAGGCCGCAGTGCTCAACCCCAGCAAGCCTGAGTTGACAGTAGCCAACGGGATGAAGATGGTCGCATGCCACGCAAGGATGCTTCTCGTTCAGGGTGGATTGTGTTTCCACATCGCCGTCGGGATAGGCAATGCTAGCGCGTTTGAAGGGGCGGGCTAACAGACCGCGTGAATATATGTAAATCAAGAGACTTCACCGAATGAATCTTACCAGCGCGTTTCCCAAACGTCTCTGACCGTTCAGATGTTGCAGTGACATCAGTATCAGACTCAGATGGGCCGTTGAATTCAACGTCACTATCATTATCTGCATTGTTATTCTTGTCGTGGTCTCGGTAATTGATGGCCTAAAAACAGGATGTTTAGCATAGAGATCGAGTAAATTTGCAGGTTGGAGCCATACCTGACGCTTGCGTTTGCCTCTCCCGAATGCTTCTGCCTTGGCCCTCGCTTCCTGTTCTGCTGCCCTTTCTCGCTCCTGAAGGATCTTTTCCCAAACAGTATTACTTGGTGGTGGTGTAGATTCACTATCACCAAGTGCATCCTCCATTGATTCGTTGATCCATACCCTTGCAAAGCTAAATTGCGATTCTGCAGAAGTGTCATTACCCACCTTGGTGTTTTCCACTTCACTCTGGTCAATCAGCTTATTAACGGATTGCGAATCGTAAACGAGATCACCGGTGTTGTTATCATCGAATAATGCTTCCGCGCCGTGGCGCAGGATGGCTTCCAGATCAAGTTCATCATCATCCTCAGCGTCCATTCGCTCAATAAGTACATGATCCAGCGCCATTTTCTTCTTTCCAATCTGCATAATTTTCTCTTCAGCAGACCCGCGGGTCATCAGCTGGAAAACCATGACTTTCTTCTTCTGCCCGATTCGGTGAGCTCTGGATAAAGCCTGTATATCTTGGTGTGGGTTGAAGTCGGGATCCAGAATAATAACTGTATCTGCTGTTGCTAGGTTGATGCCAACGCCACCGGCCCTCGTAGAAAGGAGGAATGCAAAGTACTCGGAACCCGGCGCGTTATAAGCATCGATATTCTTCTGTTTCTTCAGCGACGTCATGCTGCCATCGAGACGAAGATGTTTAAGGCCAAGGCCATCCAAGAAGTCCTCCACAATGTCTAAAAAGTCCAAAAACTGGCTGAATATTAAAACTCTGTGCCCCCGCTCCTGGAGCTTGGGCAGTAGAAGCTCTAACAGCTGGAGCTTGGCTGATGCTTCAACCATGTTCCGGTGTAGTAAGGTTGAATTGACGCCTCTATCTTCAATGGCCTTTGAATAGACGAAGGGGTGGCACAGGCATTTCCGAAGCTGCATCAGAATATTGTTTAGATTGTGGCGTTCACTCTGTTTGACAGTTGAATTTGTGCCAGTATTCTTAAACACAGACTTGATTAGCTGCGAATTTTTGGAAAGAATTGACTTGTATAGCTTTTTCTGCACAATGGTCATGGAAACAGGCAGTATGATTTGCGCCACAGGTGGAAGGAATGACAGCACCTGGGCTTTGGTTCGTCGAAGAAAGAATGGCCTAATCATATCATGGAGTTTGTTCACGTTCTCGTTGGTCATTTCCTTATATTCCTCCTCTAGAGCAACTGCATTGTGAGAGCGGTCGCAGAACTGGAGGATGTTGAATAATTCACGAATGTTGTTCTGGAGCGGTGTTCCCGTAAGGAGCAATGTAAAGGGTACCGACATCTTCAAGAGAGTTTCATAAAGCTGGTTCTTGTCATTCTTCAGTCGGTGTCCTTCATCGACAACCAGCCCTGCCCAAGGGATGTTTGAGAATAACTTCCTAGTCTTGTCCTCGATCATACTTTCATAGGATGTCACGACAATATGGCACCGAAGGTCCTTGGATAAACGGGGGAACATCTCGTACTCTTGAGCAATCTTCCGAGCAGCCGCCGAGCCATAGCACGTAACAACTCGGAGACTTGGCGTCCATCTTTTAATCTCCTGTCTCCATTTTGCACAAGTCGAGTTTGGAACAACTACCAGAAAGGGCCAGCAATTGTGGTCTTGGATTAAAGTGGCGAAGAAGGAGATGACTTGGATAGTTTTACCCAGCCCCATCTCATCCGCGAGCACTGAGCTCTGTTGTTTATACCACATGAAATATATCCAATTTAGTCCTTCAAGTTGGTAGTCCATTAAATCTCCTCCCACGAGTATTTCAGGCTGCTTCTTACGCACCCAATGCTTGGCGAAATCCTTCGAACGAACATGATCAAGGTGTCTTTTCAATGTACCGCGCCTAGGAATTTGAATATGGTTACCGAGAACCCAGTCCTCATATGCTGACACAAAGCTTTGCCATCTCTCAACGTTCTTTCGGTCTGGGGGTTTTTCCCAGACTGCAGACTCATAAGGAAGACCCCTGTATTTCACATAAGCGGTTTCAACTTCGTCAGCCCGAGCTAGATCAATCTCAAGAGTTCGCTCAGAAACCACGTTTGAGTATTGAACATCAAATACAATGTCCACTTGAAGGTAATCTTCGGGTATAGCATCTTCGGTGGTCATTCGGGGCTTTTGTCCATCTTCAGATTTATTGAACGCCTTGCGTGTAACATGGGCTGCGACCCCCCAAACCCAAGGGCCTGGCATCCAGGAAGTCTGAAAGTAAGAGAGCTTCCGCCATTTTATCAAATATTCTTTAGCATCCTCTTCAATCTCATCACAAGAGTATCCTGGAGTATAGTTGTCTAGGTTGGTCGGCCTCCAAGCAACCAAGGTTTCGATTTCTCCCGGAAGATTAGCGCACTCATTGCAAGTCCAACGGCGAGAATACTCTTTAAACCTCTTCTCAGATAACTCGGCATCTTCCAGGCCATCATCAATAGTATATGACGTTCCGGATTTTCTAGGTAAATGGTGCATGTGCCAGCTGCGTTTACATGAGTCACAGCGAAACATGACATTTTCCGGCAGGCTCAGTATAGTTTGATCAACATTAATACATGGATCCTCTCCGCCATTCTCTTCACGTTGTATATGCTCTTGTCTCGTGGTCAAGCGCGTCCTTAATGGTTTTGTCATTTCTCCAGGAGATTTGCAACCGGTACAGGTGCCATGATGGGGGGCCGTCGGGTCTTTCTCACGAGCAAGCCCAATGCAGAAACGACATTGCAACACGAATAACTTTGAAGTTACTTTGCTGACCAGATGAGTCCGGGTGCCGCGGGACCCAAGGCACACTTGGTGGTATGAATCTGTGCATCCCTGACAGTAGACTAGAACCCCCTTTTCGGAGCTGTCTCCAACAGTATAACAGACCCTGCAGGCAGATTGATGACGAAGCGCAAAGGGATCATCTTTTGGTAATCTATAAAATCTCTCCTGTGCGGCTGAGTACTTCGTCTCTTTCTGGGCCACCTCTACTTCGGATATGTCATCCTCCAATCTTTCAGCCATGTTCCCGACTTGCTTTCGAGTCCTCTGAGAAGTACGTACTCCATTGCGGGGTTCTCGCACGGGGAGGTTTATAACCTTTCGTCTTTTTGCGCGTGTCCTTCTCTGGGTATCCTCGCTAGAATCATCACTGTCTATTTCTATTAAATCGTCAGGCGATCGGTCACGGCGAGGGTTCAGCCGGCTAGATCGTCTCCGAGTGCTGGAACCTTCAGATTCAACACTGCTAAGGCGCATTGAATAGTTGACCTTGGCCAGTGTTCTTTGACGAAGGCTTCTGGGCCGTGTAGAGCCATTGACAGAACCAATTTCCCTGGATTTCCTTGGCCGTCGAGTAGTTGGATGGGGTGATATAAGCTCATCCTCTGAGCTGCTGGTAGACGGGGACTCGGAGCTGGAGTAAGCATTTTGGGAATTAAACACTGATAGCGCTCCACGGCCACCTTTGAGTGATTGGATCTTGCTCAATGATAGCTATAGATCTATTAGACAATAGCCTGGTAATTGGGTGAGAGAGCATTTGAAACTACACTTACCACCCTAATATCGCCACTTTTGAGTACTACCTCGTATGAATCCGAAGTGAGGTTTTCTACCTTAGATCTTATGTGATCTACGGTCGAATAGCCGGGTAGATATGGATAATCATCCTCATTGAAGCTTTTCTTGGGAATTTCAACACATGGAACCAATCTCGTAGCCTGAGGCTTTGCTGGAGGCCCCGTCGTGTTTATGGCCGTGAACTGGCTTAGGATGAAGTTCGCTGTCTCCCCGTCAGAAGACTCCGAAGAGGAGGAAATAGCGAGGTCCTGGAACGGCCGCATGGTTTCCCGCTAGACACGAGCCGAAATAGTCTCTCCCGTTAAGATGTCCTGTCACCAGTAGCTCAGTTAGTTCTCAGTCGCGACGTTGGAAGCGAACGCGCCTGGTAGACATGGGGGGAAAGAGACAGCGCAGGCTGCTCTCTTATTCACCTCATCTCTTCCGTAAAGGCCCTTCAACAACGGCGTATACTGCGCGTAAACAGGGCTTCAGGGGGTTTGATATGTGTTCACTGCTATTCTTCTATTTTCGCTTCCGTTTTGGAACAGTCGAAACGTTTGATGATGTACCATAAATACACTAAAATACCGATCTTTAGCTCTCGGAACGGTAATATATTCGTAAAATACCGTATCTACAGAAACTCTGGTGGCAACTATTACAACTTTATCGCGTGTTGTAAATCAATTTAGCTCTGATATGACGTTTCAAACGCGAAGCAAAGCTGCTTGTACAGAGTAGAGAAACAAGGCACTGCTCTCCTGCAGCTAATCGCGACCATTATTTTTTTCTTTTAGAAATAGTACAATGAAACCATGAAAGCCGTTTCAACAGCGCAAACAAACAAGAAGCTCAATGAGAGAGATGAAAGATGACTAATCACTGATAAGAGTAACTAATCGATAGTTACAGATTATATAATCAGATGAGGCTCAAACAGACATTTTGATCTCTGCAGCTTTTCTGTCTTTTTGTCTTCTCCTTTTCTTCTCTGTTGCGATCTCACGAAAAGCAGAGGGAACATCTGGGGACCCTGTATATCCTTGTTTTACGGGCGCTATGCTGCTATCATCTTCTAGGCTCCCGGCTTCTAGTACTGCTAATTTACGCTTGCAGGGTTTACTCGTTTTACAAGGTGTGAACTCCATCCGGTGTCTGTCAGTAAACTCGGCCATTACAACCGGGATCAGAAAAGGCCGTGGATTTGGAACCCCTAAGAAAGAAAATGCGCCGTGGATCCGACGTGGACGAATTTCATCTCCGCCTCGAAATGCAGAAAATGTGAGCCAGAGATACACGGTAAATAAGCACGATGCCAACAGCTATGGCCCACGAGCAGGCGGAATATCAAACTGGAGGCGGGACGAAAGGTCTGATGCTTCAAATCCGGATGGTAAGATGCCTGCTCGCATGAACGGTCCCTCTGGAGACGAATATCCACTACAGTTCCAACGTCAGCACCAAGAATTACCGGGCAGCAAAGCGCATAGCAGAACTCTTACATCGGACTCCTCGCGACGATACCCGGAATCGTCTATTCGGTCCAGCGAAACGACACACTGGCGGAGGGAAAGAAGGAAACCACCGACATATATAGATAACGTGGGAGTGAGGAAGCTCGAAGCTAGTAGCGTGCTGAGCGCCAGACAGCAGATGGGAGGATATGCAAAATCAGAGGATGAAGTAATGGATATTCACCACCCTTTGTCCAGTAAAGTCTATGTTGTGCCGCCTCAACAGATACCATATTCTTCTCCCGTCTCGGAGTTCATATATGGAACATCCGCAGTCAATGCTGCGGTAAGATGTGGCCGCCGAAAACTACATACCTTATACCTGTTTGAAGAATCATCCCGGGATCGCTCTGGGGTGCCAAAGTGGGAACAGCCCGAAATACGCGCTATTGCCAAATATGCAAGCTTAGCGGGTGCGCAGGTTAAACATGTTACCGGCCCCTGGAAAACTACGCTGGACAAGATGACTGGAAAGCGGCCTCATAATGGCATGGTCTTGGAGGCATCCCCACTTCCGAAGCCTCCAGTTCTAAGCTTCCAAACGGTCGTTTCCAAATCCAACTCACATTTCCTAGCTCAATTGGCGGCTCAACCAGAAGAACAAGCTGCTGTGAATGGCACAGATGGCCACATCCAATTCGATGCTCGAAGGAAAGACAGCAAAGCATCCCGGTTCCCCTTCACTCTACTACTCGATGGGATACTTGACCCAGGAAACCTTGGAGCCATCTTCCGAAGTGCCTACTGGTTTGGTGCAGATGCAATTGCTTTTTCGTCGCAGAACTCAGCACCTATATCTCCTGTCGTTATGAAAGCTGCTGCTGGTGCAACCGAAGCCATTCCTATTCTCTCAGTTCGTGATGTTAGCACTTTTATGACAGCATCTCAAGCGAATGGCTGGAAATTTTTCGCAGCAGACGCGCCTGATGCAACGCTGGTTAATGACTATACCCGAAAAATCCCCGTCGTGAATAGCTTAAGTTCTCTATCTTCTGAGCTCACAAAGGCACCATGTGTGTTGATGTTAGGGGGTGAGGGCTCAGGCCTGCAGCAGAAGATAAAGAATAGGGCAGATTCATTTGTTACTATCCCCGGAGCTTATTCAGATAACATTCGCGATGATACTGCTGGTGTTTCTAGCTTGAATGTCAGCGTAGCCTCTGCATTATTATGCGAGGCTTTTCTCTCTCGCAGACCACCTTTCAGTGGTGGTGAGACACAAGATTCAACCGATACCCCTACCGCAAACACGAACCGTGTCTTCTAAGTCTTTGGGCTTCCCTCTAGTATTTATATTGATATCCTTTCCATTCTACGCTACTATTGTATTATTACCCCTATGTGTGTTTCCGGCGTTCGTGGCCTTATACATATTGTACTATCAAGCGGAGGAGCATTTTGGAGTCTCGTATATTGGCATTGGGCTTAGAGAGCGGATTATATTACCCACGACTTAAATTTGACCATTGCACACATCCTTGCTAGAAGGTTCAAGTTATCAATAAAGACACATGTTAAAACTCAAAATGATCTAAATGTACGTTACAAAGTTGGAAGTATATTTTATTACGGTAGAGGAACCGCGAGGTTGTTGTAAAGTAGAACCACTCTTGTCGTGAAGTCAACCCTTGGCCTCCAAAGCGCCGTATATACCTCTCTTCTCCCAAACCGTACGCCAGTTAAAAAAAGTAAAGTTATCATACATGCACCTAATATTTAAAATGAAAAGAAACTGGGACCCCTTTAGAAGTTCTACCGCTTCTTTGATTTGCTCTTGGTTGGGCCAGAAGAGGAGACGCTCCCGGCTCTAGAAGTGTTTGTTGACGTCGCTTTGCTATTAGACTGAACAGCTTTGAGCTTTTTATTCTATAGTCTTGTTAGCTTTGCTCTGTTTTAAGGGTACAATTAAAGACTATTTATAACTTACCACTGCAGGAGCAGCACCCTTTGACTTCTTCTTTGCTGGGCCAGTATCATCGCCGTTTTCAGTCTCTTCATCCCGCGTGCGTGCTTTGGTTTTGTTGTCTCCATTAGTTTCTTTTGTATCGCCCTCGAACTCTTTAGCGATTGTATTCAGGAGGGTGGTGCATCTTCGACCAATTTCAACAGGGGTACGGGACAGGAAGAACCAGTCGAATCGGAACAGTGGGCTTTCCCGGATTTCGTCGCGGATTTTTTCATATAGACCTTCTCCATCAACACCGTGCCTGTCAAGCATAACAAGTAAGAAGCGATCCTCTTCTTCTGTGTATACTTTCTTGTTGGTCGTTGAGACGGTATAGTTGATCTTCAGCTGTTGGAGAGGAACACGGTACTGTCCCATTTTCTTGCGGAGGAGCTTGCGTTGTTGATTCATTCTTCTCATCTTTTCTTCACCCTGCTCGATAATGCGGATATACTTCGGATAGTCGAGAATCTCAGTGTATCTCTTCCAGAAAACTTTAGCATATTCTTTGATCTCTTCGGGGGTTTTGCTGTCCACTTCGGTGGCCATGTCTTCATAATTGGTACGTCCAAACTTAGCCGAACCATTGATGAATTGCTGGAAGTCTCGTCGGTTCCAATTATAGAACCCTTCAGCGGATAATTTGGCCTTTTCCTCTTGCTCTTCCGCAGTTAGGGGTACGGCATTATCGATCTCCTGCTGCTCAAGTTCGCGTTCCGCTTCCCTATCACTAACTGACTCTTCAGGACCTTCAGGCAAAGCAGCTTTATAACCAATCTCCTTGTGGAAGTATGCAGTCTCTTTGTCTTGCAATTCTTGAAGTTTAGGAGGGAAGAATTGCCAGTCATGAATGGTAGTCTGTTTTGGTGCCTTGGGGACTTTAGGCTTGGGTTCAGAAGGCTTTGTGAAAGTCTGCTTGTAGAAGCTGCCAATTGTATATGATTGGTCTTTGCGTTCACGCTTTGCAGGGTTAATCCAACTCAAACCAATGTCTTTCTTGCGGTTAGTAAAGTCCTTTCCATTCCATTCATAGGCATTTTCTGAAGAGAACTTCTGCAGGTCATCAATTCCGAGCTTTTCATATTTGTTTTTGAGCTCAGCGGTACGCTCTTCACCTTTCTTTAGGATGGCCTCGATATCATCTTCGGAAATATCCTTGCCACTGCCGAAGGTACCTCCAGTAGAGCTAAACACATCGGAAGCGCCGTGCTGAATCATGCTCAAGAGTTCATCCTTGGAAGCTGCGTTTTTAGCCTGTTGCTGAGCGCGACCCTGTTGAATGACGAGCTGATCTAATCGAAGTTTTTGAGCTGCTCGTTCCAGCACCTTTTCTTCGATGGCCTTCTCAGTGATAAATCTGAACACAACGACTTGCTTAGTCTGGCCAATACGATGAGCTCGGTCCATAGCCTGGAGATCAGCCTGAGGATTCCAGTCACTGTCAAACAGGATGACAATATCAGCTGTTGTCAAGTTTATACCCAGTCCACCAGCACGAGTGGTCAGAAGGAATACAAATTTCTCAGAGCCTGGGCGGTTGTACTCGTCGATTGCCTGGATACGGTCCTCGTGGGCGGTTGAGCCGTCGATTCTGCAGTATTCATGTCCCCTGAAAACGCAGTAGTCCTCTAGAATGTCGAGAACACGACTCATCTGTGAAAAGATCAACACTCTGCTGCCTTGTTTAAACAAACGATTGAGCAACTTGTCTAGAATAACCATCTTTCCTGAATTGTCAATAAGATGCTCGTCGGTAGTATAAGGAGGGCCTGGCTCTGCTCCTTCAAACAGATAAGGGTGGTTGCAGCACTTGCGCAGCTGCATGACAATGTTTAGAAGTCTAGTCTTGGATTCCCGGTTACCCTGAGCGCCGTTGACTGCATCAATATCCTTTTCGAGAATCTTTTGGTACCATTTGACTTGCATCTCTGACATGCCAACATAAAGATTGAGTTCCTTCTTTGGGAGCAAGCTCTTCTCCACGTCACTTTTCACTCGGCGTAGCAAAAACGGCCGAAGGACTCTGTGTAGCTGCTGAACGACTGTGTCCTGGTCCGCCTCTTGGTTAGAGAACCATTGATCGAAGGCCTCGGAGTCGCCGAACACATCCGGAAGCAAAAAGTTTAGCAATGCCCATAGTTCGTGGAGGTTGTTTTGCAGAGGGGTTCCCGTGATCAGGAGTCGGTTTCTGGACTTGAACACACGAATAATCTGTGAGAGGGATGACTCTTCATTCTTGATTCGATGCGCCTCGTCGATAATAATATACTCCCAGGCGAATTTCTTCAAATGCGACTTTTCTCTAAGGATCATTTCGTAACTGGTGATGCACACATCGAATTTCTCGTCGACTAGGCGCTCGTTGATGAGTTGGTGGCGTTCATCCTTGGCTCCTTGTAAAACCAAGACGTTGACATCGGGTGTCCATTTACCAAACTCCCGTTTCCAGTTATCCAAAGTCGACTTCGGAACAGCAACGAGATGAGGACCTGTGATTCCGCAAATATGTCGAAGGTATCCCAAAAAGGAAATGGTCTGGAGAGTCTTTCCAAGACCCATCTCGTCAGCCAATATGCCTGAGATACCATTTTCGTGTAGCGAAACCAGCCAGTTCAGGCCAGCAATCTGGTAATCACGCATTTCACCTCCCTGAATGAATGAAGGTGATTGCTGAAAGACGGTTTCGGTCTTTCCTCCCCGTTTCTCATCCTTCAGAAGCTCTGCGTCCTCTTCTTGTTCTGTCCTTCGTCGGCGTTCTCCTGCCGCACCACCTTTTCTAGTAGCTCCTTTCCTCGGGCCTGATTTGACTTCATTCTGGCGATCGATTTCGGCCATGATTTCTTTGATCCGAGGGTTAGGATTAGTGTCGATAAAGTGGCGGAACAAGTCAGTTAGTCCGAGTAGGTAACGGAATCGTCGAATTGAATCATCTTCCTGTATAGAGTGAGAAATAAGTATCAAGACTAGTATGCGATAATTCTGTATGGGCATGTACGACATACCATTGACTCGTCAAGACGTCCGTGTTTTTTACCAAGGACGCTTTTGCGTAGCTGGAAGGCCTCTGTCCTTCGTTTCCGGCCATCTGGAGCAGCATCGCCAGCAACACTACTTGCGGTGGTATTTGGGTTTGTATCGGAATCCTACCACCATCAGCACTGAAATGCAGCATTGTGCAGTTATCGACAGAGGCTTACCGTGTAGTCAGGTGTGTCTTGGTACTCCTAAAGCGGAAGAAAAGTGTGAAGTGTTAGCCTGGATACCTGCATCCCATTTTCCATAAAGGTGGCATCTCCCCACGTCCGCAACAGCTTAACGCGTCCTGCAAGCGTACCTTCATATCTTGGTCGTCCCGAGCATCGTCGGAAGGCTGGTATTCGGCAGCATCCACCATCGTGACGTCTTCGTCGCCCGTCGAGGGAAGTTCTTGCACCGGAGCCATGTCCAGGCAGCGGCTCACCGGGGTTCGATATATAGATTTATAGCAGGGGAACGCGCTCTAGGACTCGTTAAAATGGCGAGAGAGAGGTAGGTAATAGATCTAGTAGCGAGTAGGTAAGCAGGAAGAAACAGAGGTATCTGGAGCGCGACTGCTCATGGCCTGGCCGTCCGGGTATGTGCCTGTTCCTGTGTATGTGTGAGGGAGGAGGAGAAGAAGCTGGATGGCGAACGCTGAGAAGGTGAAAACCCTCGAAACGAACAAAACCGCGAGACTTTTTTTCTTTTTTCGGCAGGACAGAAAAAAAAGAAGAGGCTGAAGACGCGCTGATTGGTCAGTTTGGATGAATAAGCAGAAAAAAGCAGAGGATGTGTAAGCCGGAGGGAGAAATATTTTGCCGATGGAGAAAAGAAACTCCGAAAGCCTAAAAAGACGCCGAAAAGTATAAAAAATAAAAATAAATAAAACTAAAAGAAAAGAAGAAGAAGAAGAAGAATGTAGAATATTTATATTACAAGGACAGGATACAGACAGTCAAGGTGCAGCTAGACAAGCAGCCGGCATCGCCGTGACTGGAGTGCAGTGACTGCTCAGATTCAGTGACTGCACTGCTTAACAAGGTCTCCAGCCCTAGCTACCTCTAGCTCACCACCAGAACACCAGGATAAACTCCCAAGGTAGAACCGAATAATCAACTGCATCTCTACGTGAGCATACAAAGAGAAACACTCTGGCTCTCACTCTCCCAAGAGCAGCATAGCATCACTCTCACTTCTCCTGCTGTCCGCTACCTCTCTTCCCTTCCGTCTAGGCACCTGGGCAGCCCGTAGAAAGAGGCCGGGAGAAAGGAATCTCCGCGTCTCCGCCAGCCCGTCAAAAGCCGTCACGGCCCAAAACTATAGTCATCTCTTGTCTCTTCGCCTGTTTCTCCACCAAAGCAACTTCAACCTCAGCCTCTGGCCTCGTCGGACTCCAGCGTCATCCCCGACCTACATTCGCCCGGCCGATATACGCTGTGCGCTCCCTCCCCCGACCGGCTGCTGCTTGACTCACCGGGCTTCCGCTAGCTTGGCTGCTCGATTCGTTGTGGCCTGTCCAGAAAACCGAATCCCCCCACTTCGCCAGACACAAATCCGAGTGTTGGTGAAGCCAGGAAAAAAAAAGAAAGAAAGAAAACTATTCCGATATAACGATCACGGACCCCCGATCGATCTCAGTTCGAAGCTGTTGAGCCATCTATAGGGGATACGGGGAGAGTTTGTGTGCCTACTTCGTCAAGGATTGTCCACTCTGCAGCCATGGATTCGATGCGGTCACTTAATAAATCACTTCCGTCTACAACGGCAGCACAACCTCCGGAACTGCTTCTGCAAGCATTTAAGACCGCGGCTTTATCAGTCACCAACCTTTACAAGAATGCGGTATCAGACCAGGCTCAGTCACGGCAACTTGGATACCAGGATGCTCTCGAAGACCTCCGGGCTTTCTTGGACAAGGAGAAAATAGGTTTTACGGATGGCGAAGGGCAGAAGATCAGGAACTGGGTCATGGAAAAGATCGATATGGCTGGAACGACTTCAAACGACAGTGATGATGATAAGACCGATGCCGACAAGGCCAACCGTGCCGCCTCGCCGGCTGCCGTCCGTAAAACTAACCCTGATACCACCGCCTCGAAACCCCAACCTGAAGCTGCTGCTCCGTCAAGGCAGCCTTCAGAAACTCCACCACCACTGATGCCCATACCTTCCGAGCCTATTGCTATAGTACCTCCCCGGACGGCCGCCTTCACTTTCACCGCCGGCCAGAGTCTCCCCATGCAAGAGGATATCGACATGAAAGCCGGCATGGATAGCTCTCCTTCATTATCAAGCGACCCGCAGATCACCACCTCACATCCCTCTCATCCCCCAGTCAGGCTAGAAGTGCACTCCCGTCCACCTCGAACACCACACCGCCACGGCAGCGGAAACCGCCATAACCCTCGCTCTATCAACCGGGACCCCACGCCCGGCGCCGGGTCAAAACGAAAATTCCACTTTGGCGAGTTTTTTGATATCTCGAACCTCGGAAACGGCAGAGACCCATTCGGTGGACCGAAACGAGGCCGCTTCTTATAGTTATATACTCTTTCTTTAATCCCCCTCATTCTAACGGGTTATAGAATGGATATGCAGAGAGCTCTACGATGCATTAACGTTGAGGCGTTTTTGGACTTTTATTTTCGCCCTTTTCTTATACGGCATTTTCTATATTTCTCATCATATGCATGTAGATAGGTAGCATCATTGAAAATCGGAGATACCCTATAAAGTCTCGAGTTGGCCTGCTCGTAAATTCGTTTCTAACACAGTATGGTACACAGTCTAAACAATGCCACGAATTTCTCCTTAGAATGGGCGTATAATAAAGATATCGTACAGTCCACCAAATCAAATTCTCCTATTTGATAAGTTATTCAGTTGAAAGCTCTCCATATACCCAATCCCACTAGTGAAGTTGATATCATAATAACTCCTAGCCTTCTCGATCCCATCCTGTACTTTGAGCCGCTTGCTAAGATCTTCTGTTCTTGCTCACGTAGGTTCTTCATTCCGGTGTAATAGCTCCAGCCTCCAAGTCCCGCAAGTGCCAGACTCCCTACACAACCAAAGACAGTGAGTTACGAGCCGCCAGCGTATATCCATAGACACAGAGAGTCCATACCAGTAGCTCTGCACGCCAGACAGTCATCATATTTATCCTGAGCAATCGTCTTTTCAATATCTTTGGGGTTGATTTCCCAGGGTGCATCGGACTGTCTTGCCATATTGATTGGCGGGTGTAATGACAGATTAGGTCAAAGAAGGATAGCGCCTATTCATTGAAATCAGCCAATATGTTCATGAAATCAGTAAATATGTCCATAGACCAGGGTATAGGGATCTACCGAAGGGATATTGTCCTTTGTTGCAGCTCCTGTTGAGTGTTGTACTTGTAAAAACCATGAAAACGCAAAAACTCCGATGAGGTCACGCACTGCTCGAGTTGACTAGGATAAACCTCATCTAACTATCTCGACCAAATCTTCTATAACCTCCCACACTCCACAACAGAGGCGTTCGCAATGATGAGCGCTATTATAGAAGCTCTTTATATTTATGATGAGACAAAGTGAGCTATTCTACTGCCGCTACTAGCAAATGAATATATGCTGACACTAAGCAATAGCACACCAATACTTGAACATGCCTACCGTTCGCGCCCTCCCCCCGCGACGGCAATACTCTCTCTCTTTCTAGCCCATCCGGCTCCTCGACCGTCCCTGGTATACCTTCCCGATGCCTCTCCTCCCGTCTCGGTCTTCTCAGTTTCGCATTCAAATCTCCTATTCCTGGTCCCGTGCAGCACCGAGGCAGAACCGCTTCTCGTCCTCGAATTTATCCACCGAGTAATAGATGTGCTAGAAGAATTTATCGGCGCGCCTTTACTCGGAACGAAGATACAGAATAGCTATGACGTTGTTGGGCAGTTGCTGAATGAAATGTGCGATGCTGGCATCGTATCTAATACTGAACCGAACGCTCTACAGGAGGCGGTTGACGTTCCTGGGTGGATGGGCAAGCTATTGAGCGGAGTGGGATTGCCTGGGTGAATATTGACCACAATACCTCTCCGCGTCCGTGCCTGTATGGATGTCATAATTGCTAACGATGTATATGTGGTGGGATAGTGCGTCGCAGGCTTCCGCTCTTGCAAAGCCTCTAAGTCAACCCCTTGCTACCGCTCCCACAGTAGCCGGAGCAAATGCGCCAGCCATACCTTGGAGACGTTCTGGTGTGCGACATACCTCAAATGAGCTGTATGTTGACATAGTCGAGTCTTTATCAGTTATATTTGCCCCCTCTGGCAGGCCAATATCAGCACTGGTACATGGTACCATAGTATTCACAGCAAAGATATCAGGAGTGCCAGATTTGCTTCTTTCCCTAAGTGCTCCTGGGGGTCAAAGAAGTCTTGCGCATAAGATTGAATTACCTGTGTTTCATCCTTGTGTCCGTCTGGCACGTTGGAGAGAAAAGCCAGGCGAGCTAAGCTTCGTGCCCCCTGATGGGCGGTTTATATTAGGGGGATACGAAGTCAACCTGCTCCCTGTTAATCCTGAGGATGACAATCCGCCTGCCCATATGGAAAGGCTATTCCTTCCTGCTACAGTGGATATTAAGAAAGGCCTTGGTCCTACAGGATCAAATTTTGAAGTGCGACTAACATTAAATAACAGTTTTCCAGGGACTTCCTCAAGGAGCGGAGGAGGTGGAGCTGGTATAGGTGGGAATGGGGGAATGGGGAACTCGATAGGTCGTGGATCTGGAACATCAACCCCTTCTTTCTTAACTATCGGCGGTAGCTCGTCGTCTCCGAGCCTAGATGATGTAGTGGTGACAGTTCCCATACCACCATCGGTGCGGAACATTACTGATATCCAGCCGAGTCGGGGAGAAGCGACCTTTATGCCAGGAAACGAATCTTTAGAATGGCGCGTGCCTACCAGAGAGAAGGACGGGTCAATCTCTGGCACAGCCACGCTAAAAGGAACCATACTCGGACCCCTTCATGAGCTTGATGATGACGAAATAGTTGATGGAGATGGTGAAGATCGTACTCGACGATTAACTTCGAACCCTCTCAGAGGATATTATGACGAGACCTTAACTGGGGGCGCAAGCTATCAAGATTCAGGGGCAACGATAGATGATACTACCCAACCGGAGAAGACTGAAGGTCTATCACCAACAGTCAAACAAATGCGGAAAAAGCAGGCCAATGCCTTATTAATGCCCTCATCGGCCTCGGTATCGTTTTCTGTGCGCGGCTGGCTACCCAGTGGTATACGTGTTGACTCTTTGACTGTTGACTCTCGAAGAAGTCGAGGTTTAGGCGAAGGGGTCAAGCCCTACAAGGGTGTCAAATATATCTGCGTGAGCAGGCAAGGGGTTGAGACTAGGTGTTGAACTAGTAGTCATCTACAAATCCTGCAATGCATAGCCTCAATTTGGTCCAAGGTCTATATTTAAAAGCAGGGCAATGTCAAAGGAAAAAAAGTTATAACTCAACTAGCTATAGATCTGCAATTAGGCGGTACCCTTTTTTCCTCGACTCCTCCTGCAAGGCTTTGATGACTTTGGAACGTAGCGAGCAGAGCCTGGCCTGCGTGGACTTCTAATGGGACCTCAATATGAAGGTTACGTTTGACTAGAGGCAGTCGCTATTATTATTCACTCGCAGTAGGAAACCTTGGACCCTCCGGCTGTTCCACCGGGGACTACCTTAGCTATCAAGATCTTGTTAACAAGACCAGCCCAAGGTTGGATGGTAGACGACCCAGGAGTTTGGGCTTTACTAGTGAAGGGCACTTTGACCAAAAACTCCTAGCTGACCTCTCTATAATAGTATGTTGCAAATTGAAATACCGCCGCATATTATACACCGGAATTATTCGCACGTTTATTAGTAAGGCCTGGTATAGAAGAGTTAGGAGCAAAGTGGAATGGCCTCTTCACCCTCGTATATAAGAAGACTATTTTAGTATTATAGCTATTGTTGTTTATAAGAACGTATATATGCCAAAAATTCCAACCCAATTTGAGAATAGTAAAACACGCGTATGAGAAAAAGAGTATGTATGCATGGCTACCTAGAGCTTTGGGCCACGGTTGGTGTAGTGGTATATAGCGATTGCGACTGTTAATAGTTGTTAGCATATCAACCATCATAACTAAGCGTCGATGCAGGACAATGAAACATTAGGAATAGACTTGAAGGGAATAAAAATTATTGCAACAGAATATCTTATATACAGCCCAGGGGAATCATAAATATACGTATGTCGAAAGGGTATCAAGCACTGTAAGACAATATGACCTCGTACACGTTTTATCACGAAGATTTCGCGTCTGCAGAGGTGACAAAATAAAATTGATATCAGACCAGATGACCCGAGGATCTTAATAGCACACCAAGCAGAGAAAAGGAAAGCAGTTATTTGGAAAGATATGTTGATAAAAAATTTACTTACCCAATGCTGCGGCAGTGGCCCTTGCGGCACCCGATCTGTTTGGCCCCTTGCCAAAGGTAATAAACCAGGTAATCCATTCAAGCAATCCATAGGTTCGTTCCCCAGCACGGTTGAAGTTAGGAGACTTGAGACTGGCAGCTTTGTATTTGCCGAGTTTACCGATATAAGGCGGGTAGCGGATAGAGAGAATACGCTCGACCCAGCCAGGAGTTGTGGTAATGGAGCGTTGGTGTGTAAAGGCATCGAAACTGCTACGGCCATGGTAGCAACCAGTTCCACTCTCTCCAACGCCGCCAAATGGGAGGTTTGAAATAGAAACATGCATATATGAGTCGTTCACAGAAGCACCGCCTGAGCGAACGGAGGAGAGGACTATCAAGGTGTTAGCATGTGCATAGAAATGTACCATAATGAAGGGAGGTAAAAACAATACCTTTTGCGGTCTCCTCTTTGGATCCAAATGGGTAAAGGGCCAATGGAGTTCCATCAACGTCATTTGCAATTCTAATTGCCTCGTCCAAGTTCGATACGGGCAGGAGAGTGATAATTGGCCCAAAGCTCTCTTCGGTTATGAGAGAGTCCTCGGTAGAGTCAACAAGGACAACGGTTGGTTCGATGAATTTCTCCTTCTCATCCATGGATCCACCAAGAAGGATCTTCCCCTTGGTGTTGTCGACCATCTGCTTGATGCGCTGGAAAGCACCCTCGTTGATAATACGGGAGTAATCAGGCGTTGCTTTGGCTCCGTTTGGATAGTATTCTTTGATAGCCCTCTCAAACTCGACCACCAGCTGATCAACAACCTCCCTGTCAACAAGGATGTAGTTTTGTGATATACAAATTTGACCAGCATTGAACGTCTTTCCCCATAGTAGACGCCTGGCAACAAGTCTCAAGTCCGCACGCTTTGTAACAAAGGCAGGGTTACGCCCACCTAGCTCAAGCAAGACGGGTGTAAGCTTTGGGGCTGCTGCTTGAGCAACAATGCGGCCAACTCTGGCACTGCCGGTGAAGCAGATCTTATCCCATCTTTCGTCAAGCAGTGCTTTAGTTTCTGGGACACTTCCCTGGATGACAGATACACAAGTGGGGTCTAAAGCAGCTTCAATGATTTCCTGGATCACGGCGGCGCAGTGCGGTGAAACTTCACTTGGCTTAACCACGACCGTGTTGCCAGCAGCAATGGCACCAAGGAGTGGACCAAGAGTAAGGACGAATGGGAAATTGAATGCTCTATGCGGATAGTTAGCCAAATGTGGTGTCGGGTTAGGAAGAGAGCGTAGCACCAACCCAATAATCAGAACACAGCCCAAGGGGTCCTTTCGAATGGTTGGCCTCATCAGCGAAAAGGTCAGGTCGATATCAGCAGCCTTTTCATCTTTAGCCCACTTGGGTAGGTTTTTGGTAATGAATATGATATCGTTGAGCGTCGACACAATCTCTCCGACATAAGCTTCATACTCCGGTCTGTTCAGGTCCTGCTTAAGGGCCGCGGTCACCAGGTGCTCCCGGTCCTTGATACTAATCAACACAAATAAGAGCGTCAGCTGGGGCTAACTATGGGTGAATATACTGGGCAGAGACTGGAGACTTCTGCCACCGATACTAGATGTCTAGCACTTACGCCCAGTAAAGCTTCCGCAGCTGTTGGATACGGAATTCGATAGGTCGAGTCTTGTGTTCAAAAAAGGTAGCCCGAACACTCTTCACGCGCGAGGGGATCTCCTCGACAGGCGTATATTCAAGGGTTGGGAGAGCGGTAGATGCCATCTTGTAGTGGTTGTAGGTGGTATGCCTGCAACGACTTGGCGCTGATTTCTTAAAACTTGGGCGTAAGAGCTATCCAAAAAAGAGAACGAGTAGCCAATTGACCCGTCTCGAGCGGGGGCTTGTTAGGAATTGAAAAGAACGGTATCGATAATGATATCAAGGGCGCGAGATCTGGTTGTCTGCGAAGCAAGCCGATGAGGTTGTTTTTAACTTGACAACGTCACGGGAGTCGCATGCGCCAGTGTGAGATGCCGAGGTAACTTTTTGCCCCTGCAGCGGCTCGGGCATCGGAACAACCTGGGACGGGGCGGGATAACCCTGACATGGATGGATGGATGCTGACACTCTGGGGTCGATTGGTGATCAGGTTACAGAGTGGTATTTTCCTGCATTGTTCAGGGCTACGTATTGAAGAGGACGTCTACGGGCTAGAGATACAGTCGGCATGATCATTAATTCACCGGAAATAAGATAGCAATTTGGATACATGATCATACATAGTTTAGAAGAAGAAATGAGAACTAGGAAAAAACTAAAAAAAAAAAAAAAAAAAAAGGACTTGAAGAATATGATCGATATGTGAAACTCCGTCCGTGAAAATGCACCATCATTCCCTTATTCCAACAGTAATGTTCGTGATATGCAGTACTTGAGAAAGGAGCAGGCAAAAATAATCATTCAAAAACGCTCATAGGATGATGCATGAACAAAACTCAAGAACAAGATATAAAAGTAGGGGTAAAATCAATCGTGAGATGGCAAACATGGCATGAACAATCATAACAGTCATTAATGGGGCAATATCATGCGGCGGTAAGGACTTGTCGAAGTTTCTCTCTGAAGCTCATGCTTGATGGAGCGTCCTCGCGGTGTTTATGTAGACTCGAGCGGCGTCGACGCAGTCGTTCTGGCGGAGGGTCCTCTTTCTTAGCAGTCTTTTCCGCCGGGGCTTCGAGTCTCATCGACCGTCGACGTTCACGACGGTGCTCCCGGTGCTCCCGATGTTCTCGGTGCTCTTGCTCTTTTCCTGGCTCTTTCTCTTTGGCTTCTTCCTGTTTGCTAGGCATTCGTTCTTTGCTGTCCTCGCCTCTGCTTAGCCTTCGTTCGCGAGGCTTCGGTACTTCTGTCTCCGGCTTGGGGGGCTTTTCTTGCTCTGCCCCTTCATCGGTCTTGGGGGATTTCCTTTCACGCAATTTGTTCTCTTCACTTCTGGCGTTACTTCGTCGTGCTCGCTCCCTTACTTCCTCGGAGTTGGTTGACCTTCTTTCACGGCGCCTGTCAGAGTGCGAACGAGAGCCGGAGTTCGACTGAGAATGGGTAGAGGAGCCAGATGTGTTTGGAGGTGACGGCCGCTTGACGGGAGGAACTGGAGATGAGGACTTTGCTCGTTCATTCACTTTCATGACCGGCTGGTGAGCTGTTGATTGGCCAGTAGTAATCAACCTAAACAAAGCGAGAGGCTTGGAGGCGAGCGAAGATATCGGGTTTTGACTTGGGCCAGCAGATTTAGGGGCGGCGTTAGGTCGGTCACGGCCTGATAGTGATAATCGCCGCACAAGAGGTCGCTTTGGTGGGTTCTGGGTATGTTCTTCCTTGGGATGTTCCTCCTTAGGGCTTCCAGTTTCCTTTGAACGTTCTGCCTCAGCTCTGCGGGCTTCTCGCCTCTTTCGTCTTTCTGCTCGCTCTGCTTCAGTCTCGTTTGGCCGAGGGCGGTTACTTCTATGCCTCGTTTGGCCAGTGTGTTTCGTCTCTTTCACTTCAACAGGTGCATCGACTGGCGGCGAGGACCGCACCTCTCGTTCGGCTCTTGGTCGACGAGAGCTTGGTTTCTTCTCTCCCGAACTTTTTGAAGGTCGTGGTGGCTCCTCGGCTGGCGCGGATCGTCGGTGTTTCTTGTGTCTTTTTTCTTTTGATCGCTCTTTCGATCGTTCCTTCGATCGCGATTTGGATTTGGACTCAACAGCAGCTTCTTCCGCAGCTTTATGGTTAGGGGCATCTTCAACAGCAGCAGGTTCTTCAATGATAGGTTTTGAAGCTGTATCTTCTGAAACAGGCGCTTCCACGGCCTGCGGCACTGGCTCTTCTTTGATGTCTTCAGCAGGCTTCTCCTCAACAACAGGTGCGGGTTGTGGGGTTGGTTCCTCAATGGTCTTCAGTTCCTCTGTTGGAGATGATACCGGTTCCTCTTTAGCTACAGGTTCTGCTGCTGGCTGTTCAGGGGGTGCTGCTTCCTTGACAACATCCTCGGCCGGGGGTGAATCATCCTGAGGTTTTTCAGCTACTGGTGCCTCAGGGGCTTCGGCAGAAGCCTCTTCCGTCGCTACTGGTGTTGATTCTGAAGCAGGTTCATTTGGAATATTCTCTTCCGCCGTAGCTATTTCCTGAGTTGTGGTCTCTTCTACAAGAGCAGGTTGTTCACTCGCCTTTTCCATAACCACTTCATCTGGCTGATCTGAAGTTTCTACAGGGCCACTTGGAGCTGGTGTTGGTGCCTCACTCGCAGGTTCCTCGGGCTTAGGTTGTTTATCCACATCAGCAGGTTGTTTGGCTTCAGATTCTGTAGCTGTCGCATCCGCAGCAGCGGGTTCCTCAACACCGACCTCTTCAGTGGCTGCTTCGTTAATAATAGATTCTTCAGCTGCGGGTTCCTCTGCAGGCTCCTGAACAACAGGATCTTCCGCTGGATCTTCGACAGCCGCCTCGACAGCCGCTGCTTCTTCGCTTGCTGGTTCCTTGGCTGCAGGCTCTTCAGTTATTGGGTCTTCTGGTTTTGATTCTTCAGTAGCAGATAAACCTTCTACTTGCTCTTCAGCTACCGGTTTATCAATAACAGGGTCACCGGCACCTGGCTCCTCGGGTATTGGCTCGGGTTCGACCAGGTCTTGAGTGGTAGGTTCTTCAACGGCAGGCTGTTCAGCAACAGGCTCTTTAGCAGCAGGCTCTTTAGCAGCAGGCTCTTCAGCAGCAGGCTCTTCAGCAGCAGGCTCTTCAGCGGCTGGCTCTTCAGCAGCAGGCTCTTCAGCAGCAGGCTCTTCAGCAGCAGGTTCCTCAGCGGCCGGTTCTTTAGCAGCAGGCTCTTCAGCGGCTGGCTCTTCAGCAGCAGGTTCCTCAGCGGCCGGTTCTTTAGCAGCAGGCTCTTCAGCGGCTGGCTCTTCAGCAGCAGGTTCCTCAGCGGCCGGTTCTTTAGCAGCAGGCTCTTCAGCAGCAGGCTCTTCAGCAGCAGGTTCCTCAGCGGCCGGTTCTTTAGCAGCAGGCTCTTCAGCGGCCGGTTCCTCAGCGGCCGGTTCTTTAGCAGCAGGCTCTTCAGCGGCTGGCTCTTCAGCAGCAGGCTCTTCAGCGGCTGGCTCTTCAGCAGCAGGCTCTTCAGCAGCAGGCTCTTCAGCAGCAGGCTCTTCAGCAGCAGGCTCTTCAGCAGCAGGCTCTTCAGCAGCAGGCTCTTCAGCAGCAGGCTCTTCAGCAGCAGGCTCTTCAGCAGCAGACTCTTCAGCAGCAGGCTTTTCAACAACAGGTTCTTCAGCAACGGGTTCTTCACCTGTAGGCTGTTGTACAGTAGATTCTTCAGCCGGAATCCCAAGGGTAGCGTTTTCCAGGGGAACATCTTCTGTAACTTCGATAGACACCGGTTCTGCGACGCTTGTTTCTTCCTTTTCTTCAGTAGTTACTTCGGCATGGTCGTTTGACGGTTTGGGCACATCAATATCGGGTGCATTTTCGCCCTCCTCTTTGACATTACGTGTATCAGGTGCTGCGTCCGCTGTGTCGCTTTTCCCTCCTTCAGCCGTTCCCTTGTTTTCTTCCTCAATACCTACTTTGTCAGTATCAGCTGCTTCTCCTTCAATTGGCACCTCTGGTGTTACTTCAACTAGTTTCTCTCCCTCGTCTGACAGTTCAGGCGCCGGCCCTTCCTCAGCCGGATTCTCCTTTCCAGCTGAAGGTTCTTCAGTAGCTGGGACTTCTTTTGGAGCCTGATCTTCTTTGGTAGGTGACTCTTCTGCAGCCGGAGGTTCTTCTGGAGGTGCTGCTTCCTCACTGGCAGTCTTTTCCACAGGTGATTCTTCTCGGGGCTGCGCTTCTTCAGGAGCCGGCGTCCCTTCGACGGGTGTTTCTTCCATAGCTGTCTCTTCTGAAGGTGCTCCTCCGGTGGGAGCCTCTTCAGCAGGGGGTTCTTCCACAGCTGAAGATGCCTCTGCAGTTGATGTTTCAGTTGGAACTTCTTTCGCCGGAGATTCTTCTACAGGAGACTCTTTTCCGACAGGAGCCTCTTCGGGGCATGTTTCTCAACAGATGGTTCTTCTGCAGCTGCTGGCTTCTCTGTGGGGTCCTCTTCTGTGCTTATCTCTTTTGTCAGTGCCTCTTCTGCAGGCTCCTTCTCAACCTCATCCGCAGTTGGAGTCTCTTCGGCGGCTGGAGCTTCGTCGATCGGGGTCTCCTCAGCAGGTAATTCTCCCGGAGCAGATGTTTCTTCAGCAGGTGACTCTTCCACAGCTGGCACTTTTGCTGGTGGCTCTTGTTCTGTTTGGGTCTCTTCTGAAACTGAGTTTTCTTCAGCTGGGGCCGCTTCTGCAGGTGTGTTTTCTTCGGGGGCTGGGGCTTCTTTAGCAGACGGACCTTCTGAAGCCGGTGTTTCTATTACCGGCTCCTGTTCCACCGCAGTCTCTTCCGCAGCCGGTTTTTCTTCGGAGAGAACTTCTTCAGAAGGAGGATTTTCTGCAGCTGGAGCTTCTGTTGCTGGTTCCTCTTTTACCGGGGCCTCTTCCAGAACAGCATTTTCTTCAGCAGGAGCTCCTTCAGAAGGAGGATCTTCCGTAGCTGGAGCTTCTTTTGCCGTCTCTTCCCCCGGCCTGTCTTCTGTAGACGGCGTTCCTTCGTTTGGTTTTTCCTCCTCTGCTGTCTTTTGGGTCTCCTCGGAAGTCTCATTTTCCGTTATACCTATGGGATGGTAAGTATATGAGGCCCCTGCGGTACTCTAGGTGGTAGTGGACAAGGTATACTTCCGCTACCAACCAGATAGACAACTTACCTGGGGATGTTCCAGGAGCATCTTTTCCAGCATCAACATCAGCCGCTGGTGCATATTGTGGTTGTTGGTCCAAGGGGACGTCCTTTTTTGGTTCTGCGTCAGCGGTAGGTTCACCATTACCGTCATCTGATGGTGGGGAAGAATATAACGATGATATAGGGCAGTCTTTAAATTGACCAGTGTGCCAATCATATGTTTGATATTTAAACTGAGGAAGTGAAGCATACTGATAGCTTAGGTTCGACATTTTCGGGGAGTGCAGACGAACCGTCACCTCCAGGTAGGTTGCTGCTACTCCCGTTGTCAATGTCGGGCACCACTGAATTGGCCGGCAGTCGATTGGTAGCTCCCTTCTTTCCCTTCTTCTTTTTGGCCATGGTCAGGAATATCTGCGACGCTTTTGCGGGGATGTGAAGAGTAGAAAAAGGTTGGGGAGACGGAGACACAGGAGCAATGATATGAGAGGTCTATTTGGTGTGGCAGGCCTCGGCAGTTCGGGGATAGATTGGCGTCCGTCAGAAAGGCGACCTGCGGCCCGGGATGTAAGGTGAGGTTGAGGAATATTGGGGTAAGATTGGAAGAGGGGGAATAAAATGAAGGCGTGGTTGAGCGAAATAGCAGCACGTCAGACGAGACAAATTATAACAAGTAATACTAGCTCCTATGATACAGGAAAGCATGTGCCCGATAACCTCATATATCGTTTAGGCCTATCAAGAGCAATCGGCACTGATGGAGCCATGTAATCAACAGTCATTATTGAGAATGAGAAACGATAGTTTCCCAGGAAATGGGCTCTCCGAAGCAGCTATGCAAGACCAAGTGCCATTGGGGCCACGTCTCGCGGCCCCATGGGTTTTCAGAATAGGAGTGCAGACAGCATTGGATGCACGCCCTACTAAGGCTTGTGGAAAGCGGCCGCTGTGGGAGGGAAACCAGGGTAACCCGCTGCACGATACTATAAATCGTAAAACAGCAAGTTAATAATATGAAAACGTGACAAGAAATACAAGGCAAACGCTGTATCATGAGAAGGGAAGAGCCACCTTACTCTTTCGTTCAAGGGATGAGGCAGACAGACCATGCACTTGAGCGGGTCAGAGGGTAAAACAGCGGCGGAAAAGGTCGAAATCAACAAAACCAACCCAATTGCAGCAACTTGCAAGAAAATCTCCCTCGTTACCGATGAGACGAAGAAGAGGTGTGGAAGTCAGATCTCTTCCAGTCAGTGACCCGGAAGCGATTCCGGGGATAGCATCATTTTCTGCCCAATATCCCGCAATTGGCCGCCTGGCCGACAGGCACTTGCAGGACTGTGGAGCACGCCTGAGGGAGGCGGTTGGTCAAGGACCAGACGGTCTCAGATCCTCGCGATCTACCAAGGTTTTCTAACCGTTTGGGTAACCGTATTCCCTTGCTTGGGGATCCTACTCCGTACGGAGTACGCTCCAGAAGAAAGTCGTGGCTGGGCCAGAGATGATGAACCTGCAACGTGAACAGTAGCAAGTGGTCGCGGCCAACACGAGATTCTCTGTTGTCCTGTTTCGTGCTGTTTCTCATTCATTGGGTCTGATGCAGATGAAGCCGAAGCCTGACTCCAGAAAAAGCGACGGTTCCAGAACGAGCTTCCACTTCGACAAGCAGGTTGAGCAGGGAAGAAGGGCCAGATACCAAAACGTTTCTTTTTCGCCGTCTTTCAACGAGGCGAGGATGAAATAAGCAAGCCAGAAAGTCCCGTTTAGGACTAGTCGCGGATCGGCCCGACTTTAGCCCTAATGACTCAGCAATATAGAGGGTTTCATTGGCTGGAAAATTCAAGGCTGCGGTCTGATTGGCTGCCTCACATGCTCAAGGGTTGCCCACGCAGCTGGTAACTTTAAAACGTTAACTTGCTATCAGATTTGGTGGCTGACAGGAGATAGGAGATACCCGGTCTTGCAAGATGATAAAGAGTCAGGAAGCCAGCCCTGCAAAGAGTGACTTTGCGTGATGGCCGCTGTTGTCTACGCTGGCATCAGGAACCGGAATACATCTTTCGCCTCTCTGCATGACTTCCGCGTGCCCAGCAGCTGCAATCCGGATGCAAGGTGGCAGAAAGGACGTACCTGCCAAGTAATGGTCAGGTGCGCCTGCTTGGACATGAATTTTATTCCATTCAGGACGCATATGCCCATCTTCTCCTGCATCTCTTTATGATATTTCTTTCCCCCTCTATATTTTCGGTGGTAGTGGAGCCTGACAAGTTGGCTGGATTAAACGAGAAATTACTTCATCACATTATCGTCCGTTCAATTTTTTGCCCCCTCCAGGAAACAGTCGGTGCAAAACAAATTTCGACTGTCTTCGGGATCAGCATGCCAAATACAGAGTATCCGAGTATTACAATGGTGTATATTTTCCTCCGCTTCTTGCAGTGGTGGTGTAACCTCTCTCCTTTCCTCTTAGGACCCCTCCATTATCGAGTCCATGGTATACCCCCGATGTACAGTGTACGTGTCGCATCCTGCGGTTAACTGATTTTAAACCCCTGCTCAACATGGCCTCTCAAGCGGGGAGAAAGTATTGACCCCGCTATCCAGGGTGTAATGCGTCACAGGGAAGGCTAAGGCCAGCATTTGCTGACATGAAGTAGGGGAAGTGTGCAACTACTTGATGTCCCGCAATCTTCGTATAAAGGACATATGTTGTCTTGCTCCAATGGCTGCACGGAAACAATTTAATTAGCCAGCGGGGTCGATATCCGAGTCTCGTCATCTTCGTGGCCTGGTATGGATTCCAGAAAACCAAACAAATATCTTAAACTTTTGAATCGTTGGAGGAGTTGGCTTCATTCACAAATCTGTTCAATATTTGTACAAATAAACCTATACGTATTTACAAAGCCTCTGGTAACGTCAACGTAGCAATCCAGCAGTTCCTTGCCTGCCTCTTCCTGCCATAGCAAGAAGAGCTCCGGTCTGTCTCGGGAGTTCCTGCCCAAGCTGAAAATGCAGACAAAAACATATACATAGCCGGCGCCTTAAAGAGCCACGTATACAGCAAAATACAAGTAAAGTGGCATATGTGTTTCGAAATGTGTTGTTAAGTACCTTGTCAAGTCGGGAGTTATGACTTCAGCAAGGTGAGCCACGATATGTTCGCATGAAACTGAAACCAAACAGAATATTCGCGAGATTCAGCGCAACACGCATTCAAGTTGGAACGGCAGTGTAGTTCTGCCCAACGTACGGAGCGTATGCCAAGGACTTGGTAAATTTATCTGCTCACTCTTTATGCAGTCCCTAGCATACTTAGGAAGTAATATAATCAAGGTATGTGAGTTATCTTTCATTGTTATAACTATAGTTTGGGTCAGTATATGTTGGATCCGAACTGCGAAAATGTACCCGGCCCTTGGTTACCCAAGCAGTTTCCAGAGCAAAAAAAAAAAAAAAAAAAAAAAAAAAAAAAAAAAAAAAAAAAGATTAGAAACTGCATACCTGAAACCATGTAAAAAGTACCCGAACACGACGTTTACTTTAATAGGTTCACCTTCGATTTTCATTTTCCTTCTTTAACTGTTCCTCCATTGTTATTCTCCATCGTGGCCCTAACCGCTTCATGGCCCAGATCACAACAGAGCTGGCAAGACAAATAAGGCCAAGAATCGTAAATAGCCAACCATTTCCAATAGCATCTATAATAGGAGCAGCAACTACACCCCCAACACAAGAAGCTATGTTTCTCATGAAATTATTCAGGGCGACACCTGCTGAAGACCGATTAGGCATAAATTCGGTCAACATAGTCGTTGACATGCTGAAAATTAACATTGATCCCAGGCCAAAAAAGAAATTGGCAGCAATCTATACCCAAACCAAGTCAGATGATATTATTGTGTATAGTTTTGCCTGAAACTTACCGTAGCGAACCAGTGTACCCCATTTTCTGCTGTCCAAGCATACCATATCAATGCAGATGGGAAAAGAAGTGCCCCCACCCATGCATTCTCACGCATTCTATCTTCGGGTATAAATATATATTTACCATTTGCATCCACTCTATTGGCACGCCTTGCTTCTCTTTTCATGATGGAGTCCATCCAAGGACCTCCAAAAACACTGGCAGCAATATAACCCAACGCCCCAGGGATATATAGTAAGCCAATAATGATAGTAGAAAAATTATAGGGGTCTCTGCTGAACGTAATCTCTATACTTATGTTCATAACATACAAGCATCCAAAAGCGATACTTGCATAGTACACAGTTAGAGCAACAGCCGGGAAACGAATATAAAGAATTATCTTTAGAGGATCAATGATGATGATTTTTAACATGTTTAAAGCCCTGGTCGTTTGCTGTACGACCTGTCGAGATGACACTCGACTCAGAGTGCGTTCAATCTCTGGGCTTCCATTCTCTGGTTGAGGAGGCGGAAGAGGTTTACGGTGTGCAAGAGTTTCTGGCAATGCAAACAGTATGAAGACCAGTATAAGGCCACCATAGATTGCAAGGAACCATTGCGTACTCCTCCATCCCAAAGATTGTGTCAAAATCCCACCGAGGATAGGGGCTATAAGAGGACCACAGAGAGGACCAAGGTAGAAGATGCCCATAGCGCGTCCACGATCAATAGGATCCCAAACATCGGCAATTGTACCAGCCCCTACTGCTTGAACTGACGCAGCAGCTCCCCCAGCAAGGACTCGCATGATGATCAACATCGTAATGGAGACCGAGAGAGCGGATAGAATACTCCATAGAGTGAATAAGGCGAATGAAGCAAGGTATATTGAACGGCGCCCCAGCCGCTCACTAAACGATGACCACCAGAGAGGAAATATGGATATACTCAGCATGTACAAAGCAACGGAAAGATTAGTAACCGTTGCTGTCGTATTATATGTTCTAGCAACTTCGCCAAGTCCAGCTGTTAAAACGATCTTTATATTAGCTCCTGTCAGAAAAATATAGAGATTCTATGAGCTGAAAGGAGTGACAATAACATACGAAGAAATATAGCACTTCCCATGGGCGCGGCGGCAGCTGCCACAGCAACAACGAAAGTAATAAACCATTTTGATTTCCGGTTGTAATGTTTTGGATTTTCAACCTCAGCCAGTAGAGTCAGTGACCCAAATAGACCTCGCCGTCTGCCTCTGGGCACAACAACCGGTGGTATGTAAGAATTTGTTCTTGTCAGCTGAACGGCAGCCTCCTCGTCTAGTGGTTGATTCGATTCTCCGTTATCAATGCTCACTTGGCTCCCTTTCTCCGAGATAACAGGTGCATAATCACTAACTCCCTGGGTTGTGGCAATAGATGGCTCCCCAGAAACAGTTAAGGTGGAAGAAGTAGCAGGGAAGCCCACTTGGGAAGAATTCCCCGTCGATTGCTGCTTTTCAGCCCCCATGTAGCTCCGCAACTCCGCAGATGGCTTCTAGTCAAAGGTTCTCAACGAAAGAAACCCACAATTCGAATATAACTGTCGCTTGTAAAGATCCTCACTCAGCACAGAGCCTCATCCCCTATCGAGCCGAGTATTGTAGGGCATATAAGTTAAAGAACAACGGCACTCTTTGGTATGCTTAACGGAGATACCGAGAGACGTCAAACATGCAGGAAATTCAAAAGAAAGTAGCGCTATTCAGATAATAAAACAAGAATGAATAAAAAAAAGACAGCATTCAAAGAAACTCTTAAGTGGGGAGGAGACCTACATATATGAACGGGAAGGAAGAATTTGGCCTGGACTTAAGAACGGATTTGGGAACCCTGGCCCGAGTGACGATATCCACTTTCTCGATGTCACTGTTTGCTCGTACAGCATTTTTTTGAGATCCTACCAAAGTAGTTGTTGGCCCTAAGGATTGACCTCGGTTATCTATTATCGTTAGAGAATTGTCCCTCTCAACTTCACCGCAGCAGGCAGATAAAAACAGCTCGCCTGGCCATGTAGTAACCCCAGTGAATCAAGATAGGTTTCCCTCCCGCTCTTCGGAAGACTTTTGTCACTCTGCATGCTCCTCCGCTGTATGTAAAAATCTTGCTTGGATGTCCGGCACATCGCACGGCTTTTCGGCGTTAAGCGTGCCGTTTTTGCCGAGGAAGGAGCGGTCCCGCGCTAGCCAATAGTATCACTTTATGAGCATTGCTTATTAAGCATCATCGTTATGGGCGTGGGGTTTGTCCAACTTCCCGGTTGCTCTCCATATCCCTAAGCAGCATGCCAGCGGTGTATCAATTTGAGACTTAGTGACTCCGAAGTGATCAATATCCGTCATGTCGAATTTGAATCCTGGGTTAAGCGAACGATTTCTCAACCTGAAAGACAAGCGCCCCATTGAGGTATGGGAGGAATTATGGCAGGAAGAAAAGACCCCCTGGGATAGAGGAGTACACAATCCAGCTCTGGAGGACACCCTAGAACAAAAGTCCGACATTTTAGGGAATGCTATTATAAAGATTGAAGGCGAAGAAAAAAGGCGGAAGAAGGCTCTTGTGCCTGGGTGTGGTAGAGGCGTAGACTGCTTTCTACTTGCATCATTTGGATATGACGCCTATGGTCTGGAATATAGCACCACAGCCCTGGAGGAGTGCCAGAAGGAGGCAGAAAAGTATGGAGATTTAGTGAAGCCAAGAGACGAAGAAATCGGAAGTGGAAAGGTTGTGTTCTTGCAGGGAGATTTCTTCAAGAGCGATTGGGTAGAGAAAGCTGGGTTGGAAGAAGGTTGTTTTGATCTCATTTATGACTATACTGTGAGCTGCCTCCGTGATTATGAAGATTGCTTTTGGACAACGACTGACGGCAAGTGACTTTGTTCTGTTCCTCGCACGTCATAACAGTTTTTCTGCGCCCTCAACCCTCTCTTGCGTCCAGGATGGGCTCTCCGACACTCGCAGCTCCTTGGACGATCCCCACAAGGCTATCTGATATGCCTTGAGTTTCCGACAACGAAGGATCCCACTTTAGGAGGTCCGCCGTTTGCCTCCACCCCAGAGGCGTATCTAGAACACTTGAGCAAACCTGGTGAAGACATCCCTTATGATGACAAGGGCAATGTTCAGGCCGGTTTGTCCAGCAAAACGGGAGATAACGGCTTGGTTCGTGTGGCACATTGGCACCCGGAACGGACTCATGAAGTCGGCAAGGATTCAGATGGTACCGTAAGGGATTGGGTCTCTATATGGTGCCACAAGTGAAACGCGAGTACTCGCAAGCAGCACAACCGGCCATTCGGCCCCTCTTTGTACGTACCTGGGTAGTTGATAAGCATATTTTGCTACTATCTCACTAAGCATGCTCAAGCGGAGCTGTGAGATAGGGCATTGTAATGCTCCCCAAGTCCATATGTATGCCGATAGTACGCCAACCATATATCCTTTGTTTTAGATTCGTTAATTTCGCCATCTGGTAGGAACTTTTCGATGCGTCCGTCTCCTTGAACGACATTTACCCGCACTTTATAGGCACGTGCAATGGCATGCAGTTCTAGCTGACCTCCCCATTCTGCCGTTGATTTTATTTTTCGAGCGTAATCTTCAATTGATTCTTCCAGGAATGGAGCAAAATCATTGGCATTGGAGAGTATAAAATCAGCCGTTGTAGCTCGAACGCCCTTGTAGCCATTAGTTTTCATCGCATCGGTTAACACTGATTCTGATTGTTCTGGGCTCAGACAAATCCCATTTTCTGTCAATTGCCACGCCACTGCAGAATACAAACAATGCCCATCTGGTGCGATGTCCCTCTCTTTCAGCTTTAAACGCGCAAAGGCTTCCTCCATAGCCTTACGTTCATTAGCACGTTTGTCGGTCTGGTTTGCCGCTTCAATTGTAGCATTGTTAATCTCTGCCTCACGCTCGGCTGCGCGTCTTGCCAAACGTGCTTTTTGGCGATTGCCTCGTTTTGGACCAGGACCTCTCTCGGTTGTGCTGGTCACGGGGGCAGACGGGTTAACTGGAGGCACAGAGCAAACTGTTGTCCCATTGGTATTGAATTCCTCAGACTCTTCAGCCTGGCCATTATTCTCGATATTCAGCTCATTCATCTGATTGATTGTGTCTGCATCTCCGACGTCTACCTCCCCATTGAGTTGAGATATTTCGGCCTGCTGTCTATCTAGGAGCTGCCTCTGCAAACTCTCACATTCATCATTGATGCCTTTACGCGTCTTCTTCGTTGCCGACTTTTTCTTCTGTGTTATCCGTGACTGGAGGTCCCTTTGCTCTTTCCTGTGACGAGCTTGCAGCTCCTCCATCCTGGGCTTATGAACTTGGATCGAGATGAAATGAAATGTACGGGTATTAAATCCGAAATAGTAAATAGATAGTATGATTGCTTTCCGATGAATATTTAAGGTAGTAGTCTTTGTTATAGCGTTGATTGTGCTTGGTCTTGACGTCTTGTCAACAGCCCACCTCAGCAAAAACCCGACACTTCTCTCAAAAAATGGACGCTTATGTAAATAATATGGGTTTGTCGGTATGTCACGTGATATGAACTGGTTAGGTGGCGACTTTATTGCTCTTCTATTAGTTCATTGGACAACATTTGGAGGAAGGTTCACAGTAGCAGCCAATGACCTTGCAGGTCGGTTCCTTTAAACTTCAGGGGTATTATATTTCCGTAACCTTGTTACTTAGCTGAGTAACCCGGCTGGACCGCAGAGGATAATGCATTCGGACCAATAGTGTAAAACATGGAAGTTGCCTCGGCACCTTTTGAGGACAACCGGCAGCCAGCTTTGGGCAGGTCTGTATAAGAACCGAGATTTCCTCAAAATCTACTATTCGAATGACATAGAGTGCATTCGATAAAACCGATAGAGATCAAAAAGCTCTTCCAAAATGGACGCTGCATCCCTCTTCGATGTTAAAGTTCGTTCTCCCCCTCCCTTCCGGCCGTATTTCCAGCTGTGATTGTCTTGATTCTAATAAAAATGTGTAGGGTAAAGTTGTGCTGGTCACAGGGGGTGCCAAAGGAATTGGTCGTATGATCTCCGAGGGATATGTTGTGAATGGCGCAACTGTGTATATCACTGCTCGAGATATCAAGACTTGCGAGGCAGTCTGTCAAGAGTTGAACGCGCTTGGAAAAGGCAAGGCATATGCCATCCAAGCCGACCTATACAAAGAAGAGGACTGCAAGAAACTCGCCGAAGAGTTTGGAAAGCGCGAATCTAGTACGCTCTCCGCAGGCTGTCTGTATTTACTCGTTAATAACAAGGATAACTAACGTCGGTTTAGAGCTCAATATCCTCGTCAACAACGCGGGCTCCAATTGGGGTGCTCCTTACGACGAATATCCATCATCTGCATGGACTCGTGTCCTTACTCTGAACCTTCACCGTGTGTTCAATGTCACGCAACTTTTCACTCCGTTCCTTGAAAAGGGAGCTGGTGAACTGGACCCAGCGAGGATAATAAACATTGGAAGCGTTGATGGATTACGAGTTCCAGCACTGGAGACATTTGCCTACAGTGCCAGTAAAGCTGGTCTCCACCACCTAAGTAGGGTTCTAGCTAACCATTTAGGAAGAAGGAATATCACGTATGTCCCCTATCTGTTACAGTGAAAGGCTCTTTTGCTAATGTTGAGAGGGCAGATCAAACACTCTTGCTTGCGGTCCATTCCAAAGCAAGATGATGAAGGCAACCCTAGACAAGTTCCAAGAGGTGATTGAAGCTGGGATCCCACTTGGGCGTATAGGCACTCCTCAGGATGTTGCTGGTGCTTGTCTTTTCTTGAGCAGCCGTGCTGGAGCATACATCAACGGCGCTACCATCACAGTAGATGGCGGAAGCGTCATTGGATCGAAGCTATAATAGAGACATACCACACGCATGCACTCCGCAATCTAATTATCTAGCCATATAATTACTATATTTTATATGAAGTAGTGTAAGCTGCATATATAATGCTGCATTGTGTTGAGATATCTTTTACCTTTGGGGTAAATGTACACGTGCTCTGACATAAGCATGAGCCGCCCTTTTGCCACCTGCGTGGGCCTTCAGCGTCATAGCTAAGTTGGCAGGTTTTGATGGGGTGAAGGATCGTGTTGATATTTGGAGCCGTCAATACGTACGTCTTTTTGTCATTCCTCTGCGCTGAAAGGGTTGATAGGAATGAGAGGATAGGCCAGGTTTGAGCGCCGCATCTCGTCGTCTAACTAACGAAACAGCCGAAGTTGAACTAGTCGTCTTGGCAGATTGGTGCTTGACGTCTAGTTAGCTAGCTAAATACGTGCTCGAACCTCATTATTTCTTCATATCACCATCACTGCAGCTACACTGGATAATGAGCACGTCAGGCGGGCAACATAAGCGGCACTCCTCTGATGGTGTCGACCCTTTTTCCCATCCCGATATCTACTATGGCGAAAAGCAAGGAGCCAAGAAGGTTAACCATAGGAGAGCATTCTCATCTGTAGGTTACAACTACTTCCTGATTGTCCTGATATACTGAGAGCATTTAATAATGAATGTGTGGCCACTAGACTTTGAAAAGATTCAACGCTGAAGATTTAGAGCACTTAGTTGCTCGTAGAGGTAGCCATGGTAAGCTGGTACTGGCTTCATGTCGCTTGATTGCCCAAACACTGATTGTGCCCACATCGACTAGACGAACATTCATACTCACGCAAATTCCTTATCGATGTCGAACCAACCCTGCAAGCCCTCCTTGAGAGGGAAGATACAGATAACAATATGCAGATTACCATAGAGGACGCTGGTCCCAAGGTTCTTCACGTTGGCACAGCGGCATCCTCTGGGTTTAGGAAATCAGATCTAAGAGGGACCTACATGCTTTCCAACCTACTTCAAGAGCTTACAATAGCAAAGGACTACGGTAGAAAACAAATAGTCCTCGACGAACAACGCCTGAATGAGAATCCCGTGAATCGACTTTCCCGTTTAATCCAAAACTCGTTCTGGAAAGCTTTGACCCGCCGAATCGACGGGTCTAATATCGAAATCGTGGGAAGAGATCCTAAGGACTGGACCGACGATCCAAGACCACGCATTTATGTGCCAGCCGGTGCACCCGAGCAGTATGAGTACTATAACAAAATTGCTGAATCCCAACCTGGGCTCCGGTTGGACGTCCAGCTTCTCCCGAGTGGAGAAATCACCCCTGAATACGTGAGAGACCTGAACAGTAAACCGGGGTTGTTAGCACTGGCCATGGAAGAATATGTGGATCCGGATACAGGAGAGAAAGACCTTCGAGGGGTCCCATACATTGTCCCCGGTGGACGCTTCAATGAGCTATACGGTTGGGACAGTTACATGGAGTCCCTAGGTTTACTGGTGACGGAACATGTCGAACTAGCCAGAGACATGGTCGTTAACTTCTGCTTTTGTATCAAGCATTATGGGAAGATCCTTAACGCCAACCGATCATATTACCTATGCCGCTCCCAGCCTCCATTCCTGACTGATATGGCACTGAGGGTGTATGATCGAATCAAATCGCAGCCTGGAGCAACGGACTTTCTCAGGGAAGCCATTTTGGCAGCCATCAAGGAATATCACAGTGTTTGGGTGTCCGAACCACGACTTGATCCGAAGACAGGATTGTCCAGATACCGGCCTTCTGGTATCGGAGTACCACCCGAGACAGAGCCAACCCATTTTTATCATATACTCCTACCTTATGCAAAAAAGCACGGAGTTACATTTGATGAGTTTGTCAAGGCATACAACAGTGGAGAAATTAAATGCGCTGAGCTAGACGAATATTTTTTGCATGACCGAGCAGTAAGAGAATCGGGTCACGACACATCCTATCGACTTGAAAATGTGTGCGCCAATCTTGCAACAATCGACTTGAACTGCCTGCTATACAAGTACGAAATGGACATTGCACGTGTTCTGCGTGATCATTTCAAAGACAAACTGTACATTCCCTCTGAATTCCGAACCCCCGAAACAGAATCCAGGGAGTATGAAAGCTCATCCTTATGGGATCGTCGTGCAAGGAGAAGGAGGGCAGCAATTGATAAGTACATGTGGAATGAAGAAAAAGGGATGTACTTTGACTATGATACCGTCAAGGAACAGATCACCAATTACGAGAGTGCCACGACATTTTGGTCAATGTGGGCAGGTGTCGCGAACCCACGGCAAGCGGCCGTCCTTGTTAGCAAGGCTTTACCAAAGTTCCAAGCTTATGGTGGCCTTGTATCGGGCACTGAGGAATCTAGGGGTAAAGTTGGTATCGATCGGCCAAACCGCCAATGGGATTACCCCTATGGATGGGCACCGCAGCAAATACTTGCGTGGACTGGGCTTATGCGATATGGTTATCAAGAAGAGGCGGAAGAATTGGCGTATAAATGGTTGTTCATGGTCACAAAGGCCTTTGTCGACTTCAACGGCACCGTCGTTGAAAAATACGACGTTACTCGTCCTATAGACCCTCACAAAGTCGATGCAGAGTACGGAAATCAAGGCATTGATTTCAAAGGGGTATCGAGGGAAGGGTGAGTAACAATATCTAGAAATAAATATCGTCTCAGGCAATTTTCTGACAGTTTTCTACTTTAGTTTCGGATGGGTCAATGCGAGCTACGTGTATGGACTTCAATTTTTGAATGCCCATATGAGACGAGCCTTGGGCGCATGCACTCCGTACCAAACGTTCAAGGAAGCGACCACTGCCGTGAACTTCTAGAGATATCATTCCACGGGCCTGGAGCACTAGATGAAAAAGATGTGTTTGTTACTTTCCTGTGTCAGATGTTATGCTTCCAGCTCTATTACTAGGGCTAATTAGGATGATCGTAACAAGAGCAGGAAAGCTGGATACTCGACATGAATTCCACTCCTTTTCACTCTGGAGAATATTTCCCCCTTTTTTACGTATTTGTATATTGGGACACTGTGTTCTTGTGTGTGAAATTCCCGACTACTATTCAACTCCATCTATTCCGTAGTTTTGAAATCTCTTGGGGCGCCGTGACCTGTCTGCCGATATCTCCACAGTATCAGCAAGCGTTGACCTACCACTAGGCAGTTGGGCCAGCCCGGATACCAATTTTGAATGTCCAACGGAAGACACCCGCGACTGACGAACCACTGGCCGCTGTACTGCACCATAGCCACCAACACATCAGCCGAGGCATATCCATATTCCCCGGCCATCTTATCAGATCCGTCTCGTCTCCTGTGTCACCTCCAGACTTTGGTTATTCGGCCAGCTTCCGCCGGGGATTTTCCACAGGTCAGGTGACGCGCCTTTCATGTGAGTAGCGCGCGTTGATTGGCTGCTCGGATGCTGGCCGAACTCACATGCGAACTCCTTGAACGTCATCTCTCTCCATTCAAGACATTTACAGAGCAGATTCAGAGCCTGATGCTCATTCAATACTTTGGATAAGTAACCTCATATCTAGCAGAAGCCAACAGGCTGTGTTTCCTTAGGTAAACCGGCGGAAGGTTCTCCCGATATCAGATTTCGGAAGCCTATATCCACACATGTTTTTTAACTCTCGATGGCGCACGAGAAATATGGATATTCCACGAGCAGTCTGGACTTTCCACTACTCTTAATTGCCGAGTGGGCCAACTCGATGTTTCCTCCTTAGCTCCAAGGCCGCCCATGCTTTTCGGACCCTGGCCGTTGTTGATGGGAAGGCGTCGAAGCTCTCCTATTGACGTTTATGCCTCGGCGGAACTGGATACTCTGATACTAACTGGAGACACCTTGAGGCCTTTCTTTGGTTGACTCACAAGGCAAATGAAGATAAAATAAAGCGATGCACCCACCCGGGCCAGCTTGACTCGTCTCTTCCTTTCCTTCTTTGACTCAGAATCAATTTCGGGAGTTCTTGTGCCGCCGTACACATAATTTGCTATTGAACCTATCCATCCATCTCACTACCATAATATTTGAGTGGTTTTATCTATATATAGCCTTTCAACATGTCATTCGTTGAACAAGAGGAACAGAAGTTCCTGCAAGACGTTGAACAAGTCAAGAACTGGTGGAAAGATTCAAGATGGCGATACACCAAACGTCCATTCACCGCAGAGCAAATTGTTGCCAAAAGGGGTACCTTGACAATTGATTACCCATCAAATGCACAGAGCAAGAAGTTGTGGAAGATCCTGGAAGGTAGATTTGCGGTATGAAACCTATACTTCATATTGACTAGTCAACCCCGCTAACTCTCGTGAAGAACAAAGATGCAAGTTTTACTTATGGTTGCCTGGAACCAACCATGCTCACCCAGATGGTGAAATATTTAGACACTGTCTATGTTTCTGGTTGGCAGAGCTCATCAACTGCCTCCTCAACAGATGAGCCTTCTCCCGACCTTGCTGACTACCCAATGGTAAGTACCATTTCAAATACCAATGCTCAAGGGCCTAGGCTTATACACTATTATTTAAAAACAGAATACTGTGCCGAACAAGGTCAACCAGCTTTTCCTAGCTCAACTGTTCCATGACAGAAAACAGAGAGAGGAACGTCTCCGCGCCCCCAAGGAACAGCGCAACAGCCTACCGAACATTGATTATCTCCGTCCGATTATTGCTGACGCAGACACTGGCCATGGTGGTCTGACCGCTGTCATGAAGCTCACAAAACTATTTATTGAGCGCGGGGCTGCTGGAATTCATATTGAGGATCAAGCCCCTGGTACGAAGAAGTGCGGACATATGGCTGGAAAGGTTCTTGTCCCAATCAGTGAGCATATCAACCGACTTGTAGCCATTCGAGCTCAAGCTGATATCATGGGTACGTTACGAATTTCAAGTGACTTGTTACATATATCTAAATCCGTTGCTAATGTGAATGGTAGGGACTGACCTTCTGGCTATCGCGCGAACCGACTCCGAGGCGGCAACCTTAATTACTAGCACTATTGATCCCCGGGATCATGCTTTCATTGTTGGATCCACCAACTCTAGCATTGAGCCTCTTAATGATCTGATGGTTGCTGCAGAGCAGGCGGGCAAGAACGGTGCCGAGCTTCAACAAATTGAGGACGAGTGGACCAGCAAGGCTGGGTTGAAACGTTTCCAAGACGCAGCCATTGACCAAATAAATGCTTCCCCTTCCATCTCTAACAAAAAGGCTGCTATTGACAAATTCCTTGCTGATATAAAGGGAAAGAGCAACTCTGAAGCTCGTGCTATCGCCAAACAGTTGACTGGTTCTGACATCTACTGGAATTGGGATTCGCCACGAACTAGAGAAGGATTTTACAGATACCAAGGTGGATGCGAGTGTGCCATTAACCGTGCCGTTGCATATGGCCCATTCGCTGATCTCATTTGGATGGAGAGCAAACTTCCTGACTACGCGCAAGCCAAAGAATTCGCCGAAGGTGTACATGCTGTCTGGCCCGAGCAGAAACTTGCATACAACCTCTCGCCTTCCTTCAACTGGAAGACAGCTATGCCCCGCGACGAGCAAGAGACTTATATCCGTCGTCTGGGAGAGCTTGGCTACAGCTGGCAGTTCATCACCCTTGCTGGTCTACACACCACTGCCCTGATATCTGACCAATTTGCCAAGGCATACGCTAAGCAAGGGATGCGTGCATACGGAGAGATGGTTCAGGAGCCGGAGATGGATAACAAGGTCGACGTTGTCACCCACCAGAAATGGAGTGGTGCAAATTACGTGGATGAACTATTAAAGATGGTTACCGGTGGCATCAGTAGCACTAGTGCCATGGGTAAGGGCGTTACTGAGGAGCAGTTCAAGTAGACTAAATTTCCTTTCTTGACCTGATTGATATAGATATTGAGATACTTGTATAATGATCACCTTTTATTTTGTCTATTTATTCATTCATCCGCTTATTGGGCCCCTTCTCGGGTTCTTCGGCTCTTTATCCTCTAGGGGACGATGCAAGGCTTGACGAGCCGGGGAGTTAGGAATGCGAAAACGGCGTTGGTGGTTGCAGGGGCAAAACGCATGAGGTTCATAAATGCCTCGAGTTCCAATTCAGAAGTATCGCAGCATTAGCCTATATGCTCTCGTAGCAACCAATTCCGCGATGTTAGAAATGCAAACAGATTTTCCGTGAATTAAGCCAATTACTATGGGTAAATGCGATTCTCTACGGTGGAATGAAACCTGCGTCGAATGCATCAAACTGTAAACTGCATACATATCCTACCTCCCTAGCGACAACGTTATTAGTATATTGAACTTTGCAGGTTACTCAAGCCTGCTCCGAACTGTACTAGCCAGAGTGATGGTATTGGGCTCTATATTTCCATCATTTTCTGTTTTCTTAAGCCATTTTTGGAAATTGGCTACAATTTTCCAAGTGGTTATTGTCGAAGCATTGTTTCAGCTCGAAAAAGCAAGCAGACAGCGCGTGTGTTGGTATTTGCAGTGGCATGTAGAATTTGGTCAATATCTCAGGAAGTCGCACAAGCCCAGTCCAACGTTTCGGCATCTGAATATGATTTAGGGGAAACAACGGATTCTGATCTTCCTACTCCGATCCATGGACGGAGTTCGGTTTTCAACTCGCCCAATCATTCGGCGTGGCACCACGCCTAGCTGATGGAGATAATTTTCATTCCATGTCAACGCCACACAGACTGACATGGGTTAAATCCCTAGAGTGTAGTTCCCCAAACAATATCCCCGCACGGTGCTTGTGGTGCCTTTATAGGCACATCAGACGCTGTCAAATTATCATCCAAAGATAAGGATAAAGAGCGGTTTTGGGGGGAACAAACGGAATTTAGTTATTTATTCCTTGAACCGTTGGTCTTCTGTCACGTATTGATAAGCCCCAGCATGGCTAGGCCCTCCACTGCCTGCCTATTCCATGTCGGAGTCCAGGGTGAATAGGGATTTATGGAGGTAGAATAGTTACTCCTCCAATGGCTTGCGAAACATGTGAGATAACCCATACATAATGTACTGTAGGCTGTAGGATGTAGGTTGTACGATGTCCAAAATACACCAGGGCTGCGGCGAGAAGAGAGATTGCTGAGCCTTGCAACAAGCAAGGTTCATCTGTGGAACAAAAATTAAAATAAAATAAAAATAAAAATAAGGTTAGTTAGATCACGAGTATTCTGCCAAGACTTAGCTCTTTTATCTTGTTAACTCGTTAGTTGGTGATATAATTAGTAACAATGAACTAGTTAGTAAACAGCCAAATACGAAGCAGACTTGGAATACTTTTAAGAGAGGGATGCTTTAAAATGCAGGCATACCAGTCAGATTCAGGAAAGTCAAGTAGTATGTTAAGCAAAAACGCCTTTGGATGTCGCATGCCCAGGCGAAGTGAAGTGCTCCTCTATATATGCATAGAATGGAAATAGAATATAAAAGTATACATAACCCGAAGATGCCAATTAGAAATACCCAAAGACATTTCCAAAAAAAACCAAAAATATGTATATGTTCATGAAGAGAAGTCGTTAAAGGCGTAAAAAATCATTGTGTGGGAAAGAGGTGTGAAAAGAATAAGAAGTAGAATAGAGAAGAAGAGAAGAAGAAGCAGAAGCAGAAAAAAAGTGCAGAGTCTCAGGGAAGCGTAGAATCAAAGCAAGCCAACCCAAGCTAAAAGAAAACAAGGTACATCCAAACAAAGGGACGGAAATCGGAGAGGGGAACAATAAACAAATGCGAAATACTTCAAACTCCCTAACCCCAGTACCAGAGGGGAGCAGAAGATGCACTGGGTCTTCATCCAAGGGACCCAAGCAACGAATTGAATATATATAAATAATATAAAACTCATCGTTTTATCAAGATTTATAAGATGAGATAAAGTTGGCCTTGCGTGAGGGGAGAGGAATTGAGGTAGTCCGCGCTCAAATAGGCTTGGAATAGAAACAGAAATGGGATAAGGTCTGACCGAATAGTATGCTATCATTCGGCCAATTTGACTTGGGTCGGAAGCGGGTTTTCTGGATAGTGAAAGAGACTGTTGGGTATCTTGGAATAGAGTTAAGGAAGAAATTGGGAACTTTTGAGCCAAATTCACCCGGCGAGCGAAATCAACTATGCCCAATCAACTATTGGTTGGATTGACTCCGAGGGTGGGAGCAAGTTTACATCGCAAGGATAGCCATGTGTTTCAGGCCAAGTCATATGAAGATTGCACTGCAGGTCTGTTAGTAAGTTTTATACGTGATAATTTTATATTTTGGATGGGAAGAGGTATCACCTACTGTGCGTGTGCTATCACTGTCGCCTGGGAGAGTAACCAGTGGTGAAGCTTGTGCTACTGTAGAACCCACCGCTTGAAAACCGCCGAAACTCGAGTCATAGGACAGTGAGTTTCCCATAATAGTTGGATCGGCCATGGGCTCATGAAAGATACCAATACCTGTAATATGCGATGTGCTGAAGGGGAAATGGGCCCCGTGGCTGCTATCGGAAGAAGGAGATCGGGAGCACTCTGGAGAAGAGAAGAGGCTTGACTCGTCACCTGCGGAATATGGGACACTGGAGCATCCAATGGATGGGTCGGATGCCCTTCTAAAGCTAGTCCAGTATGGTGGTGAAAGAAGTTGGGTGTTCAAGTATGGAGAATGCGTGGCTTGAAGTGAGTGTAATTCGGGGGTGACTGGGGGAATTTGAGCAGAGTTTGGAACCGAATGAGGCACTGGAACGGAAGGAGAGGATATTGGTATAGCATCAGAGGCATCAGATATTTGGCTAATTCGTCTTTTGTGACCGATGGTTGGCTTAGTGGAAAGGGCATCTTGTTCACTGTCCAGGCTGATGTTAGTATCTCTTTCTCCACTATCAGCTCGGTGTGGAATCATACTGTTTCTCCTTGTGACGTGAGAGAAGGTCGGATCGGTGGAAGCCTTTCCCACATCCATTGATGGTACAGACGAAAGTTGCCTGTGGATTATGGTTCAACTCATGGCGGCTATAAAAACGAAGAATCTTAGTATTAAGCTCTTGATCGGTTTGCGCATAGGCTCCGTATAAATAATCTAAACAGGGCGAGAGATATATACCGTCTATGTTCGGCTCTTGTGAATACCTGAAAGGAAAGAAAAGAAAGAGTATTAATAAGGAAATGTCTAGAAACAAAGGAGCAAGGAAACAGCCTGCACTATTTTGCGCCTTACCTTTGAACAGCCAGGAAACTGGCAGGCGTGGACTCGTTTGCCCTTCTTTGCTTTGCTAACACGATGGGTAGCAGGAGTGTACGTAACAGGCATGGTAACATTGACATTGCCTCGGCGCTGAGATTTGGGGGCGCATTTGCGGGTAGTCATGGTAGAGGACATGCCGACAGTCCCCTCCGAGTGACTTCGATAAAGTTTCATGGGAGTAGGGCGGTGCACACTGAGATTTGGCGAGCAATAACCAACGAAGGGGGTGCTGTCAACCGGAGAGACCATTGTGGGAGTAAGTAGAGGAGTGTGCGGCGTGAGTGGCACGGTCAGCGGCGTCAAGGCGGGGACTGAGCAAGGGACCGCTTCGATATATGGACTGGACCACGACAAAGTGGAATCCATAGTAGCTGCTGTTGCTGGAGAGTCCATCGTTCAAAAGAAAGGAATATCGAAATGGAGGAGAGTCGGCGGCGAAGAGATGTCAAGCATTTAAGAAGCAAGAAGCTTGAGGATGGCAGCAGCGGTGATGATTGAGACCGGAAGTGGGATGGCTGTAGGGGAGTGAAGAATCCGTTGAAGTCTAGAGGAGCCATGACGAACTAAATAAAAGAGACCTGAGGGTCCCTATTATATATCCAGATGCAGTCAAGGTGCGCACGAACGGCTATGTCTTGCTGTGGTTTCGCGTCTGCTCTGCGTTAGATGTCGATTCTCAGGATGCAAGGTAAAGTTGCAAATAATACCCCAGTCGGACCTAAAACCTTAGCGTCAGAAAAAAAGCAAAATGATGGTTAAGACGGCCTTGAAAAAAGAAATAAATGTGAGCAAATGAGCCAAGGTGGATCAAAAATAGAAGCTAAGTACACAAATTAACCCGTGATGGGTGGGCAGTGTGGCTGCTGGCGCTGTGACGACCAGGAAAGATGCAGGCGCCGGGGTCAGGGGTTGATGCATACTCGCGCCGACCCTTTCGCCTCTCTTCTCCCCTTCCACCCTTCTTTACCTGGCTTGTCGCAGGTGTGTGAGCGTGTACGTACAGAACTAAAACGATCTTGAAACACTCATCACAGGCGCTGGCGGCTGGAACAGTTATCCTGGGCCCTTTACTGGCGGGCAGTTATGCAGGGCAGCGCCCCGATGCGCTGTTCCCTGGCCATAGAGCGGCCTTCGAGGGCGGAGCGCAAAGTCCAGAGTAAGGACACCTCTTAGCGCTCTCGAGTGATAGTCATGAGGGTCGGCGGTTAAGTGCACCATTGTCCTATTCTAAGAACTAGAACCACCGTGGTAGATGATATCGCCGCTGTTGACGTCGTCGTCGTCGCCAGAACGTTTGACGTTGAAGAGTTGAAGTCAGAAGAAGGCCAGCTGCTTACTCATTCACTTTTCACGTGATGGTTAAGCATGGATGGATGGATGGTTATCTCCGACCAAATTCCCGCGAGGTTGTGTTGTGAGGTGCACAGCACCGACACCGCTACGTCTTCGCGGCATCGCCATGGAGTATAGAGGGCAAGGTGACGAGCTTGCAGTCTCTGTATCAGGTCTAAACGCCCGACGTTATGCAGACAAAGACATCTCGCTGGCAAGTTTCACGTCCAGGTACCTGCTCAATGTGTCCACCACAACCAACATTTAACCCAGCATTCCGAGTGGTCGGTACGCCGCCCAGGTCTTCATAACATCCGCCCAGCCCCCGTCTGCCAATGAGAACCAGTCTTGTATCCTAAATCAGGAACAAAAATAACCCAAAGAGCAAAACAAAATACAAGAAAATGACGACTAATTAGGCTGCTCATTGCACCCTACCAAAAACTTAGTTGGATTATTCGGGGTTCTGAAACTAAGAATAACAACATGCAGCCGACTAAGGCACCTGCAGGATCCCGAGCAAGCGGACAGCCAGAGGGAACCCCAGGTTTGCCGCCGAATCTGCAACCACTTTCACACTCACTCTCACGCACAAAATCTTCCCCAACTTCAAAGTACCCAACCGCCAGGTCGCCGTGTTTCATCCATTCTCAGATAACCAAGTTTTGTATCACTAGCCGCCCATCTATCAAGCAGTGATTGATCTCTCTTCCCGGGAGAGGCCTGAGGTCGGCCACTCTATCCACTTTTCTTCTTTTTCTTTTTTACTTTTCCCTCCCCTTTCACCTCTTGTCACCGATAGGTCCCTCCACTGTCGGCCCGTCCGTCCCAACAGGCACGAACGAACCAACCAACCATCAAGTTTGAAATGTGGCTTCAGCTTTTGATCGGCTGTTATATCCGAGAAGGAGAACCGCCTTCTCATAACCTATATTCGTATAATGTAGCTTTACACCCGCCAATCGCAAACGCATCACTCTACTCCTACTGAAAGTATCGTGTTGATTAATGCATGTATTCGGCTACTGTTTGCGTGAATTGGCCAAGGCCAGCCATCATGGTTGCTTGCTTACTTACTTATATATCCTGGGTTATCTAGAGCCTGCAAATCCTTCATCATACGCATCCACATGTCAGAGCTCACTAGGTGTCCGGGAACTCGATTCTATGCTTGTCTCAGCAGGGGTGTTGTGGGGCCGCCGCATGCCAACCGCCTTATGTCTGTGCTATCTCCTATCTGATACACTCTATAGTTATAGTTGTTCTACCTAGAATATCATAGAAGCTGAAGAGCGAGGTGAAGTATAATTGTAAATATTTACTATGGTGATGGAGCATGCAAGCTGGAGCTTTCTGCCGATCTAGTGAACTTGACAATGAGACTGATGAATAGTCTCGAGCTATCGTAATGCGTAGTCTCCGTTAGGTTAAGTTTCCCCCTTCGATTAATCATACTCCAGCGTCGCTTACTACACCATATGCCTCGAGCTTCCAGGATTGAGGACGTTTCATGTTTATAGAGGGCGAAGGGCAGACCAAGGCCAAGCATACTACACATTACATACATATAAGCCAGGAAATTCTAGCCGTGCATGAGCTCTGCTCCACCTTAGTGCATAGCTTCCACCCGATGTACCATTATATCGTTTATGTATGTTTCGGAGTCCCTGCTTTCACTCTCTCCATCTCTGTTGTCCATGTTGTGCTCTAAATCAGAGTCCGCAGGCACACCAGGTGTGGCCCCAATCTATGTATATATCCCTGACGTTCAGAGTAGGAGTGCTGCGCAAAAACATGGAGTATGGCCACTGCCAACAGTACGGTTCACAGTAGAGTGGAAAGCCCACCCGGTTAACCGGTCAACACAGCCTCTTGTTCGCACTTTCCTTCGGTGTTTGTTTACTCTGGCCATCAAATGTGGGTAAATTAACTTAAAATAACTTTGCTAATAATAAACAGCCGCTAAGCCAAAAGCAGCCATGCTGAAAGAAGGTTCAATTAGATAAGTGCCATAAGTTCGATAAAAATAGTAACTTAACCCGCTAATAAATGTATGCCAAGCAGAATTAACACGACCTAATTAGTACTATTAATAAATAATACTAATTAGCCTGCTTTACTAATGCATCCTTCGGCTTTTTTGCAAAACAACGATGAAAAATCGATTTCGAGTAGGGTCAGACAAGGGCGATCCTACTCGCGCCGAGGGTCAAGACCGGCCCTCTGCTCGTCAGGGCTGATTCACTTCCCTGCCGTGCACTGGCGGTTGATGCAGACAGGCATTTCAGGTTGTAAAAAATCCCCGTCCAATCACAGCCGCGAAATGCGGAGTCTTAACTGTTGGTTTTGCCCTTCTCCTCCAATAAGTCTCCCTTTCTATCTCTCCTATTCTTGAACGTATGAAGACAAAGCTGCCAGCTGGCCATTACCAGATTACGAACCTCTGATATTCCAGGTCGCTCTGCCGTGGTTTTGCCTATGGTCTCCTTCTTTCGCCAATACAAGAGCGAATCGGGAGACTGAACTGGTCATTTTAATTAAAAAAGACCTTCTACCTATCCCTACTATCCCGGATTTCATCCCTTCCAACATCTTATTTGCTCCGTCAAGCCTGTTTTGATATGCTTCATGTGTTAGGTAGCGAGGTGATCCTGCAGCTAGGGGAATGTACCCTCGACAAACATCCACCCTACATGCTTCGCTACAATTTCCTTATCATCTGGAAGAGGAAGAGCAGAATTTTCACACAAGGCGCGGAAGGTGCGAGCAGCATTTTGGAAGGATCTACTCCATCATGTTACTAATACGACGATCGAACCGGGCTACTTTCAGCTTCGATATGCTTCCATAGGCTGGAAGAAGAGAGGGAAGGGGGAAGGCACCTACTGAGAGTACATAATCAGCCTCTTGTTTCATTAAGCTGCAAGGGGTAGGAAGGCTGTTGTTTCGGCCGTTGTACAGTCCTGTTTGCAGCCTCTACGGTACTCCGTACACAGCTTAGAAATATATAGCAGCTGGTTAATATTCTAGAATGTGTTTTCTAGACAACCAGCGATAACCAGTGATAAATCATAAGACACGTTAGTAAGAGACGATAGTAAGCATGCATATACAACAACAGCTCGAACCCACCCTGGAAAATTTCCCACACAATGTGCTCCTTGGCTGAATAAATGAATGCGTTTGACTCAGGACCATGTCTGGGGTCTAGAATAAGTGACTGTACGGAGTATAACGAGAAAATTGGTTGGGAATCAATTTCAGTCTAACTTACCATATGGCCGCCGCTTTTGACTTTTATATCGGTCCTGTTTCTTGAAAAGTTTAACGCCCCTTAGCATACCACAATAGTCAGGCTTACTAACTATAATACTACAAAAGACAGGTGCGTAAGTTAGGAACCGAGTATAAAATGATTTAAAATGAATTTCTGTCTCGGTCTATAGTTACTATGTTGTTAGACTATACTTTTAAGGGTGATCAAAGCGTTCCTGGGGGTGTTTCATCAAAACTCTAATCTTCGACACCTATGACGATATGCTTGACCAAGACATGGTGTTATTAATCGCAGCACTGACGACTGGCAGCCATACGCTTGAAATTCGAGGTCTGATCGTGACGCGAAGATAACTTGAAGTTCACCCTAGCCGTCAGGAGCAGGAATCCTTAGAGTTAAAGAAAATGCGTGATAAGGCTGGCTGCAGAACAGCGTCTATGACAGAAAGGATCTTTGCGGCATGACCTACAGAAACCACAAGGCTGTGAACAAGAGATAATGTCATGGTCCAAGTGATTATATACGTGCGACAGTATGTATAGTGCGGCCGACAGGGAATGCTTGCCAAGGTGTCTACCGTAACATGGAGCATATGCATTTGCTTGTGGTAACAATCAGTTACGCCCCCTTTCAACATTGCTTGGAACGATCCCAGAACACCATCCGCATCGACTTCGCACAGCACCCGAGGTTTCTTGTTTCAAGTATGTTGCGTTTTCCCGGTCATCGTCACGTTCCTCAACACTAGCCCCAACACGGACTCTCTTCTTGACTTTTTGTTTGACCACACCCCCGATACCTTCGATCTCCTGCCGGAGGTAACCTGGTTCCTCGTCATCCCGACCATCCGAATGCGAAAACGAGCTAGAGTGACGGAGATGCTCGAGGGAGCTCTCATTAGAACTATCCGAACGGGAAAATTCCGAAACCCAGTCTCCGGCTTCACAGTCCACCTCTACCTCGATGTACTCCGCAGCAAGACACCTTTGCTCAAGGCCACACTGCACACCCTGGCCACAGTCTCCATACCCGACCCAGTGACCACCTCCTCCAAGGAATTCATTGTATCTGGTGCGCCATGACCAGACACGCTGGTAAGTGACATCTTCCGCCCTCAAGTGTTGGCCACAGGGACGACAGTACCAAGCATTGGTATCACAGGTGCATATATGTAGACCGGAAGTTTGTCCATTTGCGGCAATCCCATTTTTATGGTTGCTCAAGGGCGCTTCGATGCAGGTAGGGCAAATCCGTCGCAAACGGTTTTTCAAGTTTGCCAGTGAAGGAGGCTTGGCCGTGCAGTTCTAAAACAAAAACGACAAGAATGTCAATGAGAGCTCATTAGTGGATATAGCAGCTGTATATAAAAAAGCTGAACAACCATACCCTGCAAACGTATTCATCACAACGCTGGCATTTGTCAACCATGTCTCTGGCACAACGTCCAGATTTCCCCCAAGTAAGGCTGCCGCCCCGGGTAGGAGGCAAACTACCCCATTGGACATTAGATGGGTTTGAGCTAGACTGATTGATTATGCTATCGAGGACCTCGTTCCTACAGCGTAGGGTTTCCTTGACGAGCTGGTTTCGAAAGATAAGGAGCGTAGAGTGGACCTGACGGCATGTCATGGATAATGAATGTAGAGTGGTTAGGTCCACACACCGAGCGAGCATGGTCACTATCCTGTAGAGAAGAACGTAGAGAGAAGCAAGGCATATGGTCAACAATCTTGGACAAGAAATTGCCAGATACCACAGCATTCAAAAAAGGAGGAAATATATAGAGTGAATCAACATATTTCATCCTCAACAACGACAGCAGCAACAGCAGCAACAACAGCAAAAGGTGTGATGTTTTTGCGTACGGGTAGCAGCTTAATGCCATAGATATCATGCCATTCAGACTCGAAGGATCTCTATCCCTCTCGAGCCCAGTTTTATCAACCATCTCCGCCCTGGTACAATCGCCAGTTCGCAGTTGGGACAAGGATGCGGCGAGCATGAACTGACTATCTTTGGTGAGTGGCGGCGGTGGTATTTTCCCTGCCTCGAAGAAGCCGCCAACAGGTTCGCTCAGAGACGCATCTTCGAGCGAATGGTCTATAAACACCACCATGGTTGTGCCATACAGATACCCCTCTAACAGAAGCGGAGCGGGACGTGGGAAAGCTGTAGCTAGAGGTATCCAGTGGAATAGATATCCGGATAGCCGGGGTTAGTGCACAAGCGAAGAATTATGAATTCTAAGACAAGACATAAAAGAGGGCAAGGAGAAAAGAAGATAGGAAAGAGACCGTTAACTACTGAAGAAACATGCTGGCAGGCCGCTTCCCAGCTCGCAAGCACGACGCAAACCAAGCAAGTTAAGTAGAAACTTCACTCGACGTTGATGTGCGGCTAATGCTCATCGGTTAAGACGCCGTCCAGTCACTCTCTCGTCCTTTCTCGCAGTCTTCAAACCCTAAAGTCAGGTGACGCTTAGATAATGGAACCTTATCAGCAGGTGACCCCGCCCGGCCTTCCTGCGGTATTTAGTAATTCCGCCTTCCGATACGGGCACCAATGGGAAGAAAAAGAAATATTAGGTAGGTCGTCCAATGGAAACAGAACTCGGGGTTTCAACCCTCCTCCATACAGAACGACGGATAGAGGTGTGACCTGTGAATGCGGTTTGTATGGCGTACAGGCTCTTTAATCCATGGCTTTATGGATATTATTCTACTGCCTCCCAACCTTCCGGCTCTGGTTAGTTACTCCGTGAAAGAAGCGGCTTCCAAGGAGGATGGATAACCTTCGCTTATGTTTTTGTTGACACCCACCTTCTGCCATCCTGACTACGATACCCTCCTGCTTTGTGAGTGCTATCGTCCTTCAATATATTCTTCTCAGGTCTCGAGATAGGGTCGTCGTTGATCCATTCATATTTGGTACTCGCTGGACAGAAACGATGAAACCAATAATCTCTCGATGCGCGTGGTCCTGGTATACTATTTGGGAGTTCCCAAATTTGAGGAAAAATTCTTCTGGGATGACATGGGTTGTCGCGGGTCAATCACACAGTGATCTATCCCAGAAATTTACGTTATCGCTCCTTATTCCACAGCTAATATTGCAGTCTCGGTAGCTTAACAAAACGTGACAGGCTAGAACAGAGCTGGCTTCGCATTCAATGAGTTTGGGGTGTGTTCAGTTGTCAGCAACGAACTGGACCCTAGAGGGTCACCACTCCTGCACGAAGGAAGACTGCTCTGCATTATTGAGAATGCTCGCATGTACGGAGTATGTGCGAGTTGCTTCCCTATGCGATATATACGGAGTGGGAACTCCAGGCCGGCTCTTGATTCCTTGCGGAAAGGAAAGAGGGAGAACGATACGGAGTACGGAGTACTGTACTCCATACGAAGGGATGGTTGATCAAACATATGGCTTTCACGGAACATAAACTGTCTTCCGTGTGAAGTGCCTATTATGCGCTACCAGCCTCACGCTAGGCCGAATTACAATTATGCGGGCCACTGACCCCTCTTTGGTATCAAGCCGGCCCTCCCTTGACCAGTTATGGAGTATGGCTGTACCCATTTGTTACTAGTTTGGAACAGAGGTAAACGAAGTGGTGCATTTCAGAAGCTCGGAAGATTCTATTATCTTCTGCGCTGGGACGAACTCCTCGATTTCGAAATGCTGATCCTCACCACCCTTCCCGCGGCTGTCTCGCTAGTGAGCAGTTGCCCACCTCCTTGGGTTGGCTTCAGACAGCGTAACTCTGGCCATTGGCCTGTGTCACATCGTTACTCGAGCTGTGAGATACCTTGCATTTGTACACCCCTGGCTGCTTTCTACCCTGGCTCGTTGGACTTTAGCAAGCGCCCACAGCTGAGTGGACTCATTGTCTGTGAGGCATGACTGGTTCGCAACCTGAATAACCATCTTCTTCGCGTCGTTTCAACAATTAATCTAGCAGAGTAAGCAAGTTTAACTAGTTAGCTACTCCATACTAGTCGCATACATAAACAAACAAGCATGAATGCTTAAAGAGTTTGATATCAATCGCCCCACTGCAAGTCAATTTCTGCTTCCGCTGCATCACACCGGTTCTGCAGGGATCCATTCTTTCCCCCGAGGACCCTTTCTCAGCTACGTTATTTCCACGACAAAGCTGTCGAATAATGCGCATTCGCGTTTTCAACAACATACAGCACACCACACATGAGCGGCGACTTGTCACTTTCAAACAGGACTGGCTGGTTCAAAACTCATGTACGAAGTACGGAGTCCTGCCGCTCCGCAGCGCGAGGAAAACACTTCCAGCAAAGCACAACTAACTAGCTAGTTAGTTAACTGTTAGTTTATCAGGCTGCACTACCGAGTACCCGGCTTCAGCCATGGTGTTAGCTGATACACAACACAGGCTTAGGGCTCGAGATGGCTTGGTTAATTACAGAATCCTCTGTCGGCCTTGGGGGCAGGACTGCTTAATGGTTGGTATACCTTTAACCACAGCAACATGGTGGATACCCCAAAGCCTCTCCCGCAATCAAGACTTCCAGGGTAGCTAATTACCATCCAGCCTTGTGATTAGTGGCTCCTCCTTCTTTGATGGCCAACTTGAGAGCTGAGACAAAAGCAATATTAGTGACGGGAGAAAGAGAGAGACAAACGAATCAATGCGCAGGTCAAGAAAGGAAAAAAGCAACCGGATGTGTAAGTTTAGGCTCTCTTTTGTTTCTAAGCATCCCGAGCAAGAGTAGCCACAAATAGCAAAGAACGCTGTATGACATGGCATGGCATGGCATGGTGGGATCTTTTACCCCCAAATACCACTACTATATAACTCGAAATTCTGTAAACAGTCTTGACACCTCTGTCCCTAACCACTGTTTGATATTGCGTTAAAGCTCAAATAACAGAGTACCCCGAGTGGGCGTTCCGTCTTACCAGTTGGTCCGATTGCAGCCCTATCAGGCCTCCCTTGATTGCAATAACTACTTGCATCAGGCAGACCACAGCTCGGACAGACAGCATAAGCCATGGCATGGCTAGGGAGTCTGAGTGTCTCTGACATCATCAACTACACCATTCCCTATCAAATTGCGGCTCTCTCTGTTGGCCTTCTGGTAGTTCTCATCTTGCTTATTGACCATGCAGACATTCTCCTGCGTTCCCGACATGTCAAGGATCTCTACTGTGTTACTAGTCAGACCCTTTTCAAGACACGGTTTAGGAAGAAGCTGAGTGGCACTGAGTTAGAAAATGCCCTTCGATACGCATACAATAATGTACGTTGACCTTTGCCAGGCGTGCAAGGGTGGTACCGCCCTCGACAGTCCTCGACTAGATATTGTTACTGACTATCTTTCTTTAAACAGTATACCAAGCAAGGGAAGCCGTTTGCAACCAAAGCAGATCTTGAAAGTTGGATTATACTCCTTCCGCCGAAAGCGATGAAGGAATGGTGTAACTTGCCTTACAGCCATTTGAACTTCACGAGATATCTCCAGGATGTACGTTATCTCCCAAACTACCTTTTTGGTTTGTTGTTGAACACTCGGCTAATTATCAATACGTCGTAGGTGGCTGCCATGGGGTATCATACCCAGGTGGATTGCCAAACTCACCTTCGCGCTGTCATGGCGTACAATCAGAAAAAACATTTTGGTTAGCCTTCTTTAAACACTTACTGCTGGAACATACGTTCAATCGATAGGCTAACATCTATTCTTCTCACATACAGCAAAGATTCAGCGATATATGGCCGCGGACACCGAAGAGTTTCTTCCTTCATTGTTAGGCAATCCAAATCACAAGGGTATCTATCGCTTGCTACCCACCTCCTTTACCCATTACCTGGAACATTGGCGGATAATCTAATACGTTCTATGTAGAGTGGGTTGATTTCAACTTATTCGGGACGGTGTCTCCCCTCTTGATGCTCTTTTCTACATCTCTAGTCTTGGGGCCAAAATTCTCCAGAGACCAAGAGCTCATGGCACAGATAACCTCCCACGTCCTGGGCATTGAAGAAATATTGGGGGAATTTGATAGATACCCAAGGATTCTACGTCCTTTTGTATGGGGATTCTCCCCAATATGTCGAGCATTCCGCTCCAATGCTTCGATACTAAAAGAAAAAATAATCCCTGAGATCCGGAGACGTGTAGCGTTACTCCGATCAGGCGAATCAGCAGCTGATGATCTAACCATGTTGACCGTGTTTTTGAAGCAGGCGTTGAAGGACGGTCTTCTTACTCAAGAACAGTCTCCAAGTGATGAGAAGCAGTTCGAAAGTTTGTACATGAAGTCTTTGTTCCACATATACGAAGTCTGGGGACCCATTGCGCCGCTCCTAATCGCTCTCCTAACCAGGATTATGGACAGTCCAGAATATGTGGAAGATCTAAGGGAAGAGGTTTCGAAAGCACTAGCTTCTGCCGATGGATGGGACTCTGACTTCCTAGCAAACACACCAAAGCTAGAAAGCTTCACTCGAGAGACACTGCGCTTGAACGTTGCAATTTCTGGTAGGTGCTTTGTCCATCACCAGATCCTACACTTCTGCTCTGCGAGGCCGAGCTAACAGCTATATTAAACAGTCAGCGTGTCTCGAGTGCTCCATGCGCCGCTTATGCTCAAATCTGTGGACATGGAGCTTCCAAAGGGATCGTATATAGGGTTGCCCACTAAATTCATGCATACCGACCCTGAGCTCTACTCTGATCCCCTGACCTTTGACAGATTCCGCTTCTATGATCAAGCATCGAATACAAGCATCGCACGGGCAACCACTGCCTCTGAAACATTCCTCCCGTTTGGATATGGAGCTTCACTCTGCCCTGGAAGGTTTATTGGTGTGAAGGCAGCCCAGGTTGCCTTCTCAAAGTTCCTGCTGGAATATGATGTGAAATTCCCTATCGAGGGTCAAAAGTTCCCGCCTATGGGCCTTCTTGAGAATACATGGACCTATCCCGAGATGGATGTCATGGCGAAAGTCCGGAGACGCCAGTCCAAGTCTCCTTAAGTATATGTTCAATTCGATTCTCTGTGCATAGGGACAACCAGCGCAAGTTGTATTACTGAAACACTGCCCCGAATTATCCCTTGGCGAGTTGATTCATTAATTAGTTAGTTACCCTAGTTAAGTGAATATTGTTAGTTAACTAGTTAGCTTTGTTTCAGATGGAAATTGAAAAGGTCGCGAAGCTGTACCTATATATGCCCCCCATTTCTAGCAATCTATGAAATAATCCACAAATGTCTTCCTCTATCTATCTAGAAGTACGCGGACATCGGTTTGTGCTAGTTATCAATCCCCCCTTGCTATATAATTGCTTGCAGCCCCTTGATGTGACGATGGGCGATCCCACCAGCACGCTCTCCGCATGAAGATGAGGAGAAAAGACGGAATCTCCATGTGGGGATGAGGCAAAGAAAGCATCTTCTGACCTTCTGGCATGCTGTTCTGCTGCTGCGGACCCTTGAGATGGGACTTGGGACGGGGCCAAAGCCGGTGCGGAGGGAGTCCTTTTGGGCTGCTCGGCGATAATCTCGGCTTCTTTCCATGCGGCCTCGATTTACCCGAGTTGCTGCATAACTGACTACTACCCCGGACAGCTATTTAAGCAGACGTCCGAGGAGCTGCTGAGACTGGATATGCTGCTGGCACAGTCGACAATTGATTCGAGTCGGAAAACACTACTGAATAACTAGCTATGCCTGTGACTGCGAGCGATGTCCACTCGGCGTCTGCGCCCTTTACTGCGTTTCCTTGCCGCCGAAGCGTGGTCCATAGCACGAAGGGGATAGTCTCATGTACCCAACCTCTGGCTGCTGAAGCTGGCCAGAGGATCCTGAAGCTAGGTGGTAATGCTGCTGTAAGTTCACTTACCGAGCTATCCGTGTTGTGTATGTTTCTACGTACTGATGATCTCAGGATGCGGCAGTTGCTGTGGGTGAGTGGGATGATAACAGCTATGGCCCCTCCAAAGAGAGCCTGCAACAGGCCACATTACATGCCACAGAACTAACGAAGCAGTGTAACAGCGGCTGCGCTGAATGTGACGGAACCACACTCTACCGGTATTGGTGGTGACATGTTCTGTCTGTTCTACAATGCCAAAACAAAGAAAGTGCATGCCTTGAATGGCTCTGGACGGATGCCGGCGGGTGCTTCCCTGGACCGGGTGCGTCAGGCGCTGGGAGACGACAGTTTGACACAACTACCAAAGCTGAGCGTTCATGCTGTTACGGTGCCAGGTACCGCTGCCGGGTGGGTGGACACAGTGGAAAAGTTCGGAAGTGGGAAGGTCACCCTTGAGCAAATCCTCACGCCGGCTATTGAACTGGGCGAGGAAGGGTTCCCTGTGGCTGAGCTGGCATCTTCATTCGTAAGTGCGTCCCGAGTATATGATTTGATGGAGTGTCTATATACTAATAGCTGAATGCAGTGGAAAGGGTCTGAAGGCAAGATCCGCAAAGGAAGCCCAAACTTCAAGGAGCTCCTCAGAGAAGATAGCCAGGCAGAAGGCGGTGCGAGGGCCCCTGCTCCGGGTGAAGTGTTCACGAATCCAACTCTGGCCAAGACATTCCGGGCCCTGGCAAAGGATGGGAAGGATGGATTCTACAAAGGAGAGGTAGCCAAGGCTATCATCCAGATTGTTGAAGACCTGGGTGGCTTCATGACCCTCGACGACCTCAAGAACCATGCAGAAATGGGCAGCCAGGAGGTTGACCCAATCTCCCTGAAGTTCGACCCCAGTGACTTTGTATCCTCCAAGAAGAAGGAAGATGGAAAGGAGGTCGAGCTCTGGGAGCATCCACCCAACGGCCAAGGCATCGTCGCTCTGATGGCTCTCGGCATACTCAAGGAGCTCTCGCGCTCCGGGAAGATTCCTCATTTCTCTCCCGACCAACACAATAGTGCACCATACCTGCATGCCCTGATCGAGAGTCTCCGCATCGCCTTTGCAGACGCAGCGTGGTGGGTGACCGATCCAGATGTGGAGAAGGTGCCGGCCCAGCAGCTCATCTCGCCCGCCTACCTGGCCGAGCGAGCCAAACTCTTCGATCCTAGCAAGGCATCAGCTGGCATCCTAGACCATGGCAGTCCCGCGCACAACCACAGCGACACGGTCTACCTTGCCGTCACCGATAAGGAAGGAAACGGCATCAGCTTCATCAACAGCGTATACGAAGATTTCGGTACCTGCATTATTCCCGCTGGTTGCGGGTTCACGCTTCAGAACCGTGGCGCCAACTTCTCGTTGCAAACCGACCACCCGAACGTCCTGCGGCCGGGAAAACGGCCATATCATACCATAATCCCTGCTATGGTCACCAACCCCTCAGACAACTCCCTGCACACCGTCTACGGCGTCATGGGTGGCTTTATGCAGCCGCAGGGTCATGTCCAAGTGCTCTTCAACACCTTGGCGTTCGACCTGTCTCCTCAGGCGGCGCTGGATGCCCCGCGGTTCTGCATCGAGGCAGGCAGTAAGGAGAAAGGCCATGGACAGATCATCTACCTTGAGGAAGGCATCTGTGACTCTGTGGTCGAAGAGCTTAGACAGATGGGCCATCCGGTGAAGGTTCTCAAGTCCTTTGATCGGAGCAAATTTGGCCGTGGTCAGGTTATCAGATGTCATACTGATCAGGGTAAGACTGTATATAGCGCCGGAAGCGACATGAGAGGTGACGGTGCGGCCTTCCCGGCATGAGGCATTGTCCACCCATCAGCGTATTTTAGTTTGTACAACTTTTCTCTTGGTATCTTTTTGGTAGCTCTTGTTCCTCTCGGTTGCTTTTTGGTAGATAAATCTTCGCCCGGTAAAATAGTGCGTCGATTGGACGATTCTCTCGGACCAGTGTTCCGACCAGTTGTTTGATCGTTCAGATGAATAGTTAATAGGTGCCGGGCTTCCTGTCGATCTGCTTCTCACAGCAAACGCCTGACAGGGATAGATAGGTATTGTCTTTTCCTTGAGCAGTCGAACCACCCAAGACGACGGATGGATATTGGCTATCCCATCACATGCCGGGCAGTCCCTTGACGAAGGCAGCCGAATTAAATCCCTTTCCCCCGCGGGATGGAGAGAGAGACAGGGAGAGGGAGAGGGAGAGGGAGAGAGAGCATGAGGAGTCCCTGGAGGGAAGGCCTGGAAAGAGCCTCAATATCCGGTTTTTGTATGGATGAGCAGCCGGGATGTTTGGTGGTTTTGGTTTTGAGGGAGCTGAGATCATCGACAGGGGATATATGAGGACAAGAGACCCATCAGCAGTCAACTCGGACACAGCAGCAGAGAAAGCAAAGAAGCCGGGCCAGCATATATCTCTTGACCATCCTTCTCGACTATCCCTATCCTCCCAAATTATCCGGGACGGCCACCTTCTCTTAGCATCACTAAGGGACGAATCCTTGCATACCTAACAAGGCGGCTAAGGCCTCGTCAAGAACAGCAAAGCACCCAGTGTGTATATACCGGTTAAAGGGACCGTCCGCAGCTGGAGGGCATCCGAATCAACCTCCTTTGCACATCCTAGCGGCCTTCTTTTTTGGCTGACAAGGGAGTGAAGCTGTTGCTATCAACCCTCTGCTGGCTGTCACTGGTCGAATCCCCCCCTCGTCTCCAAGTCTCTCTCTAGCCGCCTGAGCCCTGTTGCTGCCCCACGCTTCATCACATCAAGTCACAGAGAGAAAAGGACATTATTTACTCCTGTCTTCTGTACTGCTTTCTCTCCTGTTACTCTGTTCTTTTTCCTTCCTGAGATAACTAGAAGAGTGAAGCGGGCGAGTCAGTGCCGGTTCTCTCGTTTGGATAACAACCGCCCCCCCGAGGCGCATCAGACCAGGTAAATAAACCACCCAGACCTCTCGCGGCCGTCATCCTGCTGCCTGCTGCTCGACTATCGCCATCGCCATCGCCATCACCACCCGCCGTCTGGCCTCCCTCACTCTGCTCTACTCTGGCTCTAGACGGGGCGAGGGTCCTCCTGTCTTACATACCAACCTCTCCTCTCTCTTATCCTCCCCCCCTTTTTTCCCTTTTCTTTTCTTTCCATCCTCCCTCTCCCCCACCACCAAGCAATCCTGTCGCCTTTCACTCCTTCTTCCCTCCTCCACAACCCGCCGATGCAGCAGTGCTCAAAGGCCGAACAACGAGCCCAAGCTGTCTGCTCCTCCTTCTCCGGCTCATCAAACCTCGAATAGATAGACCCGGAGACCCACTACTCCCGTAGTCTGTCCCTCTATTTAACGACTATTTTATCTTTTCCACTCCAAAAAAGACCGAACCAGAAACTCAATTAAACCTCCCCCCTTCGACGCTCGAGGAATCGCTGCTTGTCCTCTTGCTTCCTTTTGCCTCGGGCTTCTGCATCTCTGGCTCTGCAAGAACTGCGAGAAGACGCCCTGCCTTGTCTCCGGCCGGTTTGTGGATTGTCTTGTCTGGCGCCCCGGTTCTCCCTTTTCGCCGTGCCTTTCCCTGTCGACCTAGATAGGTACATGCGAGCGCGAAGTGACGGGCAACATGGCAGATCTTCAAGGACGGAAGGTCTTCAAGGTGTTCAACCAAGACTTTATCGTCGATGAGCGCTATAATGTCACCAAGGAGCTGGGCCAGGGAGCCTACGGCATCGTCTGGTATGTGTGGTTTTTTTTTTTTTTTTTCTCCTCCCCCTTCCTTTTCCCCTGGGTCCTTCGTGCGGCTGTTTTGCTGCCCCGCATCCATCCAGGCAGTAGAAACAACATCCCGCCAGCGTCGTCACGCAGGAGCAGCAGCAACAGCAGCGAATAGAGCAACGAGCAACAGCTAATGCGACCTGGGAAACTGATAGTGCTGCCTCCAACATCCAGACCAACGATGGTGTGGCCATCAAGAAAGTCACAAATGTGTTCAGCAAGCGTATTCTGGCCAAGCGGGCCCTGAGAGAGATCAAGCTGCTACAGCACTTCCGTGGCCATCGCAACGTACGTTTTGGCAGCACTGCATTCCATTGTACTCGGGCTGATGAGATCTAGATCACCTGTCTCTATGATATGGACATTCCGCGGCCGGAAAACTTCAATGAGGTGTACCTGTATGAAGGCATGTGGCTTATATATATATACTGCAACTAAACTCGGCAATCTTCACTATAGCAGGAGCTGACTGATACTAGAACTCATGGAGTGCGATCTTGCGGCTATCATTCGATCAGGACAGCCCCTTACGGACGCCCATTTCCAGTCTTTCATCTACCAGATTCTATGTGGACTAAAATACATCCATTCGGCTAACGTGCTGCACCGTGACTTGAAGCCCGGTAACCTATTAGTCAACGCCGACTGTGAGCTGAAGATTTGCGACTTTGGCCTTGCTCGTGGATTCTCGATTGACCCAGATGAGAATGCTGGATACATGACCGAGTATGTTGCGACAAGATGGTACCGTGCTCCAGAGATCATGTTGAGCTTCCCAAGCTACACCAAAGCCAGTGAGTCCAGTCTATACCAGTTAGCTTATAGGAGATACCATTGGGACTAACTGTTCCTTACTAGTTGATGTGTGGTCCGTTGGATGTATTCTTGCCGAACTGCTTGGTGGGCGACCTTTCTTCAAAGGCCGTGACTACGTCGACCAGCTAAACCAGATCCTCCACTACCTTGGAACCCCCACCGAGGAGACTCTCTGCCGTATCGGCTCCCCACGCGCCCAGGAGTACGTCCGCAACCTACCCTACATGCACAAACAGCCCTTCGCCAGACTATTCCCCAACGCCAACCCGGACGCTCTCGATCTCCTCGACCGAATGCTCGCCTTTGACCCTTCGTCGCGTATTAGCGTGGAAGAGGCCCTGGAGCATCGCTACCTGCACATCTGGCATGATGCGAGCGATGAACCCAACTGCCCTACCCCCTTCGACTTCCACTTTGAGGTCGTTGATGATGTGCAGGAGATGCGACGCATGATTCTTAACGAAGTACAGCGTTTCCGCGACCATGTGCGCCAACCTTCTCATATCCAGGCTGCTCTTGCCCAGCAACTACAACCCCAGCAGACCAATGTGCCTATCCCAGAGGACAAGGGAGCTTGGAGACACGAAGATCCACGTCCACAGGAAGCAGTGTTTGATGGAACGAGCGAACACGATCTTGAAGCATCATTACATAGAGGCATGGACATGATTAGATAAATAGCGGGTCTGTATTCAGAACGACGCAAAGAGCGCAACAAAGAGATGGAGGGAGACTAATCTGCAAATACCAGCCAGCTCAAGGACAATGGGGGGAGAAAAAAATGGGTATTATTCACATCGAGGCTTTCGCCCGTCCTTTTGCCTCGCCCTCTTTACTTTTGTTTTTTTGATATTTGGATATCCTTTTTTGAATGGTTCAAAGCACTCTACGCTGTTTTATTTTGTGTCTTTTTATCTTATACTTCCCTTTTTGCTCCTCTTCTATGCGGTCTGGGCTAAATTTTAACATGAGATGATGCGGTTTCCCATATATGGTACAAAAATTTACTTGATACTATTCTCAATAGAAAAACCCTTTGCTTTGTACTCATTTTAACTCAATTTCTATGAAGAAGTTTGGTATTCAGACAAATAGAATCACAGCTATTGTTTTCTAGTTTGTAGATGACAGATGATAGTCATCTAGATAGTCATAATAAAGGAAGACTTAGAGACCAGCCGGTCTCTACAAGGAGGTATATATGGTAAGTAGAGGGGAGTGTTCTTTTCATCCTGGCTAACAAGGGTGTAGGATGGAAAAGGAGCAAAGGAAAAACACAAAACCAACATGACTTTAAAAACGCCAACGCTATGCATCCACCCTCATTGAAAATAGGGAAGAGAATATACGAGGAAATGTGATAAAAATACACCGGTCGAAGGGGTAGTTATGGCTTCCGCTTGAAACCGGACGTTGCCGTGTGTTTTGGGTCGAAACGGAAGTTCGATATCCAACAAGGTCACATCGAGATGTAGTCGGCGGATAAATATCTAAACGGACTTCTCAAGCAGCTCCTTTGCTTCGTTGATCTTCGTGGCGAGGTACGGGCTGCCGCCTCGATCGGGATGGTTAAGGAGCATCAGCTTGCGGTGGTTCAAGCGGACTTTGTCTTTGGTAAGAGTTCGTTCACTAGGGACAATATTAGTTACTGTACTATCTGTGTATCTATTTTTTCATGATAGAGGAGAGGAAGGGTCTTTTCGGATAAGTGGGTGGACGTACGAGAGAGATAGGATGAGAGAAGCCTCCCTCCGATTCATCTTGGGCTCGAATCCGCCCTTGTAGAATGCACGGCCAGCACCGTTGACGCCTCCTCTGTATCTGCGCAGGGCAACTAGACCTGCTCGACCCTGTACGGATATTAGTTCCTGATGCTGTGCTGTTGATGTTCAATGGGACTTACGAAGAAAGCGGCCGCGGCAACACCAACACCGATAGCGACGACGGAGGTCATTTTTGGCGAGAGAGTGTATTTCTGTGCAGGACACAAGTATGCGACGCCCGAGATGTCTGTCGATAGCTCGTCCGCTGGACTGCGAAGTTCTTTGCTCGGATTCTTCCCTTCTCGTTCTCGAGATTTGCGAAAAGGCGAAGAGAAGAGAAAAAAGTTATATAGACTTCGCCCGATTGGGACTAGCGTGGAAAAGCCACCCGCAACGTCGAGTGGAAAAAAAAAAAAAATTAATTGAATGGATTTTGATAGAAGAAACAAACGACAAGATTGAATATATTTGAAAGTATTAGTTATATAAGATAGTCGTCGACCGGGCTCCAACATGCGGTAAGCAGACTCTTCTAGAAGTGCTATGGACAGCTTAGACTAACAGGGGAGTGTTGTAGGGTTGAGACTTGCCATTTCTGCTCACAGCCGGTGTATCCCTCCAAGGGGATAACATTCGTGCGCAACGATGCTCGACAGTTCCGCTTCTGCCGCTCAAAATGCCATAAGAACTTCAAGATGAAGCGTCAACCACGCAAGCTGAAGTGGACCAAGACACACCGAGCTCTGCACGGCAAGGAGATGATAGTAGACTCCTCGCTGGTCCTCTCACAGTTCGCCAAGAAGCGCAACGCACCCGTGAAATACGACAGGAACCTGGTGGAATCAACGATCAAGGCCATGAAGAGAGTGGAAGAGATCCGGCAGCGAAGAGAGAGGGTATACACGAAGAGACGGCTGGCAGGCAAGATTGCCAGGGACAGAAAGAGAGCCGAGGACAGAAGAGTTGTGGCGGAGGGCGAGCATCTTATCCGCAAGGAACTCAAGGAGATGGCAGAGGGAGCCAAAAAGCCAGAAGACCTGCTCAACAGAAAAGTCGGCCTGCCTGTTGGAGAGGAGAAGCTGCGTGGGAAGCAGAAGTCCAAGCTCTTGGTCGACGGCGGTGTGGAGGAGGAGATGGATCTCGACTAAATCCGTTGACTCTTCTTTGCATCTTACGCCCTTGCTTTTTTTTTTATTTTCCTTTGCTTTCTTACCTACCTGCTTGCCGGTTTACCATGCTACTGGCAACAGATATCATCATGCTGGATTCCCCTGTTTTTGAAAAGATTAGGCGTGTACTCTCCTTTTTTGTTACCTGCGATGGCGTTTGAATGGGTAGGGAAAAGAACTTTGATATATCCTTCTTTTTTTTTTACATTCTATCATTCTATGCTCTTTCTGTCTCCTTTCTCTTCTACTCTGTTTACATTCTCTTGTTTACCCTGCAGCTTCCCTGCATGAATGGTGATCCAGATGTTTCTGTGGTGGTGAATATCATAGAACATAAATACCCCCTATTCCGCCAGCACCTCTGATCCCGCTGAGATAGGGCCTATGATATGCCAAATATACCTGATCTGTCCTCTATATACCATGTCCTGCTCCCCTATATACCCAGTAACGCCGGATCAATGTCCGTTGTGCGGGATCAGCGGCCCTCGAAGGCGAGTCCTCGGCGTGATCCTAGGGCTTCAATGTTACTCGATTAGGAAAGTGTGTTGTTCCCGCCACACATATAAAAAGGCCTTTTTTTCCTCACCTCCTCGACTTTGCCCTTTTTCTTCTTCTCTTCTCCTCTTCGGCCACGCAGACACTTCCACCTCGACATCGAGAAAGACAAGCAAGCAAGCAAGAAAATACAAGAAGATATCCTCTACGGAGGAAGAAAAGACTCTCTGCCGCCCCCAGACACCACCACCAATCCCTGCTGCAACTCTTCCACCTCCACCACCGCAAAGCAGCAGGCCTCTCCTCCGCCTCCCTCCGTCGCTGCCGCTCCTTTTGAGGGTATGTTTGTTCACTTGCCAGCAGCTTCTGCTCTGCTATAGACCAAGCTAACCAGAGACACAGGCAGCTAGACCCCAAAAGACAACAGTCTTTTACTCTCTTCCTTTGCGTCGAACGTGAGTGCTCATCCTCTTCCCCCAGCTCGGCCTCTGCTTGATATGATACCCCCTTACCCCCTATTACTTTCTTCACGCGTTGATACGCGTTCTACTCCTCGACTTCATCCCCTTGATGAGCATGGCTAACGTACTGGTAACTAGAACGCCAAAATGTTGTTCGCCTTTATCGGTCTTGTGGCAACCTTGACAATATGGAGCTCGATAGCTTCATTGCCCATGACCGCCGTCACCCCTCGGGACGGCTTCGGCAGACGGTTGGCTGGGTCCATTACGGCCAGCTTAGTGACCATCGGTGCGTACGAGGTCACGAAAGAGGTAGTCATCACTGCCAACAAAACCAGTGACTACCTTTACCGTTATCTAGAGACGGAAGACTTTCCAGTAGAGGTGCTTGCACCTCTACCCGATTCTGTCTCTAGCCGCCTCCCGACGTTCGAACTATGGCTCGCAGTCCCTCCGGCCAAACTCGCGTATCTCCACGACCTCCGAAATGCAGTGGAGAAACACGACACTCTCAACAAGCGCACGTTATGGTACCTGCTAAATACCCTACCGTCTCGCTGCTCGAGTGCTGCCGTCGCTGTCCCAGGTGCAACCCCAACCCACCGTGCAGACAGTCTCTCGCCCGCCAATTCCCTCGAGTTTCTGTCTGCCGGTGCCTACCTGGGACTCATCCTCGCGTCATTGGCCCTTGGCCGATGTTTAGGGGCCCGTTACCTTGTCCCCGCGAGCGACGACGACAGTTTGGCCCTCCTCCCCGTTGGAGCATCACCGGCTCTGCCACACCGGGTGGTAACCGGCCTCCAGTGGGAAGTGAGAACGGAGTTCGTAAACGGCTTACCTCTGATGTGGGCTTCCCAACCCTACATCAGCTCTGAGTTGCTTTGCTGGATTGCTGAGACGGAGAACCTCCACTTACCAACACCGCAACCCGACCACACCACCAAACGGCAGACTGAGGCCCGTCCTGGACCTCAGCGGCAGGCGTTAGTACTTAGACGCCTGGCCAACATCTCGCCGTTCGTCTTGATTCAAATCGTTAGGCTCCTCGCATCTGCCCTCGAGGGCTGGACCCCAGTTTCGCCAGAATCTGGGTCGCAACCATGCCTCGACAGTGCAGAACCTCTACGGGAACCCAAGAAAAAGAAGCGTAACCGACCCGGCCAAAAACAACGTCGACGCCAATGGATAAGAGATATGTACGCCATGCAAGACAAGGCCGTACAGGAGACCGAAGGGAAGTCACAGTCGTAAGACTGTGTTCCGACCTTCGTCTTCTGTCCGATTGTATGGTGCTACATGCCTCACGGATACAGTACTGACATAGCCGCTCCTCCCAATCCTACCGGCATTCTGTCAGCCCTTCTCAGTGCCTAGGTGAAGACATCGGGTGAAGGTGCCGTGTGATTGTCCCCCCTTTTCTCCTCTTTCCTGTCGGTGTCTTCGCCTCCCACTGGTTCCCTCGGGGGCTGGTTGGCGTAGGTGAAGATTCCGTTGGTTAGTTGGAGACTGGGCTGGGTATTGCACGTCTCTGGACCTCGTGGTTTTCGTTTAGGTATCTGGTTGGGTGAAGCAGGGTGTCGGTAGCAGTATTGTGGCCAGGCTATGCTTGCTGTATTCAATTATCCATTCCATTGGGAGAGGAACGAGTTGAGACACAATTTGATCAAGACTACGAGTGGGTGTTTGGGAACTGCGGAAGTGGATTGATTCTCCAATTAGTTCGCGGGGCGACGCGAAGGTGCAAGGAAGATGACTCAAAAAAAAAAAAAAAAAAAAAAAAAAAAAAAAAAAAAAAGGATGAAGATGAAGATGGCGAAGAAGAATGACTTTTTATGATGGTTGACGAGTTGACGAGGATTCTGGCGGTATCGACGCCGATGATTGACTATGAAAGAAGCAAGCCTACATGCCTTACTTGCAAATATGTTTTAACCAACTGCATGCTTTCTCTGCTTTTCACTACACTGCGAGCTCATCTGAGCCGCTGATACAAGCTTGCTTTCTGCTTTTCCGTTTTTACAAAGACCGCCTGCTACTACTGAATACCTGTTATCCAATATGATATCTGCTTTACCACCACCACAACCACAACCTGCTCCTTTCTATCCAGTATACAGCAACCATGACGTAGCGTAGATGCAGAGTACATAGAAACTCGCAGAAGAGACCGGCGCCCCTGAGAATCCCTGGCCTCCTTATGCATGCTAAGCAACACCCCCTTGGCCCTCCCTGGCACTGCCCAAACCAGAAATCTCCCCGGACAGAACCGCCATCCAAACGCCATCAGAGCCAACTACGACACTGATAAGTCCTTACATGTTGACTCAGGAGTTGCCTCAACCAGCCAAGGCATCAACAAGATTAACTATTAGTGGTTCATCTAAAAAAAAGTAGCCTAAACGTTAGTCAACCAAAGATTTGTTTGATTGAAATTTTGATAATTTGCATCATCGACTCAGCCCTACCAAAGTCGATAACGTCAACCCGGAGCAAAAGAAGGCCACAACGCCTCTCACGCCCCCAGACTCCCTCCGTTTGCCAGCAGGCAAGACAGAGGGAGATAAATAGCCGGGTCATGGGCCCTTCCTGCGGGTTCTTGCATCAAAGGAAGCTTCTCAGGGCACCGATTCACTGCTACTACGATTCACCGTCCTGCTTCACTGGATATAATTACCCTCTGCTGCCAACTTCACTTGCCAACAACACACCTTTTCGCCTGTTTTCTTGCCTCTTACAACATACACATCCAACTCTTCAAGTTGCTCGCTACTCATATCCTCCTGCAAGAAGAAGAAGAAGAAAAATAGAAAAGAAGAAAAAAATAAAACAAAAGGCCTTCTGTCTTGCTTGCCTTGCTCCACAGGGAACCACTCTAGCCTGTGTTGCTATTCCCCTTTTCTTCCTCGTATTTTTTTTTTTTAATCTTGATATCAAAGAGACAGCCTGGACCTTGATACCTATCCAGCTGTCATCATGAGCTATGTCGAGCGCTTGAACATGCTTTTTGACGGGGAGGATGTCGGCCTGCTGGGGATAGACGTCGGCCTGCGTGAGACGAGGATTGATACTCAGGATCAGTCTGGCCAGAACCAGGGCGAGGCCGCAGATTTGCCCCTGCTGGATGTCATAGAGGTCGAAGTTGCCAACCCTGGGGACAAGCAAGCTGAGGCCTCGCCGGACAACGCCACCGAGATCCAGCCTGCGGAGCCGGAGATGGAGACAGAAGCGTCCAAGCAAGATATCCCTGTCACAGATGGCAAGCCACGCCCTGGAGAGACTGCCTACTTCTGCTCCATTGACGTCCTGTCCACGGCACACAAGTACATCGGGGGAAAATTCCTGCGGCCGGCTGTGGACAGATTCTACAACAAAGGAAAGTTCTGGGAGCGGACATGGGACTTGTGAGTGTTTCTTCCCTCTTGCTCTTATAGTTATTTGCCGACGTTTTAATCTTCGCACTGGCGGCTCTTGGAGCATCTCCATAGTTAACTATAACTTAACGTTATAGCTATTAAGCTATTCACTAACAACCTACTTTATCTATACAGGTACTATGTTCGCGTGCCAAAACACATCTTATGCGTACCTTTACTTTTTACCCCAATATCGCAGGCCCAGGCGCTTATCGATGAAATTAACGCAGAGTTTGGCAGTGATATCAGTCTCCCCTTTGAGGAAGAAGCAGGGTTAATCGTTCCATTTACCCCTGACGGGACCCCCCAGCCGGAGTACATGGGAACTTCTACCAACAACGACATAAGAGGCCAACTGCAGAATAGGGCTAACGCATGGTGCCATCAGAATCCTATCGAGTGGCCGGAAGAAGGGAACGAACCTTATGCACGATTCCGCAGAAGAATAAAGATAGTGTGTGATGTCAAGTACAACAAGCACAGGGCGACGGTCGGCGACCATAAATATGTGAAGAAAGTTCGCCGCTGGCACCGTCAGCTAAAGCGAACTCAGTGCTATCTGGGGCTGCGTCCTCGAATTGCTCGACGTGCTTCCAGGGAGACTCAGATTGCTGACGATGCCACTTCTACACCCGCTACGCCAGCAGTGGAAAAACAAGAGCAGCAGAAGCAGCAACAACAAGGGCAGACGAATGGGACTGCTACTGTTCCAATTGGAACTGTTCTGGACCCGCTCGATGTCGAAAGCCCAGCTCCCTTTGCGTTTGCAGACGAGCCCATCTTCATCTGTATCGATCTTGAGTCCAATGAACGCAACCATTCCCAGGTCACCGAGGTTGGAGTGTCTACTTTGGATACCCTGGACTTGGTGGGAGTTCCACCGGGAGAAGGAGGCCGTAACTGGAGGAGCAAAATTCGATCCCGGCATTTCCGCGTTGCTGAATATAAACACTTCAGAAATAAGAAGTTTGTGCATGGTTGTCCTGATGATTTCGTTTTCGGGAACAGCGAGTTCGTTCGTCGCGCATATCTTGCCCAAGTGGTTGATGCATGCTGCAAACCACCATACTCTGGCCATATTGCCTTTAGCCAGCAACCGGTAAGTACCATGGTTAAGCCTCACCGTCCTTCAGCCGTTTACTTACATCTTCCACAGAAAGACGGTTCCCAGGAACGCAAACGTCAATCTCAATCTCGGCGTTCTAGAGGAAGATGCGGAAACCAGTCCCAATCGCCAGAGGGAGGCGTCAGGTTGCCGCCCGAGCCCAGTTACTCCCCTAAGAAGAGCAGTAACTCTCCCAGGAATAGAGGGCGGAGCAGACGGCGCAAACAATGGTCTCCCCCTCCCGGCACAGAGCCCAGCTCCTCTCGATCCCCTGGCCAACAAGAACAACGACATCCAGCCCGGACTCCAAGCCCAACCATACCAGAGTATAAGATGAGACCACGCAAGCTCATCCTGATCGGCCACGGCTTGACCGGCGATATCAAAAACCTGTGCAACGTAGGCTGCGAATTCTTCGACATCGAAACGTACAGCGGTGAAGACTTTTCGACACTATCAAAATTTTACGACGTAGCGGATACAGCTAACCTCCACCGCGTATTAAAACGTGAATACGACCCTCCCGGCCTGAAGGACATCTTGAAGGACCTGGACATCATGCCCTGGCACCTCCACAACGCCGGCAACGATGCACGCTACACTCTCGAGGGGTTGGTGGGTATAGCCGTCCAGATCACCAAAGCTGAAGCCAGGGCTGAGAGCGAGCGTGATGCCATTCGGCTTAGAGAATATCCAGACATCGACAACCCTAACGTGATGGTTTCACCTCGGTCAAGCGACGAGGATCTGCACTGGCGCCGGGAAATGGAGCGTATAGCTAAAAAGCCGCGGCGCAAGCGGCGCAAGGAGGACTCCGACATCGAGATTGAGTGCGACATATGGGAGGATGGGATGGGCTGGAATGCGTTTCGGAATAGGCACAAAGACGACATGGATGGCGGCCTGCCACCCGACGTGCAATACCCAGTTGTATAATACCCTTACTCTTGTCTACTGCATTTACTATTTACTACTGACGACCTGACGATGGACGAAGTAATGTCCCTTTTACTTTCTATTGTCGATATCTTTGTTACTTACTTTATTTAACTAGTTACCGGGACAGTGAGATGGCATATTTGTCCTCACACACCCAAAGAACCAAGGAGATTAGAACGGCTATAGTTATAACTTAAGAAAATAAAAAAAAAAATAAAAAAATAAAACATCAGTTTTTATACTGATAATTTAATCCTTAATAGTAAACCTAAGCTGAATACATCAAGGGGCGTAAAAAAACATTGTAAGTAGATAAAAACGCCACTTTTCCCCCGTAGGTCTCGTATAGAGGTGTTCCCAACACCTTCACCTCTACCCACCCCAACCAAGTAAGAAAAGTAATTCATCCATTCCATTCCATCCATACTATCTTAGCAGCGTAAAATGTTCGATCCCATCCGTTCCGTTTCCGTTTCCATATGGCAAAAGGCCACCGGCGTAACAATGTCGTAAAGTACAGCTCAATGAGCAAGCGTAAGGATGTAACAAGTGAGGTTGAAAAAAAAAAAATCACAAACCAAGTCCAAGGGATAACAATAACAATAGGAGATGATTGAATAGATAATACATGAAAAATAGAAAGGTGGGCTTGCTTAGAAAGGGGATGCTGTATTATTCATATCTCATGCATGCATGCATATAAAAGGGTCATATAGGCAAAGATAAGCCTATTTAGCTAGCTCTAGCAGCATTGTTAATTTGTCTGTGGAATGAACCAATAGGTTGGAATCCCCTAGGAAATATTAGTATACTGGTTCACATATACCAGTGGAAGGAGGGAGGGGGACAAACCTAGCAAGATCAAAGCCAGTGTCATCACCATCGTTGTCATCATCATCTTCATCCCAGCTATCCTGGTGACGCTTGATAGTGCTGCTCTCCCGCTCACGCACATCCCGTCCCAGAGGAGAGACACCACCGCGACCCCTGAGGGAAGAAGTAGGAGGTTTAGTTGGGCTGCCTAGATTGGCTGGTGGTGGGCTGCTACTCGGGATGGGGTTGAGGGTCTTCCAGCGACTGGACTCAGAGGTGCCGATGGAGGGCTTAAGCGGGCTGATGTCCGGCATTGGCCTGGCAGGAGTGTTGCCCATATCGGCTAATTTCCAGAACTGAGCTGGCGAACTGAGTTGCATGTAGCGTGAAGGAACCTGGGCGGTACTTGGAGGAGCAAGACGAGGCTGTTGTCGTAAGGGGGCGGGAGTGATCATTGACGAAGCAGCGTCGTCGTAGTATGATGAGGAGAGAACTGGAGGAGAAGCAACAGCATTGTCAGACAGACCGTAGGGCCGTGTTGGTGCATTGTTGCGTGGACCGTTGGGCAACGGAGACTGTTCGTCAAAGTCATGTGTGCCCGCACCGTTGATACCAAGGCCATTTCGGGAGCCGCGGTCTGGCGTGTATGCTTCGATGGGGGCGACTGAGAAGGAGTGATAGCCTGGTGAGGCTGTAGTGTTTGCCTGAGGAGATGGCCTGGCTGCGAGGGCAGCCGCAGAGGCATCAATGTTCTTCTCGACGTTGGTGGCTACGTGGCCGTTGATGGGCTGGTAGGCGCTGTTGCCGCCTCTCTCCTTGCCGATGGGGGATGCCGGAGTGGAAGACTGTCCGCTCCTCTTGGCCTGTTTCTTCCAGTACTCTTCGCGATGCTCAGGGACGATCTGCCATTTCATGCCCTTGCCAGGCTCGTCTGTGCGACGAGGCACCTTCTGGAAGGCCTTGTTGAGAGATAGGTTGTGGCGGATGGAATTCTGCCAACCGGACTGCGAGTGCCGGTAGAAGGCGTACTTTTGCATGATGAACTTGTAGATGTTGCTCAGGGACAGTTTCTCTTCCTCGGTGGAGAAGATGGCCTGAGCAATCATGTTTGCGTAGCTGAAGGGTGGCTTGATATCCTTGGCCGCGTCCTCACTGTAGTCAATCTCCTCGGTACTTTCCATCATCAGGCCCCGGTTGTACATGGGGGAGACCTTGGACGATGGTTCAATGGTATCTCGCGACAGTGGGCGTTGGGAGGGTGTCGTCTGCCGCTTGGGAGTAACGGTGGCCGCGTTTGCAATCTCTGCTGCTCGACGGCTACCGTTGGCGGTGGCAGCACCCCCAGTAGAGTTAGCCGCAGCAGCAGAAACAGAAGCAGTATCGGCCGGTTCTCTACTGTTGAGAGCAAAGGACATACGACGGGGTGGTCTGGCGCCAGCACCAGCACTGGAACTGGTACCGGCGTTGGCAGTGGTTGGGTGTGAATGGTACGATCCATCCCAGGCGGTCTCGTCTGTTTCACGAGTGGTATGGACGCCGTTCTGGGCCTGCTGGACGAACGCCGGGTCGATGACGGCCTTGTCTCTGGGAGTGACGAACATCATCTGGGTATTGGCGATCTCTAGGATGTCGCCACAGGAGATCTGGGTAGCCGTTCCACGCTTGTAGAAGGTGTTGTTAACCCGCACGCCGTTTCGTCCGTTGACTCTCACGCGCCAGCACGGCGGGTCGTCGCGGTCGTAGTATATCTCTGCATGCAGCCGGGAGACAAACTTGCCCGGTCCGAGGTCGATGTGAACGTCCGGCAGGGCCTGGGCGGCGACAGTGATGGGGGAAGACTGGGCATCGAGCCTCTGGTCGCGGTCTGGCGGGCGTCCGATGTTGACATGCAGCGTCTTGACGTAGTAGGTCCAGTCGCGGCCGGCAATCTTAGCGTAGGCCTCGACACTTTCTTTGTTTTCCTGCTGCGTGCGGGCGTTGGAGTGCAGGGTCATGACGGCAACGGGCTCCCTTGCGACCGCCAGGTTGGCGATGACCGAGTCGACGAGGTCCTGGTTGGCTGCCATCTCGTTGTCGTGCTCGTCGTCGTTCTCGTCTGCAGAGGCGGCTGGTTCGACGGTCCTCTCAAAGTCCGGCTGGGACGTGTGTTCGACCTGCATGTTGTTATTATTATTAGATACTGTACACTGGTAGACACTCGACAACACACGCTTTTCAACGCCGTCTCTATGCCGGCGCGCGCAAACCAACAGAGGAAAAAGACGAGTACTGACCTTGCGCTTCTTGACCGAACGCCGGGTGGGAGACGAGTCGAGGGCGTCCATATCAACCGGGTCTTCGTGCAGGTCGACTTCTCGCCGACGACTGCGACGCTTAGCAACCGAGGGCGCCATCTCCGTCTCTCTCTCTCTCTCTCTCTCTCTCTCTCTCTCACTCCCTCTCGTCGTGCGTCTTTGTTCCGTGCTATCCTCCGAGAATCGAGTGTCTTCCCTTGCCGTGTCTTTCTTCGCTGGGATGTTGTTGACGCAGGAAATGGCCGTGGATGTCTCGACGCCGATCGAAGCAAGTCCAGCACAAAAGAAACACCAAGCAAAAAGGAAGCCCTAGTCAAAAAAAAAAAGTCCGTTTACTCTTGCTCTTAGTTCCTGCAACCCCAAGGGCGGGAGAAAAAGAAACGAGTAAATCCTGTGCAGGAGTGAATCTCGCAAGACGCCGTGAATGCAGCTGAATATCACTTGGGATCAACAACAACAAGTCGACCTGGACTGGACTCCGGCTCAGGTAAATAAATAAATAGCAGAAAAGAAAAAAAAGGGTCTTTCTCGGAAGTGGCTGGTCCTTTTGTCTCTCTTCTTCTTCTTCTTCCTCTTCTTCGGTTTTTTCCCTCTAAAAAAAAAAGAAAAGAAAAGAAGAAAAATTTGAAAAAAAAAAAAAAAAAAAAAAAACTCCGTCAAAGTTGGTAAACAGACGAAGAAGATGGAAGGAAAAAAAAACTCTTTCACCAGAAGTTGACTTTTTCCCTTCCCTCGATTGGATGTCTGGTTAACGGTTCCTCTCTTGCGTCTTTGAGCTTGACTTTGTTCTTTTTTTTCCCTTTACTACTCCCTTCGCTAGAGCCGTGACTTGCTTCTTCGTCTGCGGCCTTTGGGCTTGCCACCTCTTTCGCAGCCTCCCAACCAGACTTCGGCTTTCGTCTCGATGTGGGTTCAGCAGACAGACTGACTCGTTTAACTGTGTCTTTGTTGCGTATCTTCGACCGACCCAGTGCGGAGGCGAGATGGAGAGTGTGGATGTTTGTGTTTGTGGTACGGGTACGATCTCGTGTATTCCTTTCGATCTTCTGATGGCAGCTGTATCAGCAGCCAGTTCCCTCCGTACCAAGCCAGTACAGAATACCTCGTAGCAAGCAGGCTACTTTAAGCATGTATGTATGTCGTGTCGTTGAAGCAGGCTTGACGCGACTCAGCCCAGCCGTATAACTAGTTCATATAGCCGCGAACAAGACCTCGAGCCTCACCTCACGCGGACGTGGGCGCAGACGCAGACGCAGACGCAGTCGTAGACGCAGGCGCAAAGTAAGCGTAACGGAGTAACCCACGCACGCGTCAAGAAAGTATCAAAGTATCGAAGTAACGATCGGCTCGCCAGCGATGATGTTATGTTTGTTTGTATACGCAGCCAGCACAGCGCCTCAACGCGTCCACAACCCGCCCTCTCAAACAGCCGATATCGATAGCCCCAGCCGCCAGCCTATCGATAAACGACGGTTAGTGGCCCCGAGGCGAAACAAGACGAACCAAAACACAGGGAACGGGCTAAAAAAAAACTAGTTTACCGAGTTACGGAGTAAGGATATGTCACTGCTGGAGACGGCCGGATCGATGGCAAGAAAGTCGAACGAGCCAAACCCCGGATTTCTCAGTTTGCAGGGCTCCAGCGGGAGGGACTTAGACTTAGTGACTCTGGATGATGGAGACATCGAGTGTCTGGCCGTTGATGCGAGCGCGTGGATGGCGACGACGGGCCTTTTGACCGTCTTGGAGCTGGGGCCGAGACCGAACCATGGGTCGGCTGCTCGATTTTTCTGTCTTCTTCGTTCCTCTCCTCGTGGCAGGGAGTTTTTTTTTCTTTCTCACAGGGCTGACAATGTTGCTGTCTCTCCCTACTTCTCGCTGATCTATTCTATGATGTCGAAGTTGAAGTCGTTCGTGACCGTCGGTGGTTTTTAGGTTATGTATCGGAGTTACAGGGTTTTGGGTGGTGGCGGCGTAAGTTACGGTATTTTACGATATCAATACTACGATGGACTCGGTGGAGAGCAAAGAAGGGAAAAGGAGAAGAGAAAGAAAATAGTATTTGGAAACATCCCACAGCAGACACTTTGACAGATGGACAAAGACAAAAACGGTGAACAGACAAACGATAAGACGAACAAAAGTAAAACGTAGAAAGGTAAAATATACATGGCTGACTCGACAGATTGGAAAGACAAACTCGTAGCATCGTCACGAAACGCGGAAAAAGGTAATGGTGTAGGTGGTATAAGCTGAACAAAGAACGCAGCCAGTCGGTCGGTCGGTCTACTGGCCCATCTTCTCGTCGCCGTCGGTGTCGGCTCCGTCATCGTCAACGGCCATCTTGAGCACAGGATACAGGTTCTCTCCTGCTTGCTTGGCCTCTTCCTCGGCATCGAGCATGGTTGTCGTGCTTCGGGCAGTGGGGGTAGATGGGTTCTCCTGATCTTCGTCGTCGCGTGGCATCTGACTATCTCTTCCTTCCTCGTGGGCCACGGCAGCGGCGGCGATCGCTTCCATTCCATGCATCTTGATGCTGGGGTACTCTCCGGCTCCGGTAGCGGCGTCAGATGCAGATGTAGTAGATGCAGATCCAGGGGAAGCTTTGTCGGTCTTGGCGTCTTCCTCCTTGTCGGAGTCGTCCTGCTTGTCTTCGTCGACATAGTCACCGTTGTTGAGACGTTCGAGGACATAGTCACGTAGTCTCTGTAGCAGGCGCACGTTCTCAACCCATTGCTGCTCACCGGCTGGCTGGCGGTCATCTGGTCCAGCAGCAGCAGTAGTAGCAGTGGGAGTAGGGGTGGATGAAGGGCTTCTACGGGGGGCAGCATCTTCGTCCATGTCGGCCGAGGCACGGCTGAGTGCAGGATCGATGACGCTGGAGGACAGCTTGGCTTCGTCCTTAGCAGCAGCAGCAGCGTCAGCATCACGCTTGATGGAGGGAGTGGAGAGGTCAATGTCAGGACGAGCACGCTGGAGCATGCCACCAGTGTAGCGTCTTCGGTCATCGTCAAAGATGCTGCTCAGGGTGGACGGAGGAGCGGCACTGGAGACAGTGGTTGGGTATCCCGATGAGGAGAGGCTGTCCTGGCCCGTTGTGGCGGGTAAAGTAGGGTACATTCCTGCCGTTGAAGGGTGATGGGATGGGGACATGCCATTGCTAGAGGCGAGCGAGATCGGAGAGCGGCCAGAGGTGTAGGACTGGGCGCTGGAGGGAGGAGTGAGGGCCGGAGTGGATGCAAGAGGGGATCTACTGGCAGCAGAGACAGAGGAAGCAGGAGTGACAGCAGCAGAAGTGGACATCATGGAGGCAGTGGTAGCCGCCGGAGTGGTCGTAGCGGCAGTGGCGGTGGCATGAGGGTGGTGGTGGTGTGACTGGTGGTGAGTCGGGGGAGAGTTAGTTGTGCGGTAACTCAGGGGACCCTGGACGTAGTGGGCACCAGGCTGGGCAACTCCTGCGGCGGCCACGTTTTCATCACTCTCGTAGACAGTGGACTGCATCTGCTCCAGGAATTGGTCAATGTTCATCAGGTCAGCTTTGGTGCGCAGATTGCCCATGGGGGGCAGATGGTAGGACTGGGTCGGGATGGGTCCGGCGGACTGGTAGCCACTATGGCCGCCACCGACGCCGACCATGGCAGGCATGGGCTGGTACTCTGGCACTGCACCGCCGTGGGTCAGAGGCAGCGGGAGGCCATGGAGGTTGAGCAGACGCTGGCCTACGGCGGCATAGGAGGTAGGGTCGAACTGACGGCGCTTCAGGTCTCCAAAGAACTCATTGAGGGCATCGTAGCCACGCTTCTTGCTCTCGTAGGACGCCTGGTGGGCAGCATCGTGGCCAACGGCATAGTAGACGTTTCCATACGAGGGATTGGGCTGCTGCTGGGGGTGCTGAGGCTGGTAGTACTGTGGTGGAGGGTGGCCGTAAGCCTGGGGGACCGGACCGAGTGATCCTTCAAAAAAGTGAGCTGCTATAAAAAGTTGTCAGCCCTGAACACATCACAACAGAATAAAATAGAGCAAAATAAATAGAATAAAAATAAAAATAAAAATAAAACGTACGCTTTCCGTCAGGCCCAAGACTGACGCCAAACATGCCGGTGGGAGGCTGCTGTCGCTGGCCGGCACCGGGCTCCGGCGACCGCATGAGGACCGAGTCGTCCGCGTGCGTCTTGACATGTTTCTTCAGATCCTGGGGCCGCTTGAAGGCCTTGCCGCAGAAGTCACATTTGTGCGGCTTCAGGGGCACATGGACGCGGATGTGGGAGGTGATGTGGTCGCGCTTGACGGTGGTGGTGCGGCAGTTGGACCATCCACAGGTCAGGTTGAGGTTGTTGGTGCTCTTGCGTCCGACGTGGCGCTCGCACACATGTTCCTACGCCCAGTTAGCCATTGCATCACAACACATAAAAAGAGAGAGAGAGAGAGAGAGAGAGAGAGAGAGAAGCATACGTAGAGAGCCTCTGGAGTCGGGCAGAGTTCCTGGCAGCCCTGCCACTGACATTCGAGCGAGCCGGGCGCGCCGGGGCTGTTTGGAGCGACCTGCTGGACTCCCGGGGGCGCGACGGCAGCGGCAGCAGCGGCAGCATGCTGGAGACTGGTCTGGACAGGGACGCTCTGCACTGTCTGCGAGGCCGGCTGCTGCTGTTGTCCTTGCTGCTGCTGTTGGCCCTGCTGGCCCTGCTGGCCCTGCTGACCCTGTTGCTGAGGTTGATGCTGTTGCTGAGGTGGTTGCTGCTGGAGAGATGACGCGGACTGCATCTGGCTTCGGGGCTGCTGTGCCTGCGCCTGCGTCTGCTCTGGCTGCGAGCCCGCGGCCGCTTGCTGCTGCTGTGACTGCTGCTGCTGCGACGGCTGATGCTGCTGCTGCTGGTGCTGGGCGAGGGCGGAATGGTCTTGGTCCTGGGTGGAAGACATGGCCGCCAAGCAAAAGTCTTGTCGACGCTGGGCGAGCGAGGCACCAAGAGCGGAAAGTCAGCGGTCGAAGAGGAGGGCGACGAGGGCGTTATAAGTCTAGAGAGTCAACGCTGAAAAGAAATCGTCGTTAGGAGAAGTTGAAGAAGAAGAAGAAGAAGTAGTAGTAGTAAGTAGATGAAGAAGAACGCCGGTGCAGCTGAGCAGCGATGAGAGGAGGACGCGAGGAGAGACGGGACGAAGGGGCTGAGTCGGCGAGGGAGGGCCTTGGCCTCCTTAAAATAAGAGAGTAAGGGGGGCGCGGAAAGGCGAGGGCGAGACAGACAGCGCTGACAGAGAGAGAGAGAGAGGGAACGGCCAAGCCTGGGCGGGCGGAGGGAGTCGACAGAGACAGAGATAAGTAGCAGGCAGTAGCAGGCAGTGGCAGGCAGTGGCAGGCAGTGGCAGCAGTGCTAGGAGAGCTGGACAGGAGGGATGGACAGAGCTAGAGCAGTCGCTGAGGCCGACGGTTGGGCAGGAAAGGCAGGACAAGACAGCGACAAGAACGACGAGACGGTGGGAGAGACGGAGGACGGCCAAGACATTTAAATAAGTAAGGCGAGGCAAGGCAGCTTTGGCTGGGTTTTCCCTCTTTTCTTCTGCCGCTTGCTTGCTTGCTGGCTTGCTTTCTTGCTTGCTTTCTTGCTGCTGCTGCTGGTGCTGCTGCTGCTGCCGGTGCTCTCTATTTCTCTCTCTCCTGTCTCGCTGGCCTTTCTTTGCTTTTTCCTCTCTTCGCCTTTTTCTTTGCTTCTTCCTGTCTTTCTCCTTCGTCTCGTCTCTCTTCTTTTTACTTACATATTATTACTCCGTATTATTATTTTATTATTTTTTTCGTCGCTTCGTTGCTTTTTCTGTACTGCTGACATAAGCAGATGTGTTACTCCAAGGGAGCCAATGAGGGCGAGAGCGCCAAGCCAGGCGGAGCCAAGGGCGGCCAAGGACGGCCAAGGACGGGCCAAGGGGATGGGTGCCAAGACCCACTGCCAAGAATACACAAGCGAAGTTGCCAAGGTTGGGCCAAGGGTGCCAAGCCAGGTGCATCCCTGCTTGAGACGCCGAGGTCAGCCGATGATTAGTCATGGTGAGTTACTTAAGCAGCGATAAGACCCGGTGGGGCGTCTTCAGCCAGTGCTTGTCGTTGCTTAGTCAGCCTCCAGTCCATTGCTTAATATTGCTTCTTTGCCACATGTGAAACGTTGTCCTTTTTCGGGTCGTGTGTCTTGCTTCCTTGACCAACCACAGCTTCAAGCAGGAGTGACGGTGACAGGTATAAAGCGTACTGGGTTTCTGATACGGAGTAACTATGCTAGATTCTAACAGAGTAACTGGATAAACTCAAAAAGGTGTTTCATAAGGTCTACCTACATATCTAGAATACTTGACTGCCCAACTGGCGTCGTTTATATAACTGTCCACTTGCCATGCATACATTCACCAATAAATATCAATTCAGCAAGCCCACACTGGTGGTCAGTACTGATAATATATATATATATATGTATATAGATATTGTTGCACGGAAGAAAGGAGATAGATTATTTCTTCCTCGGCTGGTCGATCCTAGCACGAAAGGAATCCCAATCTCGAAGGGCAGGACATGTGCCTTGAAAACCTCTAACCCCTCGAATGTAAGCCCATTTAATAATCTACTTATTTATTATTTCCGTAGGGTGAGAGCGTCATCGTCTTTAACTCTTCGCCTAATTGCAGAGATTCTGAGTCCTCTTCGCTGAGATCAATACAACTTCTCCAAGTGAATGCACGGGTGGGTTAGACGGACGGGTATCATTAGCAGCATGACAAATTGCATTCAGTCCGAGGTCAACTAACGATCAGTCATCCATAAGTTGAGGTTGTTGAACATGGTCGGTTGCAGACTGTTGGTTAGTCGGAATGAAGCTGATATCTTACTCTGTGAGGCGTCCCCGGGGACCGATTAGCTACTTCGCCCAAGGGTTCGTCTTTGGAATTGGCGCGTCGACGAACCCTGCTGTTGTCGGAGGTGGACGTGGCTCATAGCCTATCGGCACTTGACAGTGAACGTATGTCCTAACGTCGTAACCTTATGGAAGACTGCCATGGGGAAAGTCAGTTTGGTCATTGCGGCCAATACCTCGACTGCCCGTGGTTTGAAACGCTTTGTCAGGGCCTCTACCCATCCGGCTTGTAGGGGGAATGCAGTAATTGCTCGTTTTTCCATCCCAGTCAGCTCGATGGTATACCATTCAAGAGCTTGACCTCTCAAGCTAGCTTGAACGTTAGACCTCACTAAGTCTTCACCTTTTGTGAGTCGGTCTCTGGAGGCCACTCGGTTCTACCATCATAAACTGCCCTCATTTTCGGTATATCTAGGGTCGGGTGACCCCACTTCGTCTGCTGGCGAATATGGTTTCTGGTCCCTGGATCGTCACAGACATGGACAAGACAATGACAAGAACGACGAGACGGTGTAAGATACGGAGGTCGGCCAAGACATTTAAATAGCAGAGACAAGTCGAGGCAGTACAAGGCGGCTTCGCTAGGTTTCCCTCCTTTCTTCTCCTTCCTACTTGCTTGCTGCTTGCTTTGTTGCTAGTCACACTGTAGCCCATGCGAGTTCAAACCGATCATTCTCGGAATATCTAGACTTGGAGATACCCAACACCTCTGCTGGCGAATTTGGTTTCTGGCCCCTGGATCGACATAGACGTGGACACTGTAGCCCATGCGGCTGGAGCGGTCTCCTGCACTACTAAAGCGCAGACATATGTGCAGCTCCTTGTCTGGAGGTCTATCCGTTTGGCTTATGGTCGTCAAGTGGGCATCGGCGCTGTAGTAGAGGTGGTTAGCTTAAGGTTACCCAGGAAAATGTTTGGATGGCTGCCGGAAGCTATGAGTACATACAATGCTATGCAGTATTCTGTCTTGACCTTCTTGATGTGCCAAGCAAAGCGGAGCCAAGCGCGGGCAAGAACGGCCAAGACTGCCGGAAGCTGCGAATACATACAATACTATGCAGTATTCGGGCTTGACCTTCTTGAAGCCCCCTTCGGTGCCAACTTGGATGATGTCACAGTGATTGGTGATATACTGGGACATCACCCTCAGAGTCTCTACCATTCGACCATCTTCGGACCTGTGGTGCCACTCAATTCTGAGGACTGTATTTATACCCTCCGCGCGGTATTTCATCTTCCACACAGGCCACCTGCCTTGGAATTGCAGTTTCCAGCTGGCACAGTGATTGGCGATATACTGGGACATCACCCTCAAAGTCTCTTCCATCCGACCATGTTCGGGTCTGTGGTGCCACTTAATTTCGAGGGCTTTGTTTATACCCTCCACGCGGTATTTTATCTTCCACACAGGCCAATCTGCCTTGGGGTTACGTCCAGCTGGCAAAGCCGGGAACTGGACTAACGTGTTGTTTGACAACATCCCTTCTTCTTTCGTCTTTTCTTCTTTATTAGTTTGTCTTATGCTCTCTTGAAAAGCCTGTTTTATGATATACTGCGATATCACCCTCAGAGTCTCTTCCATCCGACCATGTTCAGGCCTGTGGTGCCACTCAATTCTGAGGACTTTATTTATACCCTCCACGCGGTATTTTATCTTCCACACAGGCCAACCTGCCTTGGAGTTGTTATTTCCAGCTGGCACAGCCTGGAACTGGACCGACATATTGCTTGACGACATTTTGTTTGACAACATCCTTTCTTCTTGATCTTCTTCTCTTTGTTGTCCTTGCTGTCGTGTCAAAAGAGACTTTACCCCGAGATCACCTTAGAATGATGGAGGCGATAGGGGCTATATTTATAAAAACAATGATAGGCCCCGATCTAGGTCTCCTCGAGAGTTTTATTAACTGCCTCTGCGCAGTATCTTAGCTTCCACGCGGGTGTGTTTGATGGTATATTGGGGTAACACACTAAGGTGTCTTCCATATATTTTCCTGTGGCTTGTGATGCCACTCGATTCCGGAGGGTATTAGGAAAATTCCTCTGTGCGGTATTTCATCTTCCACACAGGTCAACCTCTCATGTCATGTCCAAGCAGTCGTCAAGCCCTTGGCGAGATCGCACAGCCTGCCCTTCATGCAGCACCCTTGACCTGAAGGCCTCGAGCTGGCGCAAGCCTGGAGCTGGACAGGCTTTCTGGCTAAGAAAGACAACTGGGTAAGGGGTACAACTGTTCCATGTGGACGTCTGGTCAAGCTTGAACTCTGCCCACAGGGCGTCGTAGCAAGTGTCCAGTGACTCCATCAAGTCGAGCTGGGTGGGTAAGACAGACAACTGGGCAAGGGGTAAAACTGTTTGAGGGGAGGGATGTGTAGCTGGAGAGGAGGTTGTAATTCTTAGATAAAATATTCAGGTCGAGAAAAAAATTTGGATCTGGGGGCCCTTAAATATTCAGCAGATGGCAGCATGGCCGTGAATATAGCACTTCACGAACGGCAGTGACGATCCTCCAGTGAAGTCGACCGGTGAAGTCGCAACTTGACGCCTGGCGCCTTCCCCACAAAGCCTATCTTTCGCACACGCACTCTGCAGATAACCCCACGTCCCGGTTGATTAGAAAATCGACAACTTCCTCGAGTTATCAAAATCCTTAGAGCTAAATCCAGTACTTAATAAGCTGTAAATCAGGCCTTCACATTCATTTACTAGATGCATAGATTCTTAATAAAGTACAAGTATTTAATACATCATAAAACTTGGTTACTCGGGAAGTGTCATTAACGCGCTGGTGGAGATGATGATTAACCATGTCAAACCTAAAATGACTAACTAAGCGCCGGCGTGATACATCTCCGACTCCCAACAAAAAGCCTGGTCAATAGTGATAAGGAATAATAGGGGCGCATAGCTAAGGGGATGACATCTTAGAGGGCACCTGAGAAAACAGTTCACGATTCTATCTCGCCCATGGATTCGTCCTGGGTGCCGGGGCGTCGACCAGTCCTTCCGTTGACGGCGGGGGGCGCGGCTCGTGGCCTGGCGCCCATCGGCAATCATAAGCGTTGGTTTCCGGGGGCCACTCTGTTCTTCCTTCGTATACTGCCCTCATTTTTTCATCATCGGGAGTTGGGCTGGTCCATGCCGACGGCTTTCGGCGATGCTTTCTAGTAATGGGATCAACGTATACGTGCACGCTGTGTCCCCTGTGGTGGACCCGGTCTCCCGCGCTGCTGAAGTGCAGGCTTAGATGTAAATCCGTATCCCTCTTTCTGTCTGAGTGGCTGATGGTCGTCACATGAGAATCCCCACTATATTAAAAGCACTCGTAGTTAGCTTGACCCATCTTCTGGAATCCTGTTGTAGATACTCACGTAACAATGCAGAATTCGGGCTTCAGGTCCTTAAAACCTCTTCCATGAAAGGATAAAATCTCATCACAAGGGTTGCAGATGTACTCATGGATGACTGAAAGGGTCTCATTCATCGCCTCTTGACTGTTCGGCTCGTGGTGCCATTCAATCCGGAGTATCTTGCTCACCCCTTCCGCACGGTAGTTCATCTTCCATACCGGCCAGTGTGACTTGGGCGCATGAATTCCCCCTTGGTTGACCTGGGAGCCTGGTTTCTTAGGAGGCGCAGGGCGTTTGGGCGGCTGGGAGGACCGCATCGCACCTCGTTGTGGCTGTTTGGTGCGCAGCATTGTGCTTGGAGTTGAAAGGGGTAACGGAAGGATAAAACCTATGCGCAGCTGGGCTTGTGTAAAACTTGTCTCTTTTGTCTTTTTATTCCTGTTTGTTGGCTGTGAACTGTCTCCCAAAACAGCACAGGACCAAGAGCTGAGATGGTCGTATTTATAACCTGCCGAGTCAATGCTGATGAGGGCCGCATTTGACGGACTCCTGTAAAATCTGTCACAGTAATGCATGAATTGTTGAAATTCTGACAATAGATCTATTTACAATCATCATCCAATTAATCTCCGCCCCCAAACTTCCTTCCCCCTGCCTTGCCTTGCCCGGGCGCTTCGAGATAAGTTCACCAGAGCCAGTAAATTATCGGAGCTATGCCACTGCATAAGAAAAAAAATGGGAATACATCCAAAATTGACAGCAACCTACCCCTGTACATTGTATCATATGTTCTTCGGGTATGCCGGGGGAGGGGAAGTAATGGACGGAGTATAAGCGCTGATTCTCACATATTCCATATTGAAAGCGGGTATCGTATCAGGTTTTGGATCAAATGATCATTTCTATGGCTCTCAGTCACCGAAATCAATGCCCATGCATGGAAGGTATGTCTGGGGTATCTTTGGAAATTGCTCTTATGCGCCATGAGCCAATGAATCAAAGCTTGCACACGGCTCATCACATCTTAGCGGCTACCCGAGTAAACGGTACTGTTAAGCGCTGCCATCGCTATTTCGGGATATCCAAGGCAAGGCAGCGGAGTAGGAGGTATGATAGGGGCCATCCAACATACTGGGCGTGGCCCTGCACAAATAGGCATTCAGTGGTATTGAGAAGCGGTTTATCAATAGGCAACCGGATCCATTTCTTCGCCCCTCCCATCCTCAAACTATTCCTCAATAGTAAGTTGAATAACACTGTGACTGCTGCGGCACAGCAAGGGATGAGGTTGGGATGATGGAGATATATTTGGAAGTTTGCGTTTTTGGCGCCTATTTAACTTTTATTAGTAATGTCCATTTACGGACTAGTTAACTAAGTCAACTAAATTACGTAATTCACTAGTTAGTTAACTTGTTAGTGAGTTCGTTATTGAGTCACGAACAAACTTGGGTGAGTGATGAATGGCATGGCACGAACATGACCTCGTTGAATCGTCCTGTCGCTGCACGTCACTCAAGGACACGAAGTCGAGGCCGGCCAGTCGGAACAGCAAAGTGCTCGATAGGTCTCAGTGGAAGTAAAAGAAAGAAAAACGAACCTCGCTTTCTTGAAGATCCTTGCTGATTCAGATTGTGACGCCAACATAAAGTCGATGAGAGCCAACCAAAATAGGATCTTTGTCAAGTTACGCCGCCCCTTCAAGCGCCGGGGTGGAGTGTGACTCGATGCACAGATCCCTGTGAGTTGGAGGAGCAAATATGACCCTGGGCGCTACATGGTCTTGAAATTCTCTGCTATATAAGGAATCGAACACATCCTACCCAAGTTTTCATCACACAACCCATCTGATTCTCAGCTTGCCCAGAGCCTGCCGTTTCTTTTCTGAATTCTAGCAAGCATGATACAAGAATACCCCATTGGAGATGCGGATGCGGGACAGCCCAGATGGGTCCAGGAATATTGTGATGCGGAGCTATGCGAGGGTATTCGTGAATACTCATACGGACAAGCTGGTCTCTGTCCCGTCTTGATCGGTGACATTTTAGGAGGTAAAAATATGCAGGATGGAAAAAACTGTTCTTTCGAAGTTATTGGAAAACTTGGCCATGGCTCATACTCTACTGTGTGGCTGGTCAGAAACAAGTGCGTTTCTCACCCGGCCCTGTTTCTCACATGCTAATTAAGAAACTGCTCTAGGGAAACTGGAGTATATCATGCTCTCAAGATTTTGAGATCAGAGCACAGCTCTGCTAATAATATTGAGCTAAAAATCCTGAGGGATATCGATGCCCTTCAGTTTTCTTTCTTCTATACTCATGTGCCGACGAATAGGCGGCACCTTTGTCTCGTGATGCAACCGTCTGGGTGCACACTTGCACAAAGGAGCTGGGCTAGTGACGAGTACGAGGTGCTCGGTTGTCCATGGGATGTTGCTTCTATATCCATGTTCACGGAAGCACTCTTGGTAAAAGTATTTTCGTTTCATGAACTGGGGATATATCACGGAGGTACGAACAGTCTCCCCGCCTTGAACAACAGAGAACAGTTACAGTTTTTGACTAACATACTTACGCTGCCATTAGATCTCAGTCCCGGAAATGTTACCCTGGGTGTATCCGAAGATGCTTTCACTCCTGAAGCCATGCAGAAGACATTTGGGAGGGACTTGCGGGGTACAGTGTTCCTGGCACTCCCCCCTCGGTCAAAACCCCAGCCCCCTATTCCCCCATGCCTTCCAGCTTACATCACACGCCATGAGCATCCCTTGGCTTCTGACGGATGGGACTTCTCTTTGCTGGAAATCATAGACTTTGGACAAGGGGGTCAGTTTGATTTGTTTGCCTCAACTCTCAATTGGTATCGCACGCTAAAAATTTTAACAGGTTATGAATCCAGGAAAACTAAGTTGATGGGCACACCGTATTATCTCCCACCTGAGCACAATAATCCAAAAGCTCTAGCATCTATTCAATCGGATTTATGGAGCTTGGGCTGCGTTGTATGATTATATCTTCTTCTTCCATTATTGTACTTCAGACTGATGTTGGGTCCGGTATAGCTCTTCTATGGCTTGATGCACGAGCATCTATTCTGGCTAGATGGGAGTCTAGAAAAATATCTTGGTATGTATGCACTTTTATGCTGATATAACCTTTTTTTATTTTTATTTTTTCCCTCACTTTAACATCCACACTGTTCATTGAGGCCTTTTCACTAACATCCCAATTTTTCAATGTAGCTGCCAATGATGAGGGGCAAGCATCTATCATTGATGGCCGGCTAAAAGGCCACCCCGTCTTTCAAGAGCATATCCAGTACAGGAAAATTACAAGCAAACTACTTCAGTCTCTTATACGAGCAGATCCCAGAAAACGAGACAAGCGAAGGGCAAATGAGCTACTGGATAAGTTGATAGATTATGCGAATGAGCACCTGGATTAGAATGGCGAGGGGTAGGGTGGATGTGGTATACAAAAACTAAAATCAACTATATGGTTAAGCCAGGATAAATCTGTTTACACCCAATTATCTATACGCTGCGTACTTTTAAATCTTGCTCCCTCATATATGTATAGCGCATAAAAATATATGTAATAACAAGAATGTACACGCTTCTTGAAGAGAACATGAATCGATGTCTACGCATTCGTGTTTTCGAAGGGTATCAAGGGTCTAACGGGGAGGTCAAGCAGGGGAAGCATAAAGACGATGGCATTCTGTCTCTTGGGGGTATATGCAGAAAGTTAAACTGGGGATAAACCATAAAAAGGGGCATATGCTAGAAAAACTGGGCATTCCACCATAGAATCATTAGTCCTTGTTACCAGCATTATTATCGTTATTGCTTCCATCGCCGTTCGAATTCCAGTTCCCCCATTGAGTCCAATCATTCGAGGGCACGCCCAAATTTCCATCTCCATTTATATCTCCACCAATGTTAGTGCTCACACCACCAAATTGGTCCAGAAGGTTATCAAATTTCATGTCTGTGTCTAGGGCCATATCTAGGCCAGCACCAAGACCCATCACAAAGTCATCTGATGCAGTTTGGAAAGAGGGGTCGGCTGTAGGGTACTGGTATGAATTGTTTGGGGCCCCTTGCGCAGCAAGGTTTTGCCAGATGAAAGAATGGCCGGGGATTGTGACAAGGTCGGGGTTGCCCATGAATTGGTAGGCATTTGTATTTTGTTGGGGCTCCGATGTTGGGCTTTGTGTATTGCCCGGGAAGGCGGTGGATACTGCCTTTATATGGGGAGGCAGACTGCTGACTGAGGTTGGGTCATGAGAGGATGCTGGACTCACCATGGACAGCCCGGGGGTAGTTGCAAACGAAGGTGAAGAGGACACGTTAGATTTATTCAAGCCATCCCTGTCCATTACAGATTGTAGGGATGAGTTTGAAGAGAACATAAATTGACCTTGGCCACCATTGCTGTTATTGTCCTGTTTAAAATGGTCGTCTTCCAAGGTTGACATTGGTTGGGTGGGGTAGGCCAACGGGTCGTCGGAAGGGAACATCATCGGCATAAGATCAGGCAGGGGTGCTGAGCCATTAAATGGCGGCGAAAATGATATATCTTGTTTGGGTGCGGATTGTGATTGCTGGTTTTCTATGCCTCCTACTGTAGCCAAAGATGGTGATGATATGTGAGTTTGTTCGGTATTAGCCAGTGATGAGACCCGGGGTGTAGAAGGAGATGGGCCAAATAAGCTTTGCATATCAGTCGTCCATTTGAAGGGGCCATTCGAGGCACTATTTGCGTTCTCGACTGACATATCTCCAGCCGGAGAATTTTGAACAGTAGCCTCTCTATTTGGTGTAACGTGCAATGGGAAGGTACTTGCTCGTTGTGGTAAACTGGCATTAAACTCTTCAGGCGCTTTGGTCTGCAGAGGTGGTGTCTTGTTACCGCTTCCTGAAGAACTGTTTGAACAAATAGGAGTGGGAGTCTGAGTACGCTTCCGGTTGATTAGCGGAGACGAAAGAGCCTGCCGGTTTCGAAGTCTCTCCGGAAGATATTTAAACATAGACTAGAGATAATGTTAGTTCATTTGCGAATAACATCAAATTCATACGGCCAAGGGAGACTTACATTCAAACTCTGGGCACATCGATCTGCAGCCATACTCTTCTTTGCGAGGCCAGCTAGCACATTCTTCCCCTCCAAGGCATCTTTCAAAATTCCGTCCTTGGCCGCTGCAGATTCCGGGTTTTCGAGGATAAAGAAGAGGAGCGTTAAGATTGCAAAGTAAGTTGTATACATCGTAAACCAATACGATCCGTTGAGAAGCTGTTTCTTTTTCATACCAGCAGTGATATGAACAACATTACGCGCAACACTAACACAAGCAGCGGCACAGGCATAAGATCGTTTGTCGATTTCTTGGCCTTTGGAACCACCAGTAACATAATGTAAGAAAGGCCGATACATAACTAGCTGAACATGAGCGTAGCATATACGGAGGAGTTGCCTCATCCTTGGACCTGTCAGCACATGCAAAATCAATTCTCCAACATATGGTCACTCACCTCTCCACTTCGATTGCCGCTTCACCACCGGGTCTATAGGCATCAGGCAGCGCCTCCATCCATTTCTGAAGATCTCGTTCAAGTTCTCGGATCTTTGAATGGCTTACCATATAGGTATGGTTGTCGCCGTGCGTTGTGACTTTGACAGGATAAATATATTTCATCACTTTCAACATGATATGGCCGAGTCTCATGTGCGCATTTGCACCTTGCATTAGGCAAATGTAGTTCTTTGGCATAGGCAAGATGCCATCCTTGGTGATAAATTCGTCATCGACAGCCATAGGATAGGTTTGGTCGATATCATCTTCACTCAACATTGATGGGAGGCCGAGAATAGTGCTGACATGGACATCCATCTTTCGAACAACCCAAAAAATCCGTTTGCGAGTTTCGAGCTCAATGGGGTTGAACTTGACAGAAACCGAGCGGTGGAGACCAAGACGGACGGCAGCACGGAGCGCAATTCCAATATAAGAATAACAAGTTCTAATATTGGCAGAGGCTTGTAGGAAAAGGATCATAAAGCAAACAGCCTGAAGAGAGGTTAGGTCTCGACACTCGGTTATATCAAGCAACTGTCGACCAGCTTTAAAATATTGGAAGCTATTCTGATTGTTAGTTTTGAATTGACTCAGAAAGTACGAAGAAACTTCAATAGGAGGAATTACCCTTGATCTACAGCACTTTCATAGCCAGATTTCTCCAAAGTGCAGTCTCCAGGTCCTCGGAACAGGCATCCGACAGCAAGCGCAAGATATAGAAGCGGCAAGAAGCTATTCTCCTCATTTGAGAATTGTTCTAGCGGGGTATCATATATACGGTCGAACATTGCCCAAAACGATGGTTTATGCAAGAAACGCATTATACAACACGCATCTTCAAGGGCATGAGTGCAGAATTTTCGCGCTTCCTTCTTCGATGGTAAGTCGTGAACGGGAGACAAGTGTGTGTCGATAGGGGACTCTGAAGTTGATTTCATTTTCTCCAGTCTGAGGGGCATCCGAGGGAGCTTCTGGGGCAGCTGCCCTTCCGGAGCAATGTTTCCTATTTGCTTCCGGACTCTTCTCACAAAGATAAGCCCGGAGGAATGACCGTGATAATCCCAATGTCCTTCATCGTCAAGGTCAAGAGAGCCCGTATTATCCACCATCGACTCTAGAAGTGATTCGTCGCACGGTTCTGAGGCTGCCGGTAACTTCGGCTCGGGCTTTCTAGGGGGCTCAGGCGTATTATTTTTGAGCAGAGCAAGTATTTCTTCGACGCAGCACCCATCATATCGAGGGTCATCAAGGTCAATCTCGGGCACAAGTGCTCTCAGGAGCCTTTCGGCTTTCTGAAGTCGACTTTCGAGGGCTTCGATATATTGAGGGGCAGGATTTCTTCGTCGGTTTGACGGCTTGTCATATGTGCATTCTGGTATCAAAAACATGATTAGCCACCCGCTTTTTCGCACAGGATCAACCGGAATACATAATTTGTATATAGAAGGAGTCATACCGTAACTATAGACAGTACAGTGGGTACAAGGTTGCTTGCCGTCGCATTTTATCTTCTTACGGCGACACTCATCGCAGGCTCTTGTGACCCTTCTTCTTTTTTGTACTGTTATGGCCAGTGAGGACTGGTGTGAGTCGGTAGCTGGTGTTCCCTCTGTCGTCACAGGTTCTTGCGTTGCGTCTGGGGTTTGGTCATGATGGTCCTCAGAATTGTCAACCTCGCCTCCGGCTGACGCTGAGGATTGCTCCTGAATTTTCTGTTCCTCCTGCGGCGACTGCATGGTAATATCTTCAGAGACCATTATGTTTGAATGCCTCACAAAGCACCCACAAGCTCATTGGGGGCGGCCAAGGATTAGATAGGGGTTTATATCGTCGTCTTCACTACTGCTCGTGGTGTCAAGCAGTAACATATCCAGGCGCCAGGGTATACTCCTGGAGCTCGATACTAGCAACGCATACTGGGTTAGCACAAGCAAACAAAGGGCGGTTATAAACTCCGCGGCCACGAGCATTCCCCATGTACAATTGTTTTTTTCTTTTGGCCAGCCTCATTGAATCGATTAAGCGGACAGATGCTCATTCGACTTTCCTCCCCTCTCTGGCCAGAAGAGAGTTCACCAGCGGAGTTGACGTACCAATGATAAAGGTTTCCCCCGCTGATTTGCTACCAAGATCGACAAGCAAATGCAAGCAGACGGGCGACTCGTTCGTCTATACGCTCAATATCGTTGGGCGAGGACGAAAAAGAAGGAAGGAGCGTGCAGGCGCAAGGATGGGTGACAGATACGACCAGCAAGTTGAGTGGGAGTTTTTATCAGATGGAAATGACTCTTTGATGTTTCAACCAGCACTAGTAAGGCTTGCTCGGATTGCAGACTAAAAGTTTGAAAAGCGCGACCCACAGGGCAAGAATGTACTTGGCCCGTTGATAGGTGGATACAAGCTTTCGACCTTTGGGCCTTCTAACGGGGAGCAAAGAAGGAAGAAAGGCGTGCACGATCACCGGATTAGAATCGAGTCCCGGCGCATAATCCCTAGCCTACAAAGCAAGTAAGCAGCAAGCAGGATAACAGGAAGCGCCGAAGCGTGCAGGCAGATTTGGAACAGCCACAGCCGGGGGTGTGGACGCTGCACCTCACGAGCGAGACCGCAGCTGGTTGCTCCGATGATTGTTAGTCTTAACTCCGACGACTGGAACCGAGGGAGTTTGAATGCATGTATCCAGACCATCCATGCAGTGGGTTTGTTCTCCCATGCAGCCACGGCGAGATGAGAGCATGGAGAGAACAATGCAAATGTCGCACAGCTGTGTCGTCTCAGGCCAGGGAGGTGCAGCAGCAATGCCTTTGGCTCTGCGCTTTCGTCCTTGTCATCCGCGCCCATGTCGTTGCTTTGCTGCATCTCGCAACTCCATCTCCGGGAGCTGCATATGCTGACTAAGAGTGCCCTTTCACATGACTTGCTTTCTCATTGATGATTGGTCCATCGGCCGGAATGAGATTTTGCCGCTGTATTATATAAGCAATTCTAGAATTAGAACTGCCCGCTAAGGCTTCCATCCCCTGGCAACTCCTGATACAGAAAGCTAGACGTCGCTCGGTGGTGACCTCCTAGATCCGCGGCCACCGGCCAGACATAATCCCGTGCTAATATCAATGCTATTTCTCGAAGCGAGGGCTCAGGGTGGAAAAAGATGATGTGAACCTGAGGTGTCATAATAATCGATGCTGCATACTCCTGTTCCAGGCAAGCCCCCCTGCAAGGACAGCGGAACGTCCAAACAGGAAAGTCTAGCCTGTAGACATCGTCTTCTTAGAGTCATGGGTTCGTCCAGAATCTGTGGTGCTATCGGCCGGGCTTTGGTGTGCAGTGAGGGAATGGCCGGGGTTCAGGTTGTTTGAGCATGGGCTGGCGTAAGTTACCGATGTGCTGCATGGAAGAGAGGAGAAAAAGCATAACAGCCCCAGGCCGTTTTCTTGCTGCTTGCTGTCAATTATAGAGACTACTCCGCATCGCTGAGTGCTGTCACTCACCATCCTTGACCATATTACCCCGTGCGCGCATCATAAAAAGTAACAATACCGAATCTCAGCCCTGGCCTGTTATACTCATGTATGCTGGGGCTCGATCGATGATGGAGCCGAAGAGAACGACAAGCTTTGCGGCTGTCCATCGCAACACACCACGCTCCACCACATGGTAGACCCGATAGCGGAGGGCAATGCGGTGTCGTGTACGGGATAAGGAGGTATCGGGATGATGTTTTATTCCGTGTAACGCTCGTATCTCTTTAGTTATCCCGATCAAGGTACTTATTTTGGGACTTTTGGGCTCTCCGTCGATGTTTTTCCGCAGGAAGAAGAAACGTTAGTTATCATTGACTCGGAAACATGCTCAACTGATGCATACCACGTTCTGGGGGAGAGTTCATGCTTGAATGCCTTCTCTCCCCCTCCGCTGTCCACCTGTCTGATTGACTGCCAGGATTTAACTGTCGAAGTACATAGTGTCTGGGTGAAATGTAGAAACTGAGCAGGCAGTCGTCGCCCGTCGTCAAAAGAAGGCTTCGACTTCTTTCTGCCGTTCTTCACCGCGCAGCCCGATGAGGAAGTCAGGATAGCAACTCCAGGCCGACTTCGAGATATAAAACTTCGTCGGGACATAAAATGCTACTGCTGCGCTGTTCTCTCGCTCGTCTAGCAGTGTAAGACAGCGACGGCCTTTTCTCCATACATAAATGGTTCTCCACAGGTATGCAGGCTTAGTCAAGCCAGAAAGGCAAAAATAGTTAGTTTAAACTAGAAAAAAAAAAAAAAAAAAAAAAAAGACATGGATGAGCCGCCAGCATCAACATCAAACCCAGCAGCACCAGCAACATCAAGCTCACCTCACCAGCAGCTGCCGCAAGACTGCGACCCAAACAGAGCTCCTGTCCCCTCAATTGAATCCAGTGTTGACTCCGGAGATATCGATCCCTTCTCTCCAACCCCGCCCTTCAGAGACCGGCCGCTCCCTTCCCGCACGCCAGGCCGCTCACAATGCTCCGATAGCTCTCCTCGCGCTCACCTTCGCACCCCATCCACTCCACTGGGAGTTCCAACTCCCTTGTCTGTCATAGGCGCGTCGGAATTGCATCTTCCTTCTGGATCGCCTCGTATACTCGAGCCGGAACCGCTTTGGTATCGCAGAGGCAGAACTTCACAGGTCGATGAGCTTCGACATGTCCTGGACCCTCCAAATACTCCAACCAAGCTAGCTTTATCACCGCCTGCCCTTCATCACGCTCTTTCAACCTCCACGTCAGTTACTTTACCCGCCATCAGAGCAGTGGAAGCAATACACTCTCTCCCTTCGCTCTCAACCATCACATCTGCGGTCCCTGCGATGCAAAACACCTCCGACCTTGCCAGCACCCCGCATCAGCGCGATAGCGCGACTTCCAACGCGATGGAAGACGATACTTCAGCTGCATCTCCTATCGCTGCTCAGAGTTTGGATCCTTCAACAGTCGAGAATTTTTGCCCCGATGCGCGTCATATTTTGTCCACCAGCCCGGAGTCAATAAAGTACTGGGAAGCTATATTGGACCGCTGCAATACTAGCACTCGCATAACCAAGCCTCACATTGGGCAAAGAGATATGTTTGTGGTAGGAAACGTCACTATTAAGAGTGATCACCTTGATCCTAGTGGAGGGAGTGGTTATCATCTACTTGACGCAAACGAAGTCGCTGCAGTGAAGTTGGTCAAAGATGCGATCCCGGGCATCCAAGTACCAGAAACCTATTTCAACTCAAAGATTAGAGGCCATGATATTTTGATACAATCTCGCATTCCAGGGCGGCCTCTCAGTGATATCTGGCCCTCGCTCACACCTCCGCAAAAGGAGAGCTTCAAGAGTCAAGCCCGTGACATCATCTTAAAGCTACGTCGAATAACACCTGTCACCCTAAAATACCCCAGATACTTCGTGGCAGGTTCAGAGAAGGAAAGTCAACGGAAATTGACCGCAGAAGAAGTCCATAGCCTCTCACCCACTGATACCTGTGAGGACCTCGGTGTGGCCCATAATGATATGATCATGTCCAATATCATTGTGGATAATGATAGAATAGTCGGTCTTATCGGGTGGTCGAATGCTGGCTATTTCAATTGGAGAACTGTCAGCAGAATCCACGCAAAGGTTAGATGCGTAGATCCCAAGACCAACGCATCTATCCCAGAGTATCACGAACCAGAGGTTCCATGGCACGACCTCTACGAACCTACACAGGAATCTAAGAGGATTGAGATTGATGAAACAGCTACTCTTAAAGTGTCCACGCCGACAACGGAACTAAACCCGCTTCTGCCATCAGAAGAAGGCTCATCACAAACACCTGCTCTCACTCCCAGAAAAGTGGCAGACATGAAACGAAGCTCCGTATCACGGGCGTCCTCAGTTGACCGCTCATCACCAGCTCCATCAGTGAATTCTCAGCCAGTCGCAAAGAAGAAGGGCCCTAGCGCTGCTTCTATCAAGAAGGGGACAGCCAAACGTACACCGGCAGCGAGCAAGAAGCGAAAAATAAACGAGATTGGAGACGTGGAAGATGTAAAATCTTCTCCCCTAGCTAAACCATCAACTCAAAGATATAAGAAGCAGGATTCTCAGTCAGCTGCCGGTTCACCTGCACCAGAACACAAAGCGCCGAAGAAGGCTCGTTTACGGCGTGGCAAGCTGAACACTGACGATGACGATGAGGATGTTGATGAATCTGCTTTGTTTTGCATCTGTCGTAAACCGGATAACCATACCTGGATGATTGCGTGTGATGGAGGCTGCGAGGATTGGTTCCATGGCAGATGCATGAATATTGATCCAAAGGATGCCGACTTGATTGACAAATACATCTGTAAGTCTATTCGAATTTAAGCACTCCCCCAATGATCCAAGCTAACCTGCGTTTAGGCCCAACTTGCGAAACAAAGAGCCCTCTACGTACAACTTGGAAGCCAATGTGTCGCCTTCGCGAATGTCGCCAGCCGGCCCGAGTTGATGCAAAACCACCCAGCAAGTATTGCTCGGACCAGCACGGGATAGACTATATGAAACAAGCAATGTCTCGAGGCTCAAGGCAGCCCAGCTCCAGTGCTGATGAACAGAGCAACAGAAGGCACAAAAACGAGGCGAGCAGAGGTGGAATACTCAATCTGGGAGAACTGAAGTCGGTTGTTTCCAAGGTCGACTCAGCCGACCAATTTCGGAAACTTGGTGCCAGCCCGCTATCAGCTCGTCAGGAGGAAGTTCAAGCACGGCTTTCAGACGCCATGGCTTCCCCCGGCCCGAACCAGAGCGATTCAGAGACCAAAGATGTAAATTTCGATTCCGAAGCGGATAAAGTTGCATTCTCCTCTAGCGAACGCCAACGACTCAACCAGCTTCGGAAGGAGAAATTGAGACTTGACAACCGCAAGGAAATGCTTCAAGCCCGGGATAACTTCATCGTTATTTCTAAGCAAAGAGTGAAACATGCATTTGACCGCCTTAAAGCCCATGGCTCCATTGGCAATTTACAGCTCAAAGACATCTGTGGCTTCGATAACCGGTTCTCTCTCTCTGACGAAGAATTCGACGAATGGCGGAAATCCGAAAAGGGGGCTTTGCTGCTCGCTGATTTTTCCGCTCAGGACAATGCCGGAGAAGCCAGCCCTCAGTTGAAAAGCGCAGTTGATGCCGAATCAGTTGAAGAGCTACTCCAGACTCTGTGCTTGAAGAAGCGTTGCGAGCGCCATAAGCAATGGACTAAGGTTATGCAGCAAGAAGTGCTTTTTGAGCAATCAATCTTGAGGGAACAGTCCGATAAATGTCACAAAGATGCCGAGGAGTTGGTCAAGAAGGCCGTTCTTAGAATGTTCAGCAACGAGAACTAGATCCTTTCTCCCTTGATACTACTATCTGCTTCAATTTGCAGCATCCATACACCGACCACTAACTAACATTAGAACTTTGAACTTCTTATTCCGATACCCAGTTACCCCTTTTTTTTTTTTTTTTTTTTTTTTTTTTTTTTTAATTTTTGAGCCGGAACAGAATACCCCATTTGACCTGTATTACTATTATTCCTATCATGGTGCTTTCGGCTCTATCCTCCTTTTTAATTTGCATCGGCGCCTGTTGACGGTTTTAATGGACTGACAAAAAAAAAATCATACCAGCGACCCTCCAGCCTGTTACCTTTATTTCTTTTTTCCTGCCCCATTGTTTCCGGACATCCAGTGGCATGGCGTTTGTACTTTGCAGGGGCTGTTCGATATTCAAACCAGCCATGTATTTTATACCATCCTGCATCTTTCTGTATGGTTAAATAGTTGCTTTTAAGTGAGATACTCCACAGCGCATGGTTAGCGAGTCAATAAATACCGGAGTAATTCGAATGAACAAGGAAATGTGCGTCAGTCTTTTATTCCGTATCATCGACCTGTATGGATACAAGATATCCTCTACCCCGTTTAGAAAATATCCCAACGCCCTAGATTATTTCCCTCCCTGTCTTTGACTACCTCAACCACTCGCTCGTTATCTACACTAGAGACCACCAAATGAACGTCAATACCCTCATCAAGCTCGTCGGCAAAAGAGAACAGCTGCAGACCATATGGGTATGGAGAACCGCTAATCAACCGGCGGTCTTCAGGTGGCTCAAAAACGGACTCTACTGGGAAATTCATATCCTCAAGCCTATAGGGGGTGGTTAAAGCTGTTTCAGCCGGTGTTAGACCATTGCGCACTTGGGTCCGGAGTTCATCTGGAGCCATCTGTATTGCCTTTGGTACTTCTGGTCGTAGCGTTATAGAATTGGCGATGATAACCGCAAGCAGGGAGTTGTATGTCCTGCAAAGGAGAGTGAGAGTGCGGAGAAACGAGCATAAACGATCTCCAGCAGTGTCCATATCAGAAGAGCGGATAGTTTCCTGTATGGCTACATCTATTCCTTCGATGAGAAGCAAGATGGGCGGTTCGAAGGGGCCTCTTTTTCCAGGTCTGTTTTCCGACTGCGTAGTATCGTCTTGGTCTTCGGTTTGCGCAGAGGTAGAGACTCCAGGCCCCTTATTTGCTTTCTGTTGTCCCTGTTCAATTTTGAAGAGGAGATCAGATACTTGGTCGACGGCACTTTGTATCTGGCCGAATTCGAACGCTTGAAATATGTTGACATTTCGCAGGATGTTCTCTATCTCCTTGAGGGAGAGGTCGGGCATCTTTTCTCGTATAAACCCTTGAAGAACACTTGATGATAGCGGACGGCAGCCTTTAAATTGGATAATGAAAGCCCTTGGCCGGTTTGCAGTTGCGTTTCGTGTGATTGTGAAAATTAGTAGGTGTAGAGATAGCTGTTGACGGGGTTAGCAATGTGGACTGCATCTTCGCTGATAGATATATACGCACTTCATCAACCCATTCCTGAACATACTCTCTGCCATTTGGTGCCTTTTCCCCTGGGTCTATACTGAGTATCAGAGAAGATATCCCCAGTACCCGGCCTGCTGACACGATGGCTGCTGCGGGTTTCTTTGATCCTTCGTCCCCGTAAATCTCAGATGCCAGCCGCCATCCATCCTCATCTTCCGAACTAGACGTACTTCTGTCTTCGTTTTCGGACTCTGGAGGAAGAAGTGAAGATGCCAGGATCGGCTTTGCAGCCACCGCAGAAGGGGTATTCATTTGGCTGAGGAGAATCCAGTTGTCGTTCAGAGATTTGCTGTCTTTTTGGCTATCATTATCATAATTGCGTATTTCTCAAGGATGTCTTCTAGGGATGGCAATCGAGATATACAGGGTATAGTCAGGGTATGTTCCTGAAGTATGGATGTTTTGTCTGATCTCCAGCCAAGTCGATGTCTTGACTGTTGACGTTCAGTGCGTTGCGGTGGATTCCACTTGAAGAAACTATCCGCAACAACTAAAACTAACTGCAAGCCAACCATCCTCAACATCAACACCACCTGTACGTCCATGGATGAGACTGCTAACCCATGAACGAAGGATTCAGACACGTAACCCAGCAAAAAACTTGAACAAGGCGAATATCAAAGTTAACCAACTGCTCTGCCTCCAAGTCTATGCAGCTTCTCCTACCCCACAGTGGCCGGTTAAGCATATAAAAAGGCAGCCGGCAGATACGAGCTCCCCCTCAAGGCATCTAGTTCTCCTTATCAACCATTCTATCTAAGAAAGCCATCTAGATATCCTGATTCCCTACTATAATCTCCGCACTTCATACAATATATACACCAGTTAACCCACCCCTTAAAACACCCCAGCAATGAGTCCCGGCGCCGTTGCTCAACCCACCCCAGCCGCAGCCAGCGAGGATGTCAAGACCAAACAAGAGCATGAAAAGCAGCATATCCACAGTGACGAACGAGGCCTTAAGGCTCTTTCTCATGGAGGCATTCCTATCCCCGGTACTCTCCAACTCACTCCATCCTCCCCTTATCCCTCTCCACCCAGCTCTCTACAGCCTATATATCTACATCTACAACACTAAGCCCTTTCCCCAGGAATACCCAGCTTCACATCCCACGAGCTCAAACGCCAATGGCAACTAGAGCATATGGCGGGGGCATTCCGCATCTGGGCCCGACAAGGCTACACCGAGGGACTATCAGGCCACATCAGCGTCCGCGACCCCGAATTCACCGACGCCTTCTGGACAAACCCCTTAGCCGTGCACTTCGGCCTGCTGAAAGCCAGCGACATGATACTCCTGCGTCTCGACGGCAGTGTGATAGGCGGCAACCGCTCGCGGCCTGCCAACGCAGCAGGCTTCCTGATCCATGCAGCAGTGCACAAGCGCCGACCAGACGTGCACGCCATCTGCCATGCGCACACGATCTACGGCAAGACATGGTCGTCGTTTGCGCGGCCGCTGGAAATGCTGAACCAGGACGTGTGTAAGTTCTACAAGGCGCATGGCGTGTACTCGTCGTATGGCGGGGTGGTGCTAGCGGAGGAAGAAGGGGAATTGATTGCGACGGCGCTGGGGGAGGGGAAGGCTGCGATATTGATGAATCATGGCCTTTTGAGTGTGGGGGGAACGGTGGATGAGGCGGCGTATTTGTTTGGGTGTTTGGAGCGGTGTTGTCAGGCGCAGTTGCTTGCTGAAGCTGCTGCGGCTAATGGGGTTGAGAAGGTGTATATTTCTGATGAGCAGGCGGCGTATAATTTTGCGGTGGAGAGTGATCCGGAAGTGCTTTATTGTGAGTTCCAGCCTGATTATGAGTATGAGGATGTTATGTGTGCTGGGGCTTTTAAGAAGTGAGTTTGATATTGGATGTATTTCGGGTATTATTAGTTTTGGTAGTTATGTTGCAAATAGTTCATTGGGATGTTGAAGTCGAGGCCAATGCGTAATGCAGTATGTTATTGAGATGCTAGTATCAATAAATCTATCCCATGTCTACTCCCTATGCAGTTGTTAGTAACAAAGTCGATAAAACGCAAAAGGGGTAAAAAGGGGTAAGCAGGTAGAAAAAAGGGGGGGAAAGGAAGCTCACTAGCAGAAAACCATATAACCACCATGCTCAAACAGCTAACAGCAGACCATGCAGAACTTTTTCAACAAGATAGAAAATGAAATGAAAGAGTGAATAAAAGACCTAAATCTCTTAATAATATAACCTGTCAATAAGAATAGTATTTTTTTTCTTCTTGCCCATTTCCTCCCACCGAGACACTTTTGAAACACAATGCGATTAAAAGAAGAATCTAGAATATTGCATACAGCTAGGACAGACACAGGGATGGATGAACATCAACGATAAATAGTGCCGAAGATAGCGATATGGAAGAATATAGCTTGAAAGGGGGTAGGTGGGATAGATAGATAGTACGGGAGACTAGTAAGGAGGCGGACCGATCCCCCTTCTGCCTGAAATCGATCTGCTGGGGGCAAGCAGACCTTTTACTCCGTCGTGCGGGGGCATGGGGACAACAGTGTCTGCGTCCGGGGTGGTAGGAGTGGGAGTAGCTATGCCACCGAGTAACTTGTCGACTTCCGCTCTTCGGCTCTGGCTGACGGATCGAAGCAGGATGGGGTTCTGGGTTAGACTTGGATCCCATGCGTCGACGGGGTTTTCTGCTGCGCTCCGACTGTGTTTGCGAGAGCGGGTAGTAGATGTCTGTGGTGAAGCGGCGCGGCGAGAAGTAGATGGTGTTCTGGTTTTGGAGCGAGGGCGAGAACGAGAGTTGGAGCGGGATTGGCATGCCGAAGAGGATCTTGAGGGTTGTTTACGGGATTGAGGGTGATGAGGCAGTGGTGGGACGGGAGGTGTGGATTTGTTGTCTTTGTCTTTGTCGAGTTGGGGAGCGTGGGTTTGTTGGACTTTTTCGAGGACTGCGTCTGCGTTGCCGGCTGGACCGGTACTGCTGAAGCCTGCGTCCGAGGTGGAGAAGGTATCTGTGACCATGCTCTCGGCACTGGAGGCGTCGTCGCTGCATAGAGGTGGGTGGCCACGCAGGGGGCTTGGATGGCGGACGTTGGAAGTGTTCATGACCGAGAGGACACGACGGAGCTCGTTGACGCGGACTGTAGAGTCCTTGCTTGATGAGGCGGTTGTAGAGGACCGAGGGTGAGGTATCTCAGTGAGACTCTGGCGGCGGTCCTTGCGGCTTTCGGCGCGGGTGCCAGGGGCGGTGGCTGTGGTAGCAACAGCAGCGGCAGCGGAAGCAGAGACGGGACGGTGCCATTTCTGTCCATGGCCATGGGACGAGTCTGTGCCTGTGGGGGAGCTGGCGGTTCCGTTCTTGCCGGCGGTTGCGGTGACGTTGAGATGGTTGCGGACGGGCACGGAACCGCTCTTTGACCCCGTGATGGAAGATGATCGGGTACGTTCCTGTTCGATGGAGGCTAGACAGGCTTCTCTTGACCAGGAAGAGAGCATTTGGTCCTTGATATATGACGGTAGCAAGGTTGTAGTGGGTAGGTGACGAGCTGGCGGCTGGAAGGATAGAGTAGCTGCGAGCCCCTGGACGGCTGCACCGGGAGAACTTGCTGGGCTGGAAGCCGGGGAGAGACAGGACTGGTTGTAAGCGGTTTCAATCTGGGAGACCAGTTCGGCGATGGAGGTAAAAGGGGTATAAGCGGATTTGTTTGGCTGCACGACGGGACCAGTGTTGGTATCACTTGGGTTGAGCGGCTGCTCGGCCAGGATGCGGGCTGCAGGGAGAGGAGGCAGCTGGACCTTGGTGAGCCAGAGGCCGTTCTTCTTGCGCCTGACGACCTCGTTGAGGATGTCTCTGCCTAGCTTTGTGCCTTCGAGGGTGAAACGTTCGACGACGGCTGAGAGGTAGCCGTGGACAAGACTTCCGGCCTTTAGCGGGGAGGCAGGGGTAGACGGGTCGAGACAGTAAGACTGGAGCTTCATGATGACTGGCAGTCCGTACCTGATTGCATTGACGCCCAAGCGGTCTACCAGGCTGACCAGCAGGAGGTGGGAGAGCAGAATATCAGCCTCGGACACGGCGGGGTCAGTAGCAATCTCGTAGATGTTGAAGTGCAGATGCTGCAGGAACCGTGAGACTTCGGCTGCAGCAACTTTATTATTGTCGTCGGGCCCTGAAGCGGGCAGGGCCTTTCTGACCAGCTTCTCTGCGCTGTCAGAGAGGTCTGCTCCTCTGTCTTTCCGCTTGCCGACCTTGAGTGGCTCAGCGGGGGCACGGAGGTCGGAGTCGTTGGTCTCCAGCTTCAACCAGCAGAGCAGAGCGTCGACGTAGGCATATTTGACGTCTCTGTCAGCATCGCGGAGGAGCCATTGAGTGCCCTCCCAGGCGTGGACGGGGACAGGATGCCTGGCATGTGTTCCTCCTCCTCCTCCTCCTCCAGCTCGTGAGGAGGAGCTTCCAGCCCCCGGACGGTTGGCTACGTCGAGCGTGTCCTTGACAGCCTTGAGGGCAATGATGCGAGCGTTGGGAGTAGAGAAGTAGGTATCTGATACGACGGACGACGACTCGTCTGCAGCGGCCCTTTCGGACTCGTCGTGGTCTGAGTTGTTGGTTGAGGATGCCGGTGCCGAGGCAGGTCTGATGCGAGAGACGATTGTCTTGACCATGTCTGACACCTGATCGGTGTAGTAGACATGGTTAGCGAGGTTTGCTACGGACGACTGCAGCAGCACGAGCAATTCCTGGCGCATTGACCCCGAGGAAGGCCGGGAGTTTGTAGCTGTTCCTCCTTCTTCAGCAGAACCAGTAGTAGTAGCAGCAGTAGCAGTAGTACTGGCAGGGAGAGCGGCATCATCCGTATGAGCGAGGGCAAGGGGGTGAGCAAAGGCGGTCTTGCTGGGCGGGGGGACGACCTTGACCCTGCCCTCGCCGAGATGGAGGAGGAGGACGATGAAGCGCAGCAGGGCAATGAGGACGTCCATGACGCTGAGGCCGATGAGGTTTATGGAGGAGCTGAGCAGCCATTCGATCATGTAGACGAGGCCGAGCTGTGGTTCGAGCTGGCCGTCGACCAGGGGCCGTTCTGCGAGGGCCTCGACCAAGGTGACGAGCACGACGAAGCGGTCCTGGACGGGGGCCCAATTGACGATGACTTCGAGCAAGTCGGTGGCCCAGCTGGTATCGTTCTTGGGCCTGGGCGGGTTGCGAGAGACGATAAACTCGAGGACGAGGGCGGTGGCCAGGCGTATCTGCAGCCTGTTGCTTCCGGGAGTGAAGACCTTCTCGAGACAGCGGAAGGCGAGGACCTGGGCCTCTACTTCGGCGGCCTTGTCAGCGTCTGCGGCGGTTCCCGACGCAGACTCCGGATCGCCGGCCTCGACGGTGTCGACGGTCTGGACAGTCGCAATGCTCATCCGCCGGCGCCGGGCGTGTTCTTTTTCCAAGTTCTCAGAGCAGACGGCTCGCTGCTGGAGCTGGAGCAGGCCCGGGTCACCGGAATGGTAGAGGGTGTGCAGGATGACGGGCAGGACGATGTTGAGCTGCCTTGACCAGTCTGCGCCGAGGGCCTCTGAGCCGACGACGGCCCTGATAGCTTGAAGCCCGACATTGCGCCATCGCAGGTCAGTTGCTGTAGAAGTAGTCGTAGTATTTGTGGTAGTGGTTGTAGTCCTGGAGGTGAAGCTGGCGTACTTGCGCACGACGTCGCGGTACTGGTTGATGTAGTCGATGTCAGCGGAGAGGGCGGTGGCGTCCTGGTGCGAGCAGAAGACCTGGAAGGTCGGGATGGTCTCCTCGACCATGGCGATGTCGTTGGAGTGCTGCAGGACGGTGTCGAGGATGGCGAGGACGGAGCTGGCGTAGAGAGGCAGGTCTCGCGGCAGCTTCTCTATCAGCGCCGCCAGCAGCTGCATCGTCACCTGGACATTTCTACCAATGGACACCATTAGCATGCAGAACATAGATAAAAGACAAGGGAGACTCACCCCAGCTTCTGCCTCCAGACGTCTCTGGCGGCGCGCTTCTCGAGAAAGGCGCCGACCTTGAGCAGCTTGCTGCGGCGGGTGCTGGCGTAGTGCAGCAGGTAGCTGAGCTCAGAGGAGTTTGGGCGGACGACCTGGACGCCCTTTTGGAAGCGCGGATAGCACTTGAGGACGAGCACCTGGTGTTTCGGCCGGCATGCCTGGCGGACGGAGTGCATCTCTCTTCTTCTCTTCTTCCTGTCTTCTCTCTGTAGTGGTCGTAGTGGTTGTAGTGATGGTGGTCGTAGTGTAGTCGTAGTCGTAGTCGTGGTGGTGGTGATGCTGCCTGGCCGCCTGGACGACGCTGCTAGGGACGACCCATAGATCTCTCTCTTCTCTTCTCTTCTCTTCTGTCTTCTGTATATCCTCTGTATATCCTCTGAGTATCCTTGCGTATCTCCTGTCTTCTCTCCTGTCGTCTGTCCTCTGTCCAAGTCCTCTGTCCGCCGTCGTCTTGCGAGTTGTGATGTTGTTCTTTTTCTCGCCTGCAGAAACGACTAAAAGGAAAACCGCCGGACAAGCCAGCCGACTAACTCTCTTCTCTCTTCTTTTATTATCTTCTTCTCTCTTCTTCTCTTATTATTATCTTCTTCTTTTATCTTTTATTATCTTATTATTACTACTACTACTAGTGACTACTGAGCATGTCTATCACCTGCGGCCGGATGACGGCGACCCTGAAGGCCTCCTCCTGCAGCAGCCGCAGCGCCCGCAGCGTCGCCCCCGGGTGCGAGAGGAACTGGACGTACTCGGGGCGCCGCCAGTAGTCGTAGAGGTAGGCCAGGTAGGCGGCAAAGGCCTCGCTGTCGTCTTTCTCCCTGCTGGTAGCGTCTCTGTCTCTGGAGGCGTTGCTGTCTTTCTCCTTGGAGCTGGTGATGCCGAGCAGCTGCGGGTGGGCGACGGCGAGGTGCGAGAGATAGTGCGGGTTGGCCAGCGAGAGGACGAACTCGAGCTCGAGCGTGAAGCGAGGACTTGACGGCGCCGGGGGGTTCATCGAGACTGTAGAGCAGTGGAAGAGTAGATAGTGGTAGAGACTGAGAGACTGTAGAGTAGACTGTGGTAGACGACGCTGTTGAAGAAGAGCAGACAGCAGACAGTGGATAGTAAGAGAGAGAGAGAGAGTAATAGAGAGAGTAAGTAAGAGTAGAAGGACTGAGAGAGAGGAAGGACAGTCAGTAGTAGTTAAGAGAGAGAGAGGACAGTAGAGTAAGAGAAGAGTAAGAGAAGGAGAAGGAGAAGAAGGCTGGTAGAGCAAAAGACCAAAAGCGACTCCTGAGCCAAAAGCTTTTCAGGGCAAAGTTAGCGACTTCTCGACTTCAACTTCTTCACCACTTCTCTTCTTCTCTTCTTCTTCTTCATCTTCTCTTCTTCATCATCTTCACCCTCACTTATTCTCTTCTCTTCTTCTCTTCTTCACTTTCACTGACTCGCTCTCTTCGACTGTCCATCGTCGATCGCTCCACCGGCCTGCGTCTCCTCGCCGGCATCCTTGCCCCTTCTTTCGCCTTCGCCAGCCCGTCCAGACGAACCAGCAGCCAGCACCGCCAGACAGACCCGGGAGAAGACACACAGGACATCCCTTCGCCGTCGCACTCGGGCAGCCAGGCAAATCGCAGCAGACACCGTCATCGTCATCAGAACCTTTATCAGCGCCAGCAGAAGCTCCCTGTCGCCGTCGACGGGCCCTCGTGCGACCGCCAGGCCCTCTTCCCGCCTCCCCTTCCCGCCTCCCCTTCGCCTGCGCTGCCTCGCTCCCCCCTTCGACCCTTATCCTGCCTTGCCTGCTTTTCCTGCTTTTTATACTCTCTCGCTGCCCCCCCTCTGCTCCTCGCTGGCTGCCATGTCGCTTGCTCCCATCCCAGTGCCAGGTACGATACCGTGATAAGTGAATCTCTGCCCCCCTTGGGCGCCCGGCCTGCTGTTTCACCTCTATTAAGGCCTGGTGGGCATCCACACTACAACACCTTCACCTCACGACATCTTCACTTCACGACTTCACGACCTCGACTTCGACTTCACTAGAATAATACTGACTAGGAACAGACAGGCAGGCCTCTCCGAGCATCACGCTGGGCTCCAACAATCCCTTCCGCAACAGGGCCGCCTCTCCCTCCACGCCCAACTCGCTGCTCAGTCCCGGCTTGCGGCCCCAGAGACCGCTCTCTACCAACCCTTTCCTCGACGAGACCGAGTCCTTCTCGCCCTCGTCCCTCCCCTCGCCTGGCATGGCCGACGCCTCTGACCTCTTCGTAAGTTACTCTTTTACTCCTACTCTTTTACTCTTTTACTCATTGTTCTAACTTCTACAAGGAAAACCTCTCGCTGGAGGACAGGAAGAGACGCCCGCCCCCCCGGCCTGAAAACATTCCACCTCTATCTTCCTCCTCCCTCAACGCCGGCAGGCCCCTTCCGCAGCACCGCCGGCCCTCCAACCACGAGGCCTCGCGTTCGCGCTCGACAAAGACCGGCCAGCTCATCGACGTCTTTGCAGATCCCTCAGAGTCCACCCTCGTCGGCTCGTCCGCCGCCTCCCACTCTGCCGCTGCTGCCAGGCCCGAGAGACGGCCCCGTCGCAACTCAGATTCCTCCCTCATGGAACGCCCAAAGCTGCTCGACCCGGAAGAGGACCGCAGGCGTCGCGAGCGTCGTCACAGAGAGCGTGAGGCCAGGCATAGAGACGGCAAGTCCTCTCGCTCCAGGCGTGGAAACAACTACAAACTAGACATCATCGACAAGCTCGACGTCACCGGCATCTACGGCCCTGGCTGTACGTCTTCCTCTCTTTACTTATTTTCTTACGTTCTAGTTAACTGATCCGTCTAGCATTCCATCATGATGGCCCGTTTGATGCGTGCAACCCTCACCGCAACCGCAAGGGCTCGCGGGCCGCTCCCATGCAGGCCTTCCCCAAGGACTCCCGCAACATGGCCATCGGCGGCGCCGGGCCAAACAACAACAAGCTAGACCTCAACCAGATCCACGGCCGCGGCCAGGAAGGGTACTCCGACTTCTCGACTGGCATCTCCAGCGGATCGGCCATCTCTTCCTCCGCCATGAAGGCCGACGCAGCCGTCGCCTTCAACCCAACCAGCCAGATCGAACAGGTCCACAGCGACATCAGCATGGGCCTGGGAACTTCCACCTTCCTCGAGGGCACTCCGGCCAGCCGTGCCGCCATCCAGCGCAAGGAGTCAGAGTCAGACACCATGCAGGCCGGCCTCCAGCGCAAGAAATCTCTCGCCCAGAAGATCCGTGGCATCAACAACCGCAGCATCAGCAGCGGCAGAGTCATGTCCCCCGAGCCGCTCCTCCACCGTCGCCCCTCAGAGGCCGCTGACAACCCGCCTCGCCATGCGCCCCCTCCGCCGCCACCCCGTGCCACAAGCTCCCGCCGAGCAAACACAAACGACAAGAACCCTTTCTTCTCCAACACCAACAACAACAGTACCTCAAATAATAATGCCTTTGGAAGTTCCAGCCAAGACTACGATGATGCATATGACATGAAGTCCGCGAAAATCCAAAACCACAGGCTCGTCGACAGTGATGATGGATATGGAGGGCGGCCCAGGGCCATGAGCAGCCCCCGTGGCCGGCCAGAGCGCAAAGAGAGTAGCGACGGCATGACCAGCCCGACTGCAGAGGATCCCAAGCCTGCCTCGGGCTTCATCAGTCGCGTCAAGAGCTTGAGGAAGCCCAGAGCCAGGTAGTACTCACTACCTCTCTCTCTCTCTCTCTCTCTCTACCTGTGTCTTGTGTCTGTGTCTAATCCATCTTTGCTTTTCCATACCACTCCTTTTTTACACTGTTACTCGCAATTGACGACCATGTATCTTACCTCGCATATCACACATTCTCTACTTTCCTCTACTACCTCCCGGCTCCCGTCTTGACACGTAACACAGCCGAGACAGCGTTTCTACTGACTCCTTGCTATCCATCGCCATCTTCAGTGCCATTGATACCTTCTTGTCGCTTTCTTTTTCATCTGCCCTGTCTTGTCCAAAAATGTATTCCCAACTGTAGACTTAATCATCGACAGCACCTCCGTACAAGCACGCTGAAAAAAAGAGTAGATCCAACAATAAAAGACAGATCCTTTATACAAAATAATATATATATATATCATTGTCATGACAGTTTATCAAACTCCTCCGAGGCCGATAGCGGTTTCACCCTCAACCCACCCTTGACCACCCCGTCAAGCTCAACCTGGCTCTCGCTTCCGGCTCCGGCTCCAGCTTTGGCTCCAGCTCCAGCTCCAGCTCCGGCTCCGGCTCCCCCAAGCTCATCCTCGTCATCCTCCCGCCAAAAGTCCCTCTTACCCCTGGCCAGCCGCCGCATCCAGCCAGGCAACACGCCCCCGGGAACCTTATACGTCCAGGGGTCCCGGAACTCCTTGTTCTCAGGCACAAGCTTGCCACACGACAGTACCTCGACAACCTTCACAAGCGTATTCAGCAACGCGTAAGTCAGGATGCCCGCTATCAGACCATACGCAATCGAATACGTAAACGGCATTACAGCAAGGCACACAAACGCCGGTATTGCGTCACCCATGTACCGCCAGTTGATGTCCGCAGCCACTCGCACCATCATGCTGCCGACCAAGATGAGCGTGCACCCCGTCGCCCACGGCGGGATCGAGGCGAAAATCGGCGAGAAAAATATAGACACCAAGAAACACACCCCCGTCGTCATGGCCGTTAGCCCCGTCTTGCCGCCCTCGGAAATGCCCGCGCCCGACTCCACAAAGGCCGTGACGGGCGACGAGCCGAACAGCGACCCAATCGATATGCTCAGCGCGTCGACCGTGTAGGCCATTGCAGACCCTTCGAAGTCCTGCGTGCGCTCGTCGATGGCCCCGCAGAACCGTGCCATCGAGTACATCGTCCCCGTGGCGTCGAGAATGTCGACGTACAAGAAAGTGATCAGCGCCAGCCCGAACTGGCCGCCTGCCTGGCCCAGATCCCACTCCTGTTGGACGAGCGTGCTTTCGATCTTGTGGAAGGTGACTACTTTCTTGAAGAAGTCGTATGAGTCGTTGCCTAGGGCGCTGTGAGGGAAGTATGTGACGGTCGTCGGACGAGGCCACGATATCACGGAGACTAGTAGGATGCCGGCGATGATGGCGCCCTTGACGCGGTACATCATTAGCACGCAGGTTAGGATGCCGCCGCAGAATATCCCGACCCAGAGCGTGGGGTTGCGCATCTTAGCTCCGCCGGGACACACGCCGTCTACCATCTCGCTTGGAACGCATCCGCCGAGCGTAACGGGGGTGTCTCGATCGCCTGTTATCGCTCCAATGCCGGCACTGTACGTCAATCCGATGAGAGCTGGTTCTCGTTAGCATGAGGATGGCCTAGACTGTTGTTTTTGATAGTATAGATTTGAGGTAGAGGGGCCACGAACACAGGTACAGTCCAATTCCCACTCCAGAGGCAAGTTTGATGCATTTCGGCATTGCTCGAGCTAGCCACTGACGCATGCCAAACAGTGACAATGCAAAGAAGATAAATCCCTCGACGAACACTGCCGTCAAAGCCAGCCCGTAGCTCACTGGTCCCGATCCATGGAACCCAACCACCGTATACGTGAAGTATGCGTTCAGTCCCACTGTTACACCAATCATTAGCATCCCTTCCATTTCAGCCTCATTTGCATGGTTATAGTTTGCTAGGAACAACAACGTACTTCCAGGGGCCAGCGCAATAGGCATGTTCGAGAACAAACCCATGCAAAACGACGACAGCGCAGAAATAGCTGCTGTGGCTGTGATCTGGTCTCGCTTCAAAACGTTCAAACATAGGTTATAGTCTATATCCGTTTTGCACGTCGGGTCTTTGGCATCGGTACAGACACAGGGCCCGCCGGAATCTGTCAGGATGGTCGCATTGACCTTGGGGAACGTAAGCTTGACAGCTCTTCCTCACGCTTTTTTTTGGTAGCTAGCTAGCCTTCTGCGGCCTGCCACAACGCACCGATATGATATACGCCATGGCAAAGAAAGTGGTAAGCCCAGCTCGAATTTCAGTAAGAAACCGAGCACCCTTCCGCTCACGCCGCTGCAGAAGCGAAAGAACATGTCAGTGTCATCACTTCTCACTCAGATCAAACAAAAAGGACCCTTTCTTTTCCCTTATTCATGACAGACAGGAAGTAAGAAAAAAAAAAAAAAAAAAAACGTACATGTCCAGAGCCCTCAAGCCGGAACCTGCGGCCGACAATGCTCCTCGCCACGGCATCGTTGACACGAGTACTCCAGTTCTTCATAACAGCGTTAGGAGCAGGTTGAAGGAGTAGAAATCGTGCAGCAAGGGCAAATATGCATTCATCCCGTTGGCTCCGGGAAAATTTGCAGCGATACGACCCATGCTGAGGGACTTGAGCGGCCCATATATGTAGTCAAGTTCGCCCGATCAAGGGAATGCTCGCGAGCTACTTGTCGTGTGCTTGCTGTGGAGTCCGCTTATCAGACCCGGCAACGAAAAAAAAAAACTTTGTCCCCTTGGCCTTTTGCCCATAGTTATCAAACCAAAACTCGCTATAGCGGGCGGCCGAGCTAAGGGGTACCACGGAAACACGGCCCATTGAGCTCAGAAGCTTGGTAAGCGCCTGGAAACGAGAAACTCGGCAACTATAGGCACCGCCTTGGATTGTAGACTATAATGGTGAAGGTTGCATTACTATTGCAGGTTTCCTTATCACCTCTATGCTGCAGACCGGGCATCGGAGCGAGCCGGTTGACATCCCTCTGACCAGCCGTTGCATCGCAGATGGCCGGGAGAGAGCGATCAATTATCTGTTCACACGGCTAGTTAGCTTGATCCTTACTTGTTTGCGGAGGCGAGGTAACATCTAGGGTACCTGATAGATTAGGCGGCTGGCCCTCCTACCGAGGCTCGACTCCACAGGCATCTGGATGTATTTTGTTTGTACATCGTATAGATTCGCACGGGCCCAACAAGGGAAAGCCTCCTCATGTCTAAGCACGGTATCAAAATCAGAGGCGGCGGTTGCCGATAGAGCGTGAATATGACGGAGTACACTACCCCGGACTCTCTCTCGCTCTCTCTCTCTCGTTCCCGTCTTTAGTTTGGTTGCTTTCCGTCGGTTGTTTTCTTTGACGTTTTGACGTTTGACGTTCGGCGATCCTTGAGGCTGAGCACGTGATCCCGCGTCTGCCCAGGTGGGAAGCGCGCGTTTTTTCCTCTTTTCGTTTAATTGAAGCGCGCTTTCACGATGGAAGATAATTGCTGATACCGGTAGACAGTATACCGTTCAGCAAGACATCTGCTGCTGCTTAATGTAACTCTTGGAGTACCCTTACACTCCAGGCTATCTGGATAAACAAGAGAAGTTCTAGCAGAATGCCTCCAAAACGGCGGGTAGGTCGAGGCCACTCACATCCCACTATCGGGCCATGACGGGCGAATAACTAATGTCGTGTGACTCTAGGCTACTGATGACGATGATGACGACGAGCAAGACGAGTATGAGGACACTTCAGCACGCACACAGACTCAGGGGGCTACCCAGCGTCGGTGGAGTGCCACACCCGAGTCTGAAAATGAATACCAACCTGGCGGACACCTGCAGACCTCTGTGTCGATAAACGTGATGGTGAAGAAGTTGGTTCGGCTGGCTTTAGCTAGTGAATACTCACGCCAACCCATTCGCAGAGCGGATATATCTGCCAAAGTTCTAGGTGATGGTGGATCACGACACTTTAAACTCGTCTTTCTCGATGCACAGAAGACCTTGAAGGAGGTATTTGGCATGCAGATGGTTGAACAACCAGGCAAGGAAAAGGTGACAATTAGCCAGAGAAGGGGTGAGTGAATATGCCTATAACCCCTGTCCCCGCTAAGGAACTGCTTGCTGACAGCTTAAAAGCGGCCCAACGCGCCGAAAAATCGAGCACGTCAAAATCATGGACTGTCATATCTACTCTACCAGCTGCTTACAGAACTCCGGAAATATTACACCCATCCAAAGCACCTGATTCCTCCACCGAAAGCTCATATATTGCAATATATACCTTTATTATATCGTTGATCATGCTATCAGGTGGATCAATATCAGAGGAAAGGCTAAACAGACACCTTCGCCGTGTCAATGCAGAATATCATACGCCGCTTGATAGAACAGACAAGTTACTTGCTCGACTATGTAAGGAAGGATATCTGCTCAAGGTACGTGATTCAGATACGGGTGAAGAGGTGATTGAATATTTCGTGGGCCCAAGAGGTAAAATAGAGGTTGGCGTGGCTGGGGTATCAGGTATGGCAAAGGAAGTATTTGGCATAGGAGAAGGAGGAGAAGGCGCTGAAGATAGCGAGCAGTTTGAAAAGAGGTTGAAAAGAAGCCTGGGCATTAAGGAGAATAATGCTCCAGCGGAAGAAAATGGAGAGCCCGAGGCACCACGAAGGAGAGGCCGTAGGGACGATGATGACTCTGGTTGACATGCATATATGAATCGGACTGGATTTAACGCCCATGTATACCCGGGGCTTAGATGAAGAGATTATGATTTAAATACCCATATACATATATATCACGCTTCAAAGAGATGATAATTTGAATAGTCTAAGGTATATCCATCCCCCTACAAGCCGGTTCCTCCCAACAAGACACTGTAGAGCGCACCCAGCCTGACATGCCAAAATGAGGAAAGAAAAGGGAAAAAAATGTAAAACAACAAGACGGAAACACAGTAGATCATGCCAGCACAACAAAGGACGGTAAGAGTAACACCATAACTCCTGTCCCTTGAAGAAGTTATTGTTTTTTCTCTTGGCCATTATCTTCGTCGTCACTGGGTCCGTCACTTGGCCCGTCATCGTCGTCATCCCGGCCCTGACCCTCCACCCCTTGTCCTTCTTGCATCATATACTCCACCTTCATCAGCGCAGTTCTCATCTGGCTATACTGCGGCATCACACAATCTGCAGGTTTTTGACCCTTCTTGTTCCGTACTCGCGGATCACAGCCTGCTTCAAGCATCATCTCCAGCATTGACATGGCCAACTCAATATCCTTTTCGTTTCCATACTGAACAGCCAGGTGGAGCGGTGTGTCGCCATCGACGCGGTTGGTAGGGTCGACTTCAAAGTGGTATATGTCTAGTAGGTAATCCATTGTATCGTCTATATGTATATCTCCATATTAGTTTGGGGGATCCCAAAAATTTAACCAACAAACCGCTTAGAGGGCTGCCAGGCGCTAAGGCGGGGGAAGGGACGTCTTACAGCTCCCGTAAGCAGCGCATATATGAAGCGCATGGTTCCCCATGGAGTCTGTTACTCCGTTAATGAAGTCTGCAAACTCATCTGGCTTATCCTTGTAGGACTTCTCCTGTATCTCCTCGATGAGGTAGGGCTGATCGCGGCGGCAGGCTTCCACGACCAATTCGCGGGGTGAGGCTCCCTATAAACGAGGTTAGTCAAGGAGTGCTCAAAGTCACTGGTTAGGGAGCCTTGGAGGTCGCGGATCTATCTTGCCTCATCGTCAGACATGTTGAATAGAGAAAAAAAAGGGAAATAAAAAGATATACAAAGTCGTGCAAAGTATTAGTCTAGGGGTCGGTTCTACTTCAGCACTTAAAACCGCCGGATTTAGTTCGTCTGCAGGCATCTCTCACAAAGTTCAATTTCTTAGTAATAGGCTTTAATTCTCTAGATCATGTGATATGTTTATGTCATCAAATTTACACGTGACTGGTTATCTAATCGGCTCTCCTCGAGGGGGCGAGCCTTGCCTTAACGAGCGACCGACGATCAGAAAAGAAACAACAACGACACGCCAGCTGGTCACCGTACAAGTTACACTGACAGGCCGCCTCGCTTCCACTTGAGAGTGCTTAGCATTGTATTGAAGAATTGAGGAGAGTACTTTCAACCGCAAACGCTAGGGAGTGAGAACTACAAGTCCAGACTGACTTCTGCTCTTGCAAGGGAGGTGACCCTTCTAGAAGCGCCAACCTGCCACTTTATAACCCAAGATGCCCAAGATATCTATCTACCACAGACACGACGAGAACATGATACTTAACAGGGATGAAGAAGAGCTATGAGTTAGCCATGTCGAGAACCTCTTTGAGATTCTCTGCTGGGTCGCCATTATTCACAATACCAAGCCATGTCTCTGGCTTTTTATACCCAAGCAGTGAGAGCATTTTATCACTCATTCCCAGTACTTTGCTTCGAGGAATGGCCAAAAACTGGTTTTCTTCAGGCCGAAGTGTTCCCGAGATGAAGAACAGGCCATAGACCTTGCGTACTTGGTCGGGGACAGAATTGTGCCCGGCGCCATGGTAGACAGTGCCGAGGAAGACAAAGGCCGAACCGGGTTCCATCTCTGGATTATTTCATTTCTATTAGAAACCCTTGTTTCTTCATGTGTAAAGGATGGTATGCAAGTCCTAGGTTGTCTGCAAAATGACAACCGGAAGGAGCTAAGATAACTCACCAGCAAAGCAAACCTCATCGGTTCGAGGGACCCGAGTGTGGTTCCATTTATGGGAGCCTGGGATTGCCATGGTCGCTCCATTTTCACGGGTGGTTTTACATCCTGCAAACATAAAGCCAAGCATAGTCTCGTTTGACAAGCTGTATTCCCCATCGTGGTGGTAAATGCCATGGATCATGTCATCTCTGTGCAGCCTCTGACGAGGGCCACCATAGCTGACATTATATGTCAAACTACTGTTCAGTAAGGGTCCGATGGTAAATTCCTCTGTCCGGTCTTCCCAGGTAGCAGTGCATTTCTTCTGCAAAACCATCGTTCGCAGTTTATCAATCACCTCGTACTCAGCAATTTTTGCCATGGTAGGCGACTTGCCTACAATACCGGGGACCATTATCGTTTGTTTGGGGATAAGGTCGTACGCAGCGTGCGATTCGGCTCTGGCTTTCTGGACGTAAGGATCTAGCTCATCGTTGATAGCAGCCACGTCTTGGCTGGAAATAATGTCGGTTAGAATGAGACCGCCATCTCTCTCCAGGACGGCAAGTATGTCCTCGATCGGCGCATTTGCGGGAATCCTCGTAAGCGAGACCGAGGGCACATAGGACGGATCAATTGGGGGTGGGAATTCCGGCATTTTGGCAGGCTTATCAAAAACAGCTCAGCGACGCAGTCAATGCCAAATGGCTCCCAAATGCTCAAGTGAAGGCCGCGAAACCCGTTAATGTAAATCAATGCTTCTACGGAGTATGCTTGCCTATCGAGAATCCTAGCTTCTTTATAGCCATTATCAATCTCAGTGCAGCAAGCTGGGCCCGTTCCTAATGGCATACCATGAAGTAAGTCTGGCCCGAATCACAATACCTATGAATTCTGACACATTTCACGAAACGGGTGCAGGGAATGGGTAGTACCGGTGGCTGATTCTAGGTTTATCTTCGTATGCGCGATGCACACCTTGAACTTCCAGGATGACCAAAGTTTGGAGCTCATGTCGGTGTGTTTGGGCTTCCCAGCCAACGAGATGAGCATTTCCTACTTTTGAGTCTGTCGCTTTCAGGGATATGCCGGAAGTCGACACTTCTACCCATGGCCAATAATATATATGGGATGCTTCGCACGGATGGCTTCGTCCAAAGTATCGACATGCATAATCCATCTTGTCGCTCTTCCTCTAGTCCCACAACTTTCCGCAGGCCCAGGTAAGTTTTCTTCGCTCACTTCTTGAGTCTCCACGAAAGTATAGAGCGTATCCGCAAGCTGCAATAAGATGTTCCCCGAACTCCTAGGACCATTCCTAAAAATCGGGCCATTGCATATTTTACTGGAGCTTCTTCCACCAAGAGTTTCTACAATGGTCATCCAAGGCTCCCTGGCGAAGTTTATAATGAGTCTGCATTACACACCATAAGTACTAAGGGTTCTGCAGCCGGTGACGAGTAATTTGGGTCTGTTTGTTGGCAGCTCCGTTCCCTTCTGCCCGTCTGCTTCGGCGCCGCCGTCGCATGGCTGTCCAGACAAATACCTGACTATATAGTTTCCACTCGTTTCTCATATTCTTGTAATCCCCACCATTCTGCATAACTAACAACGCTGCATTGTTGTCTCCCGTGTGGCCAGGCATTAACAGCCCGAAAATCATGTCACTGAGGAACGACGAACAGACTGAGAAGGGAGCGGTGGTAGGGAAGGTCGACTCTCAACTTTCGGGTCCGGGACAGGAGGAGATTATCCAAGTTCAGACCCAGAAGCCGTTCACCACACTATCGGCAATCGGGATTGGTTATGGGGTCACCAACACGGCAGTTGGCCTGCTGCTTGTCCTGGGCACGGGCATTCCCATGGGCGGGTCGCCCGTGATATTTTGGGGGTTTTTGGCAATGGCAGCAGTCGGACTGGCTACAGCAACGACTCTATCTGAACTTATATCCGCAATACCCCACCCGGGAGGTCAATATATCTGGGTACATAAAATTGCCCCAGAAAGATACCGAAGAGGCTTATCCTATGCAACAGCAATGATCAGCTGGATCGCAGCTATCGCAATCGGCGCTTCTGGGAATCTTGCCGTGCCTGTGAATGCATTTACAATTGTCACTCTCCTTAATCCTAATTTCGTGTATCAGCGGTGGATGGGCTTTGTGGTGTTTCAACTCATCAATATTGTGACGTGCTTTGGTGCCTGCTTTGAGTATTTTCTACCCAAAATATCGAAAGCTTTGTTGCTTGTGAACGTCCTCTCCGTTTCGGCCATTATCATCACTTTATTTGCTACCGCCAAAACCCACACGAGTGCCAAAGACTTTTTCAAAGTTGTCAACGTTTCCGGCTGGCCGAATGGCGTGGCTTTTCTGATTGGCCTGAATGGATCCAATTGGTGCTTTTCTTGCCTCGATGTTGCTACACACCTTGCTGAAGAAATCCCATCCCCAAGCACAAATATTCCAAAAGCTTTGATTTGGACCATCGTTATTGCATTCAGCAGCGGTCTTCTGATGATTCTAGCTGTCCTAGTCAATGTTGGGCCTATTAACACTCCAGATTACTCGGGGCTTACGGTCTTACACCACATCACAGGCAGTAAAGCTGCGGCAATTGGCCTCTGGGTCCCCGTCCTTTTTCTTGTTTTCGCCTCTGTATGGTCGATCCAGACATGGCAGTCTCGACTTGCCTGGTCAATTAGCCGAGAGTCTGGCTTCCCTTTACATCGTCATTTTAGCAAAATCTTCCCGGCACCGTTCTATACCCCTATATGGTCCTTAATTGGCTCTGCCATCGGCACAGCATTGTTCGGCTGTCTATACCTTGCGTCCGAACTAGCATTCAATTCACTCATTGCAACTGGAATTCTTCTCCAATATGCTAGCTATAGTATTCCTACTATACTGGTACTTTACCGGGGCAGGTCGAAATTTCAGCATGGCCCCTTTTGGTATCCTAAGTTGGGGTTTATGGCCAACATTGTAATGCTTGCATGGACCCTGGTAGCTCTGATATTTTATTGTTTTCCTGTTTATTCCGAAGTCATCCCAAGCCAGGTGAATTACGTTTCAGCAGTTCTTATTCTGATTGCTATTCTTATTACCTCACTCTGGTTTTTGTATGCAAAGAAACATTATCATGTCGTTGAGATATAAATTGGTAGATCAATATATATGTATTTTCTAACTTTTTCCTTCAGAAGAAACAGTACTTTCAGCTGATATCACTGATATTCCCAGAAATAAGGAGATTGTAGGGCCGATTAGCGCAGAAGCGCCAACTAAATATACCGTATGCAACTGAAATTTGAGACCACTGCTGAATAATGAATAATGCAGTCCTTGACTGATACTTTCTTCCTTTGCCTTCAATATTCATAGTGATAAATTCAATAAGGTTTTCCATTCTAATGGATTAATGGATCTTCGTATTTATTGTCAGTGGCAAATGGGCAACAAATTTTACGGCTTAAGACCTTGCTTCATTTCCCAGCCAGCTCTGAGGAAGTCCTCAATATTGGTCACATGTACCTCGGGAAAGAGCTCAGCAAGGTTCTTCCCAGGTAAATCGTGTGCATTACTCAACATAGAAAGCATAACCTGAACCTCGACCTCTTGAAACAATTTGCCCTTTTGTGGGTCATCGAACACGGGTCGATTAGAGGTTAAGGGTGTGATCTGGCCCTTTTGAATTGATTCTACTGAATCGTATGTGACCTTGAACTCCCTCCCTATTGCTAGTATTAGGAACGTTCGAATGCATATGCCCAGATGTCCACAAAGCGTACCTGTAGTTTTCTTAATCAAATCTTGGAGATCTTTGACTTGGATTTTGTTAGACGCAACTAGGGATTCTCGTGGCCACTCATTTGATGGAAGGCCCACCAAGCATTCAATATATGCTGCCAGGTCTGTTGAATGTGACAGTACGAGTGGCTGGGACCCATCACCAGGAAAGACGCATTCTTCATGCTCAATGTCAACGAATACCCAATATGGGGTAATGTACGTTGGCTTCGGGTTAAATGGCATAGTGAGATGGTCGAGGAAGATCCCAACCCTGATGAGTGTCCAAGTCAATTGAGGGTGACGCATAAGCTCTTCCTCGGCCTCAATTTGAAAATTGGTAAACAAGTCCGACCCTCTATCCTTTCGGTGTTAATTGTGAAATTTTCAAGATGATGTGAAATGAAACTTACGGGATTGGAGAATGGAAGTCAATATAGTACTCGCTAGGAATGAATTTGGTCACGGTCCCCGATTCCGCGGCAGCACGGATCAGATTGATCTGCGATTTTGCAACGCTCTCGTCCGACAAAAGCAAAGCAGACACGACAACTTCAACATTGTTCTCTTTTAGCACATTCCTCATCTCCTCCACGTTGTCATAGTCCACAGCATAGCGTCTTGGCTCATTTGCTGCTCCGGGAACTCCTTTCTGTAATATTTTAAAAATTATTTGCCATTCTCAAGCAATGAACATAATGCTATCTTACTCCTCTTGACAACACAATGGCTTTGTGTCTACCTGACTTCGCGATAGCGTCCAATACGGTCCGACCAACACCCCCAGTGCCTCCTGCAACAGCGACGACAGCCATAATTGTATGAGAAAATATTGAATGATAATGCAAAGAAAATTGGAAGCCTTGAAAACCTGGCAGCCCGTCCCAAACTGGCCTATTAAATAACCAACTAGTAGTTAAGCTCGGTGAAATGGCAAAACTAAGTAGCTTCAGAGTATGAGGCAGATAAGATGCATGGGAATTCCCCCTTTTACTTTCGGCCAAGCTCACTACTAATACGGAAAAGGGTAGCTTTGTAGTTATGTAGACCATGTAGCCAATTACAAGTTAGATATCTCATAAGCAGCAACGTGGTAGCTCCCATTTTGATATACGAAAACCCTGTTATATGAATGCTGATAATAATGGATCCTCATCTGTGATGCGAGTTTCATTCCCCCCACACTTACTGCAGGTTCTGATAAGAAGAGAGGGGTAGCGGGTATATCCGGAGGACTAAAACCGAAAGTGCTTATATTTGTTGAACTCGCTCGTATCCTTGCTGGCTTTTAAACAATGACGTCATCATCTCGTTCAACCTCCGAAATGACTAACAAGGTTTTCTTAAAATAAGGTTCAATTAGTTAACTTGTTATCGATTCACATAACCTTAACTTTCGTAACTTTAACTTTCTTGTTAACCCTAATTCACACGTCGCCATATCTAGTGTGTATTATTGGCAAAAGATACCCGATAAGCTACAGTATCTGAATAATACACCAATTCAAGGCTAGATGTCTTTGCTAAGAGTTAAGTCTTTGTGAAGAAGTTGCCCCTTGTGAAGAAGTTGCCCCTTGAGAACTAATAATTTAAAGAAACTCCAATGCTTATCCCTTCTAAGTCCTTAGGAGGTGGACACCTCGAGATCAAAATGTCAACTGTTCACCCCCTGTATAGACTATGCACTAGGCTTGTGTAAACCTGAATTCGTCTCTCACAGCTGCTCCAAGCCTCTTAACACCGTTTTCGAGATCATCCAGACAAGTAGTGGACACAAACGTTATCCTGAAGAACACCTTATCCAAACATGCCTCAACGTTAAACCAACTCCCTTTGGCGACAGCCACTCCATAGCTTGCCGCCCGCTCGTAAATTTTATCCTCAAGATCGAGTGATAGGTTTTCCCGCTTTTCTGAGTAGTCGGGATGTCTCGCCAAGTCAATCGTAATCCATAAGAACATTCCATGTGTAGGGGTGGTCCATGTGCATAAACCCTTGGGCAGATGCTGGGAGCATGCAGCAATCATGATGTCCCTTCTTGACTTGTACTCTCCAGACAAATGGTTTAACCAATTTGCAAACCCCTCTTGTCCCCAGCTCTCAACGAACAATTTGTACAACATGACCTGGGATGGTCCGCTTGGGGGTGCTGGTCCAACCTCAGCAAAATTTTCGAAAATTTCGACTATTTGCTTGCTCGCCGTTAACCATCCACACCGAAGGCCGGGAGCCAGTATCTTTGAGGTGGAGTCCACGCGAATAACTCGTCCGGATTTGTCTAGGGAGAGGTATGATGAGGGCAGTGATTTCCGCAGCTTTTCGAATGACGAGTAAGGGGGGTTGATATCCAGTGATGAGAAAGATCCGTCGAGTCGTAAGAAGAAGTACGGGTCATCCTCAAGAACCAGCAAGTCATGTCGTTCTGCAATTTGATAGATTGCCGCCTTTCGTGCCGTCGACTGGGTTATACCCGTTGGATTGTGTCCAGATGGGATAGTATATAGCACAAATGGCTTGCGGCTTCGTGATGTGTCCCAGTATCGTAGTTTGTTATCCAAATCTACTGGCAGGAGGCCCTCCTCATCCATCTCAATGCTTTGGATATTAAGACCATGAGCCTTCGCTGCCATAACTGTACCGGTGTATGTAGAAGCCTCTGCTAAGATCCAGTCCCCCCTGTTGCACAACATGCGTAAGACTATATCAATAGCAGATGTTGAGCCGCATGTAAGAGTTGTATCCCAATCTTGATAAGGAGGATTGTGGATAAGGCGAGTGTTCTCTCGAAAGCAGGCTACTAACTCGGTCGACCCAGAAGGATCGGCATAGTTTAAGGCGGACGAAATATCAAAAGCTGCTTCCCCTATATTGCAAGTCATTGGGTTTCTTGTGTTCGACTCCTTCGTTCCAGTCATTGTCATGGACTGCCAGGGATAGAACAAAGAGGCGGGCCTTCCCACACCGAGTGGAATTGGTACGGACGTGGTAGCTGTCTTGACAGAATTTTTCAAGGGCGATGCGCCTTGTGATAGGCTCTCGTCACTCAGTCGGTGATCCCATCGATTTGCCAGTCTTTTAGGGGAGCTGAAGTGTGTCTGTCGAATATTAACGGTGTCTCGAACATCTTCAAGCAGAACATCGTGTGCCTTCTCAAATTCCAAGTGCATGGTGGGGGTAAAGACGAATTGTAAACTCCCAGGGAACAGACGGCTCAAGTTATTATGCCAAGGACAGGTGTGTAGGCTTCCTGCAGTTTCAAATGCGTCTATGATTCCATCAAAAACACCTTCGAAAGCCCCTTGCCTGTTGGTCCATGAAAGCTGATATATAGCTAGTGCAAAGGGATCAGGCCAAATTATCTCTCAAGAAACTAAAAATTATCTGCACAAGGAAAAGGGAAGCAGAGGAAAGCTGAGAGAGAGGAGGGGGTGGGGCAGAGGCAAATGTTGATCTGGGTTGACAGGGTATCTTTTCATGTCTGCTAATTAGCCGGCCAGCATTTGAACAAACTCGCGCCATCGGGTTTTGGGAAGAATATTTTTAGGGGGAGTTGTAAAGTAGGCCACCCCCAATTTTGCCCACCTCCTTGTTCATGCACGATATGCAGGGTTGTGTTGTGACGCCAAGGGCGCTTCAGATTAAGGCGTCGATCTTATCTAGTTATCCTCCGAGTCTCCATTCCCGAGCTAATTATATCCAAGCGTCAATGACGTCTGAATAAGTGGCTGGCTGATGTGGGGTGGAACTATTCCGTACCTTTCAACGGTTAGCGAGGCCTCAGCCAGCTGTAGCTAACATGTATTATAGGCGTTTCCTCGGGAAAGCTGCCAAATATCTGGCCCTTCTACGGAGTACTTGACTGTAATGCATTGAGCGTGGCTAGTCCCCTTTACACCGTCTGGGCAAAGTCGAGCTTTAAACTGCATTTAACTACGGAGTAGGGATTCAATCACAGAGAATGGGTCAAGGCACAAACCCTATGCTAAATGGACTCAAATACGGCAGTATCAAATTGAAACAGCGAAACGGGGAACAGTGGAGGATAATCTCCTTGCTTAGCAAAAAGGCAGTTATTCATTCTATTGTGGGAATATGCTCCGTATACACTGTCGATTAACCCCACTATTGCATTATCTTCTCGTAAATAGCAGGAAGGTCCTTCGCGGGGTCATCATTATCAACCATTCCCAGCCAAGTTCCCGCTGGCTTCTTGAACCCAAGTAGAGTTTGCATCTTTGGGCTCATCTTCAGGACTTTGCTTCGGGGATTGCACAAAAACTGGTTCTCCTCTTGACGGAGAGTCCCTCGGCAGAAGACAAGATTCATAATCTTACGAATCTCTCCCGGAATCGTGTTGTATCCAGCTCCATGAGCCATGGTGCTAAGGAAAATGAACGCCGATCCTCTCTCCATTTCTGAATCCACATTAGTTATAATCTAAAAGCCGTATTGCAAAAGATAGGTCTTACCCAGGAAAGAAACTTCATCAGGCCTGCCACGTCTGTCATGCTCCCATTTATGAGAGCCAAGGATGACCATAGTGCCTCCATTCTCGCGGGTAACGTTACTACCCGCAATGAAGCAGCTGAAACCGTCTACTTCATTAATTTTCATGTTCGGATGGTGTTTGCTAGAGAAAACCATGTCATCCCTGTGTAGCGCCTGACGAGGAGATCCCTGGCCAACGTGGAAAGCCATGGAAATGCTCAGCAACGGGTCAATGACAAGTTCTTCAGTATGCCCTTCAAAGACAGCTGGATATCTCTCCTCCAGGATTATTTTGAGGAGTTTGTCGATTGTCTCATTGGTATCGAGGATGTTGGCCAGGGTGTCAGACTTTGAAATCAAGCCAGCGATGACCAGAGTCTTTTTTCCAATGAAATCGTCGTAGGAATCACTGTCAGGGATAGTTTTCGTGTAGGGTTCCAGTTCCTCATCGATCTTGTCCATAGTCTCTTTTGGCACAAAATCCGTTAAAATAACCCCGCCATCGCGCTCGAGAACCTCTAGAATCTCTTCCAGAGAGGAGGTTGCTGGAATTTTGGTAACGGACCTCGCTGGCTGATAGGAGGCGTCAATCGGGGGCAACAAACGGGCAGCAGCGTACTTTTTGTCCATTTTAGCTGAGACAAGGAGAACTAATATTCGAAGTTGAAGAGATAATCCGAAGTTGAAATTCGATAGGTGATAAGGAAGAGCGATTCTTGAGCTGTGCAATTTTATGAGGGGATGTGATGAACATGACCAACCCAGAGAATAAATATACCTGGAGATGCCATTGAGCCGTGGACTACTGGGTATTATCCGGTTCGGCGCATGGAGTGTGCTCGGATTGGTACGGAATAAAAACACTTTCCCGTCAAAATCAACTTGTCACGGCATAAACATTTGATAAGGGCGGAAAGAATGAGAGTTAGTGACGTGGAAGAGTTGGAGTGCATGTCAAAGTTATCCACCTGCAGACGGGTTTGAAACTTGTCCAACTGCTCAATATTTTAGCGATCAACGAGTTAACTTACTAGTTAGTTACCCCATCGTGCAGAGAACCAGAGTCTAGAACTAAGAACCTGCCAACTGAACACTTGATCTGTAATTTCTGCGAAGTTTTTGAGAGGGGCACGCATAACCCACTGGGGGCCCAGGTGTATACTCTGTTGTTTTGGCCATTTCTCCCGGAAACGGGAGCAGGTATTGAAGACTTGGGGCATAAGCAAGCCCCTTCCGATTGGACAGACATGTAGCTAGTTATTTAGTTACCTTGATGACCACTAGATAAGTTAAACTTTAAGCTTCGGGAGCTGTCGAACAAACCGGC